GATAGTTTTGGACCAACTTTGCTGGTACTGTCACACCCGCTAAGTGCATGAATGGCTGGGAGACACGATACCAAATTGTTGACCTACCTCCTCCATGCAAATGCCCAACATCCTGCAGTAGTTCCAAGACATGCACCTGCAGAGCAATGGACATAAAATGTGTTGTGTTTTGTGGATGTAGTAAAGGCACAAAGTGTAGAAATCCGCATAAATAAACTCAATTGATAGCCACACATAACATGAAATCTAGTGATAACTAGTTGTAGATACTAGTACTCATTAAAGAATGAACACAAGGAGCACATGTGTCTCAAACTCACAACCTCGTGGTTTATAATTAAACTCAATCGATATTCAATACTCATAATACGAGGGGTGATCAATAAGTAATGGACGCTTTTTTACACAGATACTTTTTATAGACCAATCCCTTTGATTTTCCTACCAGTGATACATCATTCAATTATCTATCATTTCTGAGGATTTGAAGGCAAAATATAAAATACATGTTGATATATCTTTATTTCCTTGAAGGAGGTACAGGTACCCCGGGACCGACATTTATGTCACATATTCAGTTTTCAGCCAGTTTGGCAGATTTCAGTTAGATTTAAACTTTTCATATGCAACATGTGTTATGTTGTTTGAAATACTTTGCTGACTGGTCAACACATAAACAGAAAGTTTTGTGATGTCAGAGTGTTGTATGGAAGGGGTTTGCAGGCCAATTTGAGAAAGCATTATGGAAGAAAGGGGTGGTGAGAGAAGGGAACACCCTACTCCATATGGACATTGCACCTGCCCCCAGATCTCAAAATGTTCAGAAAACAATATCCCTGGACCTCAAAATTGAGCCCTTGGCCAATGCACCATATTGTCCAGATCTGCTCACATGTGACTTATTTATTTCTATACTACTTATTTCTATAGAGAAAGGATGCACGTTTATTGATATTGATGAAATAAAACAACCCGTGCAACTGCATCTTGCTACCATGTCAGAGAATGGATTCAGCCTTGTCTCACGATCTTGAATTAAGAGGATGAGGAATTGTGTGCATGTAGCACTTGATGGAACCTATGTAGAGGGCTCTGTGGAATGAATGTGGCATGAATACCACATAGTGATGATAAAATATTCAAAATCAACTATGGCATAACAAAATGGGGTAATTCATGACCATAATGGTTTGTTTTGTTCAGCCTGCATTCAACTGCATTGCATGTAAAACAAGCTAAAATAGCTTCAGAATGTTTGACGTAAATGTCGTTCCCGGGGTACCCATACATCCTTCACAGAAATAAGGATATGTCAAAAGATATTACATGTTTTGTTTTCAAATCTTCAGAGTTGATAGATAATTGAATGATGTATAACTGGTAAGAAAATCGAAGGGATTGGTCTACAAAAAGCATCTGTGTAAAAAAGCGTCCATTACTTATTGATCACCCCTCGTACATCAGCATTCCTTGTAGATACTAGATATGGTACTCATAAAAGAATGAACATAATGAGCACACGTGTCTCAAACTCGCAACCTCGTGGTTTAGGGTACCCATTCACCTAAGACCTCTTGGGCAACTCAACAACCAAAAAAGTTTGTTTCCTTCGCTGATTTGACTAGATAGAGGCTGCGGATTCAGTCTTAAATGATGCAGGATAGATGAAAACTGTTGTGCGTAACATGCTTGAGAACCATTGACTTTTTTAAATACATATGTATTATTGACCCCCTATAATGTGGCCATTCCGGACATTTTGAGTGGTCACACAACCTTCTATGTCCAACGGTTCCGGAGATGCAAAAATGGGGGGGGGAGTATTCGCGTAAAAAAGGGCGTGGCCATTTGACCTATTTCGCCTTCTGTGGCAAATATGTTACTAGTAAGTAGCTCATGCTGGTTGAGTATGCACTTCTATGTCCAGAGATTTTCTCTTCAGAAATCATCTATGTGAAGGTCATTGATTAATTTTGGCTTGGTAACATATTTGCCACAGAAGGCGAAATAGGTCAAATGGCCACGCCCTTTTTTACGCGAATACTCCCCCCCCCCATTTTTGCATCTCCGGAACCGTTGGACATAGAAGGTTGTGTGACCACTCAAAATGTCCGGAATGGCCACATTATAGGGGGTCAATAATACATATGTATTTAAAAAAGTCAATGGTTCTCAAGCATGTTACGCACAACAGTTTTCATCTATCCTGCATCATTTAAGACTGAATCCGCAGCCTCTATCTAGTCAAATCAGCGAAGGAAACAAACTTTTTTGGTTGTTGAGTTGCCCAAGAGGTCTTAGGTGAATGGGTACCCTAAACCACGAGGTTGCGAGTTTGAGACACGTGTGCTCATTATGTTCATTCTTTTATGAGTACCATATCTAGTATCTACAAGGAATGCTGATGTACGAGGGGTGATCAATAAGTAATGGACGCTTTTTTACACAGATGCTTTTTGTAGACCAATCCCTTCGATTTTCTTACCAGTTATACATCATTCAATTATCTATCAACTCTGAAGATTTGAAAACAAAACATGTAATATCTTTTGACATATCCTTATTTCTGTGAAGGATGTATGGGTACCCCGGGAACGACATTTACGTCAAACATTCTGAAGCTATTTTAGCTTGTTTTACATGCAATGCAGTTGAATGCAGGCTGAACAAAACAAACCATTATGGTCATGAATTACCCCATTTTGTTATGCCATAGTTGATTTTGAATATTTTATCATCACTATGTGGTATTCATGCCACATTCATTCCACAGAGCCCTCTACATAGGTTCCATCAAGTGCTACATGCACACAATTCCTCATCCTCTTAATTCAAGATCGTGAGACAAGGCTGAATCCATTCTCTGACATGGTAGCAAGATGCAGTTGCACGGGTTGTTTTATTTCATCAATATCAATAAACGTGCATCCTTTCTCTATAGAAATAAGTAGTATAGAAATAAATAAGTCACATGTGAGCAGATCTGGACAATATGGTGCATTGGCCAAGGGCTCAATTTTGAGGTCCAGGGATATTGTTTTCTGAACATTTTGAGATCTGGGGGCAGGTGCAATGTCCATATGGAGTAGGGTGTTCCCTTCTCTCACCACCCCTTTCTTCCATAATGCTTTCTCAAATTGGCCTGCAAACCCCTTCCATACAACACTCTGACATCACAAAACTTTCTGTTTATGTGTTGACCAGTCAGCAAAGTATTTCAAACAACATAACACATGTTGCATATGAAAAGTTTAAATCTAACTGAAATCTGCCAAACTGGCTGAAAACTGAATATGTGACATAAATGTCGGTCCCGGGGTACCTGTACCTCCTTCAAGGAAATAAAGATATATCAACATGTATTTTATATTTTGCCTTCAAATCCTCAGAAATGATAGATAATTGAATGATGTATCACTGGTAGGAAAATCAAAGGGATTGGTCTATAAAAAGTATCTGTGTAAAAAAGCGTCCATTACTTATTGATCACCCCTCGTATTATGAGTATTGAATATCGATTGAGTTTAATTATAAACCACGAGGTTGTGAGTTTGAGACACATGTGCTCCTTGTGTTCATTCTTTAATGAGTACTAGTATCTACAACTAGTTATCACTAGATTTCATGTTATGTGTGGCTATCAATTGAGTTTATTTATGCGGATTTCTACACTTTGTGCCTTTACTACATCCACAAAACACAACACATTTTATGTCCATTGCTCTGCAGGTGCATGTCTTGGAACTACTGCAGGATGTTGGGCATTTGCATGGAGGAGGTAGGTCAACAATTTGGTATCGTGTCTCCCAGCCATTCATGCACTTAGCGGGTGTGACAGTACCAGCAAAGTTGGTCCAAAACTATCTGGTATGAAATCAGCCATGGATCTCTCGCTTTTGGAAGATGAATATCGGTGGGAACAGTACCACAACTCAAAGAAAAACATCGATTTTAACCAACTTGTGTGCTGCTCATCAACTCTACAGGAACACATAAAGCGGGCATATCTGCAGTGCAAGATGTGGTTACAAGCTCCAATTCCTGAAGTCATCACACCAGATCCATGCCAGTATGGCTATAAAGCAACAGATGATGGTATTACACCTGTAATACTACCAGTTCCATGCAGGCCTGATGACCTACCTCCTCCATGCAAATGCCCAACATCCTGCCTTAGTTCCAAGACATGCACCTGCAGAGCAATGGACATAAAATGTGTTGTGTTTTGTGGATGTAATAAAGGCACAAAGTGTAGAAATCCGCATAAATAAACTCAATTGATAGCCACACATAACATGAAAACTAGTGATAACTAGTTGTAGATACTAGTACCCATTACAGAATGAACACAAGGAGCACATGTGTCTCAAACTCACAACCTCGTGGTTTATAATTAAACTCAATCGATATTCAATACTCATAATACATCAGCATTCCTTGTAGATACTAGATATGGTACTCATAAAAGAATGAACATACGGAGCACACATGTCTCAAACTCGCAACCTCGTGGTTTAGGGTACCCATTCACCTAAGACCTCTTGGGCAACTCAACAACCAAAAAAGTTTGTTTCCTTCGCTGATCTGACTAGATAGAACTGCGGATTCAGTCTTAAATGATGCAGGATAGATGAAAACTGTTGTGCGTAACATGCTAAAATCAGTTTTTGGCAAATATCTTGAGAACCATTGACTTTTTTAAATACATATGTATTATTGACCCCCTATAATGTGGCCATTCCGGACATTTTGAGTGGTCACACAACCTTCTATGTCCAACGGTTCCAGAGATGCAAAAATGGGGGGGGGAGTATTCGCGTAAAAAAGGGCGTGGCCATTTGACCTATTTCGCCTTCTGTGGCAAATATGTTACCAAGCCAAAATTGATCAATGACCTTCACATAGATGATTTCTGAAGAGAAAATCTCTGGACATAGAAGTGCATACTCAACCAGCATGAGCTACTAGAGTATAATGAATTGTAAACAGTTTTTATGTAATCATGTCCGTCTTGGACGTTTTGTAGATGAAGGAGTATCTGTCCCAGATGTATTAGGGCTTGAGATTCCATGCCGAGTCCTTTTCCTTTCTGCTCTTTTTGGACTATCTGGGGGATCCAATTTTTCAAATATCGAGAGTTTTTGTTCTGTATTTTTACTTGTTTGTTTGCTAACTGGCGTAGAAACAGGACCTGAAATGATATTAAAATAGGTATTTTTATGATAAAATTACAAATAATGCATCGAAAAATTATGTGAGCTCACTTATAACTTATATACAAATGTAATTATTAAATTGAGATATTATGCCACAATGAATTAGTGAGAGAAATCTCTGTTTTATATTCCAATGACCTTTATAGTTTATGTTTATGTTTCATTATTAACATTACTCCCATGATTTACATTGTTGTTTTGGAAACTTCTATTCTCTACTATTTGGTATTAGCCTGAACTTTTATATGAATTAAGTAAACAAAGTAAATTGAAGAAAATTTAATCAATGACACATACTGTCTTCAGATTGTGATCCAGATTCTGAAATTTTCTTCGGGAGTTTCTTTTCCATCAGCTCTGAGAAGTCAGCTTCAGGTAGGGTAAATTCTGACTCTTTATTTTTGAATGGTAATTTTTCAGAGTCATTCTGCAAGCATATACATGTACAATTCAAAAATTATATTTTCACTTAGGTTTCAAAAAGTTAAGTATAAAATGTTCTTGTATACATTCTACAAATAATACAGTCTCCCTTTATTGCAACATCCCAATTAAGTCCACTAGCCTGTACACTGTTCATCGCACTGGACTGACAATAGAAGTCCAACAAACACTTACCAAGGATTGTAAAGCATACATGGTGTTCAAATGGGTCCAAATCTGTTTAGTTGTTAACTTTTTGTTAACAGCTGCATTCAACTTTTGCTGTAAACAAGCCATGTGGAAATGTCTGTTCACACCTGTAAAAACATTTGAGAATATTTTTTCATAATTATATGTACAAGTGTGCATTTATATTACAAACATTAAAATAATGGTACATATTGAGGTTCAAATGAAGAAGCTAGAGTAACTAACATGTAATTGCCTTTAGATCTATAATATACCATTAATGAAATCAATTTGGGGTTTTCAAAAGGCTAGGAGATATTCCAACATAACATAATCTTTAACACATCATCCTCTGAGCCACTGGAAAGAAACATTCCATAAGCCAATCAACAAGCAATCCTAGATCAAAACACGTTGCTATTAATATGAATCTCTTTTTTCATATAACTATTGCACTATGGTCCTTTGATTGCTTATTTTCTAGGTTTTGCTAGAGGTTACGATATTAGGAATGTGTGTACTCTTAAAACTATTGCTCAAGGTGATTAATCCTTTGTGAAGACAGTAATTGTATTGGAATTGAAGCCAGAAATATGGGAATACAATCAATGGGTCTTCCATATTTAAAACATCTAAATTGTTGAACTTCAATTCGCTATAGCAGCAAAATGGTCTCCTTTTTGACAGTCATAACATAGATAACAGCAATGCTAAAGCGTAGCAAATCCCATTGAACAGCCGTGGTTGCCATTTTTACAAAATCCTTCTACAAAGAGTATAAAAAACCAATAATCGAACTGGAAGGAATACACACTGAGTGTGAGCTCATTATTGTGGGATGACATCAGAGGAAATTACATTCATATAAAGCCATCTGTATTTCAACAATGTACTCTGATTGGAACGTAAACTGAAGACGAAATGAAGTCGAACTAATGCGAATGGAATGGAATGATAGGTTTACTTATAAACAAGAAATATGTTTTAAAAGTAGTAATACGACTGAATGAGATACATACCGACAGGTTTGTGGTTTCTCATAGCGTGAAATAGGGCTACTTCGAGATCGACATCCCATTTTACAAAATTTTCTTCTCCCATTTTTGATTTCAGTTTCGAAGTATGGCGAAAACGTAACTTATAATAAAAAGAATCTTCTGTTAATTTAAAATATTGTATATTGTTTTTTTCATTGAGGTTCAAATAATCATCTTAAATTTATCCTTTACGAGTTTAATTTCTCTGAACAAAGGTAATACGTTGAATAATATAATTTATTTAATCTGATGAACGTGTACATAAAATTTGCTGTCTTTTTCTGGATAGGACCGAAGTTTCGTCTTAAATTATTTCACAAAAACATCAAAATAAATCAGTTCTAGATGATTTAGAAAGATAAATCTAATAATTTGAAATTCTGAATATTTATTTTCCAAATTCATTTGGCTAAAGTATTCAAAACATATTTTTTACTAAAATACTAACAATAGTCTACAATTCAGCGGTAGTTTCCACACGAGGAGGTAAAAACAAAAAGTGAAGTTTTACTATTCATATCGTTTATCCAATTCAAACACCCCTAGGGTGTAAGTTTAGCACAAAATGTCTTTATACTACGAAGAAGAAAATTGGGACGATGAGATTGAGGCATCTCCATCTGAAGTAACCCCAGCGCAAACGTTTGGACGAGGAAGCTCAATGACATTCACAAACTCAAATTTTTCTCAGCCAAAAACATTTGGAAGAGGAAATATGCCAGAAAAAAATGACTATGGTAAACCAAGGACATTTGGCCGTGGTTTAAGAAATGATGATTTTAGTAACAGATCGAATGATGACGGAACTGATTCTTTTGATCGTCCACGTAGAGGCCGTGGAAGGAGGGGTGGATTTGGGGGAGGGGACAGAGATAATGATTGGAGAGGTAGTGATCGAGGAAATAATAATTTTGATCGGAATCAGTCTAGTCGCAATGATGGGTTTGGTCAGTCTAGTCAATCAGAAGGGCGTGAGAGACGAGGCGATCAAGGAGGGAGAGAAAATCTTACAGTCATGTCAGTTCTCAATACTGCAAAAGGAAAAATTATAGGTTTGATAACTATCTTTGTTTTATTAAATCTCAAAACCTGTCAAAGTAGAGTAGATTTCATGACCTGACTGCTAAATGCTCTATAGTTGACGCAACAAAGGTGATGTGGGTTCATTGAAATGTGTGTTCTAACCTCTAGAGGGTAAGTAAGACTCCTAATCTTCAGGTAAATCTTATTTTTCTACCGACGTAGTCAGGCCATGAAATCTACTCAAGTATTATTTATTTATGTGTGTATGAACTTTTAATTCAGAATTGTGACTCAAAGGTCACATCATACCCAAAAGTTTTCTCAAATGGTAGCTTAATCCTAATTTTGAGCAAAACGACTCGGGTGCAAACTAGGGCTGTACCACTAACACCATGGACTTAATATCAAAATACCAGTCAGAACTTCAAGGCCAGGGTGCATGTTCGGAATTTTTCTGCATTCCTCAATTGAGTCACATGTTATTTTTTCAAACAGGAATCACTCCTTCTCCACATTGTCTACATCTTCCAGTTTTGCACAAAGAGTGCACTTATGTGCCTAGAAAAGACTGGTGAGAAGATTTGTTTTGAAAAATGTATAAAAAACGAGAAAATTTAGTGAATTTTCTTGTTTTTCATACAATTTATTAAAACATTCTTCTTTACATTCTTTTCTAGGTACATTCACTCGTTGTGCAAAGTGAGAGATGTAGACACCTTGGGGAAGGAGTGATTCAAATTTGAAAAATAACATGTGACCCTATTCAGGGTTGCAGCAAAATTCCGAACATGCACCCTGACCTTAATATTAAAATACCAGACAGAACTTTGTTTATTATGATTTGAAGGTAAACATTCAAGTTAGGCTGGGCTACCCCGCCCCTTATGACTTTGACTATAAGAGTTTTAATAGTGTCATTAGGGGGGGGGATGTTACTGTTACCATAATAATTTCTTGAATCTTGAGAAAACATTAAAAGTTGAACCTAGGGCTACTTAGGAGTTGATTTCTAATCCAACTTAACCTTAAAGAATTATTCCTCCTGATTGTTAATGATCCCAATTAGCAAATTTCATATGGTAAACAATAAAGCCCCCTGTCAGTCGATCCATCCATTCATCCAGAAAATCACTCAAATACTAGCTGACGGATTTTCTTTATTATTGGTGATTTATATGATGATAATTTTTTTTAAGGAAAAGGTGGATCTAGAATCAGAGAAATCCAAGAAGAAAGTGGGGCCAGGATAAAGGTTTGTACAGTCTGTACATTTTGTACAGTCTTGATATATTACATTTTTTTGCCACAGGAACAGGATGCATGTTTTGCTTGCCTTTGGCTAAGATAAAATATTTGTTTGATTTCTGATTCAGGGCTGTCTCTTTGGTTGAATGGTTAAATTTGATTGGTTTTTCCTGTACCATGTTTTATTCAAATTCTCAAAATGTAAATATAATTGCTTTTCTGATAAGTGAATGTACTTTGTAGGTGCTGGATGATTATGAGTCCTACTTTGAGTCTAAGGTTGAAATACGTGGAGGCGATGAGTCAAGAGAAAAAGCAAAGAAGATTATAGAAGAAATCGTAGAAGAGGCCACAAAGCCTAAAAGTATGTGTTTTTTATTTAAGTTTGTATTGCCACTGGTTCCCTCACAAAACGGTTTTTATTCAACAGGATGTAAAATACCTTCATACATTACCCTCTGAACTAAAAAAGGACCATGTGACATATTGCAAGTGATCTTAGACAGTCATATCTTTCACCATGAGTACTTTCTTGCCATAAATGCAGTGGATTTATTGAGACAATATATATTCTTTCCAGTGAAGCCCCTATGATAGTAAAATATCAATCCAACTCTCTGAAGAGCTATGGATTAGGACCCAAACCTTGGCACTTTTTAAAAAATGTATGGTTTAATTTCTAAAAAGAGGATCTTGTTTTTCTCAATTTAAACATATCAAAAGTTTCTTCTACAACATATTAACAATACCTGAAAAGGAGATGGCTAAAGGAAGGAAGAAAATGCTAAAAAAACATATCCCATGTTATTTTCCATAGGGAAAGCTCATGTTATCAATTGTTTTTGACATAATTTTGCTCATCGAGGAAGAAGTTTAAAAACGTTTTAGACCCCTTGTTATATAAACATTTCATCCGATTATATAATAATGTATAATGATATTTTTATCATCATGGGGACTTCACTTGAAAGTAAACATATTGTTTTAATAAAAACCACTGTATTTATCCCAGAAAGTACTTGTGATAAAAGATATGACTATCTAAAATTGCTTGCAATACGTCACATGGCACTTTGATCATAAGTCGTGCTTTTCACAATTTTCAAAATTATCAACTTGGTGTAAATGATATTTGATCTCTGCAATGCGCATTTACTTCTCAAAGGACTGCGAGTTGTTTGTAGAATGAATCGAGGGAGTTTTTTCATGCATCTTGCTTGTGTTTTTCATCTAAAAAACGATACACTGTAAAACATGTTATTGACTATAAGATTGCTCTGTGTAATCCCCCAAAAAATGATTCCCAGCCCCTTGAAGTTTGAAAGACAAAAATACCTGGCTGTTAATCCATGGATGATCCTTGAAAATGAGAAATAATTTTTTTATTTTTTGGATTATATGGAGCAGTCTTATAGTCAATAAAACATTTTAAAGTGTATTCCTGTTTTTAAGATGAAAAACATAAGCAAAATGCATGAAAAAACTCCCCCAATTTATTCTGCAAACAACTCACGTCCCTTTCCAAATGAGTGCATTGAAACATATCCGATTGCTTCAATGTTGTGAAGATGACTTTCCTTATTACAAATTGTTTATTGTAGCATTGCAAGAGAGTCTCTCTGAAGCATTCCCATGTGACACTGACAAACCTATAGAGCCAACTAGAATAAACTGGAAAGAACTCCGAGAAAACAAAGATAAGAACCGAATGGAGAAATGGAAAGGTAGCCAATAAAACAATATAGTACACCTCTTAATTTACTGGAATATTTTTTGATTATTAAAAATTGAACTACCTTTGTCAAGTTACAGTCTAACAAATTCTGATTTTTGTTTCCTTGTCAACCCTTGTAATTTCGGTTCAAAAGATGTGCCATACTTAAGATGAAATCCTTGATCCACCATACAAAATAATTCAAATAAATTTTTTTACAATTTAATAAATTGGTGATTCTTCATTGCTTGCAGGTTTTCCTCCTATAAAGAAGAATTTTTATATTGAAGGCCCTCACATTGCCAACATGTGTCCAGGGGATGTGGAGATATTTAGGTATATGAATTAAGTGCATTTACCCTTTGGAAGAACTTGACTTCATCTACCCTCTTTATTAAAGTATTCTTTGATTTAACCTGTTTCCAATCAGAATATGGGAAAATAGTTACAAGACATTTTCAGTGTATAAGTACCAATCTAGAATCAAGCTCCTATAACAATGAAAGTTACATTTTTGATCATTAAGATTTTCCCAGAATTGAAATAGCTAGCAAATGGGGATTCAGGGTACAACCTAGAGGCCATCTTTTTCTTATTTTTAAACATATTATTAGCGTTGAATCTACCATTCATGAAATTTTTTGGAACAATAGATATATATTTTCAGAATGGAGAACAACAATATTGTAGTTGTAGATTTGCACAAGGAGAAACAAAGACCAATCCCTAATCCGTGTCCAAGATTTGAAGATACATTTGAACATTATCGTAAGTTGATGTCATTTCTGTTTTAGCAATTTTCACTTCGTCTTTTACAAAGATGTATTTTTAGCATTGTCAACCAAGATTTTGTTATAGTCTCCCAACTTTTTTACGGATGGCAGTGGGTAACAGCGTCTGTAATAAATTACACAGCATCTGTAACAAATGACAGGTGGTGACATTTTGCATGTGAATGCCTTGTTCAAATTTGCTTTCATTTTGAAACATATTTTTGCTTTATTTAGAAGTGAAGAAGAGGTGCAGACCCAACTCTTTATTTTTACAAGTTTTGACTGTTGTATAGCTGAACATATTTGCTGAAATCTATGATATTGCCACATATGATCATAATAACATATTAAATTTACTAAATTGAATTTTCTTTGGTTGTAGCTGAAATCATGGATGAGATACAAAGGGCAGGATTTGAGAAACCATCTCCAATTCAGGTGAAGAAATTGATACTAAATAGCAATACAACTACTTAATACTTGAAGCAGGAAGTTTTTTTTTATCGATATCTATTCATACACGTAATAATGTATATCTTCAATTGCAAAAGCATTGTAGCAGAAAATACAAGAAGCGGGAAGTAACTTTAAAACACATTGATGAGACATATTACACAACAATATTCATTGAAGCAGTATACAATGTATTTTAGACAATCTTTACAATATATATGGCTATATGTGGAGTATTTTATCATATTATATTATATGGTTAATCTGTAACCTCTGTCTTTGAAAACTTCTCTAAAGTAAACACTTTTTATGTCTCATTTTCTTCTCACCCCACTTTAGCCCATTTTATCAGAATATTTTAATACAAACGCTAAACATGAAAAATATTCATTTATGTTGTTCACTGTACCTTGATTTAAGACTGATCCATCATACTGTACAAGTACTGAATAATTCCAAATAAGCATTTTACCATTTTGATAAATGATTCGTTTTAGAGACTCCTAATGCACTGTGGCTTGTATATTGTATATTCAAAGTTTCTAGCTGATATACACAATGAAAAATACAAATGTCTCACTGAATCTACAATTTAATTACAATAACAGGAATGTAGCATAACAGGAAGATACTGTCTTGTTTCATACTTATATGTATTGCATTTTCTCCAGTATTTGACAAAGTAGATTAAGCAATATAGAACTGAGTGTGAAATCTGTTGTATGAAACATAAATGAGACTACCTCATCACAGACCTGGTTTATAACATGCATTTGAACTTCTATTTCAGGCACAGGCCTGGCCTATCATTCTTCAGGGAGAAGACTGCATAGCTATTGCACAGGTATGTATGCTTCTACTTAACTGAGAGACATAGCCCTGTGTGCTGGATCATAGATAGTTCCAAATTACAAAGATGTCCCTAATCATATATAGAATACATGTATAGATTGGGTTGCTTATTTTATCTACTAAGTAACAAAAACATATTGAGATATGCAAAATACTTTATATTCTCTTGTTCTTTTGTAGTTCAATACTTAATCTCAATGCTCAAAGTATACTGAAAGAATCTCAAAGTATACTGAAATTGATTGGCAGAATTAACTTGTCAGTATTATCTTTTTACCATGTTCTTCATGTTTTGGTTATAGCATATTTTAAGCCTATTCTTCCCGAATGTCAGTATTAGCGTATCTTTTAAGCATGTTCTTCCCGATTGTCAATATTAGCTTATCTTTTAAGCATGTTCTTTCCGATTGTCAGTATTAGCTTATCTTTTAAGCATATTCTTCTCGATTGTCAATATTAGCGTATCTTTTAAGCATGTTCTTCCCGATTGTCAGTATAAGCTCATCTTTTAGGCATGTTCTTCTTGATTGTCAGTATTAGCTTATCTTTTAAGCCTGTTCTTCTCGATTGTCAGTATTAGCTTATCTTTTAAGCCTGTTCTTCTCGATTGTCAGTATTAGCTTGTCTTTTAAGCATGTTCTTCTCGATTGTCAGTATTAGCTTATCTTTTAAGCCTGTTCTTCTCGATTGTCAGTATTAGCTTATCTTTTAAGCCTGTTCTTCTCGATTGTCAGTATTAGCTTATCTTTTAAGCCTGTTCTTCTCGATTGTCAGTATTAGCTTGTCTTTTAAGCATGTTCTTCTCGATTGTCAGTATTAGCTTATCTTTTAGGCATGTTCTTCTTGATTGTCAGTATTAGCTTATCTTTTAAGCCTGTTTTTTTCGATTGTCAGTATTAGCTTATCTTTTAAGCCTGTTCTTCTCGATTGTCAGTAGCTCATCTTTAAGCCTGTTCTTCTCGATTGTCAGTATTAGCTTGTCTTTTAAGTCTGTTCTTACCAAGTTCAATCCTCAGATCTCTCCAGAAGTTGTTCTGCGCTTTTGCATTTCCTTCTCTCCACTTGAGGCAGACATTGTGTTTCACAATCATTTGCAACTCATGTGACATCTCCGATCTGGGTATATCCTCCATAAGAAGAACAATAAACATCATCTTATGGTCAACTACTAACTTCTCCAATGCCATATGGAGCTCAATTATGTTCAGCATTGCATCCATCCAGGCTCTTGTTACCACAAATATGATCTTACGACTGTTTATTAAATGTTCACCCATGGAGGTGAACAGGGATTGGCCGAATTCAAACCTCTCATAGTATGTCATTCGGAATTGGATTTTATCCCCTGTTTCCATTTTATGTATGAGTTGGTTTTCTACCCATCTGATGGAATCGGGATGGTAACTTACAAATGCGTCATGTTCACCTTCCAATGGAACATATCCATCCTTATGTGCTGCCTTATAAACAATATACTTATACTCAATGTCTTTCCAGTAGACCTTTAGCACTATGAGTGCAACTGTGGTAATTAGCACAAGTGAACCTGAAACACATGCAGCTGTTGTATAGAACACAGTAGATTTACATTCCATCCATGTGGTTCTGTAGGCGGTAATACTTACATTCCGCCGTCTATCTGGAAGGAAGCAACGCTCATCATCATTCCTAGAATATTGTAGATTCTTCTCTTGAGACATAAGATATGCCTTGAAAGGATCTAGGTCACAGTTACAACTGAACTGGTTTCGTTTGAACCAAAGTTTTATTCTAGTATCATATCGATATGGAGGAAGAGATAGTATGTTTTGAAAGTTTGATGGGTCAATGTTATAAACTGCATTTTCTGAAAGGTCAATCTGTAATAGATTTTTTAGATGATTGAAGAGGCCAGCTTGTATGAAAGTTAAACTGTTTCTACTCAGGTTTATATACTCAACTTGTAATGTATTCTCAAACATACAGTTGGGAATATGTGAAAGAAAGTTCATTCGTAGGTCAATTCTATAAACCTCAGAAGCATTTGTAAGAAGCTGACAAATTTCAAGGTCTGTGTACTTAAATAAAAGATCGCCAGAGAAATCAAGTTCCCCAATTTGAACTTTCCCCAACACTTCAATAGATTGCTCTCTGTAGATTTCAAATGAATCATCGCTGATATCAGTCAAACGCATTTCCCGAAGTTGGAGAAGTTTCTGAAATAGAAATGTAATGCGGGTCTGTCCTAATCCTTTTAGCCTCAAGAATCTCAGTTTAGAGTTTTTATTTAGATCAATTACTGTTCTCTCTGGAGGGGGGTTCACCATTGTTTCAATGTTGCTTATTTCTAATAGATCTAGGTTTTTCAAGGATAGTAGTGCTTCAGGGCTTATATACATGAAGTTTGATATGTAGAGAAATCGAAGATGTGGTACATGTTTGAATGCATCAGATCTGATTGAAAATATACTGTTACTTGCCAGGGACAGATAAGTCAATGATGAGTACTGAAACGGAGCCAAAAATGAACTGTTCATATTTTCTACCACCAATCCACATGCTGAAACATCAAATGAATCAACAGAAACATGACCAATATCAATGTCTGATAAGATTTGTTTGATATTATCTGATCCTAAGATGTAGTTCTCATTAAGTAGAATTCCCTCTATGTGTCTTGTGTGTCTGAATGCACCTTGCTCAATACTTGATATTCTGTTACTACTCAGGGTCAGTAGGAGCTCAGGATTAGCAGCAAATTTTATCATTGCATTGTTTGTGACCTTGGTTATCTTATTGTTTGACAGTGTTATGTTCATAGTGCCTCTCCGTATAACAGTTCCTCGAAAGTCAAGACTTGCGATTTTGTTATTTGATAAGTCAATTGATTCTAGGCCAGATGTTGTTTCAAATAGGAAATCTGGTATTTTCGTCATATTTGTGTCTCGTATTGTTAGTGACATAAGTTGACTAAGTGGTTTGAATAGTTCTCTGACATCATCCAGATATGTATAGTCACCTAATGTTAGCCTAGACAACATGCGAAAATCTTTAAATGTGTCAACTTCTAGATGTTGTACCTTGTCAAATGCCAACATCCCTAGCATTGTATTCACAGGTTGAAAGGTATCTGGGCCAATATTGTTAATTGTAGCGCAGTTTGGCATCAAGTTTAGATTGAGGAATAACGTGGGTCCTTTGAAAGCACCTGACTCAATATGGTTGATCTTGCAGCAATGTAAAGTCAGGCTACTGAGGAACTCCATGTGCTGGAATGTGCCATATTTGATGGTTGGAAAATTGAAATTATTCAATTGAAGTGATGTTGTGTCATTTGGGATCATATTGAGAATCTCAGCCAAGGTATGGTTTTTGTTCTTTGGGGCATTACATTCGATAGTCTTTAAGATGATGGTACTTGAGGAGAACCCTTTACAATATTGTGGTATATTCTGTAGAGGCCCATCTGCTTTGCCTACTTGAAGTATACTAGATAGTGTGATAACACTAACAATGCACAGGTTCAACATGGTGATAGCTTTCAGGTGGAAATAACTCTGGTTTTATTTTATAGATGTCAGTGCAGTACTTTGTTAGCCTTATTTAAAAAAGTCTCATGAATACATCCTGCCTTTTTATGTTTTTACTGACTCATATTATGTTTTGTTGCATCCTGGTTCAATTCTCCTTGTCTCATACCTGCAAATAAAAGACATACTATGTCATATTTTTGTCCATCAGAGTTTCATTTTCAATTGAGTTTCATATCTCACACAGACACATAGGGCATATACGTGTGGCTGGATAATGTAACTTGATATCCTAAGGTAGAAACAGCTCCCCGTATTAATCTGACAGGAACTGGTATCTTTATCCTGGCTAGAACCACAAACAGTTCAAGTCAACACAGTCCTTTTATCGAGTTAGTATCACCCTAGTAATCAACTCTCTGGTGTACTAGTTAGCATAAGTTGGCTTCTGTCACCGCAAGCTGGGCTTGAACCCAAGACCTTGGAGTCCCAAAGTGCTAACCTTTACTCCACAAAAGCGAAGACTATGCAGTTCTCTCACAGAAAAAACACTTGCCAAACAGACCTGTCATTTTGTAATATGTCCGGTCTTTAATTAATTAATTAATTGCAATAGAATTTGATTACTTATTTTAATAAAAGTACGACGTTTCACTCTTGAAATTAATAAGTCTCGTAAGATATCTTGTAAAATAGTCACTAATTGGATCAACATCATCTCAAATATGAAGAAGTTGTAATTTGATTGATTTTTTAATCAGACAATAAAAACATGCGTCATGATTGCAGGAAGAATTCAGACTGGTATAGTGTAGAAGCAAAATTGAAATAAAGCCATATAAAAGAAGAAGCCACAATGTGTTGAAGTCTTGGGCTTATATTCTTTTCACACATTGCAAAATATTTTCTACAAAATCACCAAAAAGAACATATTTTCAATCAAACTTTTTTCAAGGGTCAGGTTGGCAAAGTATCAATTTTAATCCGTAGAGTCCAGTTGTCACAACCATTAATCAAGTGACCTTGAATACGGTTGTTGGTTATATAATGCAAATTATATGTTATGTTCTGGTGTGAAAAAGCAATGATCCGCAATTTATTTATTTACTTTTATCAGTTTATATTATCGAATTTGGGAAAGGTTAACTTCCAATAGACCATTTTTGATCAGAATATTCAAGTTTTTGTTTATGGATACTTTGCACACAAACTTTTAAACTGAAGTTCAATATGAATTGTCTAATCTTTTTGCCAGATAAAGCCTCAACCGGAATCTTTCCAAATACTTACAAAAATAAGTTTTTCATTTGAGAAAAGAGGAATATATTTTGTAGACAAGAATTTTGAAGATCAATATCTATAGTACTACAAGTCATAGATCAAAGATTAAATTCAAGTATAGTAGATACGAGTAAAATTATGTGAATGTTTATTTCTGTACGTTTTCATTTAGATAGTCCTGAATTATCTACAACCCTATGCACTTTTTGTACATTTTGAACTTTGATGTTTGTTTTGCATATATTTTTATCAATATAAAGTAGTATGTGCCTTAAATAGTTGAGACAATGAGACTGTGATGATTGTTAAAAGGAAAGTATATTGTGCAGTACAATGACAACAATAATGTTAGACAATAAACCAGGAAGTTATCTGCCACTATTCATTATCTGAGACTAATTTCGGAAATGAGATAATAGTGAAGTCATTTTTCAAGTTATTCAAACTTATGAAGTCATGTTTTATTTTTAATGCCCTTTATGATATTTAACAAAACAAACCTTGACAGAGATATAGTACAGCTGTCCATCTGTACCTGTTCGTCCATCCGTTCGTGTGTCCGGGCAATAACTCAAATACCGGTTGACAGATTTCATTCAAATTTTATAGGCTTATGCCTTATGGGTGTAGGACCTCTGCTCGAGAAGGAATTTTCAATATGGCCGCTAAATTCAAAATGGCGGCCATTTTTTGGAAAAATATAATCTTTGATAACTGAAATACTAGTGGATGGATTTGGTTCAAATTTTATATGCTGTTGCCTGGGTACAAAAGAGCCTTGCTCAAGAAGACATTTCCAAGATGGCCACCATATTTCAAAATGGCGGCTATTTTTCGTAAAAAAAACTTTATCTTTGATAACTCAAATACCATTGAATGGATTTGGTTCAAAATTTCATGCTGATGCTTAGGGACATAGGAACTCTGCTCAAGAAGGGATTTTCAAGATGGCAGCTAAATTTCAAATCATTTTTCATAAAAGAACGCACCTTTTGATAACTCAAATACCAGTTGATGGATTTGGTTCAGATTCAATATGCTGATGCCTAGAGACAAAGAAGTTCTGCTCAAGAAGACATTTTCAAGATGGCCACTGAATTTCAAAATGGCCGCCATTTTTCGTAAAAAAAACGTAATCATTGATAACTCAAATACCAGTTGATGGATTTGGTCCCAATTTTATTGTATTTGTCCATATTTGATATGTGAATACTCACAAGCATGGCACACTCTTGGCAATAGACGACTTTGATTGGACTTTCATGCATAGGTCGAAAATAGAATCATCAGAGAAGGTTTTAAACCATGAAATTGACTCTAAAGCCAGAAGATTTTTTGAACCATTTTATCGGCTCTGAAGTACAGTGTGCTTTTAATTATTGGATTTGTTCATATATACCTTTATCTTATGCAAATCATATTTATATATTTAATAGCAATACATATTTTAGTTGAATAAATACCTTACATTGAAGAATCTTGGAATATCATTTGGAGTTTCAGCTTCAAAATATAGCTTTGTGTGAAAGAACATTTATCATGCATCTGATCATTCAGTGAACAAATACAAATTGCATTCAAAATATATAGCCTCATAAGATAGTGGGTTCAACAAGGAAGTATTTCATTTGCAGAAATAGACAGTGTTTTTCTGATGTTCTGTAATTCCCATGAGTCATAACAAGATAAAATGTTTCTTATTAGGATGCTTTATGTGAGTCATGGCAAGAAATGTCAACTCATTGTAGGAAGTAGATTTCTGCACATGCCAAATATGGTAGATTTACTACCTCAACAGTTAGTTTTCGAAAATAACACTTTATTGTGATATTTTGATCAATGTAAGCATATTCGTTATACCTTTGTTTATCTTGATCCATATTAACAAGCTATGATATTTAAATCAACATGCCAGAAATTAACATAATATTATTCGAAGCATGTTTCGAAAACTTAGTAACCGCTATTTTTAGTTTGTCGATTTGACCAATCAGGACGATATGTCTTCTGAATACAGATTTACATGGTAGACATATGTCTTCTTTGAACCCTGGGGTCATTCCCCCTTGCACTTATATATATGCTCTAAGTACAATTGCAGTTCATTTGGATGAAATAACTAAAATTGTTCTGTGGCAATTTTACAAGGATCCTAAAGGTCCAGCAAAGTTGAAAGCCACATGTTATTTCTTGATTGACGACTGTTTTCAGCTCAAAAAGTTGGAATCTTGAAAAATATACTTTCAGAACCATTCTTCTCTCAAAGAAGTTTTAGATCTCTTGTATTATGATCTAACAATGCCATAAAATGGAGAAAGGATAATTTCTATAGCACATTCAAAGTAATTATCTTACATAACTGACTTAACTGACCTTAAGAAAGTCATTGAAGATTGACTCTCAACTTGAATCAATTTCTCACCTTTCATATGAATGTGCAAGATTGTTCTCATAAATATTTTATCTATAAAGATGTTAATAGTTAACATTTTTATATTTTCCAGACTGGTACAGGAAAGACTCTGGCATTCCTCTTGCCTGGTATGATCCATATAGACAGACAAACAACGTAAGCGTCATATACTTTTCATGAAATCCTTCATCAAAAACAGAGGGAATGAAATTTAAAGTGATGTATTCTTGTTCCTTTATATTGTTGTTCTATTTTCGTATTTGTAAGTTATGTAATTTCATACCTCCCAGAATTTCGTTATGTGTTTTAATTTTGCATAATTTTGAATTTCTAGAAATGCCCCATAATTCTTTTATCAGCATATTATTTTTACAAAGAATATCTAATCTGATGTTTCACTTCATTGTCTCCATCATTATTAGTAAAATAAATATTGTCTAAACTTAGCAAAAACCTTTAAAAAAGTTGAAAATTTTGTATTATCATCCATACAGGAAATGGCTAATGGCAGTGCATATGATGAGATGGGGTTGATGGTGAGATAGGTCGATGCTATCACAAAATTTAAGAAGGCTTTTTTTCATTTGAAATATGGAATTTTGGGAAATTTTCGTTTGCTTAATTTGCTGCATTATTTTCATTTTTCCAGCATAATTTTGTTTTTCCTGCATAATTCTGGGAGGTATGAGCAAGGTGTGTGTGCTATTGATGTTAAAGTGTTGGTCATCATGTACAATCATGGACATCTGTGCATGCATTCTATTTCCAGGCCAAGATCTGAGCGAACAGGTCCTAACATGCTGGTACTCTCCCCTACCAGAGAGCTGGCGCTTCAGATTGAAGAGGAGGTTAAGAAATATCACTATAGAGGCATTAGATCGTGAGTTCAGTGTTCTGTGTAAATGTATTCACCTAGCTTGCTCACAAGGCTTATTGACTGAGACACAGTATGTCACACTCTTTCCATACTTTGTGGCACTCTAAAACAGTCAGCTAGAACACATTGTTCTTGATTGTGAAATATCCCCTAAATATACTGATTTTATGTGATTCTTATTTTCATTGGAGTTATGGACCAAGGGACCAATAAGAATAGAAGTCAAGCTCAAAACAAAATTTTCAAAGTTTTTTTCACAATGATTTTCAATATCTCATAACTGATTTTATTCAGCCAGTCAGATAATTGTATATTGCTAGAGAATACAAAATAGCTAGGCTGTAAACTGCATATTGATGCTCAACTTATAAAAATTGCCTTCTTTGAATGAATGTCAAATGTAACATGTTTCATGAAAATGCATGTCAGTTGAAATGTATGTCAATTGAAGATCCTAATTCCCTGCTTGTAGGTGTTGTGTATATGGAGGTGGCAATAGACGGGAACAGTGCACTACTGTTCAGAGAGGTGTTGAGATCATCATAGCAACGCCAGGACGTCTCAATGACCTTTGTATGAATGGAATCGTGGATGTAAGGAGCGTCACATATTTGGTAAGATATCCACATCCTATTGCAAATACAGAAAATACAGAGTCACTATTTTACTTTGATATTCTCCAATTTGGCTGGTCTTTCCAAACCAATTTTCTTTTTGGTTTGTAACATCCTCCACCAGTCGAAAAATCTTAGAATAACCCAGAAATATTGTGAACTTCAGTCTTTATAATGATCTACAACTATGAGGAGCCTTTGTAGGATACCATTCTACTTCATCTACAGTTTTACTACTGATAACACCTTTATGACCATTAACTAAGCTTTTGACACTTTAGTGTTGTCAGCTGTATTCAGGTGACAGTGCAAGTTGATACCAAATCATATTGTGTAGATGTTTTATACTGTACATTTTTCTTTAATAGGAATCAAGGAATTACTCATATTCAATAAATATGAGATGGGCCAAAAATGCAACTTTTTGATAAAAAATGCTATAACTTTTTGATTTTTGATACAAAATCATAATTTGCTTGTCAAGTGAAATCGAAGTTGCAATCTAACCATGCATTATGAATTGTACACTTATACTTGAATAAGATGTCACCAGCAGGCATAATTCTGTAGCAGCCCAGACACATAGCTATAGAACAGTACAGTTGATTATCCCATCGAACGAAGATCGGAGGGATATAGGGAACGCCTCTGTCCGTCCGTACGTCCATCCGTCCGTCCGTCTGGGCAATAACTCAAATACCGTTGGCCCGATTTTATTCATATTTTGTACACATATACCCTATGGGGGTAGAAGTTCTGCTCGAAAGCCGATTTTTAAAATGGCCGCTCATTTAAAAATGGCGGCCATTTTAGTGCCGATTTTACAGTAATTTAGGTGCAATATGTAAAACTGTTATAGCAATATGTTTTAAATGTAAAAAAAATTATATAGGACATTAATAAAGCTAGAAATGTAGATATCTAAAAAAGCACATGGCAGCCATCTTGAAAAATGGCGGCCTTTACTCGTTATTTTACGATTTTTGCTGTAACTCGAAAAGTAGTGGAGCGATTTTGTTCATATTTGGTATGTGAATACTATAAGCATGGCACACTGTCTAATGACACTTTTGGTAGAAGGCAGCCATTTTGAAAAATGGCCGCCATTTTAACCTATTTTACTAAAACTCGAAAAGTAGTAGAGTGATTTTGTTCATTATTTGGTATGTGAATACGTATAAGCATGGCACACTGTCTAATGACACTTTTGGTAGAGGGCGGTCATTTTTCAAAATGGCCGCCATTTTAACGTATTTTACTACAACTCGAAAAGTAGTGGAGCGATTTTGTTCATATTCGGTATGTGAATACTGTAAGCATGGCACACTGTCTAATGACACTTTTTGTAGAAGGTGCCCATTTTGAAAAATGTTCGATGGGATTCACTACGCTTTGGCGTTGCTGTTGTTCTGGTTTTATTATGTCACCACCAAAAGTGTTGACATATTGTTATGGTCTCCGTTTTTTTGCGACGGCGGTTGGTGGTTGGAGGTTGGCGTCCGGTGTTTGTAACAATTTCTTACAACTTCCTATGACTTAACAAATACTGTTTAGACTGACTTCAATTTTTTTCTAAATCATCTACTTGTTCTCAGAAGTTCAAATCTGACTTTAGATTTGACATTTGACCTTCAATGACCTTCTCAAGGTCAAAAAGGTCTTTTGTCAACTTGCTTCACATTGACTAAATTTTTTTTCAAAATCATCTACATGTTCTCAGAAATTCAAATCTGACTTTAGATTTGACTTAAGATTTGACATTTGACCTTCAATGACCTTCTCAAAGTCAAAAAAGGTCAAAAAGGTCTTTTTTCAACTTGCTTCAAATTGACTAAAAAATTTTTTCAAAATCATCTACATGTTCTCAGAAATTCAAATCTGACTTTACATTTGACCTTCAATGACCTTCTCAAGGTCAAAAAAGGTCAAAAAGGTCTGTTTTCAACTTGCTTCAAATTGACTAAAAAAAATTTCAAAATCATCTACTTGTACTCAGAAATTCAAATCTGACTTTAGATTTGACTTAAGATTTGACATTTGACCTTCAATGACCTTCTCAAAGTCAAAAAAGGTCAAAAAGGTCTTTTTTCAACTTGCTTCAAATTGACTAAATTTTTTTTTTCAAAAATCATCTACATGTTCTCAGAAATTCAAATCTGACTTTACATTTGACATTTGACCTTCAATGACCTTCTCAATGTCAAAAAAGGTCAAAAAGGTATTTTTTCATCTTGACATTTGACCTTCAATGACCTTCTCAGTGTCAAAAAAAAGTCAAAGAGGTATTTTTTCAACTTGCTTCAGATTGAACAATTTCTTTTTTCAAAATCATCTACAAGATCCCAGAAGCTCAAATCTTCTAAAACCTTCTTAAGGTCAAAAGGTATTTTCCAACTTGCTTTAAATTGACCAAATTGTTTTAGGTGGTGACATTTTGTCATGTTAATGCCTTGTCACAGCCTTACTGCTGTCTAACATATGTAAAACATTCTAGAATTTATTAGTTTATGGGCATGCTGGGTAGATTTTAAGGCAGTCAAATAGTTTTTTCAGTCATAAAATTTAGCATGAAAAAAGATTTCATGGATTGATTAGAAATTTTCCCTCTCTGGATACTCACTACTCATCAGATGTAATTTAGAATTTGTACAGATGTTTGATGATATCAAGTTCTACAGCTGATTAGCTATTAGGTGGCCATCTTTAATTATGATATCCAATTTGGAATTCTCAAAAATAAATAAATACATATTAGTTCTCTATATACTTCGTTTCTTCTCCAGTCCTCTGTATATAATCATCAAGCTCCCAAGCTGAATTTTTCAAATGGTTCTCATGGTATGAACGTTAAAACAACCATGTATTTATAACCTCTAATCCTGTTCCTGGTATTTGCTTTTTGGAATTATCATAAATGATTTTATTAATTTTCTTGATGTTAAGTGGGTGTCTCATTGTTTAATCAGTATGTTTGTTTTATAATATGAGTTCCTTCTATTTGTATAATATCTATATTCAGCTCTATTTTGTGTGGAAAACATTAACTTTGAGATCTACTTTGTATGTAAATGTAATGCTATAAGAATCTTTTTGTGTTTGTGTTTTAAAACTTGTGGAGGTGGTCCTAGGTTTAATTTCTGTTTGGACAAGTCATTGCATTCGTGAAAGTGATACTTCGCTGAGTAGTTCACAGCCCTATGAAGGCTTTTATGTGCTTTATGTATATGTATCAGTACACAACAAAGGTTGACTTGTCCATATTGGCTGTTAAATTAAATCCTTTTTTTAATTTTATTAATTTTATTTTTATTGAATTCAATCATGAAACTGTAAATCGAGGTACAGTATACAGTGAGGGGTATACTTTTTACAGTCAACCAAATAATTGTACCTCTAGCAATTTTAGTCTAGTCTAGTTGATCACCAATATGTTATTGTTGTTCTGGAAGAATTGTCTTCTTACAGGTGCTAGATGAGGCTGATCGTATGTTGGACATGGGCTTTGAACCTCAAATTATGAAGATCCTGCTTGATATCAGGCCAGACAGGCAAACCATCATGACAAGGTAAGTTAATACTATTAGTAGTTTTGGGCTCACACAGTGAGCCTATGGGATCGACCAGGCATCCGTCCGTCCGTCCGTTGGTCCGTCCGTCCGTCAACATTGGCCGCACTGCTATTCGGAGTGAGTCATATCCACATTCATTTTATGCATATCCATAATGCCTATTTGACCTATCATTGCCATTTCCCAAGTTCGCCCGGTTTCCGAGAATTTGCTGATTTTGACATCAATGAAAATCAGGATATACATGTACATTCCTCTGAAGGTTCTACACTGTGTGAGCACAGGACCGTGGGTCCTTTTTATTTGCTACTAATATTGCAGTGTAGGAAATTACTTGCATCACCTTTTCCTAAATGTTGTATATCTTGAATGCACTGGAAATAAGTTTTGAAAAAATCAATTTTTAAAAAAGAAAAGAATGATTTTCAATACCCCAATATGGGGTATAGCATGCTTCTTCATTGTATCAGAACGTGGAACAGGAAGGGAACAGATTAGGTAGCACATTAGGGAGGGAACAGATTAGGTAGCACATTAGGGAGGGAACAGATCAGCTAGCACATTAGGGAGGGAACAGATTAGACAGCACATTAGGGAGGGAACAGATTAGGTAGCACATTAGGGAGGGAACAGATTAGATAGCACATTAGGGAGTGAACAGATTAGGTAGCACATTAGGGAGGGAACAGATTAGGTAGCACATTAGGGAGGGAACAGATTAGATAGCACATTAGGGAGGGAACAGATTAGGTAGCACATTAGGGAGGGAACAGATTAGGTAGCACATTAGGAGGGAACAGATTAGGTAGCACATTAGGGAGGGAACAGATTAGATAGCACATTAGGGAGGGAACAGATTAGGTAGCACATTAGGGAGGGAACAGATTAGGTAGCACATTAGGGGGGAACAGATTAGGTATCACATTAGGGAGGGAACAGATTAGGTAGCACATTAGGGAGGGAACAGATTAGGTAGCACATTAGGGAGGGAACAGGACATGGCACTTTTGTACTCATCACCCTATAAGATCATATGCTGATTCTGTCCAAAGATCAAAAAATTGAAATATCTTTGTTGTATATTTTTCAAGTTATAATATGTATACTTATTTTAGTAGAATATATCAGATATAATGTTAATGCTAACATTATAATTATTGTTCTGCTATCTTAGTAAATCCACAAGTCCATTCTGAAAATATTCCATATGGAAAGCCTGTATTCTATTCTATTTTATCTTTTTTTCTGTCCCATCCATACTTGTTACGATACTACTTTTATAACAAGCTGAATCACTTAGGACCTTCTTTACTCAAATGATAAATTAGCTTATATTTTTCAATTCAATCAATTTTATTGTATCAGTTAATGCAAGCTGTGTCAGTCTACTATTATGTGGATGAATAAAACTGCATTAAGCTTGTTATATAATTGATGATAATGTAAAAATAAAGCATTCTGCTTTCTCGAGTCTCTTCAGTTTCATAAATCAAGCATGAATGACTTATTTGTCAATGCAGAAGTAAAAACTTAGTGAATAAGTGAAACATGACTAAAGTCTGTGGTGACAAATCGGATGTCCTTGGCACAAGAATGCAATTTGTATATTCACAATTTTTATATGAATTAAACATGTTGTCGCCTTGACATGATTAAGCAATTAGACATGGATTTAAACACATTCATTTGAGGAGAACACTTACATTTATATCCTGCATCAAATGTTAAAGGTATGACCTGCCATAGAAGAGTTGCATGCATTTAATCTATTCATCCCTTGCTACTATGTTCTTGAGATACTCATTTGATCAGTTAATGTATTTAACGCGTTTGGAGGAATATGCTTAGAAAACACTAAGAATGTATTAGCAAATTGGTGCAATGGGTACGAAATACAAAAATCTGATAGTGCACTTTGGTTCATCATGAGGAAAGGGAATAAACTGAAAATCAAGCGTCTGCTTCATTCCAGTGGAATGACAGAATCAAAGTCCATTCAGCCTCATTGTGTCATTACCAGACATATTGTTACTTATGTACGGTGTTCAGAACTCCGGTGTTCAGAACTCTGTGGGACAGAATATCAGTGACTATTATCAAATAGAATTATAATTTTAAGTAACTAAGGTAAACAATTTGACATTCAAGTTGGTTATATGATGATCACACTTTTAAAAGTTTTAACCTCCATTTGGTATATCTTAGATCATGAAAATGACTGTTAATTGAATATACAATAAAACCTGTCTTATTGAACACCTCTCTCTAGTGAACACCTTTCTCTGGTGGACACCTTCTTCCTCTGCACATAATCTACTGACTTCTCTATAAATTACCCTCTCTGTAGTGAACGCCTGGCAAAGAAATGTTATATAGGTTTTCCTGTATTGGATATAATATGTCAGAGCATAGCTGTGCATACACATAATTGGAAGTTATAATGTTGATATATTTAAAAATGATTTATTATACTTCACCAAAGTAGTCGCTAAATTAATGAAGGGAGTAGTATATGGCGTCCATTTCGACCCCCTACCGGCACCGGTACTTACACTTACACCGGAAGTTACACTTACACCGGAAGTGACGTCATAGGTCACGTGTTCCACGTTCCACCGGAAATGACGCAATGTGCACTGGGAGTAACATAACTGGTCAAAGGTTACTGATAATTGATATGAGAGGAGTTAACTGATAAGATAATCAAACAAACTGGTCAAAGGTTACTGATAACTGATAAGAGAGAGCTCAATTGATAAGATAATCAAACAAACACTGTTAAGGTAACCTGGTGACTATGTGATAAGCTATCTTGTCTACTTCATGGATGTTTCATTGTTATAGGTCAAAGGTGAATAACAAACTGATAAAACAGTAAAAAAGATAACTGCAGAACCATTTCAACCAAACAGGTTTTAACTTGCAGAATTATGTTAACCAATCAGAGTAGAGTATATTTTAACCAATCAGATTTCGAGATGCAGAATCATTTTAACCAATCAGGAAACAGTATGTATGGACTGTTTTAACCAATCGGGGACAGTATATTTTCATCCAATCAGAAAACAGCAAAATCAACCAATCAGAGAAATGTTCCACCAGTAAACCAGTTCAGACCAGATTTGAAACTATATAACCAGCATTAACCAATCAGGTTCTAACTTATTTTAACCAATCAGAGTACAGTATGTTTCCACCAATCAAGTTTTGACTTTAAGAATTATTTTAACCAATCAGGTTTTGATTATTCTAACCAATCATATTATGACTTGCAGAATTATGTTAACCAATCAGAGTACAGTATGGTAGAAATTTGACGAATTAGAGATATGTTCCACCACTAAACCAGTTCAGACCCGTATCAAAGTATCAAAATTATAAATGCCAGTTCAGACCGGTATTGAAGTTTTATAACCAAAAAGTCTCCTGAGTTATTTAAGAATATTTTTTAAATTGTCATTGTTGATCAATTTCTGCTTATTTTTTCACCAAACAGTCACTTGTTTCTTATTTCCGAGTCATTTTAGAATATTTTTCCAATCTTCACGCTTGAGTAATTTTTGCTTATTTCTTGAGTTTGAGGTATTTAATCACCAAATGGACACTGTATTCTTACTCCCGATACATTTAAGAGATTTTTTACAATTTTTTCGCTTGAGTGATTTTTGGTGATTCCTGGAGTTTGAGGCATTCTTTTACCAAATGATCACTTGATTCTTACTCCTGGGTCATTTTAAAGTATTTTTTTAAGTGTCACGTTTGGGCGATTTCAGTAACTGTTGATCGATTTCTGCTAATTTTTGGAGTTTAAGGTATTTTCACAAAATAGACACCCACCCACTATACAAAATAACACCCTTTAATAGGCATATGTTAATTTAACATGCCACTGATAAAAATATAAACCCCTACAAAATAAATAAAAAATGCTAACGTTAACAGTTTTACAGCAGAACATTTTCGACCAATCAAAGTGTATATGCAAATGAGCTGCAGAAGCATTTCAATCAATCAGATCAGATTTTTGCACTCTTTGACCCCACCGCCACCGCCGCCGCCGCCGCCGCCGCCACCGCCGCCGCCGCCGCCGCCACCGCCGCCGCCGCCGCCACCGCCACCACCGCCACCCCCGCCGCCACCTTTTGTGCCTTTATCATATTTTATTCAACAGAGGGATGTATTAAAACTATATAAGTGAAAAGCAGGCTTGATTCATTCATTCCAATGATTCCTTTGACCACACCTATAATGGAAATGTGATGAATAGACTTTTTAAGAAACCTAAGAAAAAGAGGGATGTTATGGTTTATTCTGGCCCACCTGGAAAACGCCAACGCAGACAGTGATCATTAACAATGGACTATGAAATAATTTGTATAAATGACAATATGTATATTAAATAAACAACTAAAGCACTAAAATGCATTTTACTGTTATTGTTGGGTTGTTGTTGATAGTGGCGGCGGTGGCGGCGGCGGCGGCGGCGGTGGCGGCGGCGGCGGCGGTGGCGGCGGCGGCGGCGGTGGCGGCGGCGGCGGCGGTGGCGGCGGCGGTGGCGGCGGCGGCGGCGGTGGCGGCGGCGGTGGCGGCGGCGGCGGCGGTGGCGGCGGCGGTGGGGTCAAAGAGTGCAAAAATCTGATCTGATTGATTGAAATGCTTCTGCAGCTCATTTGCATATACACTTTGATTGGTCGAAAATGTTCTGCTGTAAAACTGTTAACGTTAGCATTTTTTATTTATTTTGTAGGGGTTTATATTTTTATCAGTGGCATGTTAAATTAACATATGCCTATTAAAGGGTGTTATTTTGTATAGTGGGTGGGTGTCTATTTTGTGAAAATACCTTAAACTCCAAAAATTAGCAGAAATCGATCAACAGTTACTGAAATCGCCCAAACGTGACACTTAAAAAAATACTTTAAAATGACCCAGGAGTAAGAATCAAGTGATCATTTGGTAAAAGAATGCCTCAAACTCCAGGAATCACCAAAAATCACTCAAGCGAAAAAATTGTAAAAAATCTCTTAAATGTATCGGGAGTAAGAATACAGTGTCCATTTGGTGATTAAATACCTCAAACTCAAGAAATAAGCAAAAATTACTCAAGCGTGAAGATTGGAAAAATATTCTAAAATGACTCGGAAATAAGAAACAAGTGACTGTTTGGTGAAAAAATAAGCAGAAATTGATCAACAATGACAATTTAAAAAATATTCTTAAATAACTCAGGAGACTTTTTGGTTATAAAACTTCAATACCGGTCTGAACTGGCATTTATAATTTTGATACTTTGATACGGGTCTGAACTGGTTTAGTGGTGGAACATATCTCTAATTCGTCAAATTTCTACCATACTGTACTCTGATTGGTTAACATAATTCTGCAAGTCATAATATGATTGGTTAGAATAATCAAAACCTGATTGGTTAAAATAATTCTTAAAGTCAAAACTTGATTGGTGGAAACATACTGTACTCTGATTGGTTAAAATAAGTTAGAACCTGATTGGTTAATGCTGGTTATATAGTTTCAAATCTGGTCTGAACTGGTTTACTGGTGGAACATTTCTCTGATTGGTTGATTTTGCTGTTTTCTGATTGGATGAAAATATACTGTCCCCGATTGGTTAAAACAGTCCATACATACTGTTTCCTGATTGGTTAAAATGATTCTGCATCTCGAAATCTGATTGGTTAAAATATACTCTACTCTGATTGGTTAACATAATTCTGCAAGTTAAAACCTGTTTGGTTGAAATGGTTCTGCAGTTATCTTTTTTACTGTTTTATCAGTTTGTTATTCACCTTTGACCTATAACAATGAAACATCCATGAAGTAGACAAGATAGCTTATCACATAGTCACCAGGTTACCTTAACAGTGTTTGTTTGATTATCTTATCAATTGAGCTCTCTCTTATCAGTTATCAGTAACCTTTGACCAGTTTGTTTGATTATCTTATCAGTTAACTCCTCTCATATCAATTATCAGTAACCTTTGACCAGTTATGTTACTCCCAGTGCACATTGCGTCATTTCCGGTGGAACGTGGAACACGTGACCTATGACGTCACTTCCGGTGTAAGTGTAACTTCCGGTGTAAGTGTAAGTACCGGTGCCGGTAGGGGGTCGAAATGGACGCCATATACTACTGAAGGGTTTATTCTTAAATGTTTATCATCTAGTGGTGGTCATGAAAAAAACAAAAAACAATCCAAACATTTTCATACATTCTTACGTTTTGTTTTTTGATTTCTTTCCCTGTAATACTAGTAGGTAGTCTGAGAGTCTAATTAGTCTTTAGAGTCCATAATGGCTTTTTCCAAACTTGCTACAGTATAACCCAAAATGAGGCTTTTAAGAACTATGAATGATGATAGAATTTTGCCGGCAAACAATTATGTCATAAAACAGGTAAAAAGTAATAAACAAAACACTTAAGATGCTTCTTTTTATTTCCTGTTCAACTTTTTTACTGGACAATGTTGTTTAAACAATTTGATGATGACTTTGACATCTACTGTCGAACCAAACACCATGTTTTATGTTTTAATTTTCTTTTCGTGAAAAGTCGTAGAAGTTGACTTCAACTCAAGTTCTGTGCCTCAACTACTCCACTTTGATTTCAAGAGTTGGTTCTACCACTATTATCATCCACTAATAAAACATCCTTCATGCAACAGTGCAGCAAATCATGATGTGCTTAATGGGCTTAATTATCAGGTTTGTTTCTTTACAGCTATCTAGATACACTACAGTGGCTAATTATACACAAGCGTTTGCTGTTAATGATGAGCAGTTTATAACAATGAATCGTTACTTTAGTTTTATCCTCTTTTGACATGTGAGTCTGTCACTCTGTGGTTATGAGATACAATATAAAATACAATAAAACTGTCAGTGGATCTAATATCAATTGACTCAGCTTTGTAAACAATTAGATGTAAATCATAAAATATGATATTCATTGAGATGCAGATGCTAAGGGCATTTGTAGTTGTATAATAGCATTTCTGAATCTATGATATTCGAAAGATGAATACTTGTTATTTTCTTATTGAAATGCCAGATTCTGTACCAGGTTTATATTTATTAGTGTTTATATTTATGATTATGAATTAATATTTTTCTTGAGTAAATTGAACATGTTTTACAATACAGTAGAACCTGCCATATTTAAACAGCAATCAGACCAGCAAAAAGTGGTCACATGTGGTTTTTAAACATGAAAGTCTATTGCAGATTGAAATATAGGACCAAAAAGTGTTAACAATGAGATATGTTTGGACTAGAGAGGTGTTCGGATATACAGATTTGACCGAGGAACTTTCCAATTGCTTTAGACCACCTGTTGTCTAAAGTCGGAATAAATTTCATTTTCTAGCATGTTTCCTTTGTTAATTACCTATTTCCTTTATTGTAAAGATAGAACTAAATAGCCGTGTATCATTATTTATTGCATTGTTTCCCAATATTTCCCGATACATTGTTATCAGGTCTACTTTTTCATTGAAAACACCAAGTTGTTCTTACCAAACAATAATTTTGATTCGATGGATTTTATTTTTACCACATAAAGTAATTACGTCTGAAATTTTGGGGTTGTGTTATAAAATAATGTTTGGTAGAAATCCACGATTTATATTGGGTTTGAATAAAATAATGTTGAAAGTCTGGACAGTATAGATACAGGCAAAATTCTATAGTTTTACTTCAGTAAAATGTTTTTCTTATAGTCTATTAGGGAAGGATATCTTTTGCAGTGATTTGGGGATGTTGTTATATGGCCCTTAGACAAAAGCAGATCTGACCACCTCTAAATCAATAGAAATCTTCATCTGTAGCTTGAGAAGAAAGTCTCATTGAATTCTCTCAACATTCAGTCAAACCAATCAAACAACATTTTTCTCATCGATCAAGTCTCTTCTACAAAGACCTCCATTTGAAATGCAATGGGCAATGCTATTTTTATGGTTGCATTTTCACTCAACTCTGTCGTATATTCATTCCAGTCTTCATAGAGGTCATAGTTAAATGTTCTGTTTTTCCCTGCTGGGATGATTAGTACTTCAGTTGTATTTTGGAGACCTATAGCAATTTTGTCAAATGGGCCAACTGCAATTCTGTCATCTCCACAGAACAGTATCTGAAGAGAAGTAAAAATAGTAATGATGATGAATTTAGGATTGCAAATTCATAATAAAATAATTCGATTTCACAATAATGAATCAATATGTTGTCAGTGATATATTGTTGAGGCTAATTAAATCCCTTCTGTGAAATTGCCTTTTATGTGCTTCGTGGAATACATACTAGTGTTGTCGCGATTAATCGATACATCGCGATGTACATCGCCAAAGCTGATTCTGGCGATGCATCGATGTCTGAAACAAAACATCGATGTTTTTTTAAAAAATTTCATTTGCTAAAAATCACCCTTTTTTATCTTATTTTGACCCAAATCGCTTACCTTTCTCATGTCTTATTTCATTTTCTGATATTTTCTGATATTCTTTCGCTTTTAAACTGTTTTAGTTAGTCGAAATGAACCATTAATCTAAAACAATTTACTTTACTTTCATTTCACCGTTACTAGAAGTTCCCGGATGTACTAGTGTACTCTTATTAATTTGTTCTGTTCGGTATTTTAGTGCATTAGCGTTCGGTATTTCAGTGCATTTTTCTCGAACTTTTTCTCGATGTACATCGCGATGTGCATCGATGTCTACTACTGAAAATTGCCGATGTACGATTATGGCACATCGCGACAACACTAATACATACCAGATCTGTCCAGGTGATAACTCAAATACTGGTTGATTGATTTGTTTCAAATTTCATATGCTGATGTTTATGGACATAGAATCTCTGCTCAAGAAAAATTTCCAATATTGCTCAATTATATTATGTAAAAATAGAATTTGTCAGTATCTATTAATGTAATACTAGTTGTGAGATAAGATGAAGATTTAACCTGCTGAAGCTGATGGGGCAGAGAATTCATGAAGGTATTTTCTAGATGACTATTGAATTCAAATAGTTCACTTTCAGGAAAAAATATAATTTTTGATAAAGGAAATAGACTGATGTCTTCTAAAAATAGAAATGATTCTAGGGAAAGAACTTCTGATATGGCCTCTCAATATTGCCATCATTTTCATAAAAAAAGTCTTTGATGACTCAAATATCAGTTGTCATTTTATGTCCATACATAGTAACTATTCCACCTGTCATCGCCATTTTCTTGTTCTTATCGGCTTTTAGCTCACATGGTGAGCTATTGCAATCACTCACTTGTCCATCTGTCCTTCTGTTCGTCCGCCTGTCTGTCCAAAGGTAAGTTTTCTCATGTACAAAGTCAGTGGGAGATTTTGACATTGAAAACTGTTTTTAAAATACAGATTATTTTAGCTCCTGAAAATTTTTTTGTATTATTTTTTGGACAGAAATCTATAAAAGATGTTTATTGAATATAAAAGCTCATTTTTTCACATACTATGTCTCATTGGATCATACTTTTATGGTTTATGACTTACCTCATAATCAGCTCCAATTTTTCGGGGTAGCTCAATCTTTTTCTTCTGGTAGAAAATATTGTTCCTTTTGCCCCAAACATAAATATAAATGACATCACTTCGGGTATTCATGTCATATACTCTCCATCTTGTTATATAGCCATGCTTTAGGATAACATCTCTGTAGAAGATGAAGTAACCGTATGGTAGTATATCAGTAACATCTTTAGTGATCTCATCCTTATGGTAAACATAACCGTACCATTGACCAGTAGGTGCTGAAGTTAAATAAATACATGTAATCTTGCATATAAAATTATTTTTTTTAATTCATGGTTTTCATTGGAAGAATCACTGACTGTTTCAATATTATGAAATATTTTGGGCTCACATCATTCATTGCCATGCCTATTTTATAAAAAAAATTCTGAAATTCATATATTATAATAGGAAATCTTTAGATTTTGATATGCATTTGCTCTTTAATCTTTTTTTTGCAGATATCCATATTTATGTTTCTTTTTTGTTTTTTTATGCTTTAAATACAAGTTCTCAATGGAAAAAATGATCTATGCATACAGGTTGGCATTTTCGGAATGTAATATTAATTGAAAAAAGCCTTGATAGATCAAAGTTGATCGATGGTGAAAGTTATTGTAAAAGTTGTTCATATTTTGTACTGATTCTGTATTTTAGGAAGAGTTAGAGGTGGAGGCCTTTAATGATACCATACAAAAGGATAATAAAAAACATCTTGTACCTAGAATTTTTTCATAGGTCTTCTCATCTTTTCTCATGCTATGTTCAATTTGGTCTAGATTGTTTGAATTATTGTATACTGTCCTTCCCTTTGTGCATGGACTGCCTATGAAACATCCAGTCTCCTCAGTAGAGGCCTTCTCTGTTTTAAAGTATCTACAACTTGGGTCTACTCCACATTTGGTGGCACATCCAAATAATAAATGTCGCAAATCAACACTTACATGTTTAAACTCGTAAAGTATATTGTCTCTGTAGCTTGTATGTGTGATTCTTCGATAGCCTGAAAATGTGATTGACTGTTGATTTGAAAATACCATGGAGTTGCAAAGAAGGGTGACTATTATGAGAATCAATATGTGGCGTTTGCTGACTTCAGAAGACATTGGATTTGCAATAATTAATGTCTCTCTTTAATAATAATTTAGTTTAAAGTGACCTACAAGAGTTATTTAAAGATAAATTGCCTGAGATTAAATGTTTGGCATCCCTCTTCTTGCCTTGATGTTCTTTTATTAATTCCTCCTATTTTCTTTCTAATCTCGTGAAGCAGGGGTTTTTATTGTGGATTTTATGCATTAAATAACCATTTTTTACAGCACATCTGTATACTTAATTCCAATTCTGTATGAAACTTCATGAATCAATATTAAAGATACTGGACGAATAGTTTACTTCACTTAGTTCAAAACATTCAAGACAGACTTCCTATATTTTCCACTCTGACTTTTATACATAGAAAGTTATGTATAAGAGTGCCATTTCCTTGGGTACTATAATTAGTGCAGTTTTCGTTTGCTTTATATAATACCATATATTTCTTTGTTGATATATCTATGGTCCCAGATCTGTTCTAGTATTTCCTGAACAGTGGATATAGCTTGACTATCCTATTCTTTTCATTCCCTAAATTTTCTCATATTTTAGGTATTATTTTGTTTTATAAGCAGTTACTATAATCCTTTCCAAAATATGTTGTCTGTTCATCCTTGTTCGGTTTCAATTTAATTTGAAATATTATTCCATGTCTGTTTTTATTTGGACTTGATACTAAAAGTTGACACTTCACCTTTAATTACAAACTAGCTCCTCGTGTGTGGTAGATATTTATCTGATAATCTAGGTAGATGGTGTGGATGAATGGATAACGGTGCAAGATAATCCTAATTGAATTACCTACCTTTATCTAAGATGTTTAATCAACACGGATGTGAGAAATATTTCAAGTGAATCTCTCTGAGCATTTAAGTCCACAACATGAAGGTGGATATAATTACTTCCCCGATTAAGTCTTGTTGAAGCACTGTCATTTAAAAAACCGTTATTCACCATTTAAGCCTAGCACTTAATAATGACAATTGTTTAATTAATCGATGTCATTATAAGCAGAATTTTAGATCAGGGTGACATTTTTGAATTATAAACATGCAAAATCGGGATGAGGATTTATTATTCATAACAGATTGCCTCAATTAGTATTGTGTTCAATGAGAAAACCATTGTTCAAGACTAATAATAGATATTGATGATATTTTACAGGTGATTCATTCAGACTCTGACAATCAGCTATTTTATAAAAATGTCTTAAAAATGTCTTAAAGAGAGAATCTGATCCAGCGAGCAGGCCAACAAAAAAATTGTTTCAATTTTAGAATATTTCTGGCTCATATCATTCCTTGTCATGTCTATTTTCTAAAAATCTACAAAGTGCACACTTTATTTCAGGAAAACTAGATTTTTAGAAAAAAAGATTTGTACAATAATGCATTATTTTTCTTTAAGAATGGTTACCATTCTTATTATTTGGGAGAATTTAAACATTTTTCACCCATTTTTTGTACTTTGAATCCATAATAACTTCACCAATAACACACATGTATCACAGATCATTTAGGTCAATTGTACATGTTGCTTGTACTTTTGTCACCCCTATAGATCTGATTCTGCTTTAAAGTGAAAATTTTTTTTAAGTGAGCATTTTGTTTTGAACAATGATATTGTATGTAACTGGTTTTTATATTGCAGATATTGTACCCATTTTGAAAAATTATCTTGACCTTAAAATTGGAAAGTAATCCGATGATACCAATTTAATAAATGTCTATTGCTTGATATGTTCAATGGGATTTGCTATGCCATATCATTGCTATTATATATGAGGTCATATACAAAGTGGGATCGGCTACATGTACAACATATCAAAATTGCTGACCATCTCGTGTGTTTCTTTATTTCCAGTGCAACGTGGCCTCCAGATGTAAGACGTATCAGCGAATCTTACCTCACTAATCCGTACCAGGTGTTTATAGGATCTCTAGATTTAGCTGTAAGTTTAAAAACACTCATTTTCTTCCTTAGATTTTCATTTTACAAAAAGTTTTGTAATTTGCCATCTAATATTTCGATTTATGTAATTTTAAAAGAATGGCTAGGAACAATTTATTGATATTATTTTAAGCATTCAGGGGTCCTTTTAGGAACCGTCATACAATTTACAAACTCACAATGAAGTGATTGTTCATCTAACGGTAGACAATGGTTTATCTAGGAATTCTAAGTTGGACCAAATTATAATATATAATTCATCAATTTGACTTAAGTGACAAATATGAAATATCTAAATACTTCGAATTTGCAACGTACTTCAGATTTTTATTTTTTAAATCTATTTCATCTGAAGCAACTTGATTAGAGACTATGAAACACTAAAAGAAAAGTATTTGCACAATTGGATGTTTTTATTGTCTATGTGTACCTCATATGTTAGCTGCTTTATGAGTTTCGCAATACTTAAAGAATTGATACTTGTATGTTTCTTTGTTTCCCTTCATGTGGAGATGTCTATGACCTTTATAAGGCAAATCATGAGCATGACGATCCAGTGTTTACATACAAAAGAATCAGCTTAATGTTCATTAGAACAGATTATGTTTTATTTATCAGATTTATGAAATTATGAAATGTGTTTGTTTTGAGGATGGAATAAAGATACATATGGTGCCATTGTGATGATGCTCTTTACACTGGAGAGAAGAATGCTTGTTAAGGGATTATACAAATATACATGCACATGCACTGTATTTAATTCGCAATGAATGCAAATCATGATGGTATTACCATCATGATTTGTCTACATTCCATGGCCAATAACAGTGTTCACTTATCTCTACAGGTTTTACTGTCAGATGATTGTTGTACTGTTGTTCAAAACAATTTTACCAATATATCTATTTACTGTCATTTGCATGGTTGTATATTCCAGGCTGTACTATTTACTGTCATTTGCATGGTTGTATATTCCAGGCTGTACTATTTACTGTCATTTGCATGGTTGTATATTCCAGGCTGTACTATTTACTGTCATTTGCATGGTTGTATATTCCAGGCTGTACTATTTACTGTCATTTGCATGGTTGTATATTCCAGGCTGTACTATTTACTGTCATTTGCATGGTTGTATATTCCAGGCTGTACTATTTACTGTCATTTGCATGGTTGTATATTCCAGGCTGTACTATTTACTGTCATTTGCAGGGTTGTATATTCCAGGCTGTATTATTTACTGTCATTTGCATGGCTGTATATTCCAGGCTGTACTATTTACTGTCATTTGCATGGTTGTATATTCCAGGCTGTACTATTTACTGTCATTTGCATGGTTGTATATTCCAGGCTGTACTATTTACTGTCATTTGCAGGGTTGTATATTCCAGGCTGTACTATTTACTGCCATTTGCAGGGTTGTATATTCCAGGCTGTACTATTTACTGTCATTTGCAGGGTTGTATATTCCAGGCTGTACTATTTACTGTCATTTGCATGGCTGTATATTCCAGGCTGTACTATTTACTGTCATTTGCATGGTTGTATATTCCAGGCTGCCCTATTTACTGTTATTTGCATGGTTGTATATTCCAGGCTGTACTATTTACTGTTATTTGCATGGTTGTATATTCCAGGCTGTACATAGTGTAACACAGATCATTGAAATTGTAGAAGACATGGACAAGAAAGACAGGGTAAGTGGGAGAATTATAAGCTTGATTAAAATCTATCCTATTTTTGACATTTCTATATACGAGGGGTGATCCAAAAGTCTTGGACGCCCCGCTCTAACTTTGCTATTTTTCAATATAATTACATGAAACTTTCAGATAATAAAGATCAACATCTTAACAACTTTGTGTATAAGTTTAACCATAAGATAATATATTCTCACTACTTTTTTGATTATTATTTGATATCAGGTCCCTGCCACCCGGAACGATATTTAAATATAGCAAATTACGCCACAACTGTCAATATGGAAAATACTTTAGGTGCAGATGCACAACCTAACACCAGTCATGATATGAGAGAATTTCAGATTTTTCGATCTGAGTGTCATCTGCCACCATCATCTTCACATATTAAGATATACTTTTTAACATTTCCCATGAATTTGAACACATTTTTCGTGCCGTTTTACCCATGAATGGAAGACATTTATGAAACCGCCATTGCTTATGTGATACAAATGCTCCTTGAGTGCCAAACTCCGAACCTCATCCAATGAGTAAAAACATTTTCTTTCAACCCTCCTTTCAACTTCAGAAAAGAAAGAAAATCACACCGAGTCATATCTAGACTGTATCGTGCAGATGGGAGCTGCTCAAGGTCAATAATAGTGTGAATATTTTGTAGTATTCTTTGTTTCACTTTGATTTCTTTCATGTTCTGCATTTCAGCAGCCATCTTGGAGCAAAAATGATACCAGAATGAGGGTTGCTTGTCTGATGTCATTTTCTTAGAATTTGACAGATACGGCCATTGTCATATGTGACATTATAATTAAAACACAATTAATTGGTTCCCTGGTAACAAAAGAAGTAAACTAACATGGTTAGATATTCAAAATTCAAAGAAAGATAGTGGTTAAAACTTGCGGAACAAGTTATATGGCGGCAACATTTAAGGCTGAAAGTTGCCATATGCAAATACCGTTCCGGGTAGCAAGGTCCCTATATTAAAAACTATCTAGAAAACCATATAAAATATATAATTTCACCATGGAATTAATACACAAAGTAGTTCGGTTATTGGTCTTTATTATTGTAAAGTTTAAAGTAATTTTATCAAAAACCAACAAAATTAGAGCAGGGCGTCCAAGACTTTTGGATCACCCCTCGTATGTTCCAATTACAGTTCACACAATGTCAGTAGAATATATATTCATCACATTCACAATCTTTGGACTGGAAAAGTCCTTTAAAATATTAATTCTTGCTTATATTGCATATTTATGCCGTATATCTACATTAATTATATTTAACAGTGTGTAACATAAAGCATCATCAATGATTGATCTGAAAAATTTCTCTTGAAATAATTTTATAGCTCAATATTTTGACTTGACAGGAGAAATGAATATTTCAGAGTGTTGACATATTGGTCCCAAAAATGCTTACCTACACATTCAAGTATTCTGGTGGGTCTCCAACAATTAATATTCTGATCGGAAAAGTTGAGTATGTTGTTCATCTAGTGTATGTATTTCTGTAAATTTTATGTTGCAGCTTCTATACTTCATCAGGAATGAGATGGACAAGGATGACAAAGTGATTATCTTCGTCTCTAGGAAAGCAACGTAAGTTAAATGCTGTTTATTGTAGACATGTGAATGCTGTCTAAACTATTCAAACGTCAAGGCTCCTTGAACTCTACAAATTACACATAGAATTAACTTCAAACATTCGTAGGAGTTTGAACTGAAAGCTTTTACTGAAGTTGATACTTGTTGTTGAAACTTTAATTGGAATTGAAATTTGCTGCTTTTGATAAAAATCTGTTATCTGTTAAAGGCTGAACCTATAAGTTTCTTCTAGTGATGGGACTTGCACTCAAAAACCAAAAATGCAGAAATTCTGAGTTGCCATCATATATCTATGCATGCACTTTAAACACTTGAAATTCCCAAAAAATAAATGTAGTTGGAGGAATCCACACAATTTGGCCAATGGGCTACGAGAAGATTGATCTGTAAACTCAACTGATTTCTGTATATTCATTGAAGTAATAATGTTTGTTGTTTCAGTGCTGATCTTTTGTCTTGTGACTTTGCCATGGATGGAATTGAATGTCAGTGCATACATGGAGACAGGTAAGAATAGTATCCAAGTAGCCAACAAGTCGAAATATACTGTCATTCCTAAGTGGAATTCCCTAGGAACCACAAGAAATGTTCTTCTTAGGAGGTGTTTCTCTTGCAGAAATGTTACAGTTTTTACTTTACTTTGTCGAAAATCAAGAATTCAATAAGGAGACACATCTTGAATTTTATGTATCCTATTGTTTAATGTAGGGGTTTCCTGCATAAAGTTATGTATGGTATCCTTTGGTTTCAAAATCATATGTCAGATTAGGCTATGTCGTATGTTTAAAGATAGCATTAAATTAATCCAATTTGCTTGTGATGAGAAACTAGAAAGTTGATATGTATGTATTCTCCACTAGGGAACAGTATGATAGAGAACAAGCACTGGATGACTTCAAAACTGGTTCTGTACGAATACTCATAGCAACAGATGTGGCATCGAGAGGACTCGATGTCAAGGATATCACGTAAGTTCAACATATCCAAAAGATCCAATATTAGTTGTACTGTATTTTCTGGTCATAAGGCCAAGCCCTTATGTGGCTCATTGTGTATTTATTGAAAGTACTTTCACAAGATTTAACCCAAGGGCTTTTATTTGAAGAAAATTATCTAGACTAATTTTTTGTTTTGACAGAACCAAGTGTAAATACAGTACACTGTTAAGTTCATTCAAGTACAACTAAATTGGTTGGGACAAAGTTCTAAGTTACACAAGTTCATCCATTTTGCAACATGACATTTTTATATTATCTTTGTACTCCAGGGTCGTGTTCAACTATGACTTTTCCCGCAACATGGAGGATTACGTACATAGAATAGGGCGCACTGGAAGAGCAGGGTAGGTGTCTTAATTTTCAGCTCAGTATTCAAATTATCAATACTGTCATTGTAGACTATTTGTATTGTATTTTGTTTACCACCAATGAAGGTGAGCAATACCTCTTGGGTATGTCCCGTATATATACGGTCGTAATTTACGTACTAATTAACATGGAAGATAGACCCAGAAACCCCTCCTTGAAGGAGCCCTGTGTTCTTTTATGTGCACTTATACATAGACATACAAGTACACACCACAGCCTTTTGTATGAGTTGAGGACCACTCAGTCAAACACCCTGAAGTACTTCACGCAAACAAGCAAATTTAGTCTTGCCTGAACCGGGGATCGAATCCGTGACCTATTGCGTAAGAGGTACCTGCGCTACCGCTGAGCTACACGGGTGGACTATTGCATATTTTCCAATTAACTTGAATCTCGATCTAAGTTCAATATGTAAAATTAGTGAAATTGAAGGTGAAAATGATATTGAATTGGATTAATTTGAATTGATTTAGTTTATAAAGTGTAAACGTGTATGTTTGTCACTTCAGGAGGTCTGGTGTGTCTATCACTCTCATCACCAGAGGGGACTGGAGGTGTGCTAAGGAACTTATAGATATCATGGCTGAGGCTAATCAGGTGAGACACTATGAGAGATACTATACTGAGGTCCTAGATTGTTACTGGAGCAGTATGGCATGCTTCATTGTTGCCACTCTAGATATTTGTTTTTTTTTGTAAATGTGTTATAAACCATGTTTGTCATGTGGGCAGTTTTTAGAAATTGTGAAAGTTTGGTACATTTATTAGAAATTGTGAAGTTTGGTACATTTAAGGTAGTGGTGTCAATTAACCGCTTGAGCATTAACCGGTTAACCGGGGGGTTTTACCGGTTAAAGTCGGTTAACCGGCGGGAAATTTGAACTGATAATTTCAAATGAAATCTTCATCTTCGATCTTGAAAGTTGAAAAAATTGGAAAAATGATATATCGGCGTTTATTTTTACGTTCGTCAAGCTATACTCTATTCTATGTAAGTAAGCGCGGGAAAGCAATGTGGCAGGAATTAAAGTTGCTGATTGGATGTTTGTAAGGAATTATCGGACCTATCACATGTATGAGTAGCTCACATGAAACTGACGCTTGAAAAACAAACAGATTAAAATGCAAAGTAAGCGCGGGAAAGCAATGTGGCAGGGATTAAAGTTGCTGATTGGATGTTTGTAAGGAGTTATAGGACTTATGACATGTATGAGTAGCTTACGTGAAACTGACTACATAAAACCAAACGGATTAGCATGCAAAATAAGCGAGGGAAATAACAGAATTATACACGGTCAACTAACCGCCCATAAAAACACAGACCGGTCAAGGCATTATCGGCGATTAACCGGTTAATACTTGACACCTCTAATTTAAGGATTACAACATTTCACATGGGGAAAGTCTACCCGCCTATATACAACCTACCGCCAGACATTGGATTGGCGGTATAACCGTGTCTTACTCGGTGGTAGGTTGTATAAAGGCGAGTAGACTTTCCCCCATGAACATGTTATGGCAATTATTTTGAGTGAATAATAAATGTAAGGCACTTTGAATTCAACCTTGTAATAATGAAACCTAAACATTTGTTTATTTGCAGGAGATTCCTGATGAGCTTCAAGAAATGGCAGATCGCTATCAGCGCCATAGAGAACGTATGATATCTGAGGGTAGAGATCCCGACAGGAAGCGAGGGTTTGGTGGTGGAGGCGGCGGCGGTGGAGGACGTGGCGGTGGAGGACGCGGCGGTGGAGGACGCGGGGGTAGAGGTGGCGGTGGGAGGGGAGGTAGAGGAGGTGGTCGAAGGAATGATGATGGATTCTTTGGAGGATCTTTTAGTGACGGCAGTTTTGGAGGTGGCGATTTTGGAGGCGGGTTTGGCGGTGGTGGAGGAAGGCGAGAAAAGGAACGTGGAATTTTGAATCCAACTTATGGAATTGCTTGAGGAACAGACACTAGTCACATGGTTATGTTATCATTAATAACAATATCAAGCATCAATTCAGTTTTCTGATACATTATTTCCATCTTCACAAGAGCTTCCAGTTACTCATAGACTCAGAGGAGTTGGTTACTGAATCAAGGACAAGGTCCTGAATTAAGTCTAGCATCATGCACCTGGGGTTGGCAAATTCGAGTAAGTCATGACTTGTTTTCATAGAATAGTACAGATGAGTGTGCATCAAGAAGAGCATTGAGTTCAATGAATCTCATTGATATTGTAGTGGACTAGCCTAGTCAAGAGTAACAGCGAAAATAGCAAAATACACATACACTTTACTTGTATTAGATATACATGTACCACGGATGCCAATTACGACCTTTAATTTGAATTTTAGACCGACCAGGTGTTTGAAAATCAAGGATTGTGAGTCTCATGTTCCAGAGAGGATTGGCTCCCAGGATGGACACTCGATATTTTCCAACAAAGAAATCGTAGAAATGTCGTTATTTTCTGAAATTTAAGCCGACTATAAATTCAGAATTAACAGTTCAAGAGAGTCGAACCAATATCTCGATCATATCTTGTGAGTTTTGGAATTTTTCGTTAGAAAATAAGACTAAAATTCATTCAAATGTTGAAGTGAACAAAATGGCAGCTGTTTGAATTCAAATTTTGTATCACGACATGTCCATATATGGGACAGAATATCAATGTTGCGTCTGGGATCCAATCCTCCTTGAACTTGTTCCATTAAAACCAAACAAAAATGCCTTTCTGTTGATCAACAGGGTGAAACAAAATAGTGCCACCCACATAATGTTGAATAACTTTTTGTCTGTTTTTATGTGAGTGGCACTTTTTGTGTCACTCTGTATATTGCAACATTGATCCATGACCTTCTCTATAGGAGAGGCCTCTGAAATAGTCATTTGTCTGTGCAACTTTCAATTGGCAGTGGAGATACAAAACAGCGTTAGTAGAGTATATTTTAGTAGACTGAATCAAAGTAGCATAAATGCTTGTCACTCAAAAGTGCAATTCATATTCATTAACTTTTTGTGTTTGTATTATGTTATGACGTAGAGACCATTACATAATACAAGCACATTGTAAAATCAGCCTCGGTACAAGCCTCAGTACAATTTCACTTTAAGTTATATTTTGGCTATTAGATTTAAAGTGAATTAAGTGCAAGAATAATTCAAACGAAATCCATGCTTTAACTCGTAAGATGAATATGTCATTTATACTCCCAATAGACAGATGTTTGTATTGCAATTAAATGTATTATTTCTAAGATACACTTGTAGATTATCAAGTGTTGAGGTTTGCAAACGAAGGCAATGTTTATTACATGCATATGATTGCATTCATAGATTTCTTGGTGGATAACTTAGATTTAGTGACAGTTATCACCACTATAATCTGCCTAGTTTTTCTGTGAATGGAAGTTTAAATGTCTATTTAGGCCTTAAGAAGTAGATTCTTTGTTTTACGTCCCATTGCATGATCAATTTTGAGTAAGAGAAAAAACACCTCCAAACATCATTAAAGTGAAGCAGTATCATGGCCGACCATTTGATGTGTATAAACAACAAAGGCTTAGTTGAATAATTTAATAATTGAAATTTATAGTGGAGTTTGGGTACAATATTGACACACCTTTAGGAGTTGATCTTTAAGTACAGTATTATAAATCTCATAAATAATCTCCACAGATAGAGTTTGCTACAAGGGTGCTTGACTATGGACTTAAGTGAAAAGCAACTTACTTTTACAGTCATTGACATTGTGTTGTTTATGTGCCTTTGATATTGACTGAAGTGTATGCTAATGCAAACAAAAAAACATGTATTTATCCTCTGTGGATTAGTTATGTATAATAAATATGTAAAGACAGTGTTTGTGGTCACTGCAAATTGGTATATCATACCCTTTAATCGTCATAAATTGTACACATTTCTTTGCAAACAGGTTTTTGGTCTTTGAGTCTGTACCCCTGCATGATTTGAATGTTGCAGTATGTAAAACAAAATATCTACTTCTTATGGCCTTATAAAGCATTTGGAAGAACTTATATGTACATTATTTTATTTTTTATTATGTAAAAAATTAGTTTTATATTACACTGTAGAAAAATGTACAAAAGAACAAAATAAATTATGTTCAGTATTATAAAATATATTCTCTTTATTTGCTATTTCTATGATACATTGCATGTATTGTGCAGCTATTGCTTTGTACAACAGGGATCATCTCAAGCTGAGCTTCTAAGTAAAACTTCTATACATGTCATCCAATGTAGACTAAACACACACTGCATGTACTTATTCTTTCATACCAAGTTTTACTTCAAAGAACAGATTCTCTAAATCTTAAATTAAAAATTCAATTGTTTTTCTCCCACAATTAAGTTTTTCGGTGCAAGTCAAATACAAATATTTTTAAGTAAATATTTATGTATTTTCATTATTTGAGAAAAAGAATATATTCTTATTCCAGATATTTGACTTTTAGGATACAGTTCACAAGTTTAAATGTCCAATATGTATGACATGCAATTATATGTATTAATTGCTATATATGTATATATACATGGCACTGATTTTGACATATCTCTCTGCCACAAATCTCATCTTGTCATTTCATGACCTCAAATATTTATCTCTATAATTCTCTGAACTGAACGGGTCTCCCCTGTTGAGAAGAAGTTTCTGTGCTAGCACTAAATGAAAAATAATATTGTCAAGAATTTAATGCAAAACATGATATAATCCATGACTGCATGAACACAGTCCAAAGATGGTCGAATCTACTATGAACACAGTCCAATTAATGTTGATGCAATGTTTTATTTCATTACATGTTGTATTTGTACACTAGGAATTCTGGTGTCTCTGTATATTTCATGGCAAACATTTTCCCATCATTTGTGGGATCAGAGAAGGCAAGCTCCTTCTTTGAGAGGTGATACGAGAACATGAAGTTTGTCCTGAAAAAAGCAGATAACAAAAGTTCAAAACAATCAATCAATGAATGAAGCAGGGAGTTCAGACTAAATTTTTGACTAAAGTTTCGATTCCCTGTGTAATCACAGAAAATTAACATATTTATATTTTTAGAATATTAATTTTGATGACAGCTGCAGAGATAGCATACAGCCAAACATTCAGCTACAATAAAAAATTGTCAATAAAAGCCTGACTAAATGAATGGATGGTTGTATTCAGGTATTCATTTTGAGCTATTTATTGTACCCGAGTGTAAAACTTCATAATTACAAGGACACAAACATGATTCCACCTATGGGTGTTCATCTTGCATGCAAAACACTAATTAGTTGAAAATATAAAATTTTAGGATGAAAAATCCAACATGGCCACCTAACATTTATCCAGAATGCTAAAAGACTGATCAATTTGAGCATTTCATTCAAAGAACTATCCCTGACAATTTGAAAATCGATCCATCAAACTGGAAATGCATAGATAAGACTACAGACAAGTTATTAGGACAGACAAAATGGAATGTGTAACTTGTACATAATGTAACATTATATAAACTGCTCAGAAATCAATTATTATCTTGAGAGCAACCAACCTCATTGCATCTAGTAACCGGGTAGCTATTCCTTGGTGGCGATACCCTTTATCCACCCAGATCCGCGAGATCCCACATTTAGCTGATTCTGCCTGGCTACTGCAATACCAAGCCCTCAGACCCTGGGTGCTGCTTTGTGACTGGGTGTCCTGTATTACACGGTAACCTTTGGTGATCACCTCCGCTATACACACCCCAATGATTCTTTGGTTGAAGATACACATGTAGGTCTGCAATTAAAAATAAATTTTAAAATAAAAATACAAAGGATATTTCAATTTCATCCATACAGATTATTCTTAAACTACAATGTCTTCATTTTGCATCAACAGAATGAGTTGGTTAAAGTTTATTGTTTTCAGGGTTATACAAAATTTTACTCAAAAACAAATGAATGTTAAAAGTTATCTCCCAGTGTGATGCTTGATCCCAATTCTTGCATGCTGATTTGTTACTGACCTTCATATTAGACTTGCAGGCAGGAGAAGGGGCATTAGTGAAAGCAAGATCTTCATCCACAACTGACTTGACAGAGTCAACCTGGAACACAAAAATGATGTAACATTATTCCAAACCATACAAGTATTAAAACTTTAAGTATTAAAAAAAATATAGTATCATCATTTATGTTGATTGAACATATAAAAAGAGATATGTGAGGTATATAAAGTTGCCATTTAAGAAAAATAGGTAAAAAAGGCAAAAGTAGGTGCTGGGACAAATGGTGCAAATTACCAGTATATGGACACCAATGGACAGATGGATAAGAGCATAATTTCAGAGGATGGCAGTTTAAGTTAATAAAAAATTTGTTGACACAGAGTACAGCTTGACAAATGGCTGATTCAATAGGCTCACCGTGTGTGTCAAAAATGCCCATATGGTATGAAACATAAGCAACATTTTCAATACTGATTTAGCCCACCCTGCCAAGTTCAAAATTTACCTTTTTCATGCAGTTAGTGTCAGTGGGTAACACAACAATGATTCTACTGCCATCTTCAAACTCTGCAACTACATTTTCTTTCTTCCACCCCTAGAAATAAATAAAAATTAAAATGATCATATATTTATTATGTCACTCATATAAAACATAATCACAAGCTACTTTAATATAGCCTATTACCCACAATGGTCAAACCTGACCGTACATCCATATTCAAGTATGTCCTCTTTTTTTTCCAAGTCCATCATATTCAAGTCCATCATATTTACAAGTCATTTAGTGGAGCATAATTAATATTGTCTACTTTTTATAACTCTCCATCGCAACTTTTATACAATTTGTACTTACATTGAATTTCAGGACAGTTAACATTCTCTTGTGGAACTTTGAGTGGCTTGCTTCATCTGTAGGTTCACCTTGTGTATATCGCATATGACACGTGGGGCACTGGACTGCTCCTATGTTCTTTTGGCCTGCATCCTACAATATTAGTAGTTATTGATGGAATTATTAGCTTCAGTAGTTTACTTTGCAAAATATCATCCGATATCAAGGTCACTGGAGTTCTTTTCACGAAGTTTCAATTAAGGCCTTTAACGACGCACCAAAACTATGTTGCACAGTTCTGAGGCCTTCGCCGGTGCTTTTCAGATTCTTAAACTGTTCAGTTTGGATATTGCAATTTTTTATTTAAGGAATAAATTATGATAGGCCATTCAATATGGTGAAATTCAGCACGAGTTGGACAGAATGTTGTACAAAGCACGAACCGAAGGTGAGTGCATTTGTACTAACATTCTGTCCAACGAGTGTTGAATTTCACCATATTGAATGGCCTATCATTATTTATTCCGATTCAAACATAAAAATTAGTAAAAGCCGTGTCTGTGGAACGGGCATGAAGGAAGAATATGCATGCTGTCAAGATTCTGAAGTCGGCCGTAAAAATTTTAGAATTTGTTTGGGCTGTTCTATTTTACTCCCCGTTTAGATTTTATACGGTGTATGCAAACATGGGGTGTTGATAAAATAAAAATAAATAGTTACGGAGGGAGTAAAAAAGAACAGCTATCCCCGGACAGAGCCCCAGATGTGCAGCTGAGATGTGACGTCACTCAAAACAATGCAAATTGCAGATTGAATAGAGCATGGTCGTGCATCTATGGAGAATTAGAGAACGTTCTATATTGGCTATGCTGCATTCTGATTGGTTGAGAAATTCGAATAGAGCACGGTCATGTTTGAATATATTATTGATTAATTTAATTGTTTTATTCATTATTGTAATTTTGTCCAGGATTTTAGCATTAGATGATCCTGGTTCAAGGACTGGAGTTTGAATGACTTAATGGGAGTTGATTGAGGTAATCAGGCTTAGTTTTTACCAGTATATATTGCTCCATTCCATCTGTCTCAGGCTTCAGTTTAGACAGCCTGGTCAGCCTTGGGGATCGCTTTCCACTTCCAGCCTCAGATCCTTTGAAGGAGAATACACTATTCAATGGTGTCAATGGGGACATTGTAAGCTTGGTCCTGAAACAAAAACCATGTTTCAATGTTAAAAGTTATCGAATGATTTGAAGTGCAATACAGGATATATTCTGCTAGAGAAATGCTGAATCGTTCCTTAAGTTAAGATTTCCTTAATCCATTGTTCTTTATGAAGTCATTATAAGGGTTACACCAATTGATTTAGAAATTCTTTATTTGTTGAAAGTTTCTTTGGGCCTCTACTTAATTAAGTTTTTTTTTTTTATTTAAAGCCAATGTAGTTGTTGATGGTTAATGAAAAAATATAGGAAAATAATGAATACTAGTATTTCTTACTGTCTCATCTTCAAGTGGCCTGGGCTGACAGGAGGTGTCCTATTGAACAGTGGAAAGTATTTCTTAGCATTCTCTCTGGGGCTATCACTTTTCACATCAGGGACACTGGGACTTCCATTTTTCGAACCAGAACTACTAAGACTATCACATTTCCCATTTGGGGTTCTGGGGCTTGATCGCTTGATAGATGAAACAGATGTCGCAGATTTTGGTGACGCATTCCTACTACTAAGAGAATTCACTTCTGATATTAAGGCGATTGAGTCACTTCCTCCTACACTGTTAGTGTCACTAAATAATAAGGGGGTGTTTTGATCTATGTTGGCACTTGGTTCAGTAGTACTGGTGTCTATTCCCGAATCAGGTATATCTTTCATCTGCATATTTGGCCACTTCTTTTTCCAAGTTGGAGTTGAACCTTTTAATAAATTCAACCTCGTGGAATCTGGTTTTGGTGAGCTGAATTTGCTACTCAAGGTCTTTGGTTGAAATTTCAGATGAAACCCCTTCTTATTGACTACACTAGAAACATTTGATTTTTTGGAGTCATCACTGTTTGTGGATGGTGTTTTTCGCGATTTGAAAAATCGTTTTCCACCACTAGAATCACATGGGGAAGCCTCCCCTGTTGGAGTTTCACTTTGCACAGGGGTCACACTGGTGATTTTGACTGGGGATACAGGTTTAATGTCAAAACCTCTAGCATTCCTTCTAACCTTTACAGGAGAGAGTGGTTTTACATTTAAGTTTAGTTTACGTCTCTTTGATGGTGTCTCTGCTAATTCAGAGTCCTTTTTTATCACTTTGGAAATGTTTGTGTCATCTTTCATCAACTGTTGTTTTTGTGGGGAGTTTTCTTCATCTGATGAACTCCAATTTATATCACTGTCTTCTTCAACTTGAGCTAATATTTTAGAAGGAGTTAATTTTTGCACGGGTTTCACATTTAATTTTTGAGCCTTTGTTATCTTAACTTTGTTTTCTTCATCTTGTTTCTCTTGGCTTGCTTTAACATTTCGTCTTCCTTTGCCCTTTCTCATAGCTTGTTTAATTGTTCTTACTTTCACGACACTATTGATCTCATTCCTACTGGATAAAACTGAAGAATCTGGTTTATTCCCTATCTTAGAAGTTGAAGTGCTAACTTCTCTGCTTCGACGTTTTCCAGTTGAGACCTCTACTTCTGAACTACTGGCTGAAGATTCTGGCGAACTGATACCCTCAGCTCTCATTTTGACATCTTGATGTTCAACAGGACTTAAATACCTCTTCTTACTAGTTGGTTTGTAAAAGGAACCTGTGTTAAAAGTAGGAGATACTTTTGTAGGCTTTTCTGGCACATTTTCTTTGATCTTACTTTCTTCTCTGGAGTGGCCCTTATTTGAGACTGCACTGTCAGTTTTGACAAAATCTAAAGATTTTTTACTGGAACTTTGTTTTTTCTTGAATGGAGATTTTGACTTTGAGGATGGAGGTGTTGATTTTTTCTTCCTCATAGGGGTCCTAGATTGTCCATGCATCTTATGTAGCCAGTCGATCACACTCCTGCAACAGATTAGTAAACAGTTAAAAACATAAAGGATATTATTTTTGGAGATCTTGAAGTTGGGCTATCATCTTGTTTGAAGAAGGCTGCTACTTAGTTTATCCAACGACGTATGTTAAACAAGGCATTAACATGCAAAATGTCTCCACATGTCATTTGTTACATATGTTAACTACCAAACATCATTCAAAAGAAAGTTTGAGACCATATCAATTTGTCACCACTGTAGGTGGTGACATAAAAATTATGCTATTTTTTATGCTAAGGCTTTAACCTCTATTACATGTATGTGATTTGACCATTTTTCATTGTTATAAACCAAAGTGTGAAATTGTAGAAGTGTTAATATGTGACACTTACTGTTGTTTGGTTGTAGACATGTCTGCGCTGACAGCTAACAGCTGCTCATTTGGTAGAGCTGATGACATCATACACTCTTGAATAGCAACTAAAATTTAAAACAACATAATTTGACTCAAGTGCAAGCTCTGGAGAATTAACTATTTTTCAGAATATGATCTACAGAGTTGACCTTAATGGACTGTAATTTCAAATTTCATGCTCACTTAAGTAACAGTATTTATTATTTAAGTGGACCGTTGAGATGCACCTTCCATAATCATTAACTGTGGCAGTCCTTAGAAATTCATTCAGAAATATTTAGGGAAGTTGATGTAGACATTTTTAATGACTCACTGACTGGATTTGCCAATTCAAAAAAGTTAGGTGAAGATATTTGCAAGTATAAAATAAATGGCCACAACTTTTGGACTCTTAGAATGTAGCATATTAGGCCAGATTGAGGCCTTTAAGTACTTTAAGTTCATGGGCATAGCAAGAGGGGATGGTTCTTGGGGCTCGTGAGAAGCCCTCCGAAACTTCGCCTCGAACCCCCCTCAGTTATAAAACGAACCCCCTGCTAGGAACAACCCATTTTCTGGGGGAAACTCTAGGCTGGGTACGAAGCCCACTCTCAGAAAGTTCATTATTTTTGTGCGAACAATGAATAGCATGTAATTACTACATGTAGCTATTTGATGACTTAATATATTATATTCCGTAATTTGATTGGTTCATTTCTCAAACACCTTTCCTCTTCGCCTAGAGCACCCACCTTACGTTATAAAAGGAAACTACATAATCTAGTCAGAGAAAAAATAAAAAAACTCTCGAAAGCCCATGGTAAATCCTGGCTAAATGGCCCACCTAGAATAAGACCTACTCCTAGTCTACCCCCATAAATGTGAGGTTGATTTTTCAAATCACACCCGCAACTGCTTTTGTATTGAAATTTGGGATTGAAAAACATTGTCAGTAGCCTAGGCCTAAAACTAAAAAGAGTTTGTTTTCGCCATAGATCCCGGCAAGATTATTTTGTAGTAGAATCAGTAGCTCAATTAATTATTCTTTGAGCCTATGATCCTACTACAAAACAATCTGTCCAACATCTGTGGTTTTCGCAAAATTATTTCAATCCGGGATTTCAAAACACATTCAACATCACATTTATGAAGACCTAGTAGACACCAAAGAGCATAGGAAGATAATAAGCAGAAACGGTATAGAAGCTTTTTGATTTGTACAATTCTTTTACGCACAAGTTTTATCAGTAAACAGGTAAAAGACGAAACTTACCTGAAACTCACAAAATGCGCCAACAAATCTGAGATCAAATCTTGGCGGGAATTGCCTCGTTTTCACAACGATTGGAACCGAGGCTGATGAAACCGGAAGTAAAAAATTTCATGCATTTTTCAGAAAATATCAATATTTAGAGACTATCAGTATGTTTTACTTTAAATGCAATAGTAAGTAAACTTTTATTTACATTTTCAAATCTGAGATGTTGTGTAGAAATTTTGAATAGTCGCGAAAATCATGTTTTTAGACTAAGATCAGATGTCGATCTCTTTTTTATTTTTTTATTTTTTTAGTCCCGCAATTTGCGTATTTGTCACGCATTTGCTGGAAAATTTGAAGTCACACCAGTTACTTTTGCGTGACAGAATCAAGGAAACCTGTATCAACACCTGACAGTGATATCTATTGGTGACCAAACCCCAGAAATAACCCTTATCTCTTATATATGAGATGTATTCCCAGAGTTCTGTCACCAATAGATGTCACTATCAGGTGTTGATACAGGTTCCTGTGGACAGAATATGTCACGCAAATACGCCCCCCGTTGACTAGTGTTGTCGCGATTAATCGATACATCGCGATATACATGGCCAAAGCTGATTCTGGCGATGCATCGATGTCTGAAACAAAACATCGATGTTTTAAAAAAAAATTAATCGGCTTAAAATCACCCTTTCTTATCTTATTTTGACGCAAATCGCTTACCTTTCTCATGTCTTATCCAATGTTTTCTGATATTCTTTCGCTTTAAAACTGTTTTAGCTTGTCGAAATGAATCATTAATCTGAAAAAATTACTTTTACTTTCATTTCACCGTTACTAGAAGTTCCGGGATGTACCACTGTACTCTTATTAATTTGTTCTGTTCGGTATTTTAGTACATTTGCGTTCGGTATTTCAGTGCACTTTTCTCGGACTTTTTCTCGATGTCAGTACATCGCGATGTGCATCGATGTTTGCGACTGAAAATTGCCGATGCATCGATGTACGATTATGGCACGTCGCGACAACACTACCGTTGACAGAACGCGAGCATAGTGAGCGTGAAAAGTTTGAGGTGTCCAAAATTTATATAATTTGAACAGAGATCACGGTAGACGTTCGCCATTCGCCAATTGCGAATTTTCGAAAGAGGTGGCGAAAAATATGTAAAGGTATTTCGCAGTTATGGCGAATTAGAGGTGTCACGGTTTCCCGATATTGGACCGAATTTCGGTCCAGATGCTTCGGTTCGGGACATGGGACAGAAAGGGTTAATATCGGTACATAGATTCCTTCCCTAAAATGCATAAAAACGTGTATAAATAGCGAGGAACACCTCCGATTTCGTTCTGAAAAATTAAATATTTTCACTTACCTCGTACCTAGATTACACTTCTTTGCATTGAAAAGTGTTATTAACGGACCCGCGATTTCAGGTAGATGGTAATGCTTGTTCGTAAATTTCTTCATCGTCGTTCGCAAATCGAGTGCATTATCAGTATGCCGGATGTAGGAAAGAAATTGAAAAATCGAGCCGGCATCTAAGTCGAAAAAGTCGGCAGTTTGGAAGTATTTTGGGACTCCGATATCACAAGGTAAACGAATTGGTGAAATTACACCATGCAGACTATGTGAAATGCCGATCACATTCGCGGCAGATGCTTTACATTCAATTTTAATTGACGTTTTTTTATTTCTGAATATGATTTTGAAACTGAAAGTGAAACTGTCATCATCAGACGTTGCATCATTTTTAATGTTCTGTCCTGTCCCGTCCCGAAAGGTCTTAGACCTTTTTTACAGTTTTTCAAAATGGCTAATTCATATTTTAGTTGGCTAAAAAAATTTTGGAAGATTTAGCCACAATGGCTAACAAGTTTTTTCAACTATCGTGATCTCTGAATTTGAACCAAGGTGCTCAAAATGTTGGCCAATGTGTTCAGATTTGGGCCAAGTTGTCTGTGGCCTCTTATAAACGTTTATTCTGGACATGGGCTTTCAATATTAGAAGGGTATGCAACTCTATGTAATAACAGTAGACCTTAAAAATGAGCAATGCCATGATTCCTCTTTTATGGATAATATTTCAAAAAGGATTAGATAAATGTATATGTTTCAGTATTATTTCGAATAAAAATCAATTTTCAATATGATTTAAGCACAAACTATGTTCAATCTCAGGTAAAAGTAAACAAAAAAGACCAATAAGAACATGGGCTTTCAACTTTAATCAAAAGCCCATGATAAGAATAAGAGGTCTGTTATACAAAACCATAGAGCCCATGACAAAACATAACATGAAAAATGTTTTTTATTTTTAGCACACTGGTATTGAGTCCCAGTTTGCCTTTTCACATGAACGTAAAGCTCTATATCTATGGCGAGATGTTGAATTTTTACAGTCAGAATTTCTGTACATCTATTAAATTATGTTACAGTAAACCGTGCACATAGGAACATAACTCTTAATCTGCTCAAAAAACCAAGTACATGTACTGTAGTTCTATCATTTTTAACAAAGCTATTTTTGAAAGATGTAGGTTGTATTATTGTATCACCCTGTATGTTCCTTTGCTGTATGTTAACCCGAAAACTTTTTATACTTCCAGTTGTTAATCCACCCTATGACATTTATGTTGGAGAGGATAAATATGAAAGTAAGTTCAGAACTACAGTATACATATACCTATGTTAAAGACCTTGCAGAAGTTGTACTTGGTACATGTACATCAATGAGTGAACAAACAAAAATATATAATACTGTGTGAGACATTGCATTTTCAAGAATATGATGTTTCATTATTCTGATATTTTGTAATAATCATGTTTCTGAAGAATTGATAATCTTAAATTCTTACATCATGAAACTGTTTGAAATCATTACATATTTATGATGTTTCAGATGAAGATCTACTGAAGTGGGCGTTCCCTGAAGATGTCTGGTTCCACGTTGATAAACTCTCATCTGCTCATGTCTACTTACGATTACATACTGTAAGTTTCTTCATCATTTAATAGGACATGCACATCCACTGCATATGTGTAAACTCTAAGTGTAATGAGCCATATCCAAATACCAAGAAAATCGAAGGTGTCAGGTAGTGTGAATATCCATTTGTCATTTGCATTGAACTTTTTTAGGCATCTTATCACATGAAGTTTACCTGCAAGCATTGTTTGAAAATGTTGATGAGAAATCCTGTAAAAAATCAAAATGGCTTATATGTTTCAAGATTGTATTGCTTAGTTGAATACATTTGTTGAAACATTGCATCAAATGAAGTGTATTGATCTGTCTTTTGTCAACACCTCATAGGATCATGTGAGCCATACTATTTTTTTTAAACTGAGACACAGGGCCTCACTTTAAATTGTCACCACTCTTTTGACTCAATCAAATACCAAAAAACTTTGTATCACTCTAAAATTCAAAGATCTGTTCTGAAATAATCTTCAAATATGCACAGAATTCTGTGTGGTTTCAATCAAAACTATCGATATATACTCCTCAGTTGACAAAAAAATTGTTTTCTATTTTCAGGGGGAAACTCTTGATGATGTTCCACATTCTGTCATAGAAGATTGTGCTCAATTAGTAAAAGCAAATAGTATTGCAGGTACATAAACATTACATTTATTGTCAAAATAGCACTCTTAGAAGATTTTAAAATCAAAGGAGGGAAAGTATCGCAACAGATTTCAGACAGTCATATGTTTGATTTTGGCTAATTTCTGAGGATTTAAACAGGTGCACATGTTAGACCAATGCATTACTCCCAGGAAAAGCACTCCTTTTTTCTGAAATGTTTTCCTATCTGTGTCAGCTGTTTCCGATCTATGTCAGCTGTTCAAAATGTGTATTAAAATTGTCCCAAAAGTCCATAATTCACTCTTTTTATTACACTCCATTCAATGATCTGCTTAAAAACAGTTTATTTATTAAGTCACCACAGTAAGTTGTGACCTGTTTCCAACTTTTTTCTGGATGGTGTTCTCCGGTCAGCTTTCGATGTTTGTAAAAAATGGCAGGTGGTGACATTTTGCAAGTTAATGACTTGTTCCTGACTATTGTGGTGATTTTTGAAATATTACACTTATTATAATAATGATTTATTCATCTTACAGGAAATAAACAGAACAATGTTAATGTTGTATACACCATGTTTGAAAATCTCAAAAAGACTGCGGGTATGGATGTAGGCCAAGTAGGGTTCCACAAACAAAAACAGGTAAATTCAACTTAACCAAATGTCAGATAACAGTGACTTTTAACATTTTTTATTCCCAGACCATCTAAGGCTTTATAAATCAATCTAATACATACGATATAGTAAATATTGTTTCGTTTATTTTTTTGTCCTGGACACTTCTTCCACCTGATATATCCACCAGTCTACTAGGATTAATTGCTTAATTTCTTTCTCGCGATTGTATCTCATGAAATATTTTCAGGTTAGATCTATACTTGTGGAAAAAAGATTAAATGAAATTGTAAATAGATTAAATAAAACAAAGGAAGAAAGACATCCAAACCTCCAAGAATTGAGAGAGGAAAGAGACAAAGCTGAGAGAGATGATAAGAAGGCAGTACTAAGAGAACAGAAGAAGCAAGAGAAGGAAGAAGCTGAAAAACGTGAAAAAGAGGCAGAATTAAGGTATGTTCCCAGTGAAGTGATTCAACCTCAAAATAAAAGAGTAATAACATGTTACTTGGTTTACTTGAGTAGGATTTATTTATTTTAAAATGTGTGCTTTTCAGTGGGCATTTTTGGGTATACTTTTAGCTGACTATTTTCAAGGTTCCATTCTTAAATCTTGTATGAAGTCTCTCTCTTTCTGTTGTTTAAATTTGGTATTAGCTAACTACATGTAATTATAGTATGTATGGCTTGCATAAATTGATTTATGATTCAAGGGATTACCATATGGTACCTATCCTTGTGTTTCAGGAGTTATGATAGACTGATGACATCTGATAGAATGACCACAAACCAGAATAATACAGACTTAGAGGATGATTTTATGTAATCATGGACTGTCAATTGATCTCAGAAAATCATGGGAATTCGTGGATTTAATAGTATTTACTATCGGCTTCTTTCCATCCACCATCACTTTTACATCCACGAGCACTTGGTGTAACCTCGTCATGTGAAAACATTTTGGATAAAAACAACTTTCTATATCAGCTGCATACAAACACATCTGAGAATTTGATTAATTGGATCTGATGCCACATATGAAATTATATTGTTCTTAGTGACCAGAGGAGATACCAATAACAGATGGACTGATGCCCTACTGGAAACATAAACTGATTGGAATATTGGGGAACATAACGCTGAAGAAAGTGATGTTCTAGGTGTTGACCAGATATTAACACTACTGTATTTATCAATGCCACTGTATTGGAAATGTGAAGGTTCTTAGAAAATACTCAAAAGTTATTCTCATTCCATCTTTGAGATGAGCAGTTACAAACTGCATCCAATTGTTATAATGGTACAAGGATTCTATCATTCTGTCATGAGAGAAAAGATGATTAATTAAAACAAGAGTGTATGACTAACACATCAATGCTGGAATTGTGCCCAAGTTTGAATCTATACAATCTGATTTGTGCACTAAATTGTACACCTATCTCAACTACTGTAAGTTGCTTTAATTTGACTGCCGTTTTAATTTTGCGGATTGATAACAACTACCAAATTAAGTCTCCAATTTTTTAATAAATCCCCCCGGAGATTCCCTTGCAGGATAAAAACATTTTAAAATACCCCACTAGAATGTCAATATTGAACTATTTTCGAAGATCTACTTCAGGTTATTCCTTTGAAAAACGAGAGCATTAAATGCATCTTTGTATGAACCATTTCCGCATTTTACTGATGGGTGAATCTGCAAAATTAAATATCAGCCAAAATTTGACAAATCCGCCAAATATAAAGCGCCAATTTAAAGCAACTTACAGTAACTAAAACCACCAACCCTCCTTGTTAAAATTTCAGGGAATTGGGACAAGTATACTTGAAAATCACTACACACTAAACAAACTTAATTTAAATTATGTGTAAAATTCAGTGCAACACATAATGCATTGTAACAGTATTCTTGATGATTGCTGTAATAAAATGTTTACTTGTGCAATGAAAATTAACATTACAATATTTGTAATGAACATAAGAAAAAGGATTTTGAAAAATAAATATTAATTTTATTGAAAAATTCCTTTGGAATTTATTATATACAGTGTACATACATACAGACATGGAAGCTTTCAACAGTCAATATTTGTTTCATATTTCAAAACGGTGAATAATTGCAGAAATTTTAAGAATCAGTTTAACATTTTGTTGGCTATCTTGAGATGGCAAAATGTTACCAAACTGGTGTGGCTCATGAAGTAATACACATTAAGTATATGTAAGAAGATTTGTGATATGAGTCTGCAGTTAGCTACACGATGTAAATAAAATATTACTGGCCAATTACATAAATAATGTCTATCTCTCCTTGTTTCAAAAGTTTAGTGAGATTTCATTATACAGCATTACACATTCAAATTCCTCACAATATGCTTCATGTGACATTTAAAAGGATGAATTCCTTGTTCCTCATGTGACTGAAAATTTTTTAGAAGGCTAGAAAATTATAATGGTATAATTTGAAGGTCACTTCCAAGTTAAGGCACAGTAATATCACTGGGATATTCAATGCGGCACTATCACTTGATCTTTTCTGATATTCTGGCAATATCACTTGATCCATTATGATATTCAATGTGGCAATATCATTTCATTCACTTTGATCTAGGTGCAGCAGACAAAAAAGTAAACCGCTTTGATAATCCACTTTGACATTCAACAAGGCAATATCATTTGATTCACTTTTATATTCAATGTGGCAATATTAGGCAGTGATTTGCCAGTGGTGGTTGCCATTTAGCATCAGTAGTGTTTGCCAAAAACTTTTTATAAGTCCTTTCATCTCTTCTCTCCCCAGTGCCACTTTTCATCTCCAAGTACATTCCTGAAAAATATTTTACAAGTAAGAAAGTGAGCACAATTAAGAGTCTCTGGGATTTTGCTTGACAGACTTTCTCTATAGGCCAATGTTTATTTGAAAGAGGGGTGTATGAAAAATCATTTTTCCCTATTTTTAAAGGGCCATGAGTATTCTTTTCAAGGGCCTCTAGATATACATTTGAGAAAAGGATTCTTATGCATTGAAATTGCATAAAAACAATTAATATGTACATATTGACCTCTCTAATCAACATCTAGATGTGAACAATTTTCAGTTCATTTTCTAAAATTTTAATTTGTCATAGACTTCCATGTACAAAACTTCACCTGCCAATCCAAACACTAACATGGTCCCAGAATGTCCAGATTAGACAGGTTTTACTGCATGTACTGTACATATATTAAAATCTTAATCTAGCTTAATCATGTATTTGTCTCATGTACATTTAACATAGAGAGTAAATAAAAAAGCAGATATAACGGCCACCATGAATTGAATAAGATAACAATACACAGATACAATGCAAATAAAGTACAGTAGAGATTTGTAAATTCAATGATTCATATTAAAGTATGTGGGTGGTTGAAGGAGTTTAAGTTTGAACCATTTAAGCTAGTAATACTCGTATGTTTGAGGGAATTGATTCTGCAAGTAGAGTGAGGCCCTATTCGAGAATATGTATATAACATGTATATCCTAGTATTACCTAAGTTTTCTCTTGGTGGTTTAGAAATTGATCTGTGCCAATCTGGATCTTCTATCTCTAACATATCACGAATACATTTTGCTATCAGCTGGAAAAAATTAAAAACATATTAAGTAAGATATTAGCCAATAAAATTTGAACCAAGTCTGTCAACAGGTATGAAGGCCATTTTGAATTGAGTGGCCATATTGAAAATCTCAGGCAGATGATCTAGGCCCATAAGACATCATTCAAAAAAATCTGAACCAAATCTATCGCAAAAACAAACATAAAAGATTCATGAATGGACTTTCTATATCCCTAATCGAACTGCATGTATGTTCAATGGCAAAATATGTTTCATAACATGAAGGTTAATACAAAAACAAAATATCCATTTTCGTAATTTACTTACCTTGATGTGCTCAAAGTCTGTGATTCCTATCTTAGGTAGATGAGAGGAATCAATGTGAATGAGACGCTTTCCATCAACAAGGTTTCTTGTGATACATTCCTGCAAATAAATAATAATGATTGAGCTTTCAAGCCACCTCAACTTCTCAAGCATTTAAACTGATCTAAAATACAGTATTGATGTAGTGCCTGAACACACTGTTGCAAATTTCCTTTGAACATTTAGCAAGCTTGATGCAACAAATAGCGTAAAACCTCCACCAATTTCTGGCCAATACTCCCATTATTCCACTTATTCAAAACACTGTAAAACTGTAAAATTAGAATTTTAGTGAGGGCACAATTTTCACAAAATTAAACCAGAATGAAATATAGGACATGGATATACACAGAAATAAACAGTACCCGATGTGTAGAATACAAAAAGGCAAGAAAGATTGGTGATTGGTGAAGACTCTCTTTGTATGAAGTACATTACGCAAACCTGAGGTCATATCCTCATTTTGATGCAATATTAAAAGCTTTAACTATGAAGCCATCATGAATAAAGGTAAATGTCATCCAAAATACTTGGGTGTTGGTGAGTAAATGTAACTTTGGATAATTTTTCCCCTAAATACATTTTTGACAATTTGGTCTAAGCCCAAAAAGGTCCCAATAGAATATAATGCCCAATAATTGAGGCCCTACAAAATTTTGGGGCCCAAAATCTTTTTCAAATTTCAATGAAGATTTTCACTTAATCGAAGCGTTTCTAATTTGAGACATGTACAACAAAACATACCCTGTAATACGGAAATCCTATTTCTTCTATCCAATCTGCGACTTTTTCAACGGACCAGTGCAAACACAGCGGAACTCGCTCGTCTTTCAAATCATCATGGTTCGCCATATTGTTTATTTGTCGCTATGAACAGGTGTCTCAGAATCCTTCACTGTGCTATTTTATTCCGCATTGTCAAACTAGCACAAACAAAACAATGAGTCGCCAACCTCGTAGTCCACGTCATTCCATACGCTTAGAAATTATCTGACGATCCATGTGATAATAATCAAACACACATCTTACCTCACATCCCTTAGAGTATGCAGAAAATGTGTATAAATTCAATGGTTGTGCACAAATGGTTGTGCACTGAACAAAATTTAGATCAAAATGGACAAACTCAACCAATTAACAATTCAACCACATTTAAGCAATCCTGATACAAATCAATATGAACAATAGATGCAGCATCAACCAATATAAAAGTAGAACAATCTACTATTAACTCAAGAATGAACACAATCTCTCAACTCCCTAAATAAAATACACTGATTGTCACCTCAAATCAAAAAATCAATACAAATATGATTAATTTCAGTAAAATAACCCTAAATTTGTACAGTAGTTTGTCTTAAGTTAAACACTATAAACCAAATAAGCATTGTAAATAGGTCCCTGCGGAGCAAACTTCCACGCCTAGTAAATCTCATCAATATTGATATAATCAGTGAAGACACAATTGATAAAACCGATGATATTAATTTCGAGGAAGATCATCTCAAATAGTGAATGTTTGTCACAACATTAGCATCTCAACTTTCAATCAAAATTAAATGCAGAAAGTATCAAAGCTTGGGAGTCAAAAAGGTAAATCCTATCTAGTCCAAATGCCACTTGGACTGACCAAATATGTTCGAATGAGCAGGTGTTCCCATTTCAAGGTGAGTCAATGGAAGATAACAAATTTTGGACGAAGAAAAAGTGTTCACATTGAGAGGTGCTCAAATTAGAGAGATGTTCAGAAATACAGGGTTCACTGTAATAATTGGTATGGTGACATAAAATTGTTTTTATGAGTGTTAATGTGCTTTATTCTGCAATTCATAAAAGTGTACAATGTCACATACATTGATAAATCATAAACAAACTGAATAATGCAACACTTAATTGGAAAATACAACAATCATTATTTGATGACATATATATTTGATTAAAAGTATAGTTCAATTCACTCTTTATGCTTGGAAAGATACTAATTGTTATTTAAATCATATCAATGTGGTTAATGGTTTACATAAAATGTTTCCTTCTGACAAAACATACAATAAATGAACTTCTATTCAATAACAGTGTAAGATAAAAGTAAATAGCAAACAACAAGGCAAGTCATTACAAATGGTTCCTGGTGGTCAGATATCAAAATATAATTTTAGAGAAGCCAATGCAGTCCTAAATTAATTTCTTTAAAATATGATTCCATGTTGCTTCACGCTTTATTTTCATATTCAACAGTAAGAATCAACACACTATTCTAGTGAAGTGGTAAAATACATGATGGAATGTTCAAACAATTTAATAATCCGATGATGTTCAATAAACTTGTATAAGCGGAATATCCATTTATAGAGGTTCATTAAACCTTGCAACTTGCAAAGTTTCAACATGACAGCTTTTACCACTCATGTTGTAAAAACTTATAGCATATGCATTTCAAATCAATACAAGGCATTAACATGACAAAATGTCACCACCTAGTTGCTAACAATACTATGAGTTCAATCTTGAGTCAGATTTGAATTTCTGAGAACTTGTAGATGATAAAAAATAGACTGGTCAATATGAAGCAAGATGAAAAAAGACCTTTTTGATCTTGAGAATGTCATTGAAGGTCAAATCTTTTTTGACCTTGAGAATGTCACTGAAGGTCAAATCTATAGTCAGGTTTGAACTGATGAGAACTTGAAGATGATTTTGAAAAAAGAAATCAAATCTTAAATATAAAGTCAGATTTGAATTTCTGAAAACTTGTTTGAAAAAATTGAAGTCAGTCTAAACAGTATCTGTTAAGTGGAAGTTTTAAGAATTTGTTACAGACGCCGATCGCCGATCGCCAACCACCAATCGCCAACCACCAACCGCAGTGAAAAACGGAAACCATAACAATATGCCACCACTTTTGGTGGTGACATAAAAATGAAAAAAATCTTTATAAAGAAAAGATACTTATGTTTATCTATGTATAAAACCTTCAGTTCAGTATTATAGCAGAAATGCAAATACAGTAACCTATGTAAGCAAAAGCATACATAGATATAGGTGAGTAGTTAATAAGACATTAAATGTATGCCTATGTATATATTGTGTTATTTGTGAAAAACCCATCGTGTACATAAAATGTTAAGTCATTGAGTTTAACAGACAGTATCACATACAAATTTACAAACATTGTTCCTAACAAAATGAGGAAGGGAGGGGAATAACCCAGAATTCATAGATGATCAAATCTTCATGTAAAGATGAAGCTATTATAGACCTTGAGGATTCTCCAAAGATGGCATAACATGCAGTGGATTGTTTTCAAAATACATCATTGACCACAATTTCAAAGGTCATGATGGAAAATTCTCTACGCATTTCTGCCCTCTGTCTTTAGGGAGACCTCAATCCCATTGCCTACGACTAAACTAATGAAAATTTGTAATTTTCATGTGGTACATTTATATTGTAACATTTATATGATTATTTGTCCGAAACGAAATCATGTTAAGCATAATTCAATATTATTCCTGATGTATGTAAAATTATAATAAAATATTAATGCTGATAATATGTGAATGTTATTTAATTGTAAATAAAAACTCAACAAAATTAAACTCTAACCTCAATGTGGAGATCTAGCTCAGTTTCTGCGTGTTTAAAAATTGGCAATAATGCACATTATGTTAAGCTCAATTATTGCGTATAATGGTAAGGTCAATACTCCACTCTCAAAGGAAGTAAAAGAGAGGTTTCACACAACGTATCTAAAATCCGCAATGTATTCATCAGATTTATCTATGCGTAGCAGTTAAATTAATAAAAAAGAGATGTGGTTGCAGGTACAGGCCCGTAGTCAGGATTTGCCAAGGGGGTTCACCTTTTTGAAAAATTCCAGGGGGGTTAACTTGTTACAATTTTGTTCCAAAAAAGGCCAAAATCACTTAAAAAGTGCTCAGAATGGTGAAAAACTGCATGATTTTGAAAGATTTTTTGGCCAGGGGGTTCGCTCTAACCCATTGAACCCCCCTGGCTACGTGCCTGAGGTACATTGTGCGAAACCTCTCAATGGCCTGGCAAAGTTTCCCTTACAATCCTAATTTAATTTAATAAAACTGAGATATCTAATCAAATATGGAAGTTATAAAGCTACCATCAGATATAACTCAAAGAGTTATCCTGAAAAAGTCATAACAGATTGAGTTAAATATTATCACGAAATTGTGACAAAATTTTGAACTCTACTCCCAACTCTTCTCAAACTATTGAACTTTGAACCATTGCTTTAGCTTGGTATATTGAACTTGATAAGACAAGACAGGTTAAATTATGACATGAGTACAGTGTATATCATGAGCAAAGTGAAGACACATTAAAATGTGCACCTTATACAAGAAAGTATAAATATTTTTACACTCCTCCAATATGAGCAAAAATATGAAATATATATATTGTTAAATAAAGCATGCTAATGTAAAATTTACAAAATCATAGGCAATCACAGGGTTTAGTCATGATCACAGGTTTAAATAATGCTTACATTTATACATAAATGATCGTTTAGTCTAGCTTCAAGCCCTTGTAAGCCCACCTCCCCCTCTACAAGTGTTGTGTTGGTGAAGTGGATAGGGCTCCAAAGTCTTGCAGCAAGACTAATGATCACACATAACTGTATGTGTACCTACTATACAGTGTATGTCTCAGTTTTAAAGATAAGTTTATAAAGATATAAACAATTTACATACATGTAAGTATCATATATTCAAATTACATGTACAGGGGCATAGCCAGCAAATATCAAGTGGTGCGATATTTAGAGTTTGCATGCATCACTGCAAGCGAAGCGAGCCACAAAAATTGGGGGTGCAGGGTTCGCCAGGAAACGTGGTACGCCAGGAAATTTTCAAAAATTTATTTTGTAAATGGTGCATTCTAAGCAATTCAAACTATAATTTGTTTTGTTGTTTTTCAACTAATTTTACAAAATTGTTTTTTTTTGCTTTTTTATGTTGTTGGGGGGGGGGGCACACATTGCACACCCTAGCTACGCCCATGCATGTATGTTACTTGTACCTTCAGAACATCTTATTCATCTAATTAACCTTAAAATGTTAACTTGAGGTAAACAATTGATCACTGGTATTTAAGGAAAAACCTCTTTCTGGAAATGCCAAAGTGTTTCAGTGGGAAACCCAGTTTTTAGTATAGCAGAGGTTTTCCATACGTCTAAACTATTTGAAACACATTGCCACGTTTTAATCACGTTAAATCAAAACGTATGAAATAGATAGGTATATAGCATTCACTGTCAGATAATGAACTGCTGTATAAATCCTAATGGACATTTACAATCAGTTTAGTCATTATTGAGTGCCTTATCAAAAAACACATTCTCACTTTAACTTCTTTAATAATGATTTATGAAGCAATGTGCAGTGTTGTGTGATACACTTATTAACAATAAGTTCACAAGCAAATACTAGTGTTCTCAAATGATAAATTCCTTTAAGATATTTTGATAAAGATTATTTCAAACTTACATAGCTTCATATGGTCAGAAATCTTCAAAACATCAAAATACAAAATAACATTAGTTTCGATCTAATTTCTAAATTATTTTGTATGTTGAATCAAAAAGACATACTCTCACTTTAATTTCTTTTTTTTTAATGTCTTCAATTCACCTCAAATCTGTTAATCTCAATCTCGTAAATAAACTCTACTCCGCGTATCTCAAGATCGTGCTTTTCTGTTCACTTTTCCATAGACCTCTGGGAAGGCATCGGCGCATTCATATTTCTTTCTCATCCTATCGTAGAGAGAATGGTCAAACATTGAACGATACTCATCCAATGTCATGTAGGAATCTGCATACATCATCTGGAACCTGCAATGCATTGAAACAATACTATTGTGCTCCTTCACAAATATCACTATGGTAACAAAATAATCATTTTTAAGGTAGGCTACTATCAGTTGAATTGTGTAATATGGTATTGTTTTATGAAAATGCACATGTACTATGTGTCTTTTGTATCTCCATGGGCTTTCAACTAGATAATGTATGTACATACTGTAAAACGGGTATTGTTAGTGAGGGGTAATTGTTAGCGATTGTTAGCGATCGCTATAGTTTCGCTAAAAATTCAATTCGGTAAAATAAACCGGGGTTAAAATAAACCGGGCACTAAAATTTGCAAATTCCCGGGAAACTACCTGAATACTAGTATTTAAGGAGATTTTCGTTCAGTGCTCGACTTCCGGTTTGTAATTTGAAAAAGGTAAATATTTTTAAATCGTATGTTTCTTTCAATATCGCTAAAATTTCCCGCGCTAAAACCCCCTAAAATTGAAAAATCGCTAAAATTTCCCGGTGTTAAAATTACCCGTTTTACAGTATGTTATTGTTAATTGTACATGTACAAAGATCATATACTTACCAAATCCATCAATACCTATATTTTAGATGGGGTATGCAAACTTTCTGAATGACTGGTACAGATAAAGGAGGCATGGTAATTTACCATGATCGCTTATGATAAAATTTGACACACATAAATTACAGAATAGTCCTATATTGTGTCAAGAAGATTTTAAGTCATAAACTAAATTAATAAATTTTCTATGGTAAAACACAAATGGGTTTTATCATGGGCTTTCAACTCTAATAGAAAGCCCATGGTTTTATCTAAGAAACTTACCCCTTAACATCCCTGACAAATGCCTCAAGTCTACGAGTGGTGTCCATACAGTTGTAGTTCTTGGTGGTGGGTGTACCATATGCTCCTATATCTACATACATGGCTGTGTCACCGTCAGGGTGGACCATACCTGGATCATTGGGCAGCAAGAATGGACACAGCCATAATGGGTACATCTACAACATCCATGAATGTTTAATTAAAGAGACAATGTCCGATATGAGCACTGTCCACAAAAAAGTTGACGACTATACTAAAACAATATGACACCGCTTCTGGTGGTAACATATAAACCAATTTAAATTCAACAACTGAGCTGATTCCTTACCTTAATCTCTTTATGAAAGCATGAGAGTGACTCCCCCAGAGTGTCTAGGGGGACCAGCATATCTTGGATGATCTGATTCTCCTCATACATGCGTTTAATTGTCTCTCCCTGGGTTAACTTCAGGAGTGAGATCTTTGGAGGGACCATCCAGCCACACAGGTACCTGAACAAGGGGTGGTTACCAAATGGTATGATGTCCTGTAAGAGATGAAGTTTTACTATGATTACAGTGTACCAATGAATACAGTGGATACACTTTTTTTAATTTGACACTACTTAATTTGGCGGATTTGCATATTTTGAATTATTGCCGTCTATTTAATTTGGCAGATTCAGGATTGAAGTCATATATTAGTGTCAGTATGACATGTCTTTACCAAGATATTGTTCTGAGTTCTCTCAAAATAAAGTAGAGCTTGACAAAAATTTTGGAAAATGATGACTGGAAGTTGAATTCCAGAAGTGAACTGAAATTTCCCTAGGCATTTTCCAAAATGCATCTGAAAATTGGGCAGATTTTTAATTTGGCGAATTCTTTCAATTCGCCAATCCATCAAATTCAAACGGTAGCCAAATTAAGTGTATCTACAGAACTGATTTCTTAATGTGCTCATACATGTTAAAAGTACACAATATATACAAGTACAAGTGGCGGACAAGGACCTGCCACTACTCCTCTATGGTTGGCCCTGAAAAATTGAGGCCAAAAAAATCTGCTCCTCCCAAAAATTTAGCTTTACAGATTTACATTACAATTTAGATAACATACTGGCATTGATGGGCATTTTTTCTAATTTAATTATCTAAGGAAATAGGCCTTAAATTTAAAAATTGGGGCCCATAATTTTTTCAGCTCAAGCTAAAAAGTTTTTGGCCCCCCTTCTTAAAAATGCTCATTCAAAAACCTCTCTCCGATCAAGCTTTTGGTACTTTTTTGTATTAGGCAAAAAATGAAGAGAAAAGGCTGGTCACCTAGCCTTTACTAAATTGTCTTTAGGGCCTAACTTACCTGAAGTTCCCAGAAGATGCTGCGTGTGTGTCTGTGATAGTAGTGCCTAAGAGGGATGTACTCTGTACTCCTCCCCTTGTGAAGGTATTGCTCCACATGCTTGAAGAACCATGGCTTCCAGAAGTAGCCTATGTTATTGATCTGAAGTAAACATTAATACAGTACATGGAGGGCCATACTGTAGGCTAAAGGCATTGTTTGTCGAACCACTCACACAAATGAGTGATTTTCCTGGAATTGCGATGACAACATTTATCAAGTTATTGAAAAATATCTAAAATGGCTACCAGAAAACAAAATGGCTACCCAAAAGTTAATCAACAGTAGAACTTGCTACTCTCTAGCATGTGTACAGATTTGAGGAAAACCTGGCAAGCAGCTTTTTAAAATGGAGAGAACAGACCAGCCACCCAGGTGGTAAAGATGCGAGAGGCCATTTGGTTGGGAATCACTCACCTTATCTGATTCAGCTTCATCAGTCATATTAGTAGTCATTATAACAGCCTCATCTTCAGAGTATGCCAATGCCTCAACAAACTCATTCCCTTCCTTCTTCATGACCTCCTCTTCAAACTTGACAAGCAGATCCTTCTTTGAGTGGACAGGGATATAGTCAATCTTGGCCCACTTCTTACAAGGGACAATCATGATCTCTGTAGCAACTAGAAACCCTAGTGTACCATATGACCAGGGGACAGAATAAAATAAGTCTGAGTTTTCATCCTAAAATTCAAAGGGTGGTTCATATAACTTTAAGATCTGCATGGATATTTTCTGATACAGTGAAGGATATTGAGTATTCTAATTGTCCAAATAAAATTTTAATTTACAGTGTCTTCGCCAGAAGTTTCTCAATTAGATGCTACTTTTTGCAGTTTTGTTAATGATCATAAAAACATCAATTTCTCATGGTTTTAAAATTTTCAGCTGGGTGTAACTAGGTTTTCAAATGGGTGCATGCTCTCAAGTGGGTACAGTACTGCTTTGTCAAAAATGAAAACTGTGATCTTTAAGCATTACGGAACAACTAGGTACAACTAGGTAATAGATTGGGAAGATGACCAATGATCTGGTGCAGGACTACCATTATTTAAATTTATATGTTTTACAGTTTTTACCTTGCTACATTTTACTACACTGCCATCAGCCATGACTAGTTCATATGACACACACTGATGTTGGAACAGTCCATACTTGTGGGATGACGTCTCTATGCCAGTGCCCATCACCAAACCACCTAAAGATAATTATTTTATCAATTTTGGTTTTAACTCAGATCCTAATTAACTAAAGCTTAGTGAACTCAGACCAAGTTTTATTCAAAAAGGTAAATATACAAAAAGGTAAAATTATAAATATCTAGGAACACTTTAGAAATTTATTTGGTTTCTTCACGACCCCATCTCTGTTCATTCAGCTCCCATCGGTAGAAGGCAAAGAAGATATATCTAAAGCTGATTACGTTTTTTGCTTGTTTATCCCTGATAAATATTTATTCATCAATTGAGATAAATACTGGTCATTTCCCTGTGAGTGCAAAATTCCCATATTCACATTTCTGGCCATATTTGGTAAAAAAATAAATTTTCACTGAAGGTACAAATAGATTTTCAGAAGATGCAAGCCTCTTTTCAAAATATTAAGTGGGTGTAGTGCTAGGGAGGCCACTGAAATGACACGAGGCTTTGGATCAAGCAATAAATGAATCAATCTCTCCAAGGATATCACACAGGTTTTGAGCAGAATTGACTGAGAAACAACAGTGCTATTCCTCAAACCAATTAATTCATTTGTCAATTCTCTATATTCTCTGCCAATATCAAACAATGCAATTAATTAGATGGTGAGACACAGTAGATTTAATCATTTCCCTTATATGAGTCATCAGCTTTTTGACGACATTTAATAACTTAACAAACCAATAACTGCAAGTAATGAACATTTGTAAAAACAAGACGTTCCTTCAAAAAGGTACTGGGCTGGGGTGAATGGATGGCCTAAGTTTATAATTTTAGAACTACATGTATATCTGAAATGGTAAAGTGATGAAAATAAATTCATATACTGTACCCTAATTCTTAAAATTTTCCTCAAAAAATGTTTGTTTTGAGTCAAAATATTTAATGATCTCATTCAATTCACTGGTTCTAAAAAGGGCAACTAGAACTAACTACAGCTGATTAATAGTCAAGTCGTACAAAAAACAAAAGGTCATCTGTAGCAACCAGGTTTTGGTTTAGTTGTTATAGCACAAAACATCTTGGATAATTCCTTGGATAATTTCTTTCAGTGCTTTGAATCCAATTAAAGACAAAAGCTTCAAATATGGAACAAAACCTTTATTCGTGTAATAATGGGATTTCTTTCTCCAATTGAATACATCTATATGTATGCTACATTTTTAAGGACTGTTATATGCAAGAACCAAGAGAGCAGATTAAAGCAAAGGAAATTGAAAATGATATCTTAAATTTTGACATTTAGTCTAGATTATCACTTAAGTGAAGTACATGTAAGATCTCTTATAAGTAAAATGGAAAGTGCCTTCAAAACCAAAGGAACTTACTCTAATCTAACTAACCTTGCTATCATTCTGAACTATATAATCTGGACCATTCACCTGTTTATGTCCATTGTTTGGATGTGACCATTAAACATCTAACATTATATTAAACTGCAAGCTATTTGATGGTGTGAGCAACATCATCTGACTTACCTACAGTGAGATCATCTAACTCAGGCAGAATTGGTAATGTCCAACCTAGAGGATTCAACATGGCAGTCACTTGACCCATTGTCACCATTGGCTCTACTCGTACAATCTTACGATGTGTATCTACTTCAAGAATATCAATGAGGTTCACATTGATGTTGGTCATGGATCTCTTATATTTGCCCTGTCTAAAGGAGACATTTGCCCAGCCTGGCCTGGATGTACACATCTTAGTTTTGCAACCATTTTCCCTCCAGGCTTTCACCTATAACACATAATGAGAACTATTTTTCAGAAATTATGAATGAGAGTGTATAATATGTATGTGTTCTTGGAATGAAGAATATCACTTTTATAATTGACACAGACTTACATTGTGTATCATAGAAACCAAAGGAGAATGAGATTGACCATGCTTGTACTTGAATTCCATTCGCCAAACACATTTCTATCTTTTTGCCCTGAAAACTTCCAAAGCGAATTCTACTGATTTGGGATTTCTGACTGCCATTATTTGAGTAATTACTGGATTGCTTCTATACATCGTCGCATGAGAATAACTTTGTACTATCTCACATTTTTACGGAACTGAGAAATCAAGGTTTGAAAGTTTAGAGGTCTGTATCTTACTTAGTATTGCTATGTGAAACTTGATTTTTTGTATGTCACCTGGTCTCACCCTAGAGATATCCTATATGAAATATCATACCTTGAAACAATTTACAAGATCCTTTTTTAAAACTATGGAAATGGAGTTGATACAATTTCCCACCGGAATAACAGCTTATTTCTAATTTCAAATTGTCATATATCTGATATCAACTGTTTCAACCAATCAACTCTCTAAGAATTGGTCATGTGACTTGCAAAACTTGGAGTTATAACAATCTTATATTAAAACGAAGTATGCCAATATGCATGTTATTGTATCTAGAATGAAAAATAATGTTTTGCTTTGTAAAAAAATCTTCAAAAACCAAAGAATATTATTCAATTTATTAAACTTTAAAATCAATTTCTCAAATAAGTACAATTATTTCTTAATTTTGGAATCTCAGGACACCCTTCAAAAATAATTTATTGCCTTTGAAACTAAGGCAGAAGTACAATGCATTGAAACCAATGATGCCAATACGGTCCCCCACATATTTCCCTCGGTATAAACCCTGTAGCCTAAACCTCCCAGCACATTACAATGTAGCCCCTAAGGGCCGGTCCGCTGGTCATTATCAGGTTATTTTTGATACAGACCAGTTGATTTTTTCACTGGGTATAGGAGAATAACATTGCAACTGGTCCGTAATTCCATTTTGACCAGCAGGTTTCAGATCCTTAGGGCCTAAGACATAACCAATTTTTATTACATGCACATGGAAGAAATTTGAAAATAGAAAAATAATTTCTAATTCATTTTAGATTAATGAAAGTGATGAAACCTCGATTTAGGTAATCACATTTTGTTCATTGGGATGCAGCTATCATTATCCATTCATTTTCTGTTGTTTGCTACTCTGTGGAGTACAATTGGGAATTGAAGCAATTGTAGAAGTGGAGACTAAGAGTGGCTCTTTGTAAAGAAATTGAACCAATTTGTTACTTTTTCAAAATATGTAGATGATCTAAAAACAATGATCCCAAAAATGCAAAAGAAAGGACAAATCTGAAAAACATACTAGTAATAAAATAACTAAAAAGATCCCAGATGTTCAGTGAAAAGCGCAAAGTAAATCATAGACGAAGAGAAAATAAAATAAGTGTTTTAAGGGACTATACTAACATAAAGATAACTCCTTATTGATATAGTGTATGGTCAGTAAAAGTTAAAGCTAGTTTAAATAGATTTAGCTTTTTTCCACAAACTATAAAACATCATTTTGAAAGAGATTTCAATAGTATACAGACAGTGATTGCCTTTGAGCAATGTAGTGCAAAATATTTTCCAAATTCTTTTTCAAATTTCCAATTTTTTTCTCGAAATGTTTTTTCAATTTTTTTTCACATTTTTTCAAATTTTTTTCAAAATTATTTTTCACATTTTCTTTCAATTTCTTTAAAATTTCTTTTTTTCAAATTTTTTGAAAATCTCGCAAACTTTAAGACCAAGAAAACGTCGTACCTTAAGTATGTTTTGGAATTTTGATGTGCCTAGAAGTTGCTAGAACCTCAGTAGGTATGAAATACATCTGTCATGTACAGTCGGTTTTGGATACAGGGTTTATCCCGCGGGAAATATGTGTATCTCCCTCGGTTCCTGCAGTCCCTCGGGAGATAAACATATTTCCCTTGGGATAAACCATGTATCCAAAACCTCCCAGTACATAACCCTTATTTATTATGTACTCTATTTGAAGAAACAAATAAGTAGTCTTTCATTTTCAACATTTAATGATGACAGCTTCGTATATGCATTTCTATTGCATTTGGCCATTCAAACCCCCATAAGACCTGGCAGCAGGGAAGATAAAGGGTACTTTTGACTGCTCACATGATCTAATTAACTGGTCATTTGTACTTTTCATCTTCCCTGGTAGCAAGGATTTAGGTTTTCGAGGAAATTAGTAATTCTATTTCATATCATGTGGCCATGAATAATCCAACGAGCATCCATAATACAAAGAGTAATTGAGGGCATATAATTTGAATATGCATGGGATTACACATACTGTATCATTTTATTTTTTTTGATCTACTTGTAATAGTTCTAAAACGAAAACATGAAAGGCCAGGCATGCAAACTGGCATGGTTTTATGTTACACAACATTATTTTATTCTAGATACAATAACATGCATATTGGCATACTTCGTTTTAATATAAGATTGTTATAACTCCAAGTTTTGCAAGTCACATGACCAATTCTTAGAGAGTTGATTGGTTGAAACAGTTGATATCAGATATGACAATTTGAAATTAGAAATAAGCTGTTTGTCTGGAGATGGTACAATTTCACACTGAAGTCTGGCTTAATGAGAGGGAATTGAGATGGGGCATGTATCTGAGATGAAAGCCTGTGTTTCAAATAGTAAAATTCCATGTCTATCTCAATTTTTTTGAAAATGGCAGTTAGTACAAAGTTATTCTCACGCGACGACATATTATCAATATTCAGGGCTCTCGCCAGGCTTTTAGACTGTGGCGCAGCACCACACTCTATTTAGCTCCCTCCACACCCTATTTGCAAATCATGACTGTACTTGACTGAATATACAATAAAAGCATGTAAAAAGGATAAAACATAACATAAATATGATTTATCACGATTGAACGGTCATTCTGAGGATGTTAGCACCACACCCTAAATATTTCCTGGTGAGAGCCCTGATATTATACCCTATCTAGCTATTTTAAGAATAACTTTGTTTTGTTATAAATAATTTGGTAGGTATCTAATTTGATATGGGAGCATGCCTTGATGGCTAGATTGTAAATATGATGTCCCTAAATCTCAAAATCACAGATGATACTGTTTCAAGCATCTATATAATAAAATTCACGAAGATATTATAATTTCATAATAAACACCATTATTTACTACTAGTAATTCATTTTATAATTAGCTGCATTTTAGCATCACTAATTAAAAGTATTAACTAAATATAATATAAGAAGTACACAATTATATGGCGTAAAAAATGAGGACTAAAGTACACACATATAATTATTTCTTAATCAAACAAAATAACCAAGACTATTTATTATAGTATAAGATGTCAGGTCATTTGGTATTTTAATGATCTTGATGTCAAAAAATTCCCCTTTTAAACAAATGGTCATTCATGAAGAAAAGGTGTGTTGGGGCATTATTTTTCAAAGCATTGGAATTACTTTTTTCTTCATGTTCCTAAAAATCACCATCGTATTTTTCAGTTGTGTTTCATCAATAAAGTTCATTTTCAGAAAAGAAAATCAGAAAATAAACAATCATTTTTAAATTGTAATTTGGAACTTGCAGCGAAATCATGTTTTATAAACAAATTAGACTGTGTTCCCTCTCAGTCTGTGTAATTCACCTTCCTAATACAACACAAGTTTGAAGTATAAGAGGGGAGGGGTTACACAGTCACGAAGCAAGACTATAAACAAATGTGACATATCAAAACTTTTGAATATTTAGGTATTTGACTGAAATTGATGGTACAGTGAGACTAAAGAGCAAATTCTTGCACTTGAAATGTAGAAAGTACTCAACTCATAAAATATTCAGCCAAAAAATAAACATGTACTAAATCAATATAAGCTGGTCACACAAGAATAGCCTGACAACTGTAAAGTCAGATACCGTTGTCACAAATGGTGGACACAACCGTCGCTTCAACTCTTTAATCACATGGTCCTCATTACATGGGATTTTATCGTCGCTAATCCTGTGCATCTATTAAGCTCTTGTGATGATGTATCATATGAAATCACAATTTCGATCAAATTAGGTCATGAATTGCCACAATATAGCGTCTTCGATATCATCAATGACAATGGAATCTGAATTTGAAATAATTTACAAAGACAACGGCAATACAGTGTCCATTGTCCCGTGTCTCATTTTGATAGGTTAAATTAAAAGCTTTATTTCGATGGTAGAACATAATTAACTGTACAATGAGTATAAAGACACTTTGATTGATTGTTGTTCGAAAGGAATTTAGTCTAGGTGCTCTATTAAACAAACAGTTCATGAAAATCAAATTGAAGCGATGGTTATGTCCACCATTTGTGACAATTGTATCTGACTTTACCATTGTCAGGCTATTCCGGTGTGCTAGTGGCACAATGAACTATGATCCTCCATTGTTATCTGTCTACTAATCACGATGGCTCATTGTGCTTTTATTGTTAATCAATAACCATACAGCTCATACGGGTCAAAAATCAGCTGATGCTTCCTAGTACCGATCGACCTATTTTGATAAAAAATCACTGGATTATTGATATGTAATTTGCAAGCATTATACAAGATATTGATCTTCTACAAACATTCTGTGTTCTTTAACAATGGTTGGCAATTATTTCAACCAAATTAGGCAATGGCCTCTTTAGCCATGATAAATGGCAAATTAAACCATAAACAAGGCATTAGCATGACAAAATGCCACCACCTGAAATGGTTACAATAGTGTAACAATTGTTACAGATGAAGGCCAAATATCATCTATATCATTGGCCTTCAATATATTGCCATGGTAACAGATATTGGTAGAAAGATATTGGAACTCAAAACATGTTATATATGTTGAAAGTAAAAATTTGAAGTCCATAAATGTATTATATATAACAAAATACTTGTTAAATTATTGGTTAATAAGTTGTAAGAATTTGTTATGGGCACCAATGACCAAACACCATCTACTTTTAGTCATGACATAAAAAACGACCTAAATAGACAGCCATGTTTTTTTGAAACTTATGGCTCTCCAACGGAGAAATGGACAGCTGAATAATAGTGACCTTTGAAACACGAATTAAGTTGATCCGCGGCTTACTTTTGTTCTTTAATTATGTCATACATCATTATCATCCTTATGTGCAAGTATTGGAGCGCTGAAGTACTTCCTTTTCGATCAAGGCTTGTAATTGTTAGTCGACTGAATGTTTTTCTGCCAAATTCCAATATCGCGTTTTCTGCTCAGACATTTTTGTAAATTTCCAGAGGTTGTCCGAACCTAACTCATTCTCAAAATTCATTTCGTTCAGTATATTCAGTGAGTATTCAGTATATTGTATGGAGAACTTCCCATAACCCAAGGAGTAACTCCTCGTAGCGTACGCGCGGCATTCATTTTCATTTGTGCCCACTCTAGCAAACAATCCTGTATCCGTGTGTGATGACGATAGATGATGTAGATGATATCAAGCTTAAGCAGATGGTGAATTTGTGTGGTAATATTACATATCATGACAAATGTAAATGCTTACCTGTTTCTGTACATCTGCAACTCTTTTTCCATGCAATTTCGGAGCACTGTTGAGTTTGAATGTGATCCAGTTTCTGAGGAAGAACAACACTTCATAAATAACAGACAGGGGTAAAAGGAACAAGCAGACAAATACCCATCTGTAATTTATTAGAATATATTCTAATCCCCTGTACTTGCCGTACAAACCGGCTAAAAACACCGGTATCCCGAGATATACCGCCGATACTTCAACCATGGTGTCGCAAACTGAGCTGTCAAAATAATTTTCAAAAGTTTTCCAGAAATAGTCTCATTCCTTATATTTAATTTCTAATTATCAGGAAAGAAAGGTTGAAAAACTTTAAAATAACAGAAAAAATTGATTTAAACAATTACAGTTGATGATATATTATTGTATGAATATAATCTTAGGACGTTTTCAAGGTAAATTAAAATATAAGTAGGTAAATCAAAATTGAGACTATATTCAGGTGCTTTCTATTTCCGGTTCCGGGTTTGTATGTCGTTTTAAAGAAAATTCTGCTCATATTGTCGATTGTCATCTTTTATGGACTACTCAGAGATGTCATTGTTGTTACATAACAAGTCGGAAGTCTGGTTCTACCTATATTCAGCTTCACTTTTTATACTTTGAACGTAATTTATCGTGGAATAGCAGAATAGTGACCTCAAAACTCCTTCAAAATCAAATATTTGATTTTGATATATTTTAGCATACATCACATGACTTATACTGCCAAACTCCGTGGCATTGCTAGTCTTAAACATATCACTGTGGCAGGCAGATTGTATGTTGTAAGAAAAGTTCAGAATTGACAGTAGACTGTCTGGGCCTATAATCCAATCATTTATTCTAGTGAGCAGTTCATCCATCCTGCTAGGTTACATTGTGGAACTTAGCCAAACATGACACTGAAGGCAGTATTCTGAGGTTATGAAATCTAAATCTAAAAAATTTCCCATTTGCAGCCCCTTGGAGATTTCCGGAATTGAACAAAGTGGGGAACGTTGCGATCCTTCAACTTTAGTTTGTTGTTTTTCACCACTTTATGTGTAGTATTTTCATTTAGGAGGCGGTCTTATTTGAATGCATCATTTCAGGTCTTTATGAATCAATAGATCAATAAGCAGACTAAAAATACAATTAAGCAGTTTCTTTCGTTGCGTAATTGGGCCTTCTATAATCAGTAGCAAATGCTCGCAAAACATTTTCCTTGAAGACATGGTTGGGTGACACGTCATTAGTAACATGATCAATACAGTAACTAGTCACGTGATCAGACAAGTGTTGCTTGATCAGACACGTGTCACATGATCAGTCACGTGAGCTTCCAAAATAAACGATTTAAATTTCCAAAAATTCTGCTAAGATCAATATCGATATGTTGTGTTTGGCTTCTTCCACAATGTTACCTAGCAGGATGGATGACATAGAACAAGCTGGTAAGTAGACGCATTGTAACATTACTTCATTTCGTTATTTTAACCATCGGAACTGCTCACTAGAATAAATGACTTGATTCTACTTATCATACAACCTTAAATCTTTTTAAATGTTAGGTTTCATGGAATTGCCTGAATTTCACATATTTAACTTCGTGCGGTAGGCAAGCCCAAATTTCCGCTGACAAAATTTCACTATTATGTCAATCTGAAATATTTCATGGGCATTAAATTCCACTGTTTGAAGAAATATCAAATTGAATTCAATGTTAAATCAAATTTTCACTGTGCCTTTAATTTCACGGTCTAGGCTCTTCAGCGAAAATAGTGAAAATTAGGCCACCTTGAAAATTTTGGCTTTTACAGTATTATATTTCAAAAATTGGCTTGTCTCTCACTTTCAAGGGTGAATATTCACATTCTTCATCAATTAATCAGAGATTCACTTTTCAGGATTTAAACAATCAAACTCATGTGGACACTTAACAAAGAAGTATCCTCTACTGTAGCACTTGTCAAAGAAGTATCCTCTACTGTAACTTCATACACATTGCCCACTGTTGAATCTTCCTGTCGAATCTCAGAGTAAAGTTTGATTCTGGAGGAAGCAAACATGACGATATCAGATGAGGAGAGCAAGCCTCTCATACCAAAACCAGATATTCAAGGAGGAACTAGAGAAGTTGATAATCTGAACAACCAGGCGACTGATGATCCAAACTTTGAAATAACGCCTGGGCAAGTCTTGGTACCACAGGATGAAAATGTAGGTCACTTTATATAAGTAGAACACAGTTTTGTAATTCCAATCTAAAGTGGGTCACTTATTCACAAAAAAATCCCTAGATGTGGGTAACATTTTGAAGAAAAAACTTACAACTGGGTCTACTTTTTGAAAATCCTGGGTGTTGTTCTTGAAAAAATCGCCGGAAGTATTTTTTTTTAAAAACTACCTCGTATGGGTCTATTTTTGAAATAGAAACCCTAGATGTGGGTCCATTTTTAGAGAATAAATCCCTTGATGTAAGTAGATATTTTGAATCCCAGCAGCACACTAAACAATAGCACAAAAGTACAAAAAGTTTACCAGTGACTACATTCACATTCTAGGCTTAGCAAAGTGTCTCTAGAGGTATCAATACAAATGAATAAAAATATGCAATAAAAATTAGATTGCTATTTTCTTCTAGGTATATTCATAAGTTTTAGATTAGGATAAAGTAGAAAGTATGAATTAACTGTAAGTACAATTACTCTAAAAACTTGAAAATTGACTTAAGTTTTTTTTGCAGTATAAGTTTAGTTTCCGTAAACTATGGGCCTTCACAGGTCCTGGTTTTCTGATGAGCATCGCCTACCTTGACCCTGGTAACATAGAGTCTGATCTACAGGCAGGGGCCATAGCTAAATACAAGGTAAATAATTAATTATTTTTACTTCAATAATTTGGATATTTAGTATTTGCATGCACCATGGTATGATTGCATGGACCATAGTGTGCTTACAAGAACAATGGTACAATTACCCGGGGCATAATGTGCTTACAAGGACCATGTTATGGTTACATGGACCATAGTTTGCTTACAAGGACCATGGTATGATTACATTGACCCTAGTCTGCTTACAAGGAGCATGGTATGATTACATGGACCATGGTATGCTTACAAGGAGCATGGTATGATTACATGGAGCATAGTGTGCTTACAAAGAAGGACCATAGTATGATTACATGACCATAATGTGCTTACAAGGACCATGGTATGATTACATGGACCCTAGTCTGCTTACAAGGAGCATTGTTTGATTACATGGACCTAGTCTGCTTACAAGGAGCATGGTATGATTACATGGACCATAATGTGCTTAAAAGGACCATGGTATGATTACATGGACCTAGTCTGCTTACAAGGAGCATGGTGTGATTACATGACCATAATGTGCTTACAAGGACCATGGTATGATAACATGGACCCTAGTCTGCTTACAAGGAGCATGGTATGATTACATGGACCATAGTATGCTTACAAGGAGCATGTTATGGTTACATGGACCATAATGTGCTTAGAAGGACCATGGTATGATTACATGGACCTAGTCTGCTTACAAGGAGCATGGTATGATTACATGACCATAATGTGCTTACAAGGACCATGGTATGATTACATGGACCCTAGCCTGCTTACAAGGAGCATGGTATGATTACATGGACCCTAGTCTGCTTACAAGGAGCATGGTATGATTACATGGACCATAGTATGCTTACAAGGAGCATGTTATGGTTACATGGACCATAGTATGCTTACAAGGACCATAGTATGATTACATGGAGCATAGTGTGCTTACAAAGAAGGACCATAGTATGATTACATGACCATAATGTGCTTACAAGGACCATGGTATGATTACATGGACCCTAGTCTTCTTACAAGGAGCATGGTATGATTACATGGACCATAGTATGCTTACAAGGAGCATGTTATGATTACATGGACCCTAGTCTGCTTACAAGGAGCATGGTATGATTACATGGACCATAGTATGCTTACAAGGAGCATGTTATGGTTACATGGACCATTATGTGCTTACAAGGAGCATGGTGTAATTACATGGACCATAGTATGCTTACAAGGAGCATGGTATGATTACATGGAGCATAGTGTGCTTACAAAGAATGACCATAGTATGATTACATGACCATAATGTGCTTACAGGGACCATGGTATGATTACATGGACCATAATATGCTTACAAGGAGCATGGTATGATTACATGGACCATAGTATGCTTACAAGGAGCATGTTATGGTTACATGGACCATTATGTGCTTACAAGGACCATGGTATGATTACATGGACCATAGTATGCTTACAAGGAGCATGGTATGATTACATGTACCATAGTATGCTTACAAGGAGCATGGTATGATTACATGGACCATAGTATGCTTACAAGGAGCATGGTATGATTACATGGAGCATTATGTGCTTACAAAGAAGGACCATAGTATGATTACATGACCATAATGTGCTTACAAGGACCATGGTATGATTACATGGACCCTAGTCTGCTTACAAGGAGCATGGTATGATTACATGGACCATAGTATGCTTACAAGGACCATAGTATGATTACATGGAGCATAATGTGCTTACAAAGAAGGACCATAGTATGATTACATGACCATAATGTGCTTACAAGGACCATGGTATGATTACATGGACCATAGTATGCTTACAAGGACCATAGTATGATTACATGGAGCATAATGTGCTTACAAAGAAGGACCATAGTATGATTACATGACCATAATGTGCTTACAAGGACCATGGTATGATTACATGGACCCTAGTCTGCTTACAAGGAGCATGGTATGATAACATGGACCATAGTATGGTTACAAGGAGCATGGTATGATTACATGGACCATAGTATGCTTACAAGGAGCATAGTGTGCTTACAAAGAAGGACCATAGTATGATTACATGACCATAATGTGCTTACAAGGACCATGGTATGATTACATTGACCATAGTATGCTTACAAGGAGCATGGTATGATTACATGGACCATAATGTGCTAACAAGGACCATGGTATGATTACATAGACCTAGTCTGCGTACAAGGAGCATGTTATGATTACATGGACCTAGTCTGCTTACAAGGAGCATGGTATGATTACATGGACCATAATGTGCTTACAAGGACCATGGTATTATTACATGGACCATAGTATGCTTACAAGGACCATAGTATGATTACATGGAGCATAATGTGCTTACAAAGAAGGACCATAGTATGATTACATGACCATAATGTGCTTACAAGGACCATGGTATGATTACATGGACCTAGTCTGCTTACAAGGAGCATGTTATGATTACATGGACCTAGTCTGCTTACAAGGAGCATGGTATGATTACATGGACCATAGTATGCTTACAAGGAGCATAGTGTGCTTACAAAGAAGGACCATAGTATGATTACATGACCATAATGTGCTTACAAGGACCATGGTATGATTATATGGACCATAATGTGCTTACAAGGACCATGGTATTATTACATGGACCATAGTATGCTTACAAGGAGCATGGTATGATTACATGGACCATAATGTGCTAACAAGGACCATGGTATGATTACATGGACCTAGTCTGCGTACAAGGAGCATGTTATGATTACATGGACCTAGTCTGCTTACAAGGAGCATGGTATGATTACATGGACCATAATGTGCTAACAAGGACCATGGTATGATTACATGGACCTAGTCTGCTTACAAGGAGCATGTTATGATTACATGGACCTAGTCTGCTTACAAGGAGCATGGTATGATTACATGACCATAATGTGCTTACAAGGACCATGGTATGATAGCATGGACCTAGTCTGCTTACAAGAAGCATGTTATGATAACATGGACCATAGTATGCTTACATGGAACATGGTATGATTACATGGACCATTGTGTGGTTGCTTACATGGTATGAATGCATGGACCATGTGAAGATTTTGACAATGGCTTGATTACACAGACAGTGATTTTGTTACATGGATCATAATCTGGTAACACGAACAGTGATTTGATGACATAGATAGAAAAAAAAATAGGTTTGCCATTTTTTGACCACCCTGTACTTGATAATGATATGCTTACAGCTTCTATGGGTGTTGATGTGGTCCACAGTGATGGGGCTCGTTCTACAACTTCTTGCTGCTAGGCTTGGCGTTGTGACAGGTACATTTGTGCTTTATGCTATATGCTTATTTTCAGAACCAGCTGGTTTTATTTAAGGATCACATGCTTCTGAGACTGCCTCTTCATCTTCTGAATTGATCATTTTCAATTTGTAAAGAACATATGCCAACTTGCTTATTTTACAAACTAAAATCAACAAAAACAATGAATTTGTATACTTATTTTACATGTGATAGAATCTTTAAACCATTTTTGGTTGAATGTATATATCTCTACTCTCATACTTTATGAATAAACTACCCTGAGTCTATACAAGTCTGAAGTCCACAACGTTTCATTCCATACCAGACCTAATGAAATAGATGCATTAATAATCATTCTGTACAAACTCTGTTGCTGTAGGATTCCGGCAAAGGCAGTAGTCAAGATTTTAAAACAGGAGAGGCGAATGATCATGATCCATTTTTATAATAAGATTAAATGTACTCAACAACAATCTGTGATGGGGTTTGTCTTACTTCTTGCCGCTAGGCTTGACTAGCAGCTACACTATTATGACTATGAAAAGGTTTCAAGTGGCTTAAATTGTAATATGTTGTTTGATATTGCCATTATGGACCTAGCTACTGTGTACCTTTAATTCTAATATGTTGTTAGATATTACAGGTATGCATCTAGCTACTGTGTGTCTTTGATTCTAATGTGTTATTTGGAATTGCAGGTATGGACTTAGCTACGGTGTTCCTCTGCCTTTAATTCTAATATATTGTTTGATATTACAGGTATGGACATAGCTAATGTGTGTCCTTAATTCTAATATGTTGTTTGAATGATATTATAGGTATCAGGGGTTTCACTAGAATTTCTCACAACAGGTTAAATAAATGAAAACAACAGTCAAAAATTATGGAAATCAGAAATTTAACATGGAAAAGTTGAAAAGACCCTCAAAACAACAGGCAATTTTGTGAAAACAACTGTTGAAAATAGCCTGTTGCCTGCTGCTAATGAAACACCTGGGTGTGGACCTAGCTACTGTGTGCCTTTAATTCTAATACATTGTATATTGTTTGATATTACAGGTATGGACCTAGCTACTGTATGCCTTTAATTCTAATGTGTTGATATTGCAGGTATATTTTTTGTTTTAATTCAAATATGTTGGGTGATATTGCAGATACGGACTTAGCTGTTGTTTGATATTACAGGTATGGACCTAGCTACTGTGTGTCGCATGGAGTATAAAACTGTGCCTCGTATTGTGCTGTGGTTGATGATGGAGATTGCCATCATAGGCAGCGACATTCAAGAAGTCATAGGGTCAGCTATCGCCATTAATCTGTTGTCCAATCACCTGTAAGTATTCTTCTAAGTTTCATTATTATTGCTTTGTGCATATGCTCTAAAGCAAACATCTAGAGTACACCTATAAATCTCTCATTCATTAATCATAGTCACACTTCTTAGTTATACCCTGCACACAGTCTAGTTATAAACTACCCTCTGCCTAGTATAGACTATGTTACAGTTTAGCAGCCCCGCCCCAAATATTGGTGCCTGTGACAGCCCGGGTAACAAATCATTTCAAACCTACCACGCTGACCCTTCCTCAACCAATCAGGGTAGTAGAAAGAACACATGCTAAATACATGCCCATTAACTGTGCTGTGATGTCAGAGGAAATGACCTTATTTTGAAATCCTCTTTCTAATGCTTCAGCTATCTAAATATGAAGTAAAAGTTCAAGATTCACATTTCTTACTGTTTCTCTATGTTGGTTATAGGGTGCCTATATGGGCTGGAGTGCTGATTACAGGGGTGGACACATTCACTTTTCTCTTTCTTGAAACTACAGGTTTGAGAAAACTTGAAGCATTTTTTGGAGCCCTCATCACAACTATGGCATTTACTTTCCTATACATGGTAAGTGTTTTATCATGTAGGTATAACAAGAGTTGGGTTAAAAGCACTTTCAAAAATTTACATTTGAATTTTTTAAAAACCTTTATTGTTGACTTATGAGAATATGACTGTAATGCACTAGACAAAAACATAATTGTAAATACGAAGCCAGAATTTTAAGATTAGCCCATCACAAGAAAAAAAAAGGTTTTTGCTCATATTCCTCAAATATGCACTTCATATTAGACTACTGTATGTCTTTCTATGGAATGTCAAAGTCAGTGTTTTGACCCTACCCCGTCCTAAATAGATAGCATTATTGGTAAACCAAATGGAGCCACAAATATATACCAACCTTAAATTCATATACATACATCCAGGCCCGTAGCCAGGATTTGCCAAGGGGGGGGTTCAGTTTTCAAAAATTTCCAGGGGGGGGTTCACATTTGACAATTTTGGAGCAAATATGGCTAAAATCACAAGAGAAGTGCTCAAAATGGTGAAAAACTGCATGATTTTTGATTTTTGGCCAGGGGGGGGGTTCGCCCGAACCCTGCGAACCCCCCCTGGCTAAGGGCCTGTACATCTGACCGTAAGATGTATTGTATAATTATTTCATTCCAGTATGTGACTGTTAAACCAGATCAAGGTGAGATCTTGATAGGGCTTTGGTTTCCATGGTGTCAGGATTGCAACACAGCAGCAATACAACAGCTTGTGGGTATTGTTGGAGCAGTGATCATGCCACATAATATATATCTGCATAGTGCATTAGTCTTGGTAATTACAATATTATTTTACATGAGCTGGTATTTCTTTCAATTGATTATCCCATCGAACGAAGTTCGGAGGGATATAGGGAACGCCTCCGTCCGTCCGTCCGTCTGTCCGTACGTCCGTCTGTCCGTCCGTCCGTCTGTCCGTCCGTCCGTCCGGGCAATAACTCAAATACCGTTGGCCCGATTTTGTTCATATTTTGTACACATATACCCTATGGGGGTAGAAGTTCTGCTCGAAAGCCGATTTTCAAAATGGCCGCTCATTTCAAAATGGCGGCCATTTTAGTGCCGAATTTACAGTAATTTAGGTGAAATATGTAAAACTGTAATAGCAATATGTTTTAGATGTAAAAAAATTATATAGGACATTAATAAAGCTAGAAATGTAGATATTAAAGAAGCACATGGCAGCCATCTTGAAAAATGGCGGCCTTTACTCGTTATTTTACGATTTTTGCTGTAACTCGAAAAGTAGTGGAGCAATTTTGTTCATATTTGGTATGTGAATACTATAAACATTGCACACTGTCTAAAGACACTTTTGGTAGAAGGTGGCCATTTTGAAAAATGGCCACCATTTTGAAAAATGGCCACCATTTTGAAAAATGGCCACCATTTTAACGTATTTTACTATAACTCGAAAAGTAGTGGAGCGATTTTGTTCATATTTGGTATGTGAATACTATAAGCATGACACACTGTCCTATGACACTTTTGGTAGAAGGCGGCCATTTTGAAAAATGGCCACCATTTTGAAAAATGGCCACCATTTTGAAAAATGGCCACCATTTTAACGTATTTTACTATAACTCGAAAAGTAGTGGAGCGATTTTGTTCATATTTGGTATGTGAATACTATAAGCATGACACACTGTCCTATGACACTTTTGGTAGAAGGTGGCCATTTTGAAAAAAATTTGAAAAATGGCCGCCATTTTAACATATTTTACTATAACTTGAAAAGTAGTGAAGCGATTTTGTTCATATTTGGTATGTGAATACTATAAGCATGGCACACTGTCTAATGACACTTTTGGTAGAAGGCGGCCATTTTTCAAAATGAAAAATTGAAAAATGGCCACCATTTTAACGTATTTTACTATAACTTGAAAAGTAGTGGAGCGATTTTGTTCATATGTGGTATGTGAATACTATAAGCATGACACACTGTCCTATGACACTTTTGAAAGAAGGTGGCCATTTTGAAATTTTTTTTGAAAAATGGCCGCCATTTTAACGTATTTTGCTATAACTCGAAAAGTAGTGAAGCGATTTTGTTCATATTTGGTATGTGAATACTGTAAGCATGGCACATTGTCTTATGGCATCCTTGGTAGAAGGTGGCCATTTAGAAAAATGGCCACCATTTTAACTTTTTTACTATAACTTGAAAAGTAGTGGAGCGATTTTGTTCATATTTGGTATTTATGAATACTATAAGCATGGCACATGGTCTAATGACACTTTTGGTAGAAGGCGGCCATTTTGAAAAATGGCTGCCATTTTTGCTATATACTTTGTTTGTAAAAATGCCATCCATGGCTGTTCGATGGGATTCGCTACGCTTTGGCGTTGCCGTTGTTCTGGTTTGTCTAACAGTCTAATGGTACATTATTAAATAGTCATTAAACTGAAATGGCAGCATTTTTTGTCAGTCAAAGAATCAAAATTAAACATTGATGAATTGATTGAATAATTTACGATTTTAACATCAAAGGATGAAATATTCCAACAGTGTACTATCAAACTTTTTTTTTTATCGAAACTTTATCTTTGGTTTTTTGTTAGTGAAGTGTGACGTTGATCAATGCAGAGTCTCTTATTCATTTCGATTGTATTATATTGTATGTGATAGCCTTGTTTGTCTTTCACCTTTCCCAGATTACATGTACATTGAAACTAAGTTATGCCTTGTAATTTTAGTCAAGAAGTATTAATAGACGTAATGGGAAAAAGATTGAAGAAGCCAATATGTATTATGCAATCGAATCTGGTAAGTCTGATCATAAAAATGCTGAAATTATAGTCAGGAAGGAGTAAAGTAGAATTATTTAAAGGAATTACTTGAAAGATACACATAATAAAATCCGAAGCAATACATCTTCTCAATCAATATGAAATTTGAGAAAATATCAAAAAATCAGTTATTTTGGCTGTTCTATTGGTCTGCCTCCTATTTATACCCTATGTCCCTCTTTAATCGTGTTGATATCTCAATTGAAAGCAGTTTTCATGTACCGATTTTGTCATTTTTATGTCACCATCAGAAGTTTTGGTGGTCAGCTTTCAGCAGTTGGTGATCGGTGTCTGTAACAAATGTCAGGTGGTGATATTTTGCATGTTAATGCCTTGTTATTTGTGTTTACCTGTAATATTAAAGTGAGTGACTAGAACACATTTGATCACATGATTGTTCATTTGTGTTGATGTGACTCCCTTCACTGTATAAAGAGTCTAGTGAATATGAAGGCGAGGATATTCAAAATCAATGCCTTCACTTTCACGAAGTGAAATGTGCTTTTTCCCCTGCCTCCAAAGAAATGTATCATATATTCAAAGGATGATGCTGAACTTATCTCTCTTCCAGCAATTGCACTGTTTGTATCATTTCTGATCAACCTTTTTGTGGTAGCAGTGTTTGCAGCAGCATTCTCTGGGGATCAATTCCAAGATGCTAGCCTCTCAAAGGCGGTATGTATGAATTATGCTATATACATCTCATCTAAAGTATGCGATGCACTAGGCCTCATGCAATATTTTTTGGTTAATCATAGATCTTTTACATAATTTTTGAAGTAAATTACATTTCTTAAAAAGCTAATTATATTTGATCTGTAGTAACATAAAATTTTATTTGATATACACTACATGTACATTATTTTGGAATTTTCTAATGTACAAAAATAACCCGGCTTGTACATCTCAAATAAAAATAAATCTGATGACTAGAACAAGATTTTTTATTATATGGAATTGCATAATATGTAATATTCCAGGGAGAGTGGATCAATGCAAAATATGGACTGGGTATGAAGATTATTTGGGGGATTGGAATATTAGCAGCAGGCCAGAGTTCTACTATGACAGTAAGTATGACCAATTTGTTAAATTCTACCCTGAATTCCCCATTGGTTAGCCACACTCCCCTCTGACTATTATATATGATTTTACAGTTTTTATGCAGATGAGATTTTAGTGATTTCTTTTATGGGAGTTCAATATGAAATTTAATGTAAGGCAATATATTCTGATTGAATATACATAGATTAGATCAAGCAATTACATCTCATTAAGAGTGAAGACAATATCAAGGTCTTGCATAGGGTTGCGTCATTTAATACAGGGTGCATCACAACATATGACCATCTTAAAGATTCTTAAAATAAATAGTTTAGGCTTTAAAAAGAGAATGACTTTAAGGTTCTAGAGTGTCTACCAGCACAGCTTTTACTCTATGAGCATTTGTAAGTCTAAACTCTCAAATTCAATGTGTATCCTCGTAACTATATTGTTGAGAAGGTATATACCTAGTATATGGTTTAGAATTCACTTGTAATCTTGTAATCTCCTGATACATTAGAAGCAAACTAATCTGATTTCTTACACTTTACAGGGTACTTATGCAGGTCAATTTGTCATGGAAGGGTTCCTGAAGATTCATTGGGCAAAGTGGAAGAGAGTATTACTGACTAGATCCATCGCCATGGTACCAACCATAGTTGTTGCAGTTTCAGCTACTAGTTATTTAGACTCTCTCAACACATGGTTGAATGTGCTACAGAGTGTACAGCTCCCATTTGCCTTACTTCCTATCCTTCATTTAACCAGTAGTTCAAGAGTTATGGGGACATTTAAAAATGATAGGTGAGTTGCCTACCATTATCACTTTAGTATATGATATGTGAAACCTGGATACATAATCAATAATTAAAGTTATATTACAATTTCATATCTGAAGACTGAAATGTTCTTAACAAACTTATATTTCAGGTTATCAGTTATTCAGTTATCAGTAGCCAATTTTAGTCATATCATAGATACAGTACAGTAAATGTACCTGTATATCTGAACACCTCTCTTATCTGATTTCCTCTGATTATGAATGTTTTTCCTGTGTAATCTGCCTTGGATAACCATGTTAAATAAAAAACTCAAAATATGAACACCCGCCAGACAAACAAACAAGCTAATCCAAAAACTTTTGGCAGGTCTCAGTGGGGTCTGGACAAGGCGGGTTCTAGTGTATCTTGATTCAAGGCTGTGATCCTCCAAACACAGATACAGAATACACATATCACAATGCGGATCACCTTTAACTGAAAATAATTGAATACACTTTTTGTATACTGTTTTGTAGAATAACAAAAATGGTAGTCTGGCTGCTGGCAGTCCTAGTCCTAAGCATCAATTTTTACTTAGTCTATCTACAGGTTAGTGCACAGATTTCTTATTTGTATGTGTATTATTTTAATATGCATATTAAATGCAATATAAAAATATCTTACACTAAGATTTATCTTTATAAAAAAAATCTATGTACATATTTAAAATCTTTGTGAACTTTTAATCAAACATGCTTAACACTAAGGGATTGTAAATAATTAAATGTGTTCTTTCTCTACATGAAGTTGAAGTTCAGCATTGATTTTCTGTGAAGCTCGATCGGAAAACAACAGAGCATTGTCTGTTACCAACCAACATGACAAGTAGTCTTGACTCAAGCCTTTGAGAACACCCCATCCCTACCTTATCAGGAGGTCAAGAGACTTGATGCAAGACTACTAAGTGGCTCATAGCCTATGACCTCTTCCCACTGTCAAAGCTAGCCTTTTGGTTTAGTGTTAAAATGTTTTGAGGAGACCTCCAAGACATATGTAACATAATTTTAGGTGACAGTTGCTCTCAAAGTATATGTCTCAAAGTCACCAGAAAAATATGAAAAATATTTCATATGGTTATTATCACCATTTTTATGGTCGCCAACAAATTTTCTAATAATCACTTGAAATATTTAGTTTGAACAAGAAATCTTCATGTTCTTAACACTACCCTAAACAGACTGTGCTAAACGAAAACAAGGGGTGCAGATATTGTGTGCGCGAGCTGAGGATATTAACGGTCATTTTTGAATTTGAATTTGTGATATTTCATTACCTAAGACATGTTGGGTACTCAATTATAGTCATCCATTTGTAGGATACCTAATAAAAGGGAAATTTTGTCTATAGTTGTATTCTTCATTCTTTAAAGACGCACTAAGCATTCATCCTTGCTCCATAGCAAAGAATTTGAAATGGCTACTTTATTACACAGTTTACAGCCTTCATTTATTTATTTATTTAGTAATGGTGATCAAGATGACCAATCGATATAAATTTTTTTTGCATTTTGAAAGTCATAAACTTTCTGTGTGAATTTTTAAAAGATTGAAAACATTTATCCTATATGTGCTACCTCTAAACAAACGGTGCGGATATCCTCGGATATACTGCTTGTTTAGAGGTAGCACAATTTTGATTTGATATGTCATATATGTGAAACAGCTTCAAATTATTTGCTTTGGAGCTGGTATTATTGCTTAATGTGTCGCTATAGAATGAACTACACACCTATTTTCACAATTTCCTTTTTATTAGGGAACCTGTACACATGTATGAATATAATTGAGTACCCAACATGCCTTAGTTGGTGAAATATCACGAAATCAAATTCAAAAATGACCGTTAATATCAGCACCTTGTGCACATGATATCTGCACCGCTTGTTTTTGTTTAGCACAGTCTGTATAGAGTGAACACCTTCAGAATGCACACATTTAACAATGTTGAAAATATTTCCCCTTGTTTGGGTAGCAGTAAAATGCCCTTGCAAGCATCATCATTTGCTGAATTATTACATAAGTTTCTATTTTTGTTATACGCATACTTCAAAGAAAAATATTTTTTCAGGTGAATGACACAACATGGTGGGTGTACCTGATAGTTGCTATAGTAACCATTATCTATATGAGCTTTATCCTGTATCTTGTAAGTACTGCATAATTTTCTCGTATCATTCACATGTGAATATATCAAGGATAATTTTTGTGCAATATACTTAAAAATTCAGAAATTATTACCTTTTTTGATGAGATGCCAACTTTGAAATCGGAAATTGATTCTCACTCTAGTGTCTAGAAAAAATACTAGATATAGTCTAGTATCCATGAAGTCCATTTATATTTCTTAATCAAGAAAAAGATAAAACAAATTATTATTGCAAAATTTCAAGTTTACATGTACAGGAACAGTGTTGAAACTTTTCCTCAAATACCCACAACATTTGAATTATGCATTCTGCATCTTTTGAAGAGAATATATGCAAATCACCCATTTTTGGGCCACCTTGAAGAAAACTCATATTTTTCTGTTTTTTCTGTTTTTCAGGCTATCGGAATCAGAAAGGGAATAGAACTGAAGATGTGGGTATATACAAAATTGGGAAAAGATATCACATACTTAGAAGAAGAACTGACTCTACACGATACACAGCTTTATATTAATCTTTCTGAAACCCCAGCGACTGGCAATAACACAAACACATATGGCACATCTGTACAAAATGGATTACAACCCATAACCTAATTTATAAGTGAATATGCAGTATTACATTATTATCAAGAAATTCTTGGAAGGACGGGGTTGCAATCACAATTACAGGTTTAATATTTGCAAGGCATACATTTTAGGTCTTCCAACATCATGAAAAACTGCTCCCTTTCCACTGATTTGCCAATACACCAGGATTGTGTGAGATATGAAATGGGATGGGGAATTTTCAAAATAAAAATTGGGTTGTTAAATTCCCTACACAGAGACCAACCTAGTGAGTCAATTTTCCCAATCTGGGAACAATAATAGCTTGTTAACTAAATCGAATTCAAAAGTCCTTTTTCCCAGGATGAAATACAATGTCAAAATTTCAACAATACAGTGTGTCAAATTCCCATTCCTCTCCACAGGGGGGTCTCATGCAAACTTTCTATTGGTGCACATTAAAAAGTGAACAAAAAATATGAATATGCCATTACTTAAATGTGCCAATTTTGTATGTTACATGTTCTGTTCATTGATATTTCTGGCTACTCTTGGAGTGGTTGTTTTCTATACTTTGTTTATTGTACCTTGTGTTCATACATGAGAAACAGAAAAATGTAATAATCAAAAACAGATTTTGAAGTACAGATTTCTATTGAAATCCATATTTTCTATCTTTATATACCTCAATATTGTAATTATACTGGCAGATTTTGGATATAGGGTTTAATTCCCTCAGTATCATTGCGTTGAAGGATTAACCATGAAGTAAGCTCGCCAGTAATATATATGATGCACTGATATGAAACGCTTATACATGATATATCTTGCAAGATGCTCAAATATTGATAAACAAGTTTTGTAAAAAGAAGTTATTCACCAAGAAGTTATTCACCAAGAGGGATTTGATATAGGAAATATCACAAGGATTATATCAATATTTTATATTTCCTGAGGGAACGCAGTGACAGAGGGAAATATTGATATCATTGGAGGGATATTGCTCATATCACCCCCACAGGTGAATAACAACCTTATACCATGGTCAAGAGCAATATCTACCTAAAATCCTCTGTTGAATGTGAAAAAATGAAAATTTTAGTTTTTGAAAAAATGAAAATAAAAGTAAACATATTTGAAAAAATGTAAAATTTTGATAATTTTGGTATCCTTATCATCCATCTAATCCCAATATCATCCCTATCCCAAACGTGTGATTTATCACTTGCTATTATATACCTGATACTGCTCCTTACCATGGTATAATGTATTTATTATATATTTTTTGTAATGAATATATAAGAGATTTTGTATATGGAGGACTGCGAGAGACTATTTCTCAAATTAGACTATGGTTCTCTTACCCAATTCAAATGTGTTTTTGTATGTCAATTGTGTATCCATCCATTTTCTTGAAAGCATAATAAATGATGATGATGATTGGAATTTTTTATTATGTTCTCCTTGCAGATTAATGAAATATGTGGAATTCGAGCCAAAACAGGAACACTGTTTTTACAGTAATTAAACAACCTGACACATTTTACTGGTACATGTATATTCACTTTTATTTTTCACAATTGAAATAATAACATACATATTTCATAGTTTTTATCACAAAATCTTAAGATTCATCATGTAATCTAGTGTTACGATTAATTTCTAGATAATGTTACATTTAATTTACTTTTTGATATAATTGTACATGCACTATGCTTGCTCTCCTTTATAATACAGGGGAGGTAAATTATGGGCAAGAAAAACAGCTTCTCAAGTGGCAACTGACACACTGTAAAATTTTACCTGAGAGATGACATTATAAAATAAATAAATTAAAAAATTTAAATAAACATCAAATTAGATTTAACATGTTAAGGTCATCACGGAATTCAAAAGCATGTGTTAAAAGCCCAAAGATTTACTGATTTTGCAAGATATAAATTATTCAAATTTTTCAGCTGTAATGGCAAAATCCACAAACTCAATCCAGTAGTTTAAGATGGAAAATATTGAACAACAGATAAAACAGTTTACAGCTGAAAGTTAAGTTGGAATTCTTCCTGTTTCAAAGAAAACCTACTACGCATCATATTTCATTGTGCATAACACATTTTATTAAGTTAAAAGTACATTTAGTTTTGTGAAGGTGACCAACCTGTAAGCAAGGAATCAAACAATGAAATCACGAAAGTCCATTTAGATGGCAAGTGATCATGTATTTTTACAAGGATATTACGAACATCTGTTTTTTTATATTCATTTTATTTGTAAAGCCCCCTCCTTCACCAACTTCAGTTTTCATCAAAATACAGTTTAAACTGTCTTCCTTCTGAAACAAAATATACTTTTCTGATTTTTCCCCAAAAACTTGACCATTGAAGCAATTTTAGGAGCAGATGTTCTATCACTATGATGCTTTTGGAAAACTGGTTTTAATTTCCCCGACTGTAAGAACCCTACAGACTACTCATTCCCAAAGCTTATTATAGTCCTAAATTATAACATGTAACAATTATCTGCAAATATATTTGAAGAAATATATAATAATTGATAGTTACACCAAGCCAATAATAAATCCATCAGTTGTATATCACACATGGCATGATAAATGTGAAACTCTGATTTTTAACTACAAACAAACTACTATATCACTTATACTTTATATTCTTATACTTATATTCTACAATTTCCCTAAGAGTATGTATTATTGAACTATTAAACCATTCATTATTGAACTAAATCAATGTATTTGAGTTGTGATTTACTATTTACATCTGGTGATTTGACAAGTGATCATGTCATGTCAATCCAAAACATACCAATTTGTAATATTTGTTTCTCTGGTTAAAAACTGTACATTCAACACCCTAATAAAAATCTTAATCATAAAATATTTAAAAAATATTGAAGCAAACCACCTACTCTAGAATAAATATTACATTTTGTCACTGTGCAAATCAACCTAATATACCAACCTTTGTTTAAAGGCAGAATCAGATATACATAAGAGGTGACAAAATTGCAAGTAACATGTACAGTTAACCTTTCAATATACTCCTTACAATATCAAATACAATATCTCCCAAAAGTTCTGGGATATGTTATAAATTGGTGAAGTTATTAAGAATTCAAAGTGCAAAAATGGGGGTGGAGGATGTGTAAATTCTCCCAAATAATAATAAAATAAAAAAGTTTTCCTGAAATGAAGCATGCACTTTAGGGATTTTTAGAAAATAGACATGACAAGGAATGATATTATGAGCCAATAATATTCTCAAATAGAAACAACTTTTTGTTAAGGCTGCTCACTAGATCTGATTCCCCCTTTAAATTGACATTACACAAATAATATATGTTATGACATACTGGCAGCACATCAAATCTTTGAGATTATCAAGCACTGGTTTGATAATCTATGAGACTACAACCTGGTTTGCAGTTGTATTACCCTAAAATAATTCAACCCTTCCATGATAAACTCACTTTAGCTAAATCTCTATCCTATTCACCCTCGATGGTTTATCTGTGAAGTGAAATATCATCAGGTAGACGACATTTGGACACCATTCCTACCCTTAGCCATTTTTTAACAGAATGTCATCACTTGTTTTTCTATATGACAATCCTGATGCCAAAACTAAATGTTAAGATATTTCTTACCCTTACCGGGATGTTGGTGGTGGGGATGAATAGGGGGATGGTAGGTCTGTGTATTTGTGTAACGAGGTTCATATACAGGTTGATTAGCAGGGCCAGAATAACCATACCCTGACTCGTAGTACACGTCTGTACTGCGGGGGATAGGCATAGGTTGAGGGGGTGGGGGGTCAGGGGTACGGGTAATTTGCGTAGGAGGCTCAGGCATTCGTGCCATTTGTGGTTGATTTATAGTCTGCTGAGGGATGGGATTCATGTGATGATTATTTTTATTACCACCACCCACCTTCTCGTAATATACATCTTGGTTACGTGCATTTTGTGGACCTTGATTATTTTTGACATTATTTTCTACACAACGCTTGTGATGTGCCACAGCATATGTTTTAGCCGTGAAACCTTTCCCGCAAAGACCACACTTAAATGGCCGCTCCCCAGTGTGACTACGCATATGGACAACAAGCAGTCGAGGAGCATAGAAGAACTCCCCACACTCCTTACATTTATGTGGCCTCATTTTCAAATGAACTCGATCATTATGTGCCTTAAAGGCTTTCTTTGATGACAACTGCTTGTTACATTCCCTGCAAAAGTTTTCTTCTCTCGCTTCCTCATGAGTCTTTTTATGATTGTACATTGCTGTTTTGGTTTTACAACTCACACCACATATATCACATAATGACTCTTCATGTTCATTCCGCACATGTTCATTCACCTCCAATCTGGTTTTGGCTGCATAATTGCATGTTGAACAGATGTACACATACATAGTCCCTGTGAATGTTTTTAAAGCATCCAAGTCTTGGCATTTCACATTATGATGGCTCCATAAATGTGGACGCAGAGACTGTAAGCTATCAAAGTAGGCATCGCTACATTGTGTACACTTTATCTTCGATTTGAAACGATGGTGAATTCGATCATGTTCTCCTTTACTACCAGCATCAAAAGTCATCCCGCAACATGTTATCTTAAACTCACTTCCTTTCTTTTTCGGTTTGTACTCAGTGAATTCATCGTCATGTTCCTCCTCATCATCATCCTCCATTGCAGAGTCGTCATCTTCATCATAGTTATCATCATAATCAGAGGGGGGTTTAGTGTCCAACAAGCCTTTAATTGCATTTCCAAGCTCTGGATCCGAGTACAGTTCCTGGGTGATTTCCTCCAAGGAAGCATTTCCCTTACTTAAAGCCTTAGTGCTTATGTCAGCAAGATTCTTTAAGGTATCAGCTGGGGACTTATCAGTTGCACTTTTAGGTACAAAGAATATAGTTGGTTTCAGCTTTTGATTCGGAGCTAAACTTTTGGCAATTGGAGTAATGGCTTTAGATGTTACTGTGGGTACAATCAAATTACTGCTTGGTTTCCTCTTTTTTTGTTTTCGAACGTTTCGTTGATTTTTCTTCCTCAGATATTTCATACGTTTTGCTGTGAATGATGCCCAGAATGTTCTCTCATCAAACTTAGAGTCCTTCATTAATTTTTCCTTAGCTGCCCCAAATATTTCTGTATGGGAGTCTATTATGTGTTCCTTGATCTTCTCTACTGAAGTACTAACACTGCCAGGTGCAGACAGGGGACATAAAGTGCATTGGAAGCATGGTCTAATGTACTTCTCAATTTCTGAAAAAAATCAGATGACAACGAGGTTATTATATAGCCTACAAAATTTTTATTATTGTATATCAAATATTTTATGAATTAGAATAAAAATTTTAGGACTTATGGGACAACCCCCGTAGGTACAAAATATTTCAGAAACATATAAAATGTGCATCTGAGAGACACCATATCATATATGGTACTTCAAGTGAGTAAATTGTTCAAATGAAGCAGATAACATTCCCGATTAAGATACATTTGTTTGATGCTAATAACAATGAACATTTTATTATTTTCAAAAATATCGATACTAGTCTAACGATATAACAGTGTACCGTAAACCATAAGATTCAGGTTTGTATTACAATTGCACACAATTTACCTAAGGACAATTTATCCTTCTCCTTAGACTGAAACACAACCAGTTCTTCCCCTGGCTTTGCCTTCTTCTGTAAATAAAAACAAGTCAAAATTAGACACAATATATGTAATAAGGTGCTTCACCCTGTAAATAGGGCATAACATGTCACCACTTGCAAATTGTTACAAAATTGTAGTAATTCTTACTGATGCAAACAGACCTATGGAAAAGTTTTCAGGTCAGTTTGAAGAGGTAGGTGTGAAGAGGTATGAATGATGTGGCAGCAATGAAAAGAAGATTAGAGAGTGTAGCTTTGTATCATCTAGAAATAATTGTGATATCTGATGAAATAAGGAAGTCATTGAAGATTTAAGATACAGATAGGTTAAAATTATTTATAGAATTTTCCTCTTTAAGGAAGAGCAATTCAGTTTGATGACTGATATTCGCTGGTTCAGTGATATATAGTTCTAGATGGCCATAATACTAGTAAGCATGTTATCTAACCTCGGGTACTGTATCCTGGTTCTTAGTGGGACTCTTAGTGGGCCAGAGCTTGTGGGTTATTCCTCTTTTTCTCCCTCGTTTCCTTCCTCCACTTCCCACTTCATTTCCAAAGAAGTCAAGTATCTCTCGCTTACTTGGTATTACACAATCGGACAGAGTTAGAGTTGTGGCATCCTTATTTGGCTGTAAGATTATGATTTTTGAATCCCCCACTGGTTTAGACTGCTCTGGGTTGAGATCATTGATTCCCTTCTGGAAAAACTTAACCATCTTTGCACGCTTAGGCAGTGTGATATTCGTGAAGGTTATAGTTGTAGGGGCTTTATTAGGTTCTAGAATGATGATCTTTGATGTGTTATTATCAAGCAATTGCTTAACTGTTGGAGGCTTTTTGACGCTGGAGTTTTCTGTGGGCTCAGTTTTTACAGAGCCATCTGGTGGAGACACCTGGGCTGCCTGGGATCCTGTACTAGAGGGCAATTTTATACCTTGCTTGGCTATAGCTTGGCTAATCTGAAAAATGGCAAGAAGCATGTTTACTTTACAAATCAAAGATTTTAACAAAATGTATCATCCAAATTAACTTTCAAAATGTCCGTTATTACTGTCATAAAAAATATTTTTAAACAGCTGTATTGGTACTCAGCTCACTACTAAACTTCTGGGTGCTTCAAATTAAAACAGTGAACATTTAATAATAACAGATTGGCAAGTAGATATCGCTCAATGTCTGAACTTTAAAAGATAAACATGGCATATATTAGCTTATACTAGGCGATTGGGACCGTAACCACGAGGTTGCGAGTTCGAGACGTGTGTGCTCCTTGCGTTTATTCATTGTAAAAGTTCATACCTGTTTGCCTAATTCTGTAAGTCCTTTGGGGGGTTTTGGTACATCACTTGGAGTAGCTTTGGTTGGTGATGTCTGGGTAGTCTCCCCACTATTATCCACAGGTTCTTGCTTAACTATTGGTTTAGATTTCACCTTGGTTGTAAAGGTATGATCCCTGATAATATCCGACACAGATGCTTGAGTGACCATTCTTATATCCACCTTAGGATCACGAGACTTTGGTAATATAGTGCGAGGCACTACAATAGTGGTGGCAGGATTTGGTAAAGTTTTAATGATCTGATATGTCATATTTGGTGCAGCTTTTGGTAAGATTAAAGGAACATTTGGTTTAATCGGGAATAATATTGGCATTCCTGGTTTTATGGTTGAATTAGTCATTAATCCAGGTGAGGAAGCCAATGAGATTTGATTAGCTGCAGACTTGGTTATGTTTGCTTGAGGAGTAGGCTTTGTTGAGGTTGTAGAGGAACCACTTGATGTGCTTGTTATAGTTGAAGATGAACTGAGACTTGCTAATGCAGTAGCAGCATTTGACTCTGCGGTAGGTGTTGACAGTGACGAAGTGGTTTGCTTCATGAGAGCAGCACTGATCTGTAATTGCAAATAAAATATAAGAATTAATGTTACTATTCAGTGTGTTCAAAATAAAATATTCAAAGTGACCTACTTTTCAATCTGAAAGGTTTCAACCCAAGTAAAAATTGAAACTGAACATGCGTTAAATAAATAAATCTTGCGCAAAATACTCAGACATCAAAAAGATAATTCATATCAAAATATAAGATGTTAGTGCAACATTATTGTCATCAAGGCACAATCCTTACCTGTTTGCCTAGCTCCATTGGCTTGGGGATATTAGCCTCTTGGGCCGCCATGCCTCTAGACCCCGCGGGGATTTTAGGTAAAGAGGATAAACTGCCTGGAGAACTTGATGCTAAATATGCTTTATAAGATCATCTGGAACAAAGATGGAAATACATGTAGACATGGGCGTAGCGCCCGGTACGCTTGGTATGCACAGGCGTACCAGATGGTTGCAAATTCGCTCCAAATACAACCAAATTTTCCTAGAACCCAGACCCCCCGAATGCTCGTTTTTGGATTCACTCAACTCTTGTTCCTGTGGTCATGGCGTGCTACATAGAAAAATAGCGCTACGCCCATGGTAGATACAGTCGACAAAAGATACAGATTCTTGTTAGATTGGATCGCACATGACTGACATTCTAATTTCAAGTGACATCGGATGAGGGAAGCTCAATTACAAAAATCTATAATTTATAAAACAAATACCAATAATATCTATCAAACCTAATAATAATCACAATAATATAATCATGAGTTAATACTGTATTTAGAGTATGTAGTGAGGCTAAAGATAATAAAATTAGATTGAAGATCACGCCCAATGATCAGAGAAAATGAATGGAGGGGGGAGTAGCCAATTTTTGCAAGAAAATTCAACAAATCTTGAAGATTTATTTTTTCAAGAGAAAGTTTACAATTGAATTGCTTTAACAAGTCATTAACATGACAAAATGTCACCATCTAGTTGTTCACAACATTATTAGTTCAATCTTAAGTAAGATTTGAATTTCTAAAAAAATTGGTCAATTTGACCCTGAGAAGGTCATTGAAGGTGAAATCTCAAATCTAAAATTAGATTTGAACTTCTGAGAACTTGCAGAAAAAGAATTGTCAAGCAAGTTGAAAACAGACCTTTTTGACCCTGTGAAGGTCATTAAAGATCAAATCTTTTTTGACCTTGAGAAGGTCATTGGAGGTCAAATCTGAACTCCGTCAGATTTGAACTTTTGAGAACTTTGAGATGATTTTGAAAATAAATTGGTCAATTGAAAAAAGACCTTTTTGACCTTTCTTTGACCTTGAGAAGGTCATTGAAGCTCAAATCATAAATGTAAAGTCAGATTTGAACTTCGGATAACTTGTAGATGGTTTTGAAAAAGAAATTTGGTCAATTTGAAGCAAGTTTAAAAAAGACCTTTTTGACCTTTTTTAACTTTGGAAAGGTCATTAAAGATCAAATCTTAAATGTTAAGTTAGATTTTAATTTCTGAAAACTTGTAGATGATTTGGAAAAAAATTGAACTCAGTCTAAACAGTATTTGGTAAGTTATTGGAAGTTTTAAGAATTTGTTACAGACGCCAACCGCCGCCTGCCACCCCCCAATCGCCAACCACCAACCGCCGTCACAAAAAAGGGGACCATAACAATATGTCACCACTTCTTGGTGGTGACATCACATAATGAATAGGGACATGACATGGGGATTGAAACGTTCAGGATTTTTTTAACCGATAGAGTCACCAACGTGCAAATGTCAATGTTTATGCTATAAATCAAGCAACAATGGTCTACATGAGCTGTAATAAATACTTATAAGTGATGTTTTTATCACAAAATTAATGTCATAGCTGGTTTTTTAATGAGTTTGCATACGCTAGATAAAAAATAATCAAAAATAATTAAGATTGAACGGAGGGGGGAGTGAACGCAGGGGAGTATTATGTTTCTAAGGTGGAGAAATTTCTGCGAATTTGTGTATTTGGAAAATGAACTCAGTAGCAATTAACTGAATGTTACAACTCTGAAGATTGAAAATTGAAAAATACATTTTGAGTCATTGGAAATAGAGTCATGTTACATCTCTTAACATATGTCTTATCATAACTCCCCCTCCATTCAATTTTAATTATTTTCGTTATTCTAAAAATAATTTTGTGATAATAACGTCACTAACAAGTATTTATAACAGGTCGTGTTGACCCCCGTTGCTTGATTTATACCAAAAACATTGGCATTTGCATGTTTGTGATCCTGTGCCTTTTTTAATAGGTCTTATATATTAAGGTCAGGGTGCATGATGGGAAATTTTCTGCATTCCTCAATTGAGTCACATGTTATTTTTCAAACAAAAATCACTCCTTCCCTTCATTGTCTATATCTTCCAGTTTTGCACAAAGAGTGCACTTATGTGCCTAGAAAAGACTTGTGAGAAGAATGTTTTGATAAAGTGTATAAAAAACAAGAAAATTCAGTGAAAAAAATCAGAAACTTTTCAGAAATTTTTTTCACTGAATTTTCTCATTTTTTATACATTTTACAAAACAAACCTTCTCACAAGGCTTTTCTAGACACAGAAGTGCACTCTTTGTGCAAATTTGGAAGATGTAGACAATGTGGGGAAGGAGTTATTCATGTTTGAAAAATAACATGTGACTCAATTGAGGAATGCAGAAAATTTCCCAACATGCACCCTGTCCTTAAAGCCTATCAGTTCAAAAAGAACCTAGAAGACCCAACATAATTCCCCGTGTCGTGCACACATTGATCTAGCAATTAAATTCAATTGTAAACCCCCGGGTTGTAAACTTTCTCTCCCAGTTCCAGATTTGTTGAATTTACTAACGAAAATCAGCTACTCCCTCCTCCGTTCATTTCTTCCGATCACCAGGCATGAAGATTTTAAAAGCAGACCCACAACTTCAGTATGCAGTTCAAATCAAGATTCTTTCTTCCCCTCAATAACCATACTCACAGCTCATACTGACTGTAAGCAGACCCCTTTTTTATTTCATTCTCACTCACTCAGTCTGCAAAATATAACAGACCTAAACATAGAAGATCCTATCAACGCTGGCTTTGATAAACGAAAAAAATAAGTAATGATTTATGAACAAATCTGAGTGATAAATGTATAAATACATCGAGCCGAATGAGTGTCTATTCATTTTCGATTCAGCTTTTCTTTCAAACACAGGAGGACTCAAGGAGGAAATGGACTCCCATCAAAATTCGAGACAAAAATTTACGAACTTTGCATAAAGAATCTGCTATTTGTATGAGTGATGCGTTCACAAACTGATGTCCTGGATATTCCCTAGGAGCAAATCTTTCATACAGACAATAAACAGTAACTTATTCACCGTTAATTACTTACCAAATGCACTTTGGAGATGTTCAAATTTCCTCCACGACAATATAGCCGTAGCCTCGTTTTCGATAAAAAGTTTCAAATGCTACTTATAGATGTCAGGAGAGTATGTGAACACTCATCAATATCTATATCATTATATCTCCCAGTCCTAATGGCATTGGACTTGCAGAGATTATAGTCCAACGGGAAAATGTTGTAAACTGAATATAGAAAGAAAGGGGAAAGTGTAGTAAACTGAATATAAAAAGATATCATATGTACCAAACTGAATATTATACAAATATTTAATTCTTAGATTCTATTGAGGTGGATACCTGTGCATCTTTCACAAGTGATATAATATTCCACTAAGCCTGATGGGCTAGTGGAATATTATCTTGTGAAAGTGTCACATGTATTCACCTAAAATAGAAATAAATATTTGTTTTATGCTTAATTAAAGCCTCCATGGATACCTTTAGGCCTGTAGCCAGCTTTTACATGGGGGGGGGGCATCGGTTTTACCAAGGCGGAGCTTTTGTCAAAGGGGAAGCTTTTTGACAGTTTTGGTTAAAAAATTATGCTCAGAATGGTGAAAAACTGCATGATTTTGAAAGAATTTCTGGCAAGGGGGATTTTAATCTTTACTTGGTGTACCCTGACCTTCTAGCCTGACCTTGCAGGATCGAGGTTAAAATAGTTCTGCACACACGACCATTGCCCATTACTACATACATCGTATGTGGAGTTTTAGAGACAGTTGAGTATTAGAGACAAATTGGACACACTATGCTAGAATCTTTGAAATAAAAAAAACATTTTTTAATGTTATAACATGATAATTTATTTAGTATAGACCATAATCATTTATAATGATTTTATGGATGATCTTACATTCTAATAACAATATATGTGTTGTCACCAGTTTAGAATTGTACAATGTACTTAAATGCAAATTCAGTTTTTACAAAACATTCTAAGTAAAATTACATGTTTTAATAATAACTTAAAGGAGAATCATTTTTCAATTTCATTTTTTTGGGCTCATATCATTCCTATTTTCTAAAAAATGATTTACTTAATGTAAATTGTGGTCTTTATACTTGTTATACATAGATTTGAACATTTAATTCATGTGATTTATATTATAAATGACAAGGTTAATATTATATTAAAATTACAGAACATAAGAAATAGCTTGACTATAACAAAACATGAAATATTCCAATTAAATATAGGAAACAATTCTAAATTTAGAAATTAATTAAAAAGAGTAAGTTAACAATCATTCGTTCTAAACATATGAGTCCATGATGAAATAAATCCAGAAAATACTTTTAGCATCCCTAGATTACAATATAAGGAAAGATATGAGCAAAATGAATCTAATTACAATGATTTTCAAAAACAATACTTGAGAGAGTTTAAATACAGTGACACCTATTTCAGAGAACATATCTGGTTCGATGAAGTGAACAACTGGAAACGCCTAATATTTAAAACAAATATGTTTATATCCCATAATTTCTTAAATGTGAATCCCTCTATGATGCACAGACTCGCATAGAGCAAGTTCCAGCAGTGGTCACCTTCAATAGGTATGTACCATATCTGTACTTTTAAACACTACTGGGTGTGAGAATATAGGGTGAGACAAATTTATTTAGGCAAGGCAAAACTTAACCCAAAGATAATTTTATAGATAATTTTAGAGTACTCGTATATATGACATAATTTCTTAGTTTTAGCTATCTATTAAAATGCAACATGATGACATTTTGAACTATTTTTAATATCTTTGAGAACAGATATGCAACATAGTATAGTGTCATAGATTGCAACACTACATATGTAACATATGCCATAAAATAATTTCTATATAGCTTATCTCTATTATATACATTAACTTTAATAGAACTGTTTCCTTAAATTATTAAGCATTTTATAGTACAGCATTTCATGATTAACAACTAACTATTTTCATAAATTCTAATCTGATTGATTTATAATATTTAAAGCAGTAAATAACAATATAACTGTTAATGGAAAAATTACATATCACATATGGACTTATATAAATAGATCTAAATAAATGCAAAAGTCCTTCAAGGACGATTGAACAATTAATATCTTATTTCATACTTTTATTTACACATCTACTATTTGTACACATTGTACATTAAAATATTTCAAAGGGTTAACTTAAGCAAGGACTATAATCTTGGAGAAGCGTACCCTTTTGACTAAAATTTGTTTTCATAACAACCAGATCCAGAATACGTTTGCACTCATTCTAGTCTAAACTATATTTCTAACCAACCATATTATTCAAAAAAAGAGGCTATTGCCATTTTCCCAATCCTATTTGCTATGTATCATACTGTGTAAATGAAATTCACTGACAAAAATTATTCATAATAAAAAATCACGCCATTGTTCAATATAGCCCAATCCACAATATTATTCCCATCATATTCCAGACCTGATCATTTTTTCTGGAAAGGGTAAGTTCCCTAATATATAATTCCCCTTGCACTGGCAGACTAAAACAAAATCAACAGTTGCTTAAAGCGGCAGCAAAGACTAAGAACGAGGTGATGGTAACTTTAAAAAGATTTCTGACTGATCAATTCTGACATTTTTCATAAAAATGCTTCAACTCCTGTGTTTAAAAGGCAATAATTCTGAAAACAGGTACATATCTCTGTTTCAATTCTTATAGATTTGGGCATTTCTGTATCTTCTATCTTTTATTACCTTCTTTAATCAGTTGTTAAATGTTCTAACCTTTGCTACCACTTTAACTGAAACTTACAATTCGAAAATGATTTCAGTGTACAACTGCACCTATAACATAAAACTAGGTGTACTATTCCTACTTCTATAACATACAACTAATGGAACTTGCAATAAGCATGAAACCATGAACTTACAGAAAAGTTCTTTAAAAAGTTTCTTTTTAAGTCTCTGACCAACTAGTCATGATGTCTACTTAGTACTTAAACTAAAAAATGTAAAATTAATAAACAAACAATTGTATAATCAATTCAGGATATCTGAGCACAGCGCACTGGTACATGTTAACATGTCATTTGTCTCAATTACATTGTTATTTTTGTTATTTGTTAATATAATTTGAATAAACAACAGTAGCATGAATGCCTAGGATTTCTATAGATCATAAAAGTCCATCTTATTCATACAAAATACGCAAATATGAAAATTTTGCCTGTTTTGGTAGTAAATTAAAAAGTCATATACATAACCAGAACTGCAACTTTCTCTTAAAGGAGAAGTATGTCCAATATATTTCTTCATTGGTATTGCTTTAACAGCCAACTTATCTCACTTTAAAAGTGTCACATATATTTTTGGTCTGAACAGAGTTTTAAAAATACAATAAAGAACCCTACTGAATGGTCATCACAACAGCTCTATCTAACATTTGTCAATATAGGAGAAATTCTGACCTAATTTCTGGATAAATGCTACATTAACTATCATAAAATTCATCTCTACATGCACATTTTCTCCAAATATGGTATCTGACATCTTCTCCTATTCATTTATGCTTTAGTAAGCTATTGTGTCAACTATTTTACATGAGTTAAGGTCAATGTGACAATTTCATCCAATTATCGTAACAATCTCAAAGATTCCTAACAAAAAGGGACCAAACATAACTTTTGTGTTTAAGGTATACTACTATAAAGAAATAATATTTGGGAATAGCTTTCTTACATTTTGTGTATTTCTAGTTATTGATCATTTTGGCAGGTATAATATAGGCTATAATAATAATTAAATTTAATGATAAATATTTCTTATTTACAAAGGTGCTATAATAGAATAATAATTATAAATAAATGTGAAATTAAAATAAAATATACATAATATAGACTCTATATAAACATATAACATTCCAATATCCGACCCTGCATCATTTATGCAAAAAGCATTTTTGATTTATGCACACTTTCCTTCTAAAGTGTATGTACCTTTAACAGTTAGACCTAACTTTTGTAAAATTAAAATCAAATTCAATTGCACAAGTTGTTTAGGGGTCAAAATAATAATGTACATCAAGTAGCATACTTCATCTCAGTATATTGCTTGACCATACCCCTGGACCATCATTTATGATGTTTGGAGCCCAAAGTCCCTGAAAATGACTTGATAAATAAACTAATTCTTATGCGATTTGAAGAACATTGATATCTTCCTATTTCTTGAAGTTAAAGTGAAAATCAGAGATATAGAGTGTGAAAAAATTGCAAGCAATATTTATGAATTTCCAACCAATGTGTCCTTTACCATTCAGAATATAGTATATGTACAGTACTAAAATCTTGTAAATTTTTTTAAGAATAACAAAACAAATTTCTGATGCCAATGACCAACACACAACATATGCAATGATTCTCTATAGGAATTGGGCCATCTCAAATTTTCAAATAAGGTATAACATTTTGGGATTTTTTGAAAAAAGGTATGTCAAGGAATGAAGTCAGTCAAAAGGACATTGAATAAGGTAGGTACATGTTTTGTAAAGTATCTCAATATCTCTGATATCACAAAGTTGAAAATGGATGAAGAGAACAAAATATTTTGTGTAGATATGTAATTTGGCAAATCCAAACAGGTAAATGACTGACTGCTTGTACATCACAACGTCACCGGCTGAAAAGTAAACTGATTTAAAATTCACTTTATCTCTCAATCCTGATAATGATAAATTGGTACATACACCATGCAAACAATATCAACAATTCATTAACACTATCTAGTCCTTTACAATATTACTATACAGATTTTCTATGGCACAAGTTCACACATTTAACTGTTTTCATGCTTTACTTTCCCTAGCTGACAGGGAACAATATTTTTATCTTAGAAATGCAAGGATAGCATAGGTGACTGATAAGCTTTGGGTATTGCTATATTTATGGTTTATCATAGCTTACCATTAAGCTACGACACAGCATAATTATATCACACCACCGAAAGGCAGACAAGATACTGAATACTTTAGGATGGAAAATAAAAAATATGGGTCTTTAGAATTCTAAATGCCTGCCTGGCAGTTATCACAAGAATCATCCCAGAGGGTGATAAAAAATTGAAATTGGTCCAAAATGGCTGTCACATTTCAAGATATATGACCCAAAAATGAATCAGTTGAAGAACTTGATACAGTGTAATATGTGTAAAGATATGGAGTGAATCCAATGATCAGTTTTCCTGGAATCGCAATGTCAAATCAGCAAGATGATTACACTGATAATGACAAATATACCACAAGTACTATGATAAACATTATAACATTTTCTATTCGTCACCAGTCGTAACAAGAAAAACAAGACAAAAAATATGTACCTCAGACAAATAAACTGTTTTAGTGAACAGAATGCTCCTTGGAGAAGATTCAATGATGATTTTTGATTGACTGCTTTTGGATATGCTAGTATTTTTTGTGGTTAAATGTGTGAAAAAGACCACAAATCCTACAACTGCACTTATACATCTTACCATCAATCTTATGTAATAGTATGTGTTCAGTTTACATATTCACATATAGCTTTTGTAGACACACTGCAGTGGATTTAAAATGTTTTGTTTGTTTTAGAATCCTCAGCTTTAGGACTATTGCCACCCTTCACCCAGCCACTTTTGCGGCAATTGTGCGTTTTCAAGTATTCCTTTCGGTGGAATCTTCTTCCACATTTTTCACAGCCATATTCGGGTTCACCATGTATTTTTTTATGGCGACTAAAATTTGAATGATGTCTGAAACATCGAGAACATTCTGGACATTTGTACTGCAGTTCTCCGTCGCGAAACACAATATTTTGATCTTTCTTCAACAAATCTCTCTTGAGAATAGTTGTTTTTGCATGACGTGTTCTCGGCGGAAGAGAAACCTGACTGACGTCTTGTGTAAGGGTACTAGAGCCAGTGGTTGCAATAGCAATTGGGCATGGTCCAACAGAAGCCTTAGAAGTTAATTCTAATGGATAGAGTGGAAGGTTTGCATTTGAATCCTTGCTTAAATCAACTGCTGTGCTACTATGTCCTGAAGTGCAGAGATTTCGTAACAAATCAAATGCAGCTTTTATTCTCGGTTTTTCTTCTGACTGACTAGGTTCTGCTGTGTCCCCATTAGATGGTGCTGATTGACTAGATAGGCTGCTATTTGATGACACAGAAGGGCTACTGAGTGACAGGAAATCCCCTTGCTCATTCTTTATTCCCATGCTATTAGAAACCATTTTACCCCCAGACATTAGTCTCTTGTGGGTAGTCTTCTGCCTGCTGCTTGGGATCATGCTGGACACACTAGTACTAACTTTAGGGACAATATCCAACTCTTCTTCATTCATTTCCGGTTCAATTTTTACATTTTTTAAATCAGCTTTAATACCCTCATTAGATTTCTCCGTAGGAGAATCAGGTTCATTTTTAATTTTTCCATCCAAAGCGCCGTCTTTATCCACAGATTCGTTCCATAGTTTATTTTCATCCACACTTTCGTCATCTACATTATTGGAGTCAACTGTAGCAAATGACACTCCCATGGATGGTTTCAGCATCTTCCTCGGTGATCTCATATTGTCCGTCGGGGACACTGAATCTTCATCATTCATCAACGGAACTCGTCGTTTTCTTGGTTTTGTATCGCAAGAATGTTTCTCAAAATGCTCCTTGCGGTAAAACCCGCGCTGACATCCACTGCATGTGTAGCTTGTAACCCCTTGGTGAAGTTTCAGGTGACGTGAATAATTCGAGAGATGGCGAAAATACCTCGAACATTTTCTACACATAAAAACAGATTCTCCAGCTACTTGGACTACATCATCTCTAAGATTTTGCGAGACGGCTCTCGGCAACTCGGACGATACCTCTGAAAAGGACAATTAGATACTATATTCAATATGTGGAAATGAAAATAATGGGTAAGTCATTTCTTTTTCTTGGTTGTACATAAAATTTCATGTTTATTTCCATCAATAGGCTGACTAATTACACATGGAAAGGATATTGACATGAAAGGTTCCCAGGATACTAGATAGTAGCTTAGGTTCTACCCTGCACACAGTCTTGTTACAAACTACCCTCTGCCTAGTATAGACTATATCACAGTTTAGCATCCCACCCCCCATGACTGATGCCCATGACAGCTTGGCTCATAAATCATTTCAAACCTACCATGTTGACCTTTTTCTTAATCAATGCTAAATGCTAAATGCGTGCACAATAATTATGCAAATACGAGAAAATGACCATATATGGAAAGTCATCCTTATTCTGACGACAAACTCTGATTAGCTCGGTGAGTTCAGAGATTTATTGAAAACTGCAAGAGTGAAGACGAAGCTCTCTTTTGAGAAGCGAAGTCGAATGAATGCAAAGGTTACTTAGGTTCTCAGCAAACCAGAGACACGTCCTCCCTTTCTGTTTACAAATTGATGTCAAGAATCAAATCCATTAGCCTACTTATGTTATGGCAGTCATAACCTGTACCATTTACAATATTAATATTAAAGTATGTGACTGAAAAAATATATGAATGTTAACTATTCAATGAGCAGAACTTTGAATAGATATTGTTTTTAATTATTCATTTATGAGACAGTATATGTGATTAATACTGTTCCAATTCTTAATTCTTTCAAATGTGGCAAAATAAAAATGCGAGTGATAACTGATAAGTGATCTTTAATACCTGCACATTCACCATTTTCATTGTGTACATCCTCATCTTTCCTTCCATCTGCTTCTTCTAGAACTGGAAGCAAACATACATACATGTGTCAATGAGTTCTTTCTGAGCGATTGGCAAGCCTTAATTTTATTTATATAATATTGTCAATGTGACAAATAGTTATTGATAAGTAACGAAAGTATACTTATCTTTAAAAGTTCTAAATACAGCATTGATAGACTATATATTCTAAAATCCCACTGATTAGGTATGGTTTGATACATGCAACTTTTTGTATTATTTTTTAAAATGTACAATCTTCTTAAAAGTTCCAATACTACATATACATCAATATATCCTAAATCACATCCCACTGATTTGGTGCAATACAGTATGAAAAATAACATTAAATATAAAATCCTCTTGTACGCCTAGATCACCTACTTAAATGTGTGTCTTGGCCAAATATCAAGATTTGGATGACTTCTCGATTTCATCTACCATCCAAAAGAATTATGCAATTTGTCCAAGTGTTTGAATATACCATTAGAAAGGGGAAAGTGTCAGAAGTAAGGAAAATATATAATCACAAAAATCTGGTAGTTATAAATTTAATTTAATTATTTTAATGGGGAAGTTTTGAGTCATTTTTCCATTAAATCTATTTTGAAGGTAAACATTTTCCCAGGATGACCTTCAACCTCAAATGACCATTTTGACCTTCTAGACATATTTAGTGAACAAGTTGAATTAATAGAGACCTTAAGCTGTCACCTTTTTCACAATGTCAATGTTAACGGAAAGATTTAACCTTAGTACATGTTGTTTGTGCATACTTTTGTACCATTGTAGCCATTTAGTTTGAGTATTTCATGTTTAGAGCAGGAAATTTAAAATTACAAATAGGTGTCTGTGGAGATGATTTAACTTGGATACTGTGTTGGAGTCTTTTGTTTGTATGCACAGAAGAATCCATTCTGAAGCATGCTATGCATGTCATGCATGTTTTTAGCTCAAATCATGAAATGAATATATGAAGATGAGTACCATATAACTATGCAAGGCATTAACATTCAAAGTGTCACCACCTACCATTTGTTACAGACACCGACCCATGAAGGCTATTACAGTTGGCAAATGTCGAACAACAACTTTAGAACACTGGCCACAAAAAGTTGGAGACTATTACAATTTCTGGTGGTGACATAAAAAAGTATGATACTACCTCTATATCACGCCCGGTGATCGTGAAAATGGGACGGAGGGGGGAGCAGGCAATTTCTGCAAGAAAATTCAACAAATCTGAGAGATTTATTTTTTCAAGAAAAAGTTTACTATTGAATTGCTGAATTGATAGGTGCACGGTATGGTAAAATATGTTAGGTCTTCTGGGATTTTTTCTGAAACGATAGGCATCTAAGATATGAGATCTATTAAAAAAGGCGCGAGGCAACCAACAGACACAAATCAACGTTTAAGCTATAAATCAAGCAACAATGGTCTACACGACCTGTATTAAATACTTGTAAGTGACGATATCATAACTAAATTTATGCCATTGCTGAATTTATAAAATAAGTTTCAATACGTAAAATAAAAAATAATCGAAAATAATTATGGGACGGAGGAGGGGAGCAATATGTATCATGTCTTAATACATATTGCTCCCCCCCCCTCCGTCCCAAAATTATTTTCGATTATTTTTTATTTCACCTATCGAAACTTATTTTACAAAGTCAGCAATAACATTAATTTTGTGACGATAATGTCACTTACAAGTATTTATTACAGGTCATGTACACCATTGTTGCTTCATTTATAGCAACAACATTGACTTTTGCACGTTGGTGCATTGCGCCTTTTTTAATAGATCTTATACCCTAAAAGAGTATCGGTTGAAAAAAAATCCTAGAATACCTAACATATTTTACAATACCGTGAGCCTATTTATTTAGCAATTCAATAGTAAACTTCTTCTTTAAAAAATAAATCTTCCAGATTTGTTGAAATTTCTAGCAGAAATTGCCTGCTCCCCCCCTCCGTCCCAATTCTACGATCACCGGGCGTGTATATTACATAATAAAACAAGTATCAAGCAATATAAAATCTTACAATACCTGCACTTTGTGGTACTGCACTTATACTACCATCATTACTCAAAGCCAATGGTTCCAACTTTGGTATTATCTCCTTATGATTGGTTGACACATTTTTTTGTGCGGACACCAATTTTTCTCGTAGAAGGCTTAACCCAGTCTCATGGCCAGATTTAACTTGGGCAGTGTTCTGATCAGTGTTAGATGGTTGAGGGGCTATAGGCTTTGGCTGGCTATTGGAGTTCAGTCGTACTAACTTTGGAGGGCCAATACCCGAGGAGCTAGTAAGATAGGCAACTGTTATAGGCTGGCTGGTTTTTAATAGTGGACCATGGGTCTGTAAATCAATCCCTAGGCTCGGACTAATCTGTGGCACAACCAGGCTTGGACTGATTTGTGGCACCACCAGATTTGATACTGCACTTGTAACATTGACTAAAGGCTGAGGTTGACTTGTTAATGTATAGTTTTGATTGTCATCATGGGTAGCATGCTTCCCTGTTTTGTATACTGCACTTTTCTGGGTGAAGATGGAAGATTTTTGATCAGCAATATGGTTAATATAGACACTTCCACTGTATTTCTTGAACCATGGGGTGAAGTACTCTTGCGATCCTGCAACAAAAAAGGTTATTTGTCTATTACATTGACATCCATCAGTGAAGAGTGTCATACTACCTCTTTTGAAGATGAAGTTTATACATGTACATTTATCAAAAATGTGACAATTATATATTTCTAATCTTTGCATTTAGTTGACTTTGATGGTAATTGGTTTTGATAATTTGGTATTCTTAAACATATCAGAACCATTGTTCTCCACTTAATTCATTTTACAAGGTAAAATGTAAAATGATTGAATTATCTTACCTAATATAACATAATATGCATTCTATGCTATTTACAATCAGATCTACATAACGTTACAAAAACATCATAATAAAGACAATTGACATTTGAGTTGCTATTGGATACATTCCAAAGGATATTGGCATCTATTTAATTTTGCGATTCTTTTAAATTGCCAGATTAAAACGCTCGCTAAATTAAACACAATTTCAAAACTGCCAATGGTATACAGGCTAATCATCGGATCTGAGTCTTATAATCTGGCTCAGTTTCAAATAAGGATAAAATATATTTGGAGTTTTCACATTACATAAATATTTAGACTTTGTGTTGTTATCCTCGCCCCATCGAAAAAGTCCCTCAATCATCAAATTGATTGATCAGCATTCAGTAAATATTTACAAATGAGACATTAAGAAATGGTTTGTTGACAGTTTAGAAAGAAAAACATAAATTGTGAATCATGATAGATTTGCCAAATGAGGGAAATCGCAGGATATACGATCTTATTCTAAAAAACATGAATGACAGTAAACACGAATTGATTTTACATATATTACGTCGTACTTATAGGTTTTTGTTGGTTTATGTAATCTAATGCTGTTATGGATGTAAACTAAACAAGGCATTAACATGACAAAATGTCACCACCTAAAACAATTTGGTCAATTTAAAGCAAGTTGAAAAATACCTCTTTGACTTTTTTTTGACATTGAGAAGGTCATTGAAGGTCAAATGTCAAATGTAAAGTCAGATTTGAACTTCTGAGAACGTGTAGATGATTTTGAAAAAAAAATTAAGTAAATTTGAAGCAAGTTGAAAAAAGACCTTTTTGACCTTGAAAAGGTCATTGAAGGTCAAATATCAAATCTAAAGTCAGATTTGAACTTCTGAGAACATGTAGATGATTTTGAAAAAAAAATTAAGTAAATATGAAGCAAGTTGAAAAAAGACCTTTTTGACCTTGAAAAGGTCATTGAAGGTCAAAGGTCAAATCTAAAGTCAGATTTGAACTTCTGAGAACTTGTAAAGGCAAATTTGAACTTCTGAAAAGATGTAGATGATTTTGAAAAAAAAATTTGGTCAATTTGAAGCAAGTTGAAAACAGACCTTTTTGACCTTTTTTGACCTTGAGAAGGTCATTAAAGGTCAAATGTCAAATCTAAAGTCAGATTTGAATTTCTGAGAACATGTAGATGATTTTGAAAAAAAAAATTAGTCAATTTGAAGCAAGTTGAAAAAAGACCTTTTTGACCTTTTTTGACCTTGAGAAGGTCATTGAAGGTCAAATGTCAAATCTAAAGTCAAATCTAGTCATATTTGAATTTCTGAGAACATGTAGATGATTTTGAAAAAAAAAAAGTCAATTTGAAGCAAGATGAAAAAATACCCTTTTGACCTTTTTTGACATTGAGAAGGTCATTGAAGGTCAAATGTCAAATCTAAAGTCAGATTTGAATTTCTGAGAACATGTAGATGATTTTGACCTTCAATGACCTTCTCAAGGTCAAAAATCTAGTCATATTTGAATTTCTGAGAACATGTAGATGATTTTGAAAAAAAAAAAGTCAATTTGAAGCAAGTTGAAAAAAGACCTTTTTGACCTTTTTTGACTTTGAGAAGGTCATTGAAGGTCAAATGTCAAATCTTAAGTCAAATCTAAAGTCAGATTTAAATTTCTAAGAACACGTAGATGATTTTGAAAAATTTTTTAGTCAATTTGAAGCAACTTGAAAACAGACCTTTTTGACCTTTTTTGACCTTGAGAAGGTCATTGAAGGTCAAATGTCAAATCTTAAGTCAGATTTGAATTTCTGAGAACACGTAGATGATTTTGAAAAAAAAATTTAGTCAATTTGAAGCAAGTTGAAAACAGACAGCAAAGCAAGTTGACGCCAACCTCCAACCGCCGGACGCCAACCGCCGTCGCAAAAAAACGGAGACCATAACAATATGTCACCACTTTTGGTGGTGACATAAACAAAAAAACGGAGACCATAACAATATGTCACCACTTTTGGTGGTGACATAAAAAACGGAGACCATAACAATATGTCACCACTTTTGGTGGTGACATAAAAATGATTAAGCAACAATGATTCTATAAAAAAAACATGCATACCTGGTGAAGTATATGAAAGGTGTAGTACTGTAGTATCAGTATTAAAGAACTTTATCATCCTAACTGCCATTAAATTAATGTACTCAATATCAGATTAGACATATTTTTTCAATATTTGGAAACATTTAATTATGGCATTACACATAGTTCTTGATGTTAAAGACAGTTATTTGTTTCATATACATGTCTACTCTTAGAACTCTATGAGGTAAAAATCTCCACTGGGTAAGCAGTATTAATTATGAATTATAATTTCACTTTACATGATTATTCATTTGTTTTTGTAAGTTTAAAGAATATAATACCGAAGACAAGGAGTCAATCTCATCCATAGGTTATTGTCAGACATATGCCTGTGTCCACTGTCCAGCAATAACCTACAGTGAAATCTGTATATCTGAACACCTCTCTTATTTGAACACCTCTCAATTTAATATTTTTTCGGTCCTATTTATCTTATAAGTAAAACCTTGAAATGTGAACACCTGCTAATTTGAAAACCTTTGGCTGGTCCCAATAGCTTTCATACAAGTCACAATCAATCAGGGTGTCAAAAAAATTTCAACTTGTTATCACCTTGTAATTTCCTTATATATCGTATGTTATATTTTAATGTGCAATAAAATAAGATAAGACAGGTTTTACTGTACACACTATACTCTATATCATTACATTATAGTCCGGATGTGAAGTGCCATATTTTAAGTGAAGGTGGAAATGCTTACTATATGAACTTTTTTTGCATTTTCTGTTTAAACATGATATCCATATTCAGAAACTGCCGGATGCCCAACGGGCATACTTGAGGAATTTTTTTGGCGGCCATTTTGAATTTTCACACGTTTTATGTATTTTAGCCTGCATATTAGAACAGAAAACTAGCATACACATGAACAAATCTTGCTGTTTTTTCTATAATAGAGTTTTAATATGATGTATACCAATATGTTAGGTTCCAGAAATGTTTCTTGACAAAAATAAAAAAAAATTCAAGATGGCCGCCAACCTTACAATTTATGAAATGGTTCATTCTGTGATAATATCAAATTGATATTAGTGTTTCCTACAAAGTTATCAATAAAAAATACTAAATACATCTGATTATGATCTCTTTCTCACATATAAAATATCCAAAATGAGTAAAAAGTAACCTACATAATAATAATGATGTTCCACAAGGGTCATTTCTTGGTGCTATATTTCTCTTGAATTTATGAATTATCTTCTTTTACTAAGATTTCATCAAAGATTTCTTTCAATAAATACTGATCAGTTTCTTCCAATTCCTGTTCAGTTACTGTCTTTGTATGTTTGTTATTGCATTCATTCCCCTTGCAAACACAGAACAATATACATGATAAAGATGCCTTGGAGCATGAACATCGCCCAGTTCTACATACATTGCCCTCTGATGCACATGTGCACTTAATGAGCTGGAGAATTCCTTTAGGGGCACAGGGTGTATCCTTGGGCATTGTTGTTGGGGCAAGTGAGCCTGTGCTGTTAATTTCCCAACCATAATCTGTTGGAAGGATAAGTGGGGGGTCAGGCATATCAGCATTTTTCCATATAGCTACTTGGAAATGAGCTCGCTTCACATGCTGGGAAAATGCTTCTGTTGTTGGTGGGAGGGATTTTAGCTTTGGTGCATTTGTAATGTGTTTTGCAGCATTTTTCTTTGCTCATACAGCATATCTCACATTAGACATTTTGTCTGTGACTTTAGGTGTAATTCCATAACATCTAGAAACAAATTCTGTTGAAGTTTTCTCAACTTCAGTCATGTCTGCATTGACATCTCCCAAGTTAGCGAGTGAGTATCTATTCAACACCTTCAGGACTGTTAGCTTGCCAATTCCATGCATGCAAGATGTCGATCACTGCCAGAGGGACCATGCGCAGCTAACAAGTTTGGGATTTTTAATTTGTGTTCATTTACGGTTGCATTAATGTTAATGTTTGCTCGGCCAGATGATGTTCCCTCCATTATGATGTTATTTTCCATTAACTTGTGCTTGAGACAGTGATGAAGAAGTAGAAGGAAAACATCAGTATCAACACTGAGTACACTGATATTCTGTTGGCCTTTACTGGCAGCATGCAGAACCTGGTGTACAGGTGTTGGATCAGGACCTGTGATAACAAGGATGTTGGAGAATGATCCTTCACTAGCTTTTTGAGTGAGATGGTCGATGACACACTTTATCAACTGGACCTTGTTCTCAGTCACATTCAGAACAACATTCTGTGCAGGGAGAGGTGTGTCAGAGCTGAACTTGAGCTTGAGATGACCTGGTGCTGTTCTTTATGCTATTGTCTTTATATCTGTCAAATATAAGGTCAAGGCTTAAAGTCTGTGAAAAAATTTTACCTGAAACTATCCGAACGCTGGGCGAAAGGCGTGTGCGGAGCCCTAGGGGGGTTCAAGAAAATTTTGAAAATTGGTGCCCTCTGGTGGCTTCTAGAGCCTTCTGGTGAAAGTACATTGAATAAAATGTTCACATTTTTTTTACATCTGTTTATTGCATTTTTGTATTTTTTTAATTTGATAACTGGGCTGGATCTGTCTTATTCTTAATGACATACCTTACATCTCTGTTCTCTGTGACTTCACATCGTGTCCTTATTTTATCGATATCTGGCAGAAATAAGACAGATTAGAAAAATTTCAAAAAGTTTCCCTTTAGCGCTAGCCCGCCGGTGTTCATAACGGTTACGTTCATTGGTTGATTCGTCAGATTAGTCATATCTTTAAGCCAATCAAATTCAAGATAACACTTCGTAACTCGCTTTAGCGAATCGAAGTCAATAGTTCTCGTCGTAATAATGCAGACAAGATGGTAAGATTGCTTCGTGTTCCACATAATTTATGAAACTGACCTATTTATTAAATAACAAATCACACGTGGATCAGCTGATCAGCTGTTTTGGGGCCCGCAATTAAACGATTTTTTCCTCAAGTCTTCAACTTATTACGACATCTTGCATGCATGGAATTGGCAAGCTAACAGTCCTGAAGGTGTTAAATAGATACTCACTCGCTAACTTGGGAGATGTCAATGCAGACATGACTGAAGTTGAGAAAAATTCAACAGAATTTGTTTCTAGATGTTATGGAATTACACCTAAAGTCACAGACAAAATGTCTGATGTGAGATATGCTGTATGGGCAAAGAAAATGCTGCGAAACACATTACAAATGCACCAAAGCTAAAATCCCTCCCACCAACAACAGAAGCATTTTCCCAGCATGTGAAGCGAGCTCATTTCCAAGTAGCTATATGGAAAAATGCTGATATGCCTGACCCCCCCACTTATCCTTCCAACAGATTATGGTTGGGAAATTAACAGCACAGGTTCACTTGTCCCAACAACAATGCCTAAGGATACACCCTGTACCCCTGAAGGAATTCTCCAGCTCATTAAGTGCACATATGCATCAGAGGGCAATGTATGTGGAACTGGGCGATGTTCATGCTCCAAGGCATCTTTATCATGTACATTGTTCTGTGTTTGCAAGGGGAATGAATGCAATAACCAACATACAAAGACAGTTACTGAACAGGAATTGGAAGAAACTGATGAGTTTTTATTGATGGAAATCCTTGATGAAATCTTAGTAAAAGAAGATAATTCATAAATTCAAGATATATATAGCACCAAGAAATGACCCTTGTGGAACATCATTATTATTATGTAGGTTACCTTTTACTCATTTCAGATATTTTATATGTGTGAAAGAGATCATAATCAGATGTATTTAGTATTATTTATTGATAATTTTGTAGGAAACACTAATACCAATTTGATATTATCACAGAATGATACATTTCATAAATTGTAAGGTTGGCGGCCATCTTGAATTTTTTTTTATTTTATTTTTGTCAAGAAACATTTCTGGAACCTAACATATTGGTATACATCATATTAAAACTCTATTATAGAAAAAACAGCAAGATATGTTTATGTGTATGCTAGTTTTCTGTTCTAATATGCTGGCTAAAATACATAAAACGTGTGAAAATTCAAAATGGCCACCAAAAAAATTCCTCAAGGATGCCCGTTGGGCATCCGACAGTTTCTGAATATGGATATCATGTTTAAACAGAAAATGCAAAAAAGTTCATATAATAAGCATTTCCACCTCTATTGGCTCTACATCCAGACTATTAGGTAATAAAACTACCTCAAATGACTCCAATTACTCACCAAAGACCATATGTCCATTGATTTTGTATTCGGCAACTTTGACATCAAGCCAGAAGACAAACTCCACCAATGCCTCAGAGTCAGTCTGCTGGACTAGGGTGGTAAATGCAGACTTTAACTCTTCTAATTCAAGATTCATGGCTGGAGGTAGCACATTCTAGAAAAATAAAGATATTTTTATGTAAAATATATTATTTCTTGACATTCCTGGCAATTGTGACAGGAAGGCAGAGCATTTCACTAAGATGTAAGTGGCGAAAACCCTAAAACAGACTGCAGAACATGTAATTAGTATTGCAATAGCATACTGATACATATGGGAATAAAGCAGTAGACAGATTTGATTCACATTCACTGGTGGTCAAATTCATCTAGATATCATTATGCCTTCAAAGGTGTGTGAAGGTGGTAGAAATGTGACAGAGAGATAGAATAGCATGGCAATTTTAATTACTCAAGCAACCATTGTTATTGTAACCATACTTTTTCAACAGTTCTTATACTAGCTAAGTGAAGGATTGTATTCAGAATGAATATAAGTAATATACCATTTAATTTGGTACAAAATGCACTGTCATTAGTTGTCATCAGTTATAACACTTCTGTTGGTGACATAAAAATGTTGTGAGGCAACTGGTGCCGCCCTCATGCCAAGGATGACATTCTAATTTGTAATTCCACTTTATTCAATGCACTCTTACAGAGAAAGTGGAACCTACTATAGGCTACTCCCCAGTTATTAATGTGACTAATCTGCAAAAACTTGTCTTAGGAAATATGATCTTGTAGTAACATCCTCTATCACTGTGTATAACTCAAACGCTTTTACTGAATCCAAAAAGGATACGCTCCAGAATAAGAAAAAAATGGCATGTGAAAATGACCCCCTAAAAAATGGCATGTGAAAATGACCCCCTGTCCAACGATTTCGATAATAATGGGAACTAGAAAAACAGCAAGTCCACAGAGTAGCAAATCCCACCGAACAAAACATATTTTGATAATTAGTGGGTATCTTGAAAGTTTCTTCTTGAACAGAGCATATCAGCATATGAAATTACCAAATCCATCCACTGGTACTTGAGTTATCAAAGATTATGTTTTTTGAAAAATGGCAACCATTTTGAAATTCAGCCACCATTTTGAAAAATGTTTCTTGAACAGAGCAACGCAACTGTGTCCCTAGGCATCATCATATAAAATCTGAACCAAATCCATTCACTGATATTTGATTTTCCTTTTTATATACAGGTATAGTAAAGTAGTAAGAGCATTTCTAAAATTGTGTCCAAAGTCAATAGAGCGTTTCAATGAAAACAATCAATTTCTTGAATACAAGTGAAGGTTTTTTTGGATTAGAATTTCACCACTGAGAATATACAAGTTTGTGACCTACTAGTTTGATAGAAAGCTCGACATTTTCACATAAATACTACGTAATTTCGTTCGTAATAAGCACAATTTGTTCATTAGCATGTTTCATTTTGCTTTCTCTCAGAGTTGAAAAAAGGAGAGTTTGGGCTAAATGACTGTTATGTGCAGATTCAAATGAAATAATATCTTGAAATTCATAGCTAGACAATATATATGTTATCAGGATATTACTTTACTGTATATAATCAATATCTCATATGTAGCGTTCCAAGAAAAACCACAGTTTTATCACTCGATGCTACATCTCTTATTTGTCAGAAAGAGACATCTAATGAGGCTTCATTTTACATGATTAATATGATACCATGAAGGAAATATCCAGGAATACAGGTAACACAAACTTGAATTTGTGACCATATATTAGGAATTATCAAAGAAACAGAGCAGCAATATTTTCAAAACACATTCTTTATAGTTTTGTAATTTTTTTTATTTTTTATTATCATGAATTTCTAAAAAAAATCCAAAATGTTACAATGTAACCTTATTTCAGGGTAATACCTAGGTAAAGACACAAAAGAAAACGGCAGACATCAGTGATGATATAAACCATTAGGTAATGCAATAAGACCCTGGTCACCTTGGCAGGTTGTTTCATATCAGAGCAACTTGACTTTGCATTAAAAAGGTTTTTAATATGTATTAATATGTGCATATACATCATCTTCTACACTCATTCATTCCATGGAAATTTGAAGTGACATATATCCTTTCATTTTTGTCCTAGATTTTGATACTTTTGTAAGACCGACACAGGGCTAGATGGGAGACATGGTGCAGCATCATATTAATAAGGTCTGCAGAGATTACCATACAAGTCTCAAGATGAGAACACATATTAAATTACCAAATGTATTATAAAGGTAATAAGCTGATATTTGTATGGTATGCACGCACTTTGCAATCACATGTCATTGCTATTGTCTCCCAACCTGGATGACTAATGGTTTCAACGTTGCTCAATTGAAAGAAAAGTTTAAATTGTTGATGAGATTAATTGTGAAGATCTTTGGCAAAATGATTCTGAAGATGCATTGATATCTGAAATAATATATTTATGCTTTTGAAAAATGTAACTATTCAAAATATCATCTTTCCTTTGACATTTCAATGTAATGGTACAGTTTTATTTAAACAAGCATGTTACCCTACTGCAGAAAGCTCCTTCAAAAAACTTAAAGTTGACACAAAGTTAAACTCAAATAATTTGACCTTTAAAAATACCTTGAACTCACAGTTGACCTCAATATGACTGAATGCTTATTCTGAGTATTTCAGCATGTTTCTATTTCTTTACTTTTGGATGAATTTGGCCTTTGAACATGAACATGACCTACAAAGACCTTGACCTCTGTAGACCATCAATGCACATAAAAATCACAAAAGTGAAATGCCTTCATACTGACCTTTCAAAAAATGCTGCAATATGGGCAATATTGCAAGGAACTACAATATAGAAACTATATAAATGTAGTCATTATATATAACATGTATAACATATGAATGCATTGTGCCTTAGTTCTGAGAAATAAGGTAGAGTTCAGGTATTAGCTGAATAATGTAAGCAGACATACAGACATATGTCGCATTTATCTCTTGTACATATTAAATTGATGAGGTAATTTTTGCTATCTGCCTACGCAATACATGCATTTCAATATCTAAAATGAAAGCAATGCACTTTTTTGGATATTTAATTAGATATTAGATGTCAAAGTAGAATGGACTGATTAGAGAGTAATTCTAATGATCTTAATTTTGAAATAAAAAAGATATAGATCAAATGTCATCAAAATGTCTGAAAGTGAACCCCTCTTGGCAAAAGCTGGCTACAGGCCTGTCTATTATACACCCTGCGCACAGAGTCTTGTTATAAACTATCCTCTGTTTAGTATAGACTGTATTACAGTTAAGTAGCCCAACGACTGGCGCCATTGACAGCCAGGGTCATGAATTATTTCAAACCTACCACACTAACCTTTTCTCAACCGAATCAGCTAACTGTAAGGAACACATGCTAAATGACTGTCATTACCTATGCAATGATGTCAGAAGAAATTACCATATAGAAAGCACATGCTATCTATTGCAAGACTTATGCCTGTCACAACCGTCACCATGTTATTAAGTTTTTTAAGTTTCGCAAGGATTCTACCATGACTGTGGTATTGTTATTGTGAATGCCTGGTATAACCGTGACAATGCTATATTATATTGCAAGGGCTGTCATCACCTTGGTAATGTTAAAGCCTTATATGGCCGTGGCAATGGTTGTAAGGCCTGTCATGACTGTGGTAATGTTAAAGCTTGATATGACAGTGACAATATTCACGTTCTTGAATGAGATTAGAATTATAGTTTGTGGAAATGAGTTAAAGTAGTCGTAGTAGTAGTAGTCTAGATTTACATATTTAAGGTAGATAAATGATGAAATTTTTCATTACAGTATTCTCGTACTTCTAAATGTCACTGTCATATTGTGCTTTAACATTACCTCAGTCATGATAGGCCTTGCCGCCATTGTCACGATCATATCAGGCTTTAACACTACCACGGTCATGACAGGCCTTGCAATCATTGTCACGGTCATATCAGGCTTTTACATTACCATGGTCATGACAGGCCATGCAATATAATATAGCATTGTCACGGTTATACCAGGCTATCACGATAACACTACCACGGTTATGGCAGGATCCTTACGAAACTTAAAAACACTTAATAACATGGTGACGGTTGTGCCAGGCATGAGTCTTGCAACAGATAGGGTCTCATAGAAAGTCGTAATTATTTCGATGACAAACTCTGATTGGCTCGGTGAGCAGATATTTATTGTAAACAGGCTGGTAATAGCATTCTACAATACGGTAGATATATCTATATCTTTCTACACGTACCCCAGTAAATGGCCAGGGTAATCTCGCTAAGACTAAATAGGACAATATATCAAGGGTCATACATCCTTCAGAGTAGTTCATGTCCTATATATCTTTAGTGCATTGGATGTCAATAATTTATTATCAAACTAAAGCTGAACTTTGGACCAATCAATAGTGAACGTGAACTTGATCTCATCAAATTCCTCAGAACAACCACTTCACAGGATCAGATTTCGAAGAATCCTTTCTATGTTTACATTTCCTCATCAGTTTTTTCATGTATAACCACACAATATATATAACATATTATATGTTGCAAATATCAAATATAACAGTACCATATACTGCTGTTATAAAATTCTCAGTTTTTCCACCCACTTGTTAGAGCAAGGATCATTTTCCATTGACCAAATCTGGAGCAAAATATTTGAAATTTGACCCCTAAAATATTTCCTCGATAATACCTAGATTTGAGCTGTTGGCATTTTGAAAATACATTATCATTGTAGAAAAATATCTTAACTTACCTTATACCATATATTTGACTTGGAATAGCCATTCTTATAAGATGAAATCTAGTGCTACATGAAGAGGGATCATTTTTTCTGAATCCCAAATGAACCCGGAAGTGACGTCAAAAATTACATTTTCAATGTCAAATTCTATCAGATATTTTGAACTTGAAATTATTACAGTATAATTTCATATTATCGTTTATAATAAAAAATTAAGTATAATCAAGAATTGAATAATATATTCATATTGATTTATGCGTAATATCTTTCAAATTAACGCAGAATTTATAAGCATAATATAAATATTCGTTTTACTTGTTGCTGATAAATTTGACATCCAGATGCAACTCAGGAAAAAGAAAAACAAATAATTTTCTGTAATTTTCTCACATAATCTCAGAATAAAGCGACATTTAACGTATTTCTTGTACATATTTTAATCCTAAAACATGAACAGACTATTTGGAAGAGGAAAGGCCAAAGAGCCACCCCCGAACATGACGGATTGTATCGCTGGAGTAAGTCAAAAATTGAAAATAATTTAGAAATTATTTGATTTTTAACACCAGACCAAGATATTCGACCTGTGATTCTGAATCATTTATCATCAAAATTTGTAATACAGATTACTCTTGAGTATTTCTCAAAGTGAAATTATTTAATGCAATGTGAAATGCAATATGTCATCACGGACCTCTGCCAGATTACGTCCTCTGTGTCTAGGCTCAATAAATATACTCAAGGACAAGACACGAGATCTTCGGAAAATTTCTTTTTCCTTGATTTTGGAGTCAGTTTATCAATAAATATCACATGTCATACCTCAAACGATGCGTACTGTTGTTAGCTTCAACTCCAATCACTAAAGCCACATATCCAAGATGTGGAAACAATAACAACGGTTTGTTAGGCTACGCGATCCTTTACTTTCATTGGCTGTTTGTTGCGATGTGACGTAATTTGAGAGACAAACAACATCGGACATTACTGGAAATTACCGAAGCACTTCATTATCTTTACGCTCTGAAAATTTGAAATATATGTCCCGGGAAAAGTCGAATTACAGCGTCAATAATGGATATCATGCAACCATGCAAACTAATACATGATAAATATTTTTGGGTGGTCCTTTTTTTGATGTAGCATTTTTGGCTCGTGGCTTATCTTCCCATTTATCCTTTGGGCCTACTACCAATAGGGGCTAGATCTGGCTCCAGATCTGTGTATGTCATGACAGTTCTTACTTTTCTACAAAAAACCATCACATGATTTTCAAGCTATTTGTTTAAAGTTTGCAATAGGCCTAAGGGCGCTTGTAATTGGTATAGCATTCTATAATAAATAAAGAACATGATAAGTGTATGTTGAATATAACTCACAAGAGTTACATTTGTAATGTTACAGATTGACAGCAGGGGTGAATCTATTGAAAAGAAAATTGCTAAATTAGATCAGGAGCTGGTGAAATATAAAGATCAGATGAAAAAGATGAGGGATGGACCATCAAAGGTAAAGCCTCACTCACGGTTGCTCTACAGAGGATGTAGGGTGGCCAACAGTCGTAGCTTTTCAAAATCAATAAAGAAAACCTATTCGTACTTCGTACTGCTTTTTCCTATATTTTATGTTGCATATTTCTCTTGATTTTGGGAAGCTATGGCTGTTGTACGGTTGCTGTAGATCAAATTTGACTGAGGCATTAAGATACAATAAACGCAGACTATGTATACTTACTGATAGGTACTAGTTATATTTAAACAGACCAGATAAATTTATGCTTATGTACACTACATATGTAATTGTATTTATTACATGTGCATGTGCATACTTGAGATTTAATGCTATTTTGATTTATTTTAGAATATGGTAAAGCAGAAAGCTATGAGAGTGCTGAAACAGAAAAAAATGTAAGTTTAATTATAAAGGATAGCTTGAAGTGTTATAAATGGATACCTCTGAAGTAGTTGGTTAATGGTCGAGTATTGTCATCCTCTCTGTTTAATTTGTAGCAATACAAAGGATGCAGTGGGACTAATGTTCTGAAAAACTGACACCATTTCAGAATTAAGCTTGCTTATAAATAATTTGATATTAACACCTTGAAAGCCCATGATTAAAGTAAATCATATAAATTTCAGAAAAAAATTAAGAATTCTGATTTGATGTGTCAAACCCCAAGTCATTTTTGGTTGAATGAATATTTGAACAACACCCTGATATTATGGTAAAAGGAAATTTAAAAGTTTTTTTCATTTTCTTGAGTAGTTTTTAACACTTTGGTGGCATTTTCCAGGTATGAACAACAGAATGAGCAACTAAGGAACCAATCTTTTAACCTTGAACAGGCTAATTTCGGTATACAGTCTATAAAGGATACAAAAACAACAGTAAGTAACATTTCTTGTGTTTTTTTTAGAAGTTATGATTATTTTATTTATTTATAATGGTAGATTGCTTCCAAGTTATAACTTGTTCAACCTGAAAATTGATAAACCTGGTAAATTTAGAGGGGTATGTTCAACTAGACTGGAATAAAATGGAAATTGTCAAGCATTGCACTTTTATTAGGGCAAAAGCCCAGCTGTATTAGATGGAAAACATCTATTTACAGTGAACACATAGTTGAATCTAATAAGATTAGGGCAAATTTGAAAATAATAGATAGCTTCGTACAGTTGGTGAAAATTTGCCACTTAACACCTTTAAATGAAATGGCTGATTGGATTACTAGATAGACTGGCTTATTATTGAAAATATAATTATCGTGGTGTAACTTCATTTAAATGTATCTTTATGTTTGTAGGTAGATGCAATGAAAGTTGGAGTGAAGTCTTTTAAAAAAGAATACAAAAACATTAATATAGATCAGATTGAAGTAAGTAAGCATTGAGAAAATCATAACAGATGAATGCAAGTAACAAAATTTTGGACTTTGGTAATACATAATAGAATACATTTGGTTGAAAATGTATGAAGATGCTTGAAGTTTTCTCAAAAGTTTCTTTAAAATTATATGATACCTACAAAAATCATCCTTCACATTTGTGAAAAGTGCCATTTGTGGTTTATATTTTGCTCATCAGGATCTTTTACTCCTTGGAGTTGCCTTTTTAATTCTCTGATGTATTGTTCCAGTCCTAAACATGTAAATGTTTGAGGAAGTTGTGTATGTTGTACATTATTAAAGCTGAATTCTGTGTGTTGTAGGATCTTCAAGATGAGATGGAAGATTTTACTGAGCAGGCTAATGAAATCCAGGAGGTTATGGGACGTAGTTATGGGATGCCTGACATAGATGATGCTGACCTGGATGCTGAATTAGACGCATTAGGTAAACATTCAATGTTATGTAATACCAGAAACAACAATTCCCTTACCCTTGATTAGAATCTAGATTTAGGAAAAATAAAAAAATAAAATATCATTTTGATTTCCTGAACAGATTCAGATCTTTGGAGCCAGGGTTCAAAGATTAAAATTGATATCATTATCGTTACAGTAGGTCAACTTCTATGGATAATGATATGGGCTACTAATTTGGGTTGCTGGTCACTTCAGGGCTTTTTTGTATCTGTAGGCTTGATTTTCCCCTCCCTCTTCCCACCGAGGGTACACTTAGTAGGCATGGTTTACAGAACTTGACCACTATGCTGAAGCTTATACATTTGACAAATAATTTGATATGATAATCTGCTTTAAATGGGCTTATTAGACTTTTGCAGATTATTGATGTAGATGAACATTAGGGTATAGCATGGAATACAATATATACAAAACTCTACCAAAGTCTAGAGCTCAGTAGGTTTTTGCATTGAGGCATAGCATCTCCTCATTCTTTTTCTCATTCAAATTGTAAAAAGGAACTTTGCGAGAGAATTTTTTAAAATCTACTGAATTTTTTATTCCTATTTTCATTTTATCATGTATTTACAGGTGATGAGCTTGGGATGGATGCAGACACCTCCTATCTCGATGAGGTGAATGCTCCAAGCGTTCCCACTAGGGTACCTGGAGCAGATAGCGTCACTAATAAGGTTTGTACATATGCTTGTGTGACTATAGAATATAAAAAGGTACTAACATTACATTTGTTTCAAACAGAGATGATTTATTGTGTATTTATCATGCATATGCATTGTGTATTTCATTATTTTCTGAATTGCATTGATTTCCCCCTTCTCTCTATTCACTGTCTTAGAATATAATACATGTATAATATAAAATAAAAAAGGATCTGTAGTAAACAAGGGAAGGAGTGGTGGGGCCTTGAGTTTAGATATTTTAATTCACAATCTATATTTTGAATAGCTCTCTTACATTATTCATTCCGGAAGTATTTAAATGTGAAAGCATTGAACTTAAATGAATGTTAAAGTTTGTTTTTGTGTCATACTCACAATATATTATTATTTATTTGTTCAAACAAGATTTTGATATTGGTCATATCTTTTAATGTGTAATGGATCTTGTCTATTTCCAGGATGGAGTGCCAGTTGATGAATTTGGACTTCCCCAAATCCCTGCCAGTTAGAACTATTTATGTTTATCTTGTGTCCTTTTGTGTTAAAGACATCATACATTATGATACAGATATGGACTCTAAGTGAATTCAACAGTAAATGGATTATCGTGGATTGGCAATACCAGTAGACAGGACAATATATTCTATGTACATATGTATTAACTATTACTCAATATCAATGGAGAATATATCATAGGAGCAATTGTCAATGAGGCTGAGTTAGCAAACTAGTGAGAATCCAACTTGAATAACTGAAACACCAGGAGACTTGTAGAAGCCCAAGGGAATGATTCTTACATGTATGTTTTGCATCAGCTCTTTCCCTTTGTTTTGGATAATACGATTATAATTTGACAAGATGTAAACATCACTAAGTCTTAAGCTTTTTGAAAAGACCCGATGCCTATCGAAAGTGTTAAGTGATTTTATATGATTGTTATAGACCTCATACATTGGTACAATATGCTTGATGCAAGATCTGGAATTAAATCTTATCTTTTGTACAAAGATTAAAATAAAGTGTAAACTAGACAACAGCAACGCCAAAACGTAGCAAATCCCATCAAACAGCCATGACTGGCATTTTTACAAACGAAGTATATAGCAAAAAGTGTAAAATAATGCACAAAAAGCGGCCACCATTACAGCCAAATTTTCATCAGAAAGTGTTATATGTAATAACAGAAAGTGTATATGTGATATTTCAACAAAATCCCACACACATACATGTCAATAGCGGCCATTTTTCAAATAGCCGCCTACTTGTCAACATACCAAATATGAACAAAATCGCTCCTCCACTTTTCAAGTTATAGTAAAAAATGTTAAAATGGCGGTCATTTTTCAAAATGAAGGGATATAGGCGTTCCCTATATCCCTCCGAACTTCGTTCAATGGGATAATGTAAGAAAACTTATGATATTGATTTCAAAAGTAAGAAAATGTGCTTATTGTAAATGGCCAATTTTCACAAGAGGAAAAATATTTACATGGTTATCTATATATCTAAATATGTACATGTATATACAAACTATTGACTTGTGTGAATCTTTAGACAATGATTCAAGATCTAATTTGTAAATGGCTTGTTCCAAATTATCAATTATGTTGAATATGTATTTGGTGCATCTTCACCATACTTTCTTTAAAAAAAACGGGAATATTTCAGGGGGCTAGAAATTTCAAATTTTTCTAAGAAATGTAATAATTTTTCTCCAAAAACATGCCAAATCTAATAAAAAAGATTATTCAAGAAAACATAGATTATTTTCGGAAATAATAGAGGGCTCACTAGATTCTCAATAGCCCTTTTGGCTTCTGGAGCTGTGCATTCTATAATTTATTTACCATATTTTCATTGAGTAGTCTATTATACTTTGTCTGTAACATTTATTTCATGAACATAATGACATTCTGTGGATATCTTGATTAATGTAATAAGATGTCTGATTATACTAGCTATAGTTGTATTATATTTGAATAAATTAATCTAAAAACACCATGATTATATAATTTTTTTTATACTGGAAACGGAGTAGCAAATCCCAACAAATAAATTATTCATTATTCTGAAATATGCACCCCATGCAGACAGATCGCCTAAAATTACATTCGGATGATGCGAGACTCAACATTCACCAGGAAACTTGAAATAAATTGTCACCCATGGAGCAAATTATTTTTTACTGCTTAATAAATGGTGAATGACAGTCAAATTAAGTTCTATAAGAATGAGAATAGCATGACATCTTGATATTCCAAGGTAACTCGTTTGAAAAGTCATAAATTGATTATGGTGTAACAATAAAACAGCAATGAAATATTTGTAGATTTCTTTGAAAAACTAAGAAATACACATCACATATAGAATTTTCTGAAACAGAAAAAAACATGTATACAGAGAAAGGCCTGCGGGTCCGATTCACCCTGGTAGCATTAACATTGGTCTCTTATATGCTATACAATTAATATTTGAAACGCAACTAATATTGATATTAATTTATTTTTTTGAACTGTTGAAGTACACATCATACTTATGTCCGATCATACGTTCGAATAATAGTTGTGTTTCAAATATTAATTGTATGACATACACAAGACCAATGTTATGCTACCAGGGGGAATCAGACCTGCAGGCTTTACTATTTATACATGTTTTTTTCTGTTTTGAAAAATTTGATATGTGATTTATATTTCTTAGTTTTTCAAAGAAATCTACAAATATTTCATTGTGATTTTATCTTTACATTGTAATTTCAATCACTGCAATCACTATTCGAGCGAGTTACCTTGAAATATCAAGACGTCATGCTATTCTCATACTTATAGAACTCAATGTGACTGTCATTCACCATTTATTAAGCAGTAAAAAATTAATTTGCTTCATGGGTGGCAAAATGTTTCTTGTTTCCTGGTGAATGTCGAGTCTCGCATCATACAAATGTAATTTTAGGCGATCTGTCTGCATTTGGTGAATATGTCACAATATAATATAGTCATAGATTTCCTAATACTTTAGAATTCTCTCATTTGGTGGCAGTTTTGATTTTTTGAAACTTGAATAAGATAATAATGACACATGTGATCTACTGTAAAATATTTTCCATTTGAGTATTAAATAGGCAATAGCGTATAGCCATACTTTGAATAGATATCAATTACTAGAAATTCAAACATCCGGTGGCCATTTAGGGTTTTCAAGGGCTCAATCAGAAAAATGATACAATAATTAGAATCTACTCTAAAAACTCATGTTTTCTGAACCCCTGGATACAGCCAAACACAGAATATTTGTGAAATAGATATATTTTCTGACTAAAGTGCTGAAATTTCTAACACTGCCTATCGATACTAAATCTTTTAATCCCCAACTTTCCATGCTCCATCCTTATTTTACAAGATTTTGCTTGGATTTTGATATTTTTCCAAGTTTTATGTCAGTCTGATTTCATCTGAAGATTGTTCTGATGAGACATGTCTTTGCTGCTCAGTTCGTAATTACAGTACAAAAATATATCATGACCTTAGTGCTGATATGAAAAACTCAGTCCACCCCAGAGGCACATGAATCTATGACAATAAGATAACATGATTAGGTCTTAAATTAATACTTTACATTGCATAATCTGTATTACAGCAATAAATTATATGTCCACCATCCTTCAAAATCAGGTGTCCATCCATAAATCATCCAGGAGAAGGAAGAAACTTGTGGAACAAACATCTAGATTAATGTCATCAAAAAGTGAATAAACACAGAACTGAATCCCAAGGGCTAGTGTGAAAAAGTCGATTTACCTCAGTCTTGATGTTAACATACCAGATTGCAATATTGTGTTCATCTAATTATGCCACATACACACATTGTGTGTACTGTTGTTATTGTATATGGTCGTGCTTGATTGGGTCGTATTGATTGTGTAAGATTGTTCTTTGTCCAATTGTGTTATTGAGATTTCACTTGATTTACTTGTACTGATTGTGCCATATTGTATTGTTTCTATGCTAGACTGTGTTTGTTTGATTGTCTTGAATGGTGTTTGACCTGATAATGCATGATTGTGATACTCGGACTGTACTTGACTATCTTGTACTGATTGTGCCATATTGTGTTGTCTTTATGCTAGACTGTGTTTGTCTGATTGTCTAATATGGTGTTTTGACCTGATAATGCATGGTTGTAGTACTCGGACTGTACTTGACTATCTTGTACTCATTGTGCCATATTGTGTTGTCTTTATGCTAGACTGTGTTTGTCTGATTGTCGAATATGGTGTTTTGACCTGATGATGCATGATTGTGGTATTTGGACTGTACTTGATTATCTTGTACTGATTGTGCCATATTGTGTTGTTTCTATGCTAGACTGTGTTTGTCTGATTGTTCAATATGGTGTTTTGACCTGATAATGCATGATTGTGATACTCAGACTGTACTTGATGAACTTGTACTGATTGTGCCATATTGTGTTGTTTCTATGCTAGACTGTGTTTGTCTGATTGTTCAATATGGTGTTTTGACCTGATAATGCATGATTGTGATACTCAGACTGTACTTGATGAACTTGTACTGATTGTGCCATATTGTGTTGTTTATATGCTAGACTGTGTTTGTTTGATTTTATAAGGTAATGTTTTGACCTGATAATGCATGATTTTGATACTCAGACTGGACTTGATGAACTTGTACTGATTGTGCCACATTGTGATATTTTTATGCTTTACTGTGTCTGTTTGATTTAATAAGGTTATGTTTTGACCTGATAATGCATGATTGTGATACTTGTCTGATTGTATAAGGTGATCTTTTGACCTGAAATTGCATGATTGTGTTCCTCAGACTGTACTTGATTATCTTGTACTGATTGTCCCACATTGTGTTGTTTTTATCCTAGACTGTGTCTGATTGTCTAATATGGTGCTTTGACCTGATAATGCATGATTTTGATACTCAGACTGGACTTGATGAACTTGTACTGATTGTGCCACATTGTGATGTTTTTATGCTTGACTGTCTGTTTGATTTAATAAGGTAATGTTTTGACCTGATAATGCATGATTGTGATACTTGCCTGATTGTCTAATCTGGAGTTTTGACCTGATAATGCATGATTGTGATACTCAGACTGTACTTGATTATATTGTACTGATTGTGCCACATTGTGTTGTTTATATGCTAGACTGTGTTTGTTAGATTTTATAAGGTAATGTTTTGACCTGATAATGCATGATTGTGATACTCTGACTGTACTTGATTATATTGTACTGATTGTGCCACATTGTGTTGTTTATATGCTAGACTGTGTTTGTTTGATTTTATAAGGTAATGTTTTGACCTGATAATGCATGATTGTGATACTCAGACTGTACTTGATTATATTGTACTGATTGTGCCACATTGTGTTGTTTTTATGCTAGACTGTGTTTGTCTGATTGTCTAATATGGTGTTTTGACCTGATAATGCATAATTGTAATACTCGGACTGAACTTGACTATCTTGTACTGTGTTGTCTTTATGCTGGACTGTACAGGACTGTACTTGATGAACTTGTACTGATTGTGCCACATTGTGTTGTTTATATGCTAGACTGTGTTTGTTTGATTTTATAAGGTAATGTTTTGACCTGATAATGCATGATTGTGATACTCGGACTGTACTTGATTAACTTGTACTGATTGTGCCACATTGTGTTGTTTTCATACTAGACTGTGTTTGTTATTTGTATAAGATGGAGTTTTGACCTGATAATGCATGATTTTTTAAGATGGACTGTAGTTGTTTATCTTGTTCTGATTGTGCCACATTGTGTTGTTTTTTAGCTCACATGACAGATGGCTTGAAATAATTTTGTAACAAAAAATCAGCAAAAAATTATATCCATTTTTTTCTGTCACCATGTGAGCCCAGTACCCATGGTACTAATTTTTTATGCTGGGCTGGGTTTATCTGATTGTATAAGATGATGTTTTGTCCTGATTGATTGTGCTGTACTTATTTTATTATTATGTTGGTGACATATCCAACTTTTTGTGTTTGGTGGTTGGTGTTCGGCAGATGGTGTTCAGTGTCTGTAACAAATAGCAGGTAGTGACTTTTTGCATGTAATGCCTCGTTATTTTTATTTTATGCAAGACTAATAGCATTCTTAAATTAAACCACAGCCAGTGTGATGGCAGTTAAATTTGTGAATGGTACCTGAGTCCGTCTGATATCCTGAATGTGATAAGATGAAAAAATAGTAGTCATAAGTAGATTAATACAATGTAAATGTAATGTAAAACATAATGCTACTTTCACTTTCGATCAAGGAGGATTGGCTCCCAGAATCGAAGTCGATATTTTCCAACAATGAAAACGCCGAAATGTCGTTATTTTCTGAAATTATAACCGATTATAAATTCAAAATAAACAGTTCAAAATATTCGAACCAATATCTCGATCATTTCTTGTGAGTTTTGGAATTTTTCGTTGGGATATAAGACCAAAATTCACGATTCAAATGTTGAAGTGAACAAAATGGCGGTCGTTGGAATTCAAATTTTGTAGCACGACATGCCCATATATGGGGCAGAATATCGATGTTGCACTCTGGGAGCCAATCCTCCTTGCTTTCGATATTACATGTACTTCTTCTGGCCAATTAAATCATCTAAAAGAATTCAGTCCGTAATAAATTAAAATAAATCATGTTTTCCAGAATCTGTCTAAGTTGTCGGATTTTGCAGGTATTTCAGGTTATTTAGTCTATTTTTATTCACGTAGAGAGTAATTTCATTTGATCGTCGTATTATCATGGTAAACCTATTCTCAACCGTTCACTGCATGTATCTTTACAACGGATGTTTAAAATATTTCACATATTATCGCCCACCAAATTCAGAATAATATTTTACTCAGTCCGTTTGTTAAGAACATCCGAGTGTGACCTCATCGGTTTCTTCACCATTATAAGAACACGGGGAAGTTGAATCCTAAATGAAGATTGTCAAAATAAGTAAGGTCCTGCTCTGTTATCCCGTTCCCGGACTATAGTCCTGCACTGAGCGCATTCATTTGCCTGTACGATTACAACTTGGGAGAATTATCTACGCCCCTTACACTTAAGATACCTACCTCAATGCATTATAGAACTCAAAATGTAACTTCTAATATATTGGAACCGCCGATTGTCTGGGTATATCGGCAGAACGGGAACATTTTCTCTTTTTCATCGAGTGAGATTCCATCACTTTTCAAAATGGCGGTTGGATTTAAAAGGGGAATCCCCCGTTTGGCTGTCCCGGATGTAGCCCGGAAGTACCAATATGGAGGAATTTGACGGTTGAAATAAGTTAAATGTTACACGCAAATATTGCGATCAAAAACGAAAATGTCTTCGTTCTGCCGATAAACCCAGACAATTGTGGATTCAACTACACGAAAAGAATGCTAAATTACCAAGGAATCTATTGAAGTAGGTATCTGAAGTGTAAGATGAGTAAAAAATTCTCCCATGTTGTAATCGCACAGGCAAAAGATTGAGATGTTCACAGGACCATAGTCCGGGAACGGGATAACTGCTCTGTTTCTCTAAACTAACACTCGTTTATAATTCTATCTTGCGGAACTCAAATTGCTACATGTACCTGTAAACCTCTGAACTCTGCGATATTGTAGTCAGTGAGAATCTCCATGATTTATCCAAGTTGCATTGCAATTCGGGTAAAATTTGTCCTAAAGATTGTAGGAATTCACCAATGTTCGGATAAATTCTAAGATAATCCCACAATGCATCATTACCATGACAAAATTTATCCAGATCGGGTCAGGGATTGTATGATTTCACAGCCGATGGTCAAGAAAGTTTGTAAAATTTATTGAAAAAACATTAACAAATTATAGTTTGAAATGCTAAGAATGCACCATACTCAATGTCTATTTTGAAAAAATTTTGGGGCTGAACTCCCTTACCCCTTTTTTGCTTCGCTGCCATGTTTGCTTCACTTGCAGAGATGCAAACCCATAAAATCGCACCCCTTTGACATTTGCTGGCTACGCCCTTGTGTTTATATACTATGGGGCAAAAAGCTACAAATAAACAACTTTGATTTAACAAATAAGCAATCACAGAACCATGTGTTGCAAGATTACTGTATATGGACAAATAGAAACATATGTACATGGCCTAACTTTTGTATATTTCAGATAGTTAGATATATTTTGCAGCAAAGGCGTTGCCTTTTGTAATTTAGGGAGTCTCGGCTAGTGTTAATTTTCTAAATAACATGACAGAGAAGCATCAAAATATAAGAGGCCACACATATGATAGCCAAACTACAAAACAAAATTCAAAATATATGCAATGTGCAATCCTTTGATTGCTTATTTATTATGTATGGATTTTCAGGTGAACTCTAAAAATTATCCGGGTGCTTTATATAGACTTCAAGATGCATCATTCAACACAGATTCTACTCTTCAATCTCAAAGGAATACACACAAAAGATTTAGAATTCTTAGACGACTGAAAATCATGGTAATTATCTTTGATAAGATCATATTCATGAAACCACTATGTGGACATTGCTGGTACCTACATGTTAGTGAGTATAAATAATTCACTAAATTTAATGACATCAAGCAAAATCTGTTTAATATTATTGTATACAATCCATCTCATCAAGTTTTATGTTTCATGCAATTGATGCTGCAAAAGTTAGAATCGAAAAGACCGTTACTTGTTTACTTTAGGGTTTACTGGACTCGGCATAGAGTAATTAGGAATATCATTAGAATGTAACAACGTAATGTGATATTTTTGTTCTTATAATAGGGCCCACCTCGGAAAGACTTTCCAAATTTTGAGGAGATGCGTGAGAAGCAGAAAATGACACCAGCTGAACAGAGACAGGACATGAAGAAAGATGGTAGAATGCCACCAAGGTCAGACAGAGTGCGGCCCATCAATATATCATGTACAGGTTAGACGAACACTGTATAAGTTTAAAGTAAAAATAGTGGGTGGCCAGAAAAGTCATTGATCATAATACTCTAAAACATTACGTAGCACATATATTTTGAGCACATTGCTAATAAATGGGTTTAAAATATGGCCATATTAAATGGTGTTACCATGGTCTATTGACATTTAGGGAGCAAAGAGGAGTAACTGTCCATTGCATTTTAAACATTTCTTTTTGGTATTTAACAGGAACTTAAAGAGGCTCTATGCCATAGGATAGCACAATCAAGACCCCTTTGGACTTTTTTGCATGTTGAGTTTCACCACATACCCATCTACTTACCAAAGAAGAAGTCCCAAATCCCCCTCTTTCAGTGTTAATTTTGCGATTGTGCTGGCTGATCTAATTATTTTCGAAGAAATTAATTCAATCTGAAGTTTGAATATACCTGGAAAGTCCTCCTGTTATCTGATTGGTCGTTTTAATTTGTTTTACATAAACCTGATTGGCTGCCTGGTTCAAGGCGCTTGTGGGCGCTAGTGTGACTCAATGGGGATTCCCCTCGCTAGCCGAGGAATCGATTGTGTTTAATTTTGGAGTTTGGTTGTTGTGTTGATTATCTCTGATATTTCAGCAATAATATACCCAAAAGTTATTCTCAAGATATATAGCCATGGTATGTGAGATATTATACGAGCAATAACAATAGGACATCATTGATTGTCTGGGGAGAAACCTATGGCATAATGCATCTTTAATTACTGTATACAAATTACATAAAGAACAATAAAAATAAATTACAATAACAACATACACATTTATTAAATTAGTATAAAACATCATGCTTGACATACACATATTTTTCATTCATACAAGTACATTCAATCTTTCATTCAGTTACAAATCATGTTTTGATGTTTTGACTTTGCCATAGGTAAACAAAAGTGGCTTCTGTCTCAAAACATCATACTCAAATGTTTTCATATGAAATTACACCCGTGAAAAATCTATATCTGTAATTTTTTCTTTATCACATATTGTTTTGGCTTCAGAGTTTGTAAAACCAACATTTTCATGAGCCACATTTGTTATAACAGTGTTATCATGGATATTTAAATCAACAACAGTATTGTCCTGAGCATTATTGTCCTCACACCACACTGTATGGAGAAGAATCTCCAGAGTGAAATAACATATCATAACAACTATAAGCAGTCCAAGGTTGATATATGCTTTTACCCAAACACACAAGAATCCATTGATAGCAAAGGAGAATGCGAATCCAAATGACTGCCACATATTTCTGATGATGAAGCTGCTCTTGAGATCCTCTGGACAAAGTCTTGCAATAAGCACTGGAAATAAAAGATAATTCATGATATTATTACATAGTAGCAGAGGCAGAACAAGTCTTCCCTTTTGTTTTTCCTAATAACTTCTCAATAGAAAATTCTCAATAGAATTTCATGAATTTTTTTTAGGATGAACCTAAAAGCATTCTAAACTTACAAATTATTTTATTATGATAACAGACAATTAACAAACCCTTTGAAAAGGCAGCAAAAAAGTTAATGTTATAAAAATTGTTCATTGATGAGATGTTAATACCAGGGCATAAAATGAGAGGGAAGCAGAAGAATGCTACAAACTATGAAGATGAATATGCAAATGATTTGGCACAATTTAGTTTGGCGAATTGGGCAAAATTGGAAAATTGGCGAAGATTTAATTTGGCAAATTAAGTAGCCTAAGGATAAATATGAAAAATAAAATTGCCAAATTCAACAGGAGTGAACCTGAGTTCCGAATTAACCATCGTCATAAAAATAAGCAAGGTGGATAAAAATTGAAAAAAGAATGCCAATTTTGCGAATAAAATTGAAGCGACATGCATTCAGAAAATGATTGGAATTTGTTTTATTTTGATGGGCAATAATAGAGTAAGCACAATAAAATCAATCGCTGTACGAAAAAATTCGCCCAAATAAAATCGCTTGACAAATTAAGTTGACAACAGTAAAAGGTTACTCACCATTCTCTTGTGTTTGGCAAATAGAGTGAGCTACCCCATAGAAACCAGGTAAGGCAAAGAACAACCAGTATTGGTCCGTTGATGGTTCCCACATCAACATAACTAACGTGCTGATAGCATTCATCACCATGGCAACTGTGACAAGTACATATGATGGTAGCCATTTTGAGAGAAGTCCAAATAATGGTGCTGTGAGTGTGTTGCAGATTGCCAGGCATAACATAGACATCCCGATATAGCCAATGCCCAATTCACAGCTCACATAGGCCTATAATATATTAGAAATCATAAATTGTAAAAAATTAAAGCTTTTCTTGGTTTTAAATGACATGTCAGGGTTGATTAGCAAGTAATGAAGTGAAGATGATTGACATTAGGGGGGAATTTCTAAGTGTGTTCCTTTAATACTGTGTGCTTTTCCTTTAGCCATTGTACTTAGATATTTTGACATTCTGCATTTTTCTAAAGCATTCTCATTCTGGCTCAAAAGATTTAAGTTAAATTATCATTGAATTTTATCTAAATTATTCATCATAGAATGACAGACTTTATTACATACCTGATTGAAGTCTCCGAGGATGAGAGAGTTCCTGACTCCAGTGAATATGAGCATCGGGGTCAGTAGGCACAGCTTTAGACTTCTGTGTTGCTTGAATAACTGGACCAGTCTGTCTGACATCTTCGCATTCTCATCAGCTTTTAGTTTTGGTGCATCAAGCAGGATGATCAAGAGAAACGCAAGCCCCGTTAGGCCCAGGAATGCACCAACCAGGATGTAGATGCTCTGTTCAGATGGTCGGATTATGTTTGTGTTATTTAAATTTGAATTTGGACAGAATTCAGCTCCACAAACATCTTTATGCACAAAACCAGTTTCATTTATGTGTGCAAGTTCATCTTCATCTTCAATTGGAGCAAGGTTTGCGTTCATGAGAATATTGGATGATATAAGCTCACCCCAAATTCGCCCACTGTTGAATATACCAAGAAAAGCCCCAAAGAATAAATCAATGGTTGGTTGAATGTTCTCACGTTTCATAAAATGGGCATAATCAGTGGCTATCGAAGTCAACAATGTCCCAAATGCAGCCCATGCTAGACTAAAGCCTGCCCCCATTAACATGCCAGCTGGTATCAGAGTGAACCAGGCGGCATAGGAATTAGCAAGATAGTACAGCAGCACACAGCACCAAGCCAACATCATTGTCCTCTTTTCTCCTATGTAACCAAGCACGGTGGGAGATACAATCAGACTGCAGATGATACTAGTGGCATGACATGTTGCAATTGTAGCTACACCAAGGCCCCCCTCGCTGTTCAAGCTACTCTGAAGCGATTCAAGGGAATTCTGGGGTAGCAGCATTAATGTGAAGGCAAATGAAAAACAGAAGAAGTTTTTCAGAATTCTCCATCTTCCCTTTTCTTCTGGTCCCTCTTGAAGTTCGCCTTCATCGATCTTACCAAAGCGCTGTGGTGAGATGATGCTCTGCTGACTAACAGTTTTCTCTCTGAAATTCTCTGAGACTGCGTAGATTTTCATCTTGTCGAAAGTCTTTGTATTTGTGAATGTTGAGCCTGATACAGACAAATGTGCTGTGTGCTGCATTCTGTCGAATGATCACACACAGATCTTGTTTCTCTTTTATACTCCATATTTCTATGTGCGTTTAATCAGTACATCTGTAGAAACTAAATTGCTTCTTTACCCCCACGTGGAGTCACGCATGTACCTTTATCATTATTTATTGAACAACCTTCATATTTGACTATTGTCTTAATTATCAAAGCTTAGAGCCAGTTTTTTCCAGTCTCTCAGACTGGATTCTGCACTGCACCAATGTTGCCGTCCCATAGACAGCTGTGCTGTCACATATCTTGAAATAAATGTCCTGGGGACATGTACCTCAAATTTGAACTAACACACACTTTGGAATAACAGAACACTTGAAATTAAACCTTTAATAGCCATTTATTGTTTTATGATGTGTCCGCAGCTAGATTTGTCCAGTTTTGGTAGTTAATTTAGAGACACTAAAGTTTGATAACAGCTCTTGTCTCAAGACTTCAAACCAGAACTAACCAGCCTTTTAGTGTATGTCATACAATGTGATGTTGTCAAAGTACACCAGGTACTTTAGGTCATCTTTTCCTCTTGCCTGACCTGATGGTTTACCTGGGACTTATGTTCAAGTGTTTTATTATTGCGTTTGATGTATATTACAGGGTAACCCCCCAAAAAATATAACTCATTTCTGGAATTACTTTATCAAAATTAGGAATTCACCCTTTTTTTCTCGTGAAGATAAAATGTTAAGGTGGTGATGTAATCATGTGGCATCTATATCTGAGGTTTAAGATCAACTTTTCTCAATCTTATATAGATCCTACAATATGAATCAAATACTATTTTGATCATGAGTAGCAATTTTTGTGGTCATCATATACCTTATTCAAATATAAAGGGAACTGGCATGTTTGTCATCTGTAACCTTATAAATATAAGTTTTATTTTTAAATTTAGAAATATTAAATTTGTTTTGGAAAATATGAACTTTCATTTGGAATTCATATAGATTTATCTTGATACATCAATAACAAAGATATCTCAAAAATTGGGAACAGTTATAACTGTGTAAATAAAATGTATTTTGGAAATATTAAGAAAATATGCAACATTACATGTAATAAATCAATTTGAAATAATTAGTGACATTTGATATTATCTTGTCCAATGGGGAAAAAGCTGGAAAATATATGCGTAAATTTCCTTTTATGTTTCAGGAGTGATTATAGATCAATATGTGCCACCTGAGGGGGATGGGAAAATGTCCTCAATATCAGGGGAGGTATGTATCATCAACCTCAATATCATTTATTTGACTCTCACTATGGTAACAATTGCTAATGGATAGCTAGCCACTAGTGGTGGGATAATTACCCACTTACTCACACATTGACTCACAGACACCCCACGAGTTACTGTCTCAAGTTGGCTCGTGACTACCGGAAGTAGAATTTGCTCATATCTGAGGTGAGCTGGTAGTGTTGCAGGTCCTGCGACTTCATACGTCATAATATACGAAGAAGAATACAAAATAAAACTGTGATTTTTGTTTTTATTCTTTGTTCTGCGAGTTCTGACACAAGTTTGGTTTTGAGTGTGAGTCCCACCACTACTAGCTACTTTATCTGTAGATATGGTTTGACCATGCTAAATATATACATGTGACAATATTAAAAAATAAAGAGATTAATTTGTTCAACATACAAAATAGTTCTATGGTATTTTCTCGAAAAAAAAACTATGTTGGTAATTCATACTACATGTACCAGGTATGTACTAGGTATTAGCAACAGAGCAGATCAAGAATTCTGCAGTGTAACTTAAGATAACAAATCTTAATTCACATTTTGAACCCTTGAACCCAGTAAAAGGAGATAAAAAATTGTTAACATGATATAGAAGAGGTTTGTATTACAATAATATATAATAAAAAAATGATAAAAGGACAAGCTTAAATAAAAATGCCTGTTAGTGGATACTTATGAATGATGCATCATTTAAGGAAAAGTCTGTGTAGAAAGCATTTATTACATTTTATTACATATTGATCATGTTTTGAATATGTCCCATACCTTTCTTATTGTACTTTAAAAAGTGCTATATTGTCATCATCGTGTGGTGTGTGCCATATACAAAACGCCATATACGCCATATGTAAATCTTGTCATCAAAAGTATAGCAAAACTGCTTATCTTGAACTATAACTAACTTGAAATATTTACAGATGCAATAGCAGACTATTGTCAAGATCTTATAAGGGTTTTGAGCTAATTAAAAAAAGTTGCAAATTACATGGTGGCAGTTGTGCTCTCCAGTGTGATATTTATCATTATTTGCATTGTTTAATAGGGAGCCAAGCAGAGGCTGAAAGAATTTGGCAAAAAGGGACAGTCTTATATGCAGTTGCGGAAAATTAAGCAGTTTGATGAAGACTTTGAAGTGAAAGAGTTTGCTCAGACAGCCCAGGAAATGTATATAGAGGCTCAGAACCTTCTGCAAGAGTAAGGACCAATCTTAAATATCTAAGCTTGTGGAGAGAGAGAATGTGGCTGATAATTAGGGGTGGGACGGATAACCGAAATACCGAAAAACCGCGGCTCATAGCCTTCGGATCAGTTTTCGGATCACGGCCCTACTTTCGGATCAGCTTTTCGGATCGTTTTCGGATTAATATTTCATTGGTCAAGTATCAATAAAACAGTTAAAAACACTGTTTTACAGCAACATTTTTGATATTCCTAGTCCCTACCTTGTCTGTCTTGTCTGTTGCTAGCTCACTCGTTTACTAGATTCATTTGGTATCCGCGTATTCGTATCCCTCGGTATGCTCATTAAGGAAAACACATCACAGAATAAAGGTTTCTACAAGCATAAATTAGTTATTTTATTGGTTGTATTAAAAGAAAGTGACAGTCAGCAGTGAAGTCAGAGACAAAGCAGCTAATCATGTCAATCAATACAAATCCTTAAAATGAATGAACCGAACCGAAAAAACCGAACCGACGGCTGATGATCCGAAAAACCAAACCGAACCGAAACGAACCGTCCCATCCCTACTGATAATGAACAAAGGGCGAAATAAAATATACTAGAATCATGCTTCAAATACCCTATCTTAAACATTATTAGTTTAACATGCAATAGGTGTGGGAGGAGAAATATACTCCATTTATTTTAACCTGAAAAATTACCAATGCTATTTCCTATTCACTAACCAATATGCTATTTAGTCTCCCAAATAGAAAAATCACACTGTTATACTATATAATGAAAGTAAATGTAGATAAAGGAAAAAAATATGTTTGAAATATCAAAAATTTATGTATAAATGCTTTTGTGTTTTCAAATACACATGTACTTGACTTCTGCTTGTATTTGCAGTGTTGAGAAGAATGAAGACAAACTACATGAGCTTTGTAGTGAAAAGGCATACCCTGTAAGTTTAAAATCAAATCATTGTTTAAAATGGCTCAACTCTGATCTGCATTATTATTTAAAATATTCAGAATTAATAGAACTGCAGCCTCTTATACATATCTTTTTCTATAAAGCGTTGACAATTTCAAAAAAGGATTGTTCTGTAACATGTCATGGGCGTTGCTAGGTATGAAGCAAGCATTTTATAAATGTATTTTTCAGCTGTTATGTTTTCAATTAAAAGTCAACTAAAACTGTAAAAATGAAGTCAAAAAGTAGCAATATACTTGCTTTAGTGTCAATTTGCCTCACCTATTTACATTTGCCTCCCCAAATTATTTATCCTGACTACGCCACTGCATTTGCCTCGATTTTACTTTGGAGTAGGATTCGAGTTGAGGTTAATTTGATTTGCAACTGTCATGCACAGCAGATAAATGAGCAATACTCATATAGATATATTTTGATTCATATTTGCAGGAAATGACATATATGCTGGAAGAAAAAACATTCAGGTGGCGATTTTTAGAGTCGGTGGAGCCCCCTAGGGTTGTCTATGTGCGCACCCAGGATATGATGTCTAAAGAGAATCAGTATGCACAAGTCACAGTCAGGATGCATTTAAAACAGGTAGGTATTTATTGAATATCCTCCATTTGGGACTGAGTCAAAATATTGATTCAAAAAGAGCAGAGGATACAAATTCTATTAATGTTTTTTGATCAATGTACATTGATTTTTAAAGAGGGGCATGGGGTATAAGTAGGAGGCAGATTAATGGAACGAATTTTTGATATATTCGCAAAGCTTATTAATTTTTTTCCATATTAATAGAGAAATTGGTGTGATGTGACATTTAAAACAACTAGTAATATTTTTCCAATTTAAAAGTCCTCAATCAAAATGGAGTATTCAGCAGTGTTGTTAATTATTAAACTTACCAATCCTGACTTTTTGTACCATATTAGAGTATGGATGTAACCTGATATTTTAATGGGAGTTGCTAGCAAGTTTGAAATCCCCATTTAAAGGGAATCAACTTTTAATGTGAGAGAAATCAATTAATGTGCAACAAAATTATTTACTAGAAAGGGAGGGTGTGACTCCTAAATTTTATCAATTACGCCTCAGGTCGTAATGCCATACTAGTTTAGTAATGACAAGGCTAGTATGACGATACATCCCCAACTTCATCACATAACATGTAGTTTTACATCAACTTTTGAATTGATCAAAATTGATGAAATCATGGGCTTTCAATAGATCTATTGACAGATTGAGTGCCCATGATTAAATTCATAGGTTTTTATATTCAAATTATGAAACTTCCTGCATATGAATATAAAAAAATATGATATGAATAAATATGAATATTATCCTTTATTTTTCGATCTTTCCAGACACTTGCTGTGTATGACAGGTTTGGTCGGCGGATGTATGGAAGTGAGAACATTGCCAGAGACATGGTCGAGTATATTGTCTTTGAGAAACATTTATCAAACCTTTATGGAATTTGGCGAGTACATGGGAAAATTGTACCAGATTGGATGCCAGTGAGTGAACCTGTGATAAGGACATATAGGAAGAAAGAATTTGAGGAGATAGTTGAAGAAACTGAAGACTCCACTGATAAAGAAGTGGTCTCAAAGGATGATAATCCAACTGTAGCCACTGCTTGATTGAAATATTCTAAAGTGAAGAAAGTACCCAATTTTGCAAGCAATTCTGAAGCATTTATTATAGTATTCATGTACAATGATATTCATGGACTCAAAGGATTATTCACATATAATATGTCTGAATAGCAGAATGGGAATATGAAGATTCCTTTGTATGGTCCTTGTACATGTATTTGAATGAGCGCCAGATGAAGGTGTTGGGTGTCCTTGTACTGCCACAAAGAATAAAAATAGTTTACAATTGACTAATAAGAAAAATATATTTTATTGTTTTCTGAATTATACATGAAATACAGTACATATTTTTTAATTCACAAAGTTGATCCCTCTAATATGTACAATAACAATACAGAGTGAAAAGTATTTACCATTATGCTGGTATTTCAAAATGAAGCTTAAATGTGCAATCCCTTTAAAGCTGATCTTGATATGCCCCGATTCTTTAAAATCCATAATAGCTTGCAATTGAAGGCCATTGAATTAAAACGTTGATACATGCTTTTTCTGTAAATATCAATCTTGAAGCACATGGTACAGATGATCTTTAGTACCGGTTCATATTTCTGTATACTATGGCTTATGTCTATCTGTCCTTCTGTGTTTCGGATTGGTCCATCAATTAGTAGAACCTTGAATATATTTACACTTAGCCCATATTAAAATATTGTTAAAAACAATACAAGTAAACATTTAAAGTATCTTAAGTAAGATAAGTTATATTTCATTGAAATGCAAAAAATGATAAAAGCATCTATAGCATGAACATCCGTGTTTTCTGCAGTTCTGCTAGGTGCAAGTTAATTTAAATTGTATCGTTTAGAGATGACTGGTTTACACCCAATCTCAGTGAGGAAAGGAGGTGAGGGTGTCATGGTATGTGCAACAACCTATCTACTGTAGTACTAGTACATGTAATACCTAAAATTCAATTTTTAAATGAAATTAAATAAATTTATAACATACTTAAATCTTCATAATAAAGAATCACTCTCATATGACTTGGCAGAGAAATTGATTTTGGTTAAGTATGTTATAAATACATCAAGTAGTGCAAAAATACGATTTATTTTAAAAACCTTAAAAATAAATGATACATAATTTCATAATAATGCAGATTAAAATCAATGAGGAAATATCACTGCATTTCTTCACAATATCAAATTGCAGAAATATCTGTTACCAGTTTTATGAACCAAACATTCAAAATTTTCAAGCCTGACTTGGGACAAAATTTCCTCAAAACTGATTGGTTAACAGGCAAAAATGCATATAAAAACCTCATTTTACTTAAAACTCATAGGTACCATATACATGTATATATTTATAATATATTGTACTAAAAACAAAATGATGACTTTATGTACTAGGTACATGTAATCTATAAAATACTGTACTGAACATCTGCCTTGATTAGTCTTCAGTAAGAGCAAAGCAAGTAACTAAAAGCTAAACAGACTGGAGGTGAATGCAGCTTATTCCTAACGTTTTTAAGAAACCAGATGTATTCATACATTCATTTAAATCTTCATACATTCATTTAAATCTATCTCATTCAAGGTTTGTTGCTTCTAATTATTGCACCAGTCAAAACTACAAAGAAACAATGGCATTCATAATGGTTTGCTTATGTTGAAACTTTTAAGTGATCTAACTAAATTTTGATATTGTTTCTAGGCAAGGCAGGGTGACTTGAAAATGGGCTTAGCATCTCACTAATTGCAACAGTTTCTAGATTCATTTTATTTACAGTTGATGGCTTTTGTATTTCATCACAAAGTACAAGATGCCAAGTAGAAAAGTGCTGGTTTTGTAAAAGATCGTTGGTCTCCATTTATCCTGTATTTTCTCTATCTTAAAATTATAGAGCTTCACTTCTCAGGTTCTTATCAGATGTGAGTGTTCATTCGGTTCATCAGGATCCCTGAAAACAAAAATATGAAACATTGTTTTAGTTGCTATTGGTTCGTTGTCAGGTAAAGTTCTGTAGAACATTTAAGATAATCCTTTCATTTGAACATCAATAGTTGTGAAGATGAAGATTGTTTGATTCATTTTCACTCTTTTTCCCTTACAATTACTTTATATATAATATTATTTTAAAGGTAGAACATTAAGACTGATAGGAATAATGAAACTTTTCTTTATGAATGTATTGAATGAAGGCATATATTTAATGCATAAAACATTACAGAGCTTAAGTACTGTAGTATACCAATACCTACTTAAATATATATAAAAAGCAAAATAAGCTTCTTATTGGAATAAGATAAATAAATGAAGCCTGTAACAATGGTTATAATAAGGAGGATGCCCTGCTTTCCAAAAAGCTATTGATCCACTGGACCATGCTTAATCAATCTTATGCAAAAGAAAAGTGTTGAAGTAATTCAAGGTCCTTTGTTGTAGCTCTAATATTTCCAAAGGATAAAACCCAATGAAGGATCAACTGATCAGTTTTCTTGTGCAGCCTAAGTGAACAGTATAAAGGATTCTAATATAATATGTGACATCACAATAGATAGAACAATTGATTTACTGGTCTATATAGGAGTATGTACTGGAGTTTCTCGCAAATATGCCCATGGGCGTTTATTTGAAAGAGAGGTGTATGAAAAAATATTTTTCCCTCTTTATTAAGGCCCATGAGTGTTAATTTAAAAGACTTCTTAATAAATGACCAAAACATTGAAAGGATTGAAATTGCTTAAAAACAGAAGTGGCAAACAGAACAGAGGTAAACTTGACATGATGTAGCAAAAATATGACAAAAGGTCACATATTGGTAAACGTTCTTGCCCGCATTCATGATATTATCGCGTATTATCGAATATGAAGGCCATGTGTCAACTTATCGATCGATAATATCCCCCGAAATAAATGCCCACTGACTCGGGAAAGCTATTTTCCCTCTTAATAAATGCCGATGGGTGTTCATTAAAAATTCTTTCAAATAAACGCCCTGTGCAAAATAAACACCCATGGGGCTATTTGCGAGAAACTCCGGTATGACCACTTAAATTCATAAATGCAAATAGTTGTTTTTCTTGTTTGTTTTTATCATACTAGAATCGTAACCGAGACCTCGATTTTATGACCTCAAATTTTATTCTGGCCATAAAATCTCTTTCTTTATTCCTTAATTTAAATATGGAGACATTTTGAGATGAAATGTCAAATAAATGACCTTGTATAGACATTGACAACTTGTGTCATTTGTTTCTTATGCTGTATAAGTAAAAGAAAAAATTATTGATTTTTTTGCTTGACTGACCAAAAAATACTTCAACACTCAAGTTTGGTGAGAGTCTCTATTGATACCAGGAGTGCACCTTTTTAAAGTCTTCATTTGCCGGCCCAGTGGTGAGCACACATGATCCTTGTCTGTCTGTGTCATACCTTTGTTCACATCATCACCACTGTCAATTTGAAATTATGTAGAAACAAGATATTCAAGTGTATCATCTTGCTTAAACCCCTTGGCTTGTATCCTCCCTCCAGGGACCCCCCTCCCCTGTTACACACCCCACCCCATAGATAGGGAATGGGGATCTAGAGAATTGAATCAGGAAGACAGTAAAAAGATTTCATTTGATTTTGTTTCCTTGGTTTACTTCCAAGACCTATGTTATCTGATTATAAGGGCTTTCATCAGAATGACAACTTGTAAAGAAATGATTTACTTCAATATAAACTCATACCATTCTCATGAAATTCATGGTTATTCCATTTTTCTCATGTAACGTTTACAATTTGTAATAATTGTCAACAGAAAGAAAGTGGAGATAATACATAAGTTCTGGTCAATATGAATGGTCAGCTACAAAAGTTACAGTAATTGACTTAATATTACATTTCAAACTATTTTTGCTCGTTTTCCATGATATAAGGTTTGTTTTCGCACTATACTGATGTGACTTATATGATAATTGTAGCGTTAGTATAATTCATGCAGTAATAACATCTACCAAAGTCAACCATTGAGAGAGCAATGCAGCATAAAACAAATATATCCACATCTGCAACAGCTGCCTACCTTAAGTGTTTACAGCAGCAGAGAAAGGTCCAACAGCTGCAACCTTGTGTTTGGTCTTCCGATCTGTATAGAGGGCAGTCTGGTCCATCCTCACACTCCCCGATAAACTCAAAGAGGCGGCTCTTTGGGAAACCATTGTTGTAATAATGCTAAAAAGTTTAAATCAAGATAAAAAATAATAATCGACTGGGCTTAAAATAGCAGTTCATTGTAATGACAGTTACTAATTAATTATTCAAATCCTCACGAGTCTATTAACTTTGTGAAGCAGCTTAACAATAACAATATGTTACATAGTCTCTTTTTATCATTAAATTGTATGCAAATATGGTTAATACAATACATCAGATTGAATATCCATACATATCTTATACTGAAACAACTTTATATTCATTTCTTCAGAGAATTTTTTATTAGATCAAGGCTTTCGACTTGTATCCTCAAGCCTACATATATTATATAATATATAACAACATACATGTAACAAGGCTTGATCTAATTAAAAATTCTCTGAAGAAATGAATAAAGTTGTTTTCATATATATATAAACCAGAGAGATGAACTTACATAGAACCATATATATCTTAGTACTCATATGTTTTACCTTAATTGTCTCATATGTGTCCATAATGACAGCAATAAAGAGACTTAGCACTACGTAAATGAACAAAGATATGAACGCATAGAGATAAATGCGACTGTAGAGCCACATTGACCTGCTAAGGTTAGGGCGGTTTTCTGTCGTGATTGCAGAAAATGTCACAAACATGTCATCTCCATTTACCAGGGAAAACAATGTTTCTGAAGTTGCGCTCAGGGTGCGGAACTGAAAAATAATTTACATGTAAAAATAGCGAACTGAGCCAGATTAGTAATACGGTGAAGCAGACAGATTAAATTTTCAAGCATAGGTTCTACTACAATAAACACAGCACAATAGAGAAAGCTAGCAAATTCAAATTGATTTGCGGATCAAGATAATATAGGATGGACAGAAGAAAAAACATGTACAACATGCAATAAGACCAACACCTTTCTCCAAAAGTAAACCATACCCATGTTATTCAGAAGCATGCTTCACCGCATCAAAAACCTGGTGGTCAGTCGAGCCATATCAAATGTGACCCACCTTTATGGTATCATAGCTATCCATGATGACTGCGATGAATAGATTAAGCACTGCATATATGAAGAAACTAATAAAGATGTACAGGTAGATTTGACTATAAAGCCAAATACCCAAATTCTCCTTTGAAATTGCTGAGAAGGTGACGTACATATCGTCTCCATTGACTAGAGAGAACAGACATGCTGATGTGCTGATTAGTGTACGGAACTACAAAAACATAAATGCAGGCAAATTTTGAACAAAAGCTAGATATAATTAATAAAAAAAACATTGAAATTGTCATCCCATTACCTTCCTTTCTATTTTTATCATAACATTTTAAGATCTATAAGTCAAAATTGATATGTGTTTAAATGAAAGTATTCCTGATTCCTGTATTGTTTTCCCAGTAATTAACACCCATACTTTCAAAATGATCCCCACTTAACTCTGAAATTACGCCCATGTGGAATATAATGAATGGTTGTCATTGTAAGAAAATCTGGTAATGACCCATGTGCAAGCTTTAGTCTCATTTAGAATCATAAACCAAGTGCATCTTTTTGTTTTATTATGCAGCTAAACAGCTATTTAGTAATTAGAAGTAATAAGTAAATTAGTAATTGAATTATAAAAAGCATTATGTGTTCATTCAGCAGGAATAGAATAATAAACATAGGGAAAGTAATGATTTGACAAGACAATACTACATGTACATGTATACAACTCAACATGCATTATTTAGCCATTATGTCCCTATCATTGAATATATGCCTGAGGTCTGACGTCAATAAAGCCCGAGCTTGCGAGGGTTATATTGACGACAGACCGAAGGCATATATTCAATGATACGGACATAATTGTTGTATAGCTGGCTATACAGGAATATATAGCCGTCCTTCGACTCCATTGACTTCCATACAAATGCTTCGCTAGGTATGCAATACAGATATGTAAACTTTACATGCACTATGACATACAACATACTGCATATACATTACACAGACTGGTTTCATAATTCATACAAGTTTTTTATAATTTAAATAAAATAAAATAGTATCCCACTGTGTAAAGGTGAATAAATAATTTTTCTGGCCATTTCATCTTTTCTTAATATGATTCAGAATTGATAATTTAAAATTTCCACTAACTTATAATTTTCTGATTGCTTATAATTTTTAAAAGATTGTATCTGAAAAATAACTTGATATTTACTTACCTTCACATGGTAAGGTCCCAGAACCACCCAGCCACAAAATGTGAAACCAAAATAAAATACTGCTGCACACACCAAGAAACGTAAAATATTTGGTGTGGCCTTTTTCATGGTAAGCACTAATATCTGAAAGAGAAGGACATCTGAGGTCAGGGAGGATTTAAACATTTTAAAATACATGATAACACAAGGCGATATCAAGTTATTGTTTAGAAAACCCTAATAAAAAATAAAGGTTGGTAAATCAAAGTGATTCACAAGAAACATCTTTTTCAATTTGGAAAACAAATAAAGGATAAATATTTCAGAGCCAAAATTTGATTTTCATGACATTGTCAAATAATTTAAAGTTGTTTATAGTACTATGAACAGTGTCACTACTTACATTGTATTGCTCAAAGAAACCCAGGTATCTCAGTACCCCAAACCATACAAGCATACTCCCTGTACCTAATAAGACACCACACGTCTCATAGTCATGGGAACCCTGAAAAATGGTAAATGTATGATACACCAACAAAGTCTCATTTCATGCAATTTTTTTCTTATGTTTCAATTAATTGTCTGATTTTCTTGATTTTGCAAAATGTCTGATAATGTCAACATGTCTGAGTTACATATTATTAAAATCGTATGTTACAGTCAGAGGGCAGAAGGGTAGCCAATGGGGTTCAGGGTATAAAAGAAGTCTCACCTTATAGTCTATTTGTATTTTAAAGATGGAGCCAACGATGGTTAGGATGTCATTGATGACAATCATGACATACCACATGTTGAGGAACTCTAATAAGTCCCAGACATCAAGTTCTTTGTTAAACTGCTTCTTGAAGAACTCCTTGCATTCCTGGAAAAAGTGTAAGACATTATTTTCAAACTCAAGAAAAGTTTGGATATAAAGTCATCTCAGATGTTGGAGACTGAATACCCAGGGATAATGATATAAGATAGCAGTTCCAACTGTCAAGGTGAACCTGTATCATATCATAGTATATTTCATACGTAATAAATTACTATGTGAGCAACTTCAGGATTTGATTACAATAGATAGGGTTTGTAATTTTTATCAATGTTTACTGATGAAGAAAGTTTCAGCGCATTATGATTTAAAAACTTATTTAGAAGGTTCAGTCTCTAATCCAGGTGATAAAAATCAGAACAAGTGTGGCGATTAAAGAACAGCTCACCCATGTGGGCTAAAGAGGTGCTACACATACAATATGTGAAGTGTAATAAAAATCAATAATAGCACTATACATCTTATCACAATATGAAGTTAAATAAAAATCTTATTCTCACCTTTTTTAAGATTTGTGCTCTGATGATAGACCTGGTACAGAGAATAAGTGAGAGAAAACTTATGAAGATAACGAAGACATCAAACACGGCATACCCGACCTCTGTTGCTTGATCCAGATTATTTCCATTAGCAATCTTACCATGACACTCTAGGTGAATTGCAGTGGCTAACAGCGTCACTGCAATCTGACCATTGTGGCCACTGTTGTCAAAAGTAATCTGGAAATTTGTAAAACGTGTATGTTGATGGAACTAGAGGCACTTGAAGAAAGATACTGTATTTCAAATCTGAATCTGGGAGCTCTAGGGGTGTTATTTGATTCTAAATATATGATTTTAAATTAAAGAAGAAGTAAGATAATTGAGTGTAAAACTTATACTGTAATTACTTTATATTACTAGAAAATAATACAGTTCTTCAGTGAAAGTGACATTAGTATTGCATTCAAATGTACAAGAAATGTTTTAATGAATAATACAGATAAATGGATCATGATGAGATGGAAACTAAACAGGTTACATCCTTTATGTATTTAATGTTTTAAATTGCATCCAAACATAAATAATAAATATTTAACAATGTATAATTCATAAGCATGTTTCAGTTTCCCATAAAACTGTAAATTACAAACTTACCCCAATATCAAATTGGAAGCAATCGGGTTCTCTAAAGGGAGACAATGTTCGTAGATGTACACTCTTTAAAGAGAACATTAACTCCAACTTTATCATCCTAGAAAAAATGTTTCCATTAAAATTACGTTCGAAATGTTCACATGTCTGGGGAACTTAGAACTATTTAAAAGGGCTTTTCATTACTTTTCCTTTCCCTTAGAAATTTTCCTTTAAAGTGTCTCACATATTCGATCAAAACTTGCCATGCAAACATGTTAGTCTACTTTACTGGCCCCCTTGCTGTAACAAGGTGTTGTAAATATTGTAAATCAATGTGACACACACACAGGAAATACAGCATAATAATATGAAATATATCTTTATGTATAGATTTGAGAAACATCAGCACACATCTCCGTCTGAATCTAATGTTATATTTGATTTCTTTAAGCGAGAATAATTTCAAAGTTTCCTACATTATTGACGTCTGGAACCGGAAGCCATTTTTAGCTACAGCGAGAAAATTTAACCATGTGTCAAACTCCGAAAAGAAATTTTGAAATATCTAAAACCAGACAAGCAACGCTTCATCCTAAATATAATTAATATAAAATGATTTCTAGGTGCGTGTAGCAATTTTTACATACGAAATACGAGTACATACGAAATAAATGAAGTTACATCTAGCTGTAAGGTAGAGACTCGAGTAATATGTGACGTGTCCATATTCATCAATAAATTAATTCTTTTGTATAAATTCAAGTTTTAAACCATATGTACGAGATATCAATTGAATACTTCAAACATAAAACTACAAAGTCATAAAGACAAAAGATAAAACGTGTTTGAAATTGTTTTGAACTTTTTTAAACTGACGTTTTTTGTGTGAAATATTACGATAAAATTTTCACAAAACGATTCAGCGATAGATAAATGTATATACAAGAGATAAATGTCGATAAAAAGAATCGAAATGTATAACTTACATTGATGTTAATGGATTTTGTACGCACCTAGGGAGAAAACCCTCCAACTACAATCCTATCGATATCTCGTCTAAAGTCTCATCTCGTACTCTCGAGATCTGAAGCTTGATGTTTCGTTCAGTGTAACTTACCAGAAACATTTACCTGGGATAACCGGGGAATGGTCTTCTTAGGGCTTGTTCATACCTAAACCTTAACCGACTCTCACATTGCCATAAATGAAATTATTGTCAATAATTTGAATTAAAACGTAAACATAAACCAATTAGTCAATTCACTATGAAAGTGAGGGGTGTACGCTGTGTGCATGGACTAACACAATATCAGTGGTCATTTACTGTGTCAACTTAGTAACCCTTGCATATCGTGCTCACTCAAGTGTTGAATAATTTTTTTATGATCTAAATGTTTGTGGTTTATAAAAAATGGGATATATTTTAGTTAGAAATACATTAATTAATATATTCATTCAAACAGCACTAGAATGCGGGAAGAAAGAGCAATGGTGACAAAATGCAGACAGAATTTTCCGTAAGGGTTTCAAACATTTCTGAACACAATCATACATGTACTTCATGTGTACTGTTATTTTTAGTGCTGTATTTATAGATACAATTTCACGTATTAAAATCATATTTTCCAGCAATGACTTCAAATTCGGAACCACACCCATATCACATTTTCTTCAATAACTCCAAACATGTGTAAACATTGACCATGTGCATATAAATTCAGATTTCACGAGCTCTTTCCTATTCGAGTACCTCATACACCCCTGCATGGATTTGAGTTGGATTCGCCTTTTATACTTGAGCCGACACACTCGCAAACGCTCATTGGATAAAGATTGCAAGAATCTTTAACATAAATATCAGCGTATATTGGTGATTTTTCTAGGTTTGATAAAATATTCTAACTTGATGAAAACTCACCTATCAAAGTTGATAGATGCATTGTTGTCCGCAAGAAACTGTTTGGTGTCAAAGGCCATGTACGTACTGTTTGTAGAAGCATTGTGTTTCTGAACAGCTGATAAATCTGTGCACTCTGAAAAAAATAAATGAAAATGTGATTTCTAGGTCTGGTAGATTCCTTTACGCTGAACACATGTTAAATGGTACATTTCTAAACTTCAACTAAGCAGCACATGATGTGAACAAAACCACATCACGAAACAGAAACAAGGGATTAACATGATTTTCCTGCAATAATGATGACAAGATTTATCAAAATCTTCCAAAAGTTTGAGTTCACATTTCCATAAAATGAAGTACGGGCAATATTCCCCAGATTTGTTTATTGTGGTTTTTATTCTAGTAAGTGCTAGGAAGTGACTAATTCACATGCAACAAATATCAAACAATCTGATTGGTTTAAACTTACAGTCGCACATGTGCCATGTTTCTTTCATTCCATGGAATTTGTGTTTCCATGAAACGAAAATAGTTCTGAGAAAAATTGTGGACCGAATGCGGAAATAACAGGTAAAATCACACCGAGGGTTTTTGCCAATAATAGCAAAAACTTTGTATTTGCATTCTATCCTTGAGATAATAATCTTAGACGTCTACAGGCAAATCCATTTTGGAAGGAACACTCTATTTAGTTTGAAAACCCAACAATTATTTGTGAAAACGAGCGTACACATTGGCATATATTTTATTGAAATAAAAAGCATAAAAAAGACTGTATGCATACTTACGGTACACTTTCTTGTTATTGAAGTAAAAACTTTCATTAAAGGCCCATATTTCTCCATGTTTATACCGAGTGATGCATAACTTCGGGTCTGGTTTACTTCCATTCACAGCAACAAAGTCGTAGGAACCAAGAGCTATCGCCTTTGTGTCATTATACTACAAGTACATGTAATAAAACATAATGATACTAATATACTAATAATATAAAGCAAGACAAGATAACAATGAATTACCGAATACTCTTTGACATGCATTGGGTTTCGAAGAGAAAAATGATGTTCAATGTGGTTCCATCCTCCGATCACAGGGCTTCAAAATCCAGAATATCTTTTTTTTTCTCCTGCTATAACCAAATTAGAAGCACCCGATCAAACTGAATCACGTGATCTAATTATGCGCCGATGACGTATACATGATTGCGAGTTCTTAATTGGAGCTTGCTAACTGCTCATAGCAGGGCGGAAGAAGGAGGTACGGATTCTGGACACCGACTTCAGAGGATGATGTGGTTCATATATGATTAATTATAATTCCTGATTATACAAGCCATTGGGAAATGGGAATGCTTCATTGAATACCTGTTGCTTTTTTAATATGATTCTCAGAGACATATTCCCCTGGCCCTTCCAGAAATGCATCTCATTCAAAGATGAGCAATATTTGTTTTATCATATCACTGTTATATTTCCCACTCTCTTATTGGGAGTCTTATATTATTTAAGAACATATACAAGGGGCGATCCATATATTCTGATAAAAATGCTCTCATTTCGCTTAGTTGCTAAACAAATGTTTATTCATGATCATTATAACATCACAACAACTCACAATAGCAATGTATGACAGGATGGGCAAATTGGAATTACATGTCATGAGACACACCAAATATCAAAATAACAGATCAGATGAGGTTAGTCAATTAGGTTATGTCAGTCACCTAATAAACCATGGCCCTTTTCCAACATAATCAGTTACATGTAGTTTGGTGTGACAAAGGAGGCCATGGTTTACCAGCAAGGAGACAATTCCACTTGATCAGATCACAGATGTTTAACATTCTGTCTGTCATAGATAGTACACATTATGAAACCTACGCTGATAAAAACTGATGTTTGATACATGTTTTCTAATTCTTCCTTGACCTCAACTTTTAATACTGATAAGCAATTCATACATTGATGATAGCTTTCCTCATTTCTAATCAAGGGGTTAAGGCAGTTCTGCACGATGAGAATTTTTTGCAATCCTGAAAAGAAGACTGCTCAATATTCTAGTTATTTATACATTCTAAAGAAAAAATTAACACTTAAATTTTAATCTGGGGACTCTAAAGCACTTTTTGTGCAAAAAAGAAAGATTTAGGCCATGTTTGGAATGAGTTACGTTCATCTGAAAAAGCACATGGTCATCAAAATGGTAGAAAGTGCAGTCTAACCTTAACATGCAAAATGTCACGACCTGCAATTTTTTACAGACGCCAAACTCCGAACTCTGAACACCAACCACCGAACACAATCCACAAAAAAGTTGGAGACTATAACAATATGTCAGCACTTGTAAAAACATAGTACAGATAAAGTTATTTTCAAAATATTGTACACCACAGTTTGTTTATAGATGTATGGATTAGTAAATAGCAGGAAAATGTTTTGAGATATACCAAGATTTTTATTACCCTTAGCTTGAGGTTGATTTTGGCTATCCTCTTTCAATTTGAGATGATACTTATTCCAGAATATGGCATTGGTAAATCATCATACAAGATATTCTCAGATTAAAATGCTTATATTTATTCCAAATTCAAACTCATTTTGGCAAAATCTTATTAGCATCAATTGTAAAATCATATTTTCAAGTCAGAGGGTAGTGTTTAATACCCAAAAGAGATTCAGGGTAGATTTACATACCTTTTCCAATGTATAATCTATACTTCTAAACAACTCATCGTGTTCATAAACTGCAAATACACCATGAGAAGGTGGGTAGGGCATGGTCTCATATGATATATCCCAGCCTTTCAGATACAAATGTTGGAATGTAACCACATTCTTCTCCAGGAATGTCACATGAGACGTTCTGTCGTAACCAAACAAGACCAGCTGAAAAGCAATTCAAATACAGATCCTTTAGTAGGACTGTTGTATATGCATCAAAAAAGAATACGGATAGGGATCTCAAAATAAAAAGTTAATAAAAAGCCCATCAATACATAGATAATACACGGAGCTAACAAAATGTAAACATTGTTTCTCCATGGGCCATTTTGAATGGTGATACCAGGACTCTGATACAGGTTGCACCAATCACTCTAGATAAACACCACCCAGTTTTATAAAATTACTCCAATGTCTTTGCTTAAGTATCTGCATCTGCATCAATCACATTTTGATACACTTTTTCCACTACTCTGAAAAATGTGAAGATCTCTGCTGATTATGTTTTTAAATAAACCCATGAAATAGAATATAGATGGAGCCAAAAGTACCTGTAAAGTCACTGCAATGAGTTTGATGACTTGCATCAAGAGTTTCCATGGAAACCGTTTCCGAGCTTGCCATTTCTCACAAGGATTCATAAAATAAAATTTGAGCTTGCGTCTCATTTTGTCTTCCAAATATGGAGTTGCGTAAGATCGCCCAGGATTTTGTATATTGGGCTGGTCCTCACTCAATTCCTCATACTGCTGGTTAGGATCCATCATGTTGTCAAAATCTGGAAGAAGAAATAATTATAAAAATAATCATAAAAAATGTATAAATTGGATTAACGTTAACATTGCAAAATGTTACCACCTATCATTTCTTATAGATGCCAATCACTGAATGTGGAATGCCAACCACTAAATGCCAAACACCATATGCCAAACACCATCCACAAAAAAATAACATGTTGTGGTGATATAAAAAGTTGGATACTATAAAAACATGTCTACTTGTGGTGATGACATAAAAAGCTAAACCTAGTGACATCATTTTCATCTGTTTATATTGATACTTACTTATATATAATGAATATATAATATTATATAATGCAATATTGAACAAATATTTCACTCTATTGAGGTGAATACCTGTACATCTTTCACAAGTGATATTCCACGAAGCCCGAAGGGCAAGTGGAATATCACCTTGTGAAAGTGCTACAGGTATTCACCGAAAATAGAGTGAAATATTTGTTTTATTATATCACTGTCTAGCTAAACATCCCTAATATTATTAAGTCATTAAGTCTTCAGATATTTTTACGAATCTACTCGGTTCGTCTGCCATTTTGACTTAAACTGAACTAGATTATTTACACTGAACGAAAACAAATTCTTTGAAAATTCCCGGGAGCGTGGGATATCGCTAGATATCTCACGGTTGTCTTATCTGATTAGCATTGCCATTGAATATCGCCAGATATCCCACGACATGTGACCCGGTTTTGACCAATCATACTGTCGCTAGCTAGATAGTGATATAATAATATTATATATGCAAATAATATCCTCCTTAGAAATATTCTGTAGAGTTTATGGTGATCATCTGTCAATGAAGCTATATCAATACTGTATTTATAATTTGAATCTACAAGCTATATAATTTGAAAATGAAAGAGGAAGCATTCAAATACTTAGAATGAGGAAAAACCTACAACATGTACTATCTAATCTAGAATATATATGTACATCTGTTATGAATCAATAATCTACAGCAGATCCAATAATCATTTAAAAATGAAAGTAGAAACAAGTGTTCTTGGAATAAGGAAAACACAAAAAGATTCTATCTAGAAGTTGCAGGCATATACATGGAACTAACAAGGAAGTAACTTATTTTTACCATAAGTCACTCAAAATCAGCTGAAGAAAGATACATGTAACTACTGTAGTTCCCTATGATTCCTCTTTAAATAGCATAAATCAGAGGATATGCTTCTAAAATGGAAACTTGAAACTTGATAGCTCTTTAGAAATATAAGAAAAAAATAAGAACTTCATTTCTAAGGGCACACACTCTTTCTAAACAATGCAGGTTGTATCTTATTTTAATCAAATTATTACTAAAAGGAGCTCTTTTAAATAATCAAAACTGATCCAGCTACAGTTATATTTAAAATACATCAGTCAGTCCTAATTCTAATATAAGACTGCTTTTTCTGATCTCCCATAATCAGATGAGGAGAGAGTCAACTGTCACAAAGTGTGAGTGTTATCAGAACAAAGTTGAACTTTAATGTAACAATCTCTAAGCCTAAGATTAGAAATACCTCATTTTAACAAATATTGTCAAGACGTGATATTTTTCAAAATAATCACAGGAATAGTCTATATATTAATACAAAAACAATGAATCCTGACTTCTCTTTTCTTGACGTCCACTAAGGCAGAATCAAATCAAGGAAGCAACCTTAATTTCCAATGAATTGTTTTGGTTGAACAATATCTTTTGGATCATATCATTCCATGTCAGTTCCTAGCTCTCTTCAACAAATCCTAAAATGTCATACCTCCTTTGAGGAAACCATTTGTGATATCTATGATCTTTAGGGAGATTATCTTAATTCAAAATGGCAAAGAAATCATAATTTGTCACCTCCTATATCTTTGATCTTAATTGCCTTTATTTGTGTTTATATATATATTGCTGTAATCCATCTACTACAAAGGAGACTTGTCAATTCTCTTATCAACTGGTCAATGTGAGGACAGTAGTCTCCAAATATAGACTCACTTCACACCAAAAATAGGTTATATTTGCAGGAATATTAGAATATATCATATAATATTACGAAAAGCATCTTATTTTCCCAAAAAATTTCATGGGAAAAGATTCTCAGGACAAAGCAAAGAAAAACACTTACAATTATTGTCTGAACCATAACATCTTGTCATTTTATCTGAATTATCCAATATTGCATTTGCATTCATGTCTGATGCATTTGATCCTGTCATCAAACCTTGACCATCTGATCCTGTCATTGTGTCAGAAGCATTTGATTCTGTTGCCAAAGCTTGACCATTTGGTTCATTTGTTGTATGAAAAGAATTTGAACCTGTCATCAAATCTTGACCATCTGATCCTGTCGTTGTGTCAGACGCATTTGATTCTGTTGCCAAAGCCCTACCATTTGGTTCATTTGTTGTATTAAAAGAATTTGATCCTGTCATCAAATCTTGACCATCTGATCCTATCACTGTGTCAGAAGCATTTGATTCTGTCACCAAAGCTTGACCCCTTGATTCATTTGTTATGTCAAAGGCATCTGAAGGTGTCAACAAATCTTTACGAGTTTGGCTTGTTAAACACATCAAGTCTGAACTTTTTAATGATTTTGTTCCTGTTGTTGTTTTTAGAGCATTTACTCTTGTCATCAAGTTTGAACTATTTAATTCTGTCATTATGTTTAAACCATTTAATCCTGACATTGTATCTGGAACATTTGATTCTGTTGTCATGGTTGGTGTATACAATCCTGGCATACAGGCTGAATTAGTTAAGACAATACCACTACTATGATTTAACTGCAATGTACACCCCAGCCTTGTATCAACTAGTATTTAATTAGTTATAATGTAGTTGACAAATCAGGCAGTGTTACACAACATGGCAGATAATGCCAGACTTAACACTGCCATGATTTGATAAAGTGCAATGGAAAGTTCAAATGATTAAAGTTGAATTATATGACAGACTTTAAAGGTGGCCTGTCTTCTTTTAATCATTTTATTTTTGAAGGAAATTAAATCAAATGTTCATGTTACAGAGACTGGTTTCTAACTAACACTCTATGTTTCTTTATATGTTTAAGTCAATGGGAAAACCTGGTAATATCTTTAAATTTGTGCAATATTTATTATTTATCTATATTTGAATTATTTATTAAATTATACTCAAATACTTATAATTTGCTCTTTTAGTCTTAGAATCCTGAAAGTCCATTCAGTGAAAACTAACAAAAATCTGAACTCGCTAATTGTTTAGTTTAACTTGAACATTTTTTTTTAGATTTTCAGACATGGGACTCATCTCATGAGGGTTATGACAATATAGAAATCTAACATATTCTGTGAAAATATGAGATAAGTGATGAAATTATGATAAAAACATGAATTTTTACTCAACATTATATTGTTCCCTTGTAGTAATGAGATAGCTAGCATAGTATGTTTGTTTGATTATATGGATAAAGTATCATTTTTGTGAGACTACATGACACAAATTAGCAGCCAAGTTGGAGAAGTTGTTAATTATTATGAAGATCAATTTAAATAAGACAATCTAAGGTATTAAAATTATCCAGTATATACCTTATTAACTTAATAAGTCATTGTTTCAGGCTATTATACAAACATTGTATTTTAATGTAATAAAGCTTGAAGCTTACGTAAAGTACAAAGACATGTAAAACCCTGTATAAGTGACATGTGACGATGATAAGAGTCAGTATAAGATATATATAAATAAACATCTGAAGCCAAGTTGAGACACTATACAGTAAAACCTGTCTGATGGAATACCTCTCTGTAGGGAAAACCTATGAACAAGGAATGCTTTTCAAAAGAACCAAATATTTTTCTATTGACTTACATGTTAACACTTTTTGGGGCAAATTATGAAAATTCACCTGTGAATAAGGAATATGGAATATTGGTGACACTGTATATTCTATTATTTTTCAGAGGTGTGAAAGTCTTAAGCCAATATCTGATTCTAAAAAGCTTGGATTAATATGAATGAGATTAAGATCCCAATTAAGATAAGCCAATTGTTTACAGGATGTAGCATCCCACCCACTGTTAATTAACCTGATATATCTAAAACAAATACTAATCTGTTTGTTACTTATTATCATGACACTAATTCTTCCTTTCAACAAACCTTATTATTTCTCATCAGTTGTGATAATCTACACAATTGTTTTATGGATTTGACAGAAGCCCATGTGTCATGTTGAGCCAAACCTTTTTCAATCTTTTACTGATCCAAAATTCTAAATTATCAATGATATAAAATGGGGTTGATGAAACTTGAAATTCAGTTCTTAGCAACATATCTCTACACATCACATCAACTAGACATCATCAGAAGCCAGCATCAGCAGCTAAAATCAACATAGGGAGGGCGCCCCTTATCCTCAGCCAATGAAGGCAGGTTGGAGACCTTCATACATCTTTCAAGATGTTACAACAAGGTCTAGCAACCAAGATGGAGTCGGTATTGGTACAATCAATCAATGCCCAAATATATACAAATATGCTTATTCGGCAAGTCTGAGTTTACTGAAAGTGCTCAGGAAGCACTACTACTCTACTACCTACTCTCTATAGGGAAAACCTCTGAACAAGGAAACTTTCCTCCAGTCCGAAGAGCATTCCCTGTTCGCAGGTTATACTGTACTTCCTCCTATGTTTTACCAGACAAGTTGTGTACTTAAGGTAATACCAAAGTGCTAACAAAATTTTTTCTAAAATCTTCTCACTTTATACAAGGCAGTTTTCTACTAAAAAGTGCTACAAGTCACAAAATGATGTAAATCGCAAACATAGTGTTAAACCTAGGCAAATGTGACAGAATAATGGTCATAAAAAGCAATGCAATGTTTCAACTTCTACAAGCGTTTGTTATCTAAAATAGATATTCTGATGGTGTTCTTAAAGTACATCCTACTGAAGGACTTCAAGTGCAGTGTACTTTATGGGGTGAAATAACCATTGTTTTCTTCAATCTTAAGTTTTCAATTTCAGTATTAATATATCCACTTACTGATCAAAAACTATCTATTTTTTGAAAAGTGGGTCTCTTCAATAGAAAACCTGGGCTTATGCTGCGGACTAGTAATTTAATAGTACAATTTAAGGTACATGAGTTCATCACTTCCAAATAAATGCAATATCACAATCCCATCCAATAAGTCTTAAATTCTTTTTCATCAGATGATCCACAGCTGATTTTAAATTAAGATTAATATGAATGTAATCTGATATACTATTGTGGCTTCCTTTCACTTTGGGCTCAATTTCCTATAATTTGTAGGCAATTTTGGCAATGATTCAAGGAACAAAATAAAGTTTAGAATGTGACAAATCAGCTGATTTTTCTCATTGGAATACTTTCTTACAATTATGTTACCTCTTACTTGTGGTATGGCATTGGTCTAGTAGTTACACAAATCCTTAATGTGAGGTTGTTTTGGATTGTTTGCCTCCCAGGGGTTTGCCTCAAAGATTTGTCTTCTTCCTGATGCTTAAGACATTTTGAAACCCCCTGGTCTTATATCTGGATATTTGGTATGGCATTGGTCCTATATTTGGACATTTGGTATGGTATTGGTCTTATCTTATATGTAGACATTTGGTATAGCTTTCTCTTGAAAGCCCATGTTACAACATTAGGTACGCTTTCTATAAAAAATTGGATCATTTGCCTCCCAGGGGTTTGCCTCAAAGATTTGTCTTCTTCCTGGTGCTTAAGACATTTTGAAACCCCCTGGTCTTATATCTTGATATTTGGTATGGCATTGGTCCTATATTTGGACATTTGGTATGGTATTGGTCTTATCTTATATGTAGACATTTGGTATAGCTTTCTCTTGAAAGCCCATGTTACAACATTAGGTACGCTTTCTATAAAAAATTGGATCATTTGCCTCCCAGGGGTTTGCCTCAAAGATTTGTCTTCTTCCTGGTGCTTAAGACATTTTGAAACCCCCTGGTCTTATATCTTGATATTTGGTATGGCATTGGTCCTATATTTGGACATTTGGTATGGTATTGGTCTTATCTTATATGTAGACATTTGGTATAGCTTTCTCTTGAAAGCCCATGTTACAACATTAGGTACGCTTTCTATAAAAAATGGTTCACTTCAGATGATTTCTCAATTTAAAATAAAACATTCTCCGAAAATATTGGAAAAAGTGTGTGTATTATTGAACTACCAATCCAAACAAGACACAAGTCTACAGATTGATCTTTATCACCAAGTGCTCCACTCATGCAGTCCATTTATATTCACCGATTTCACCATTTTATCAATTTATGTTAAATTATATATCTGATTTAAAATGGCCTTATTAGCCTTTTGCAGATTATTGACATAGATATAGAAAAATAGCCTACAGTTTGGAACAAATAAATGACAGGTGGATTTTCTATCACCATATCCAAACCATGGTGTTTTGTAGTCATATAAATCCGACCGTTGTATGCTGTTCTGCGATATTCCTTGTTCTTATTTGGATATTTATTTTTTATCATTTTCTTAGCATATACCGTCGTAGATGTAATTGCTAACAAATTGCGGTAAACGCTTTTCTGGCCTGTCTTGGTAACCATAGTTACCATACTAACCAGTCACACAAATTATCAAGTAATTATTTAGCCCCAACATCAAAGTGTTAAATCTTACCTTAGACATGTAAAACGCTTGATAATTGACGAAATATAATCAATTTAATTATATTTTCATTATCGCCGCCATGTTGCTGAATGTTGTTTCTGGTACTCTAAATGTAAAACATGTATCGAAACGGAATCATAATTAACAGAGATCGATTCCAAAGCCGTTCTCTCATACTTATTACTTTTCTCATTTTGAAACTATAACTTCTCCAAATAACTTCCCTTCTTAACGACACTGCTTCCTTTTCAACTGAACCTTATGATTTTATTTGATATAGTCTTATGATTTTGTTTGATATAGTTTTACATCTAGACTCAGATTAACCCGGAAGTGACCTTGGTATGGCAAAATTTTAAAATTCAAGCGGCATGCTTATATTTCTTCAATTACCAAGCGTTTTACGTGCTTAATGTAAGATTAAATACTCGGAGATACGCGGAGTTTGTATGACCCTTGTATGCAAGAAAATTAGAAAAAATAAATATCCAAATCAGAAAAAATAACAACAAATAACATCATACGAGGACACAGATGTTGGCCAGATCGTTTTGTAGTAGGATCTCATAGGCTCAAAGAATAATACAGAAGATGCGTCACTCAATTGGAAAATTTAAAAAAAATATGACCACCTTTTAAAACGTTCCTCATAAAAAATGGTACCTGCTTCCCCTTGACTGATTTTGTACTTGATTTGTAGCTGAGATCTTCATCTTTCTATTTCTACTTGATTGGTTCAAGTAAATAACCTATGGACGCAGTGATTTGACTTTTAATACGGCAAATATTTTTCACTAGATCCGGACTCTTGTGTGTCCAAATATCATTGTACTGATGACGTCACATTTCTGGAACCACGGGAGCTCCATTCAGATTTGGACAGACAAGAGTCCGGCGATAAAATATCACTGTTTTGGCCTCTTATCAATGCAGTATTGCTTGAATAACGGTCATTGGTGATAAAAAGGTTAGAGAATAACAAGACGCTTCAAATCAGGTATGATTTGTCTCATATTTTTCAGAAATGGCTACACAATCGTCATTTTAAAATTTGAAATTTTCTGAGGTGTCTCATCTTGAGGAATAATTATTGAGCTACTGATTCTACTACAAAAGAATCTGGCCGGGAACTATGTACGAGGGTCAGATTTATATGACTTTTTCTTAGGTGTTTTGAAGCCCTATAGTCTCAAATATTGTCTAGACACATATCCCTTAAAATTTGTATATTTAAATTTTGTATACCCTCATCCACTGATGTATGACCTCTTGAGAATTCTCTTATTTTTAACATGGGAAATCCTGAGCTCACTTCAGCAAAGCCATGTGTCATTATTTTTGTTCCAAACTGTACATGAATCATGATGAAAATCAGAAAAGATTCTTACCATCATCTTGCATGTTAGAATGAGGAGCATAAGATCTATGCATTTGACTATTATGTCTATCATTTGATGACTTTGTATCCAGACTCTCATTAGTATGTCTTCTTGGCCTCATCGTTTCAGGATTTACAGCAGTAAAACTTAAAAACAAGAGTACGCATGCATCTTGAATATTTTTTGTTTTTATTTTTCCTGCTCTAGATCTAGCTCAGTATTTCACATCTTGTTTAGTATCTATATGATAGGAAATTTAACATTAATCTATGTAATATATCATAAAAATAAATGAAATGTTCTTTTGGTTTTGTAGTATCGACTAAACAAAACTAATTTAGCGAGAAGATATTTACAAATGTGAAGTTAGGAAAAATTCGAAACAAGGTTTAACAGAAAATGAAACCGGAAGTTACAAAAATGGAAAAAGAAAAAGACGAGTTGTGTAAGTAAAGTACCATTTATTCAGCTTCTTCACTACAAATATAAAATATATATTGATTTTGTTTCTAAGAGAGTATTTGGGTATGATAGAAGTAGCGTTTCAAATATATTTATCGAAGGGTTATTGTGCAATTATCAATAAACATTTTCTTTTTTTTTATTTAAAAATTTTGGCAAGTCACTCAAAAACTGAAACAATCAGAGGGTCGATATTAGATCCATAGGGAGCTATTTACACTGGAAAAAGCAAAGAGCAGTGTAAAGAACTTCTATTATGAGATCAAATTTTTTCTCAGAGTCCATAATGCACTGATTACACATTCAGATCAGTAATTCCCACATACTATCTATTGCAAGACTTACGCCTGCCACAACCGTCGCCATGTTAATCAGTGTTTTTAAGTAGCGCAAGGATCCTGCCATGACCGTGGTAGTGTTATCGTGTAAGCCTGGTATAACCGTGACAGGCTGGTATAACCGTGACAATGCTGTATTATATTGCAAGGCCTGTCATGACCTATCGTGGAAACCTGGCATGACCGTAGCCTTTATTGTGGTTTATAAGTGAATGTGAATATAAATGTGTAGTAGTAATTTTGATTTTGACATGATTAAGGTAGTTAAACACCATGATCGCATAGTATTAAACTGTTTAATTGTAATGACGATCACTTAAAATTGTTAAGGATATTCCTGGCATTAATGTCATACATATTTACTAGTCATTGCAATACACTATAACGGTCATAGTAGGACTAAGCCTAAATTTCTACATTACCACCCTCATACCTGGCCTTGCAATACTATATTAAATTGTCACGGTCATACCAGGCTTTGCGATCCCATAATACATTGTCACGGACATGGCAGGTTTTGAAATACACATTGTCACGGTCACTTTTAGCAATCATAAATTTCTACATTACCACTCTCATACCCGAACATTGCCACGGCGGTCATACCAAGCCTTGCAATACTATATTACATTGTCACGGCGATGCCAGGCCTTGCAGTACTATATTACATTGCCACGATCATGCCAGGCTTTGCAATACACATGGTCACGGTTATAGCAGTCCTAATTGTAAATTTCTACATTACCACTCTCAGACCTGAACTTGCAATACTATATTTACATTGTCACGGTCATGCCAGGCCTTGCAGTACTACAGTATATTACATTGTCACGGTCATTCCAGGCCTTGCAGAACTATATAACACTGTCACGGTCATGCCAGGCCTTGCAGAACTATATAACACTGTCACGGTCATGCCAGGCCTTGCAGTACTATATTATATTACATTGTAACGGTCATGCCAAGCCTTGCAGAACTATATTACATTGTCACGGTCATGGCAGGCATTGCAATATAATACAGCATTGTCGCGGTTATACCAGGCTTTCACGATAACATTACTACGGTCATGGCAGGATCCTTGCGCTACTTAAAAACACTGAATAACATGGTGACGGTTACACCAGGCGTTAGTCTTGCAACAGATAGGGTCTCGTAATGAACTTGCAATACTATATTTACATTGTCACGGTCATGCCAGGCCTTGCAGTACTACAGTATATTACATTGTCACGGTCATTCCAGGCCTTGCAGAACTATATAACACTGTCACGGTCATGCCAGGCCTTGCAGAACTATATAACACTGTCACGGTCATGCCAGGCCTTGCAGTACTATATTATATTACATTGTAACGGTCATGCCAAGCCTTGCAGAACTATATTACATTGTCACGGTCATGGCAGGCATTGCAATATAATACAGCATTGTCGCGGTTATACCAGGCTTTCACGATAACATTACTACGGTCATGGCAGGATCCTTGCGCTACTTAAAAACACTGAATAACATGGTGACGGTTACACCAGGCGTTAGTCTTGCAACAGATAGGGTCTCGTAATTCCGTAGGGACATTTCGTTTTCCACCTGATTTGACTCCTGATTACAAAAGCCACATGGTCGTTTTCCTCATGACTTGTCCAATTAAAATGGATTGGTAATACTTTGAAAGTTAAGTGTTTTACTTGAGAGATATTGATGTTAAAATTCAACTACGAAATTGCTGGCATACAAGGATCCCCCAAGCTACGTTAGTTTCAAAAAGTATCAGAACTGTCATACAGGCAATGTCTGCCTAGGAGGGAAAATTACTTATAAACTTATGTGAAAATATAAGTAAATATGGTATTAAAAAATAGATAAATTTTTGAAACAAACCTTGCGGTTTGAAATTTTCATGCTGCCATCGTTTTATTGAAATTTGGAAAGTCATCCCAAGTGTCTGATCGATCCAGGTTTTGAAAAATGGATAAAAATTAAGCATGTTTGGTGACTGTTTTTAAGACACCTGGACACATTTTCCTCGAGGCAAGATAATCATTATTAAAGATAATTATATAGGGAATACAAAAGATATTCGAAAAAAAAAACATTTCCAATTTAAAAAAGATAATATTTTCCAACATTAACCACCGGTCAAATCACGGGTCAAAATCAGGGATAAAACAAAACGTCCCAATTTAGTAAACTACATTGACTCTTAGAATTTTTTATCAAACTTTTGCCTCATTTTTGATAAAATTGTTTCTTCTCCAAATGTGAGGCCAACAAATAGTGCCATTTTCCACAATGAAATCAATGAATTAAGTGCACAAGGTTACATAAATGCATATCATCAACACATTTGTATAGATGTTAAGCAGCCTAGAGAGATCATTGATTTGATATGCCACATGTTTAGCTCTTGCACTGTTTTTTTTTATTATTACTTCCAGTCCTCTTGGAGAGAGTATTCCTCAGATTAGGATCATGTGAGACAGATGAACAGCTTCAGTCAAACCTTGCCAAGTTTCTTGTACCATGTCTTTCAAAGATATCCAGTGAGTTTGAAAATGTGAGAAAAAAGGTATGGTGGATTTTGTTTTACTTCTCTAGAAAATGATGTCATTGAAACATACTGTTACATAGTGCCAGTACGAGCCATATCCCATGAATAATGTAGTATGACCATTTTTCATTAAAGAAGTATAATTTCTTTTGAGTAATTCCTCTGTAATTGTCATGTACTGTAAAGCCTGTGGAAATATAAAATACATGTATACTTGTATAGAGTATATTCTGAAAATTTAATTCACCAAAGACACATTTAACTGTAATTGCTATTCTTTATATTCCTTGGACTACTTCATTGTAGGTGATGGAGTTACTGACTCATATTAACAAAAGGGTTAAGAGTCGTCCTAAGATTCAGCTACCTGTTGATGATCTCCTGAAGCAGTATATGAGTCCAGATGCAACAGCGTTCATCACAGTTAGTGATATACATTTTATTTTATGTACTTGATTTTAAAACATGTCAATGATCCTTAAATACATCAGAAGCTATCAACTCACCCATGATTGTATTGATTATATGTACCTGTACATTGTATATTTTTAACCTTTTCAAAATTAAATTCTGCTTTTTAAGAATAGCCTCATCTTCACACAGAATTAATCAGAATCTGAAATAAATGAAAACTAGATCCATATCCTCAAGATGATATATACATGTACATTTGTTTCAAAATGTGTACCTTCTTTGCAGAATTTTACAATACTCTATGTTAAGATGGGAGTTAGTCGGTTGCCACCCGAACAGCAAGGGGCTTTGGTGCCAACACTCTTCAACTGCTTAGAGGGTAAACCTAAACCACAACAAGACTGGTAAGACATACATTGTTAATACTGTTATTGGTGACTGTCTCATTTATCAATACTTTCTTCATTTAATCATTTTTGTTTGGTGTTTCAGTAATGAAATCTCTAAAAAGTGTTACCATCAAATTTTCTTAAAAAAACTCTCAAATCTGAATTGTACTTACTCATTAGACCAAAAACAATTGGAGTAAAACTGCATTTTGATCAGTCAAAAAAGTTACTATGCATGTCTAGCTATGTGAGAAAATGTCAATGGTGAATCATGTGAAAATTTGATCACATCTTGAAATTCCAATGACATTTTTTCATATACATGTCACCAATTGAAGTACATGTATATGTATTTTCCAGTATTCTTCAACTGATGATCACTGCAATTCAGTATATGAAAATACCTGAAGACCCGGCTAAAAGCAAAGTTCTTCTACCTTTACAAGACAAACCACAGTTGACAAAGAATTTGCTTGCGTACATGTTGGATGCTCTCCTTTTACCATACGGGTGAGCTATCTTTGTTCAAATTGTTAGTTAGGATGTTTATGGCAAGATGAATACTATGTTTATTATAGGATTGATAAACACTATGCAGTATATAAGTTTTATAAATATGAATGATTACATTATTATAATTATTAATTGATGGATGTAAATCAAAATTTGATTGTGCTTGCAGGTGGACTGGTCAGAAGGAGGGTGCTCCCACAATGTCTGCACCCCCAGGTCTTACAACCAGTTCATACAAGGCTCTCACTGCTGAGGGTATACCTGAACCAGATGCATTGGAAAAGGTATATAACAATATAACAAAGTTTAAACATATAACATGGCTTTAAACACTTTGTTTATCTACATCTGTGGAGAAATAAAGTTTTTGCAAATGAATGATACAAATATTTTCAAATGCATAATACACTGAAATCTTTTTATTATATTATATTGAAGTACAAGGAAAATATATTATCCATCCATTCATTTATGCCTGTTGCAAACATATGATTTGAGATTTCAAGCTTTAGAGATATGAAAGTTGATGTGAAAATGACCACTGTATTTTCATTGACAATTGAAGAAAAGTAAATAATCAATCTTTTTGGTTTAATTTAATTGCAGATAAAGATCGGATTATTAAAACTCCTTGGTGCAAATATGCTACCAGAACATGATGTGGTTTGTCTTTACACAGTTGCAACAGCAGATGCTCGTCATAATGTTGCAGAAACTGCAGATAAAGAACTGAAAAGAATATCAGGCAGTGTTGACTGGAATAATATGGCTGTGATTAGTAAACTATTTGCAATCTATCAAGGGACTGTAGTTGTCAAAGGCAAACCAAGCCCTATCAAACCAGAACATATAAGATTACCAGTCAACATAAGAGTCAAGCTGAAGATTTTTCCATATTTCTTAAGATCCAGCGAATCTGCCAATCACTTTCCAGCATGCATTCAGGTATGTATTTCAAATGTTTTTATGTTCTTATTTTTTATATATCATCCTCTATTGAGAGGGAATGTTAGGTTTTCTGTATCCACTTACTCTAAAGTGTCTAGCTCTATTGTAATTATATTAATATGTAAAGCAACTCCCTTGGACATCTTGAATGTGATCATCCCATCATAATGTGGAGAATACTTTTTGAGATGCAAATACATTTGATTATCCTGATTGTCATGCCATGGTATACAGATTCTGTGCTACACTTTCACTGTACTGTCATATTTTCATCATTTTCTCTTGAACATAACTTAGTTAAAACACCATATGCTACCAAGTATCATTTTATAAAAACATCATTGAGTATATTATAAATTATTCTAAAATAGTACTTACTCTACTCAAATTATTGAATAACTTCTAATATTTTTGAGGGGTCCTCAGGGGTTCCTAAGGGATTAATTCAGCTCCTTTTGTAAACATCACTGAATACACCCTCAGAAATACATGCAGATAAAATGCTCACATCATTCCATGGCTTTATATTTTCAGGTTCTTTTTGATGCTTTGTTTGGAACAGATACCAATGCCAAACTGAAGTCTCTTGGAGTGCAGTATGTCCATCATATATGCCTACAGTAAGTGTACTGTAACAACTGATCTCTCTCTCTCCCTACGTATGTCTTGCAAAATAATTATTATACATTTACTTGGTTAGGGACAGACAATGTAATTTGAGGTTGGGTGGCTTATTGCTAAAATGTGTTCAAAATAATTTCTCCTATATGCACAAAGCTTCCAGAAAGCTTTGTTGAATTACCAATTTTTTCTGTATGTTAAAACAACCAAATCTACTAGTACCAGTGTGTAAAATACGATTTTAATTTCAGTGCTTCAGATGCCAAATTCAATCCGATCGCTGGTGTATTAATGAATGGAATGATCAAACTGGTGAAGAATTCTTCTGAGGTAAGTTATATTCACTGATGAATGAGGCGTTTGAAGAGGAAAAATCACTGGTCTAAAAAATAAGTAAATTTCAGTAATAAGGAACAAAATACCCAACAATTTGTGTCAATTCTCCATCTATATTTTGTAATATACAAGTAGGTTCTCTAAAAAAACTTGTAATTAACAAAAGTCATGGAAGATCAGTATAACATTTCAAGGTCAATGCCAACTTGAACCAGTAAGGTCAATATAAAGGACTGTATTTAAGGCTTTCAGAATCTTGCAGCGTGTAGTAATAGTATTTTAAAAATCATATGTATGATAATATAATATTGTATTTGATTACAGAACAGTAATATTCGAGGAAGGGCCTATGTAGCAGTTGGCAAGATAGGAAAGAGAGCTCCTAACCTAGTGAGCAAAGATATAGCTTTACTTCAGCAGTTCTTTGATGCTATAACTAAAGTAGGTTACAGTTTTTCATAATCTCTATCATGGTTTTGAATAGGAAGCAAAAAGCACCAAATTTTATTGAAAAATTAACCTGAAATAAATAAAACATTTTAAAATGATGAAGGGTTTTCAATTCAAATCAAGGGCATACAAATGGGTGGTTACATACTATACATGTGTATTTCATACTTGAGTGGGTTTGGGGTAGATATCACCCGGGAATATATATCATATCTGAGGAGCGGGCAGGATATATTGTATATGTCCCGCTCCAGGCCAAATGCGGGCAGATATAATATATCCATCCCGCTCCCGGGAATTTTTTCAAAAGTTTAAAAATTTTAAAAATTTAAATACACATATTTCCCTTGGGATAAACCCTGTATCCAAAACCTCCCAGTACATAACCCTTATATATGCAAATTGTTCTGTCAGGTATAAAGTGAAAACATTGTCTAGTTCTTACAGAATTAGTAAATCTATTCTGGAAATAGGATTTTTCAACTTCGCCAATATTTCTTAATTACCAATGGGCAGTGATCTATCAGGACATCATTATTTAGTTTGGTAGTCGTCAGTTACACTCAACATATTTAAGAAAATACCTTTGCAAATAATATTTCAACTTGAGGTATAATTTGATATCTTGGTGCTTTTAAATAATGCAGACAGTAGATCTTATTGTCTTAATATTTTCTACTCTTAATATACAATACATGTATTGTATCCTCTGTTTAGGAAGAGGGAGAGCTGAAACTTGCTATACAGGAGGCTCTATCAATGATGTCTAGTGCCTTCAAAGATCTCTCTGGAACAAATTGTGCTCTAATGGAGGCACTCATTCTACAGAATATTGAAAAGGTATGTCATTATTTTAACCAGAGTGTTGATAATCTATACACCAATGAGTCCAGATGGTTCACATAAAAGTCAGTCAAAGGTCTTATTTTTGAATTGGGCCATGGAAGTTGCTTTGCCCAATGGTGTAGTGACTTAGTACAGCCATCATCAATAATAAGCTATGTGCCATCTGCTTAGTGATTTGTCAGCCATTTTGCTCAGATAACGGGTTTCTTGTCATCACCAAGTAACAGTGACATATTGTTATTGCCAACATTTTTTGTGATAAGTCCTTGAAGTTGTGATAAGTGTTTGAAGTTTTTTGAAGTTGGCAGTTTGAAGTTTTTCAACTGTAACAAGTTGTCACAGCTTTGTAACCATTTCCAATAACTTACCAACTGGTAACCATAATGCCATGTTTAAAGTGCATTCTTCATTTGTGATGCTTGTTTTTAGGTTGAATCACAGGCACGATTGATGTCTGTTCAGTATGCTAGCAATGTGTTCCCATCTTATCACATCCCTTCAACTTATGTACTATTATTGGCAGCCGGAGACAGGTAAGTACATTTAATGACCCAGTCATGCATGTGAATACCACATTTTAAATATTAACCTTGGTTCGTTGTAAAGTTACTGAATATTTATGTAAATTGAAATAAGCAGAAAACATAGAAAATTAAACTTAAAGTTATATTTAGTTTATTGTGATTAACTGTACATATTTTTTGAATCGCGTCATATTAATTTTCAGTCAAGATGATATAAGAACAGAGGCTATCAAAGCTCTGTATGGTGTTGGACAGAATGAAGGGGGAGAAAAACATAAAGACAGAGATGACCTTCCAGATTTCTCACAACTTGTAGTGTATCTAGCACAAAAGGTATGTTAATTTCCTTTGATAATTGTACTACCTAGAATGATTTATTCAAACATTTTATTCAAATATGAATAAAAATTGTAAATAATACCGCTCATAATCATTGTACTATATAGTTAAAACAAATGAGTTTTTTGAATCATAAATAATTTGAAACAGATTGTTCATGAAGCTAGTCAACATGCTATGCATTTCAACATGTTACATTATTATTTTTTGTTATTATCAATACTTATCAATCACTCTCCTAGTTGTATCCATTATTGATATTCCATCAAATGAACACCTTAATATCTTGAACACTTGAACTTGCTCCATTATGAGAGAATGCCTACACTATAATACAAAAGGTTTTAAACAAGATATCTGCCCACATTTTCTGTGTCACACCCCCATTAATAAGTCAGTGCTAGGGTGCTACTCACACATTCCAGGGGACCTACTATAGACCAAACCAAATTAAAAGAAGTAAAGATACATTTTCAAGTTGCATATCCTATTTGTTTGAAGTTATCGTAATTGTGTTTCAGCATCTCTGAGTTGAAATCAAAAATGAACAACTATCTAAATATTTAAAGTGCATTAATTGTTTACACTGGATATCTAGCTAGAAATGTCAACAGATTGATATGATCATAAACATGTATCAACTGAGAACAATAGAAGTACTATGTACACTGTAAGCTATAACTCTCATTTGTATAAATGAAACAGTTTGGAAATAGAATTATAATATAATTCCAATGCCAAAATACATTTTCTCTTGACAGCATGCATTTGTACAAGGGGCGATCCATATATTCTAATAAAAGAGCTCTCATTTTGTGATTTTTTCATATATCCCTCTCATTTTTTCAGAACAAATAGATTATGTAATTACACCTACAATGCCAAAATAGTATAGCTATATCTAAAATTAATTCAGAGATAGGTTGCCATGGTAACCCGTAAATACCGATTGACCGATTTTGTTAAAATTTTATTTATGCTTTATTGGAGTAGGACCTCTGCTCAAAAAAAATTTTTCAATATGGCCACTTTTGTAAAAAATGTAATCGTTGATAACTCAAATACTAGATATAGTAGACAGATTTGATTTAAATTTTATATGCTGATGCCTAGGGACAAATGAACTTTGTATATGAAGAGATTTTCAAGATGGCTGCTGAATTTCAAAAATACCAGTGAATGTATTTGGTTCAAATCTTATATACTGATAAGGACACAGTAGCTTTGTTGGAAAAATAATTTTTAAGTTGGAGGTTGTATTTCAATAAAGCCATTTTTTCGTAAAAAACATAATCCTTGATAACTTAAATACCAGTGGATGGATTTGATTCAAATTTTATGTGATGATATGCTCTGTTCAAGAAGAAATTTTCAAGGTGGCCACTAATTATCAAAATATGTTTTGTTCAGTGGGATTTGCTACTTCATGGAGTTGCTATTTTCTAGTTGAGGTCTGTTATTGAGGTCTGTTATAAACAGTTTTGAGACAAATTTTCAATTGTCAAGCTAAGCACATAAATGATTGACAAATCAGTCTCAATAAAATTGTCTTTTATTATCTGTTTATAATACAGTAGAATTTCTTTGTTATGAATAGCATTTATCTGTTTTCCGTTTTCCCTGTGTTATTCTGTATAATATTATCATCTCTTCTTTGCTTGCACTTATTTTACTTGATGGGCACTCATATCTGATATATTCTGGATAATATGCATCACATTCAACATCTTGGCTTGCACATGTTTATTCACTATTATGACACTCTTGCGTAAATGGGCATGGATGGTCTTCACCTGTAATTCAAGATAAATGTACTGTGAATAAACATTATTTTGAACTTAACCGCATAATACATTCTCTTCACAAGATTAAGAACATTGTTAAAGTGGTAGGCTATAGGAGGTAGCCATTTTGGATTTGGCATTCTGGGTAGATTTTTGAGTTGCCATTTTGGATTTTCTGTCCTAAAATCTTGTTTGTAAAAGTCTTGTTTACACATTTTCACCCAAGCTTTTAATTAACTGTATAAAATTTCAAGGATGCTAATTGGTATAAAATGGTTGTCATTTGGGATTTTCGGTACTAAAATTTGTGTTGACCTTTCGTAATATTTATTCAAGAATGCAATTTTTTGTTATTATAACATGAATGATAAACTGGCTTACCCTGTGTACAAATTTCCTTTACAAGGTGTGTTCCTCCTAATAATAAGTCTTCCTCTGAAAATGTTCCCTCGGTGAAGTCAATGATGTGACAAGCTTTAGGATCACTAGCAACATGGATCCATTCTCGTTTACACCCATCAACAAGACCCTTGTGGTTTGGAAGCCCTTTAAAATAGAAGTCCTTCATTGTGTATATTCTTTTATTTATTTCAGTGTACAGTTTTCATTATCATTCTGTCTGAGTTCACACTAGCCATTCCCAGTTAGAGGGATACCAATTTACTCGTTGAGTGGCCTGTGCTGAATAGGGTGTAAAAGTTGCCATAAATACCAAAATCAAATGTGACCTTTTTGTGACATCAAATTTTACCTCTAAACATGACATGTGAACATTAGTCCTGGGAGGCCTTTGATAAAACATTGCAAAAATATGAAGTGTCTATATATTGCATTTTAGTTTGACCTCTGTGATATTAAACATGTAATCTGGTACCCCAATATGTCATTTCCATATGACCCTTTAGGCTTTTATCATGTGCTTTTATCAACTTTTATCACATTCTTTCTCTAGCATGATCTTCCAGGACTTTTAGAGAGGGGAAATGACTTATTTTAAAAAGGATGAAATCTTACCATAAACATAGATTTCCTTTCCGGCATCTTTAAGGTCCTTCGCTGCAGCTATAGTTGCAGTAGGAGGATCAGAAACAGTTCTTGCATTACATTCCCACGTTCTTCCATCAGTTGCTATGATAACTATTTCACGTACTTCAACGCTATTCCTACCATATAGGGAAAATTGTTTATGTGCCTCTTTCAATGCATCTGCTGTGTTAGTATATTTACCTGTTGCATGGGGGATACCCTTCACACACTTTATCAGACCAGTGTGATTATTTGCCCCAAGGTGGCAGTGAATATATACAGGGCAGTTGTATGTGAGGATGGCAAATCTGAGTCCGGGGCCGGGTGGTGCAAGGGGCAATATCTTGTATTTTAGAGCCATAATAAAATCTTCAAAGAATTTTAGAACGTTTTCTATGTCTGGCAGAAGAATGCTCTCTGATCGATCAATTATTATCACAACATCAGCATTACAACAATGTGCTACAAGAACAAACAATTGCAAATATCAGTTCTTGTAGGTTTAGATTAATATATAAACCACAAATGAAAAACAGAAATTGTTTGTTTCTATTTCATTAACTATGATAGTTAAATAGACATAGAAGTTCAACCAATGCTCTAGAACATTTCATAAGTGAATGCAAAATGTGTTTAAATGTAAAGATAAGATACGAGGGAGATAAACCAATTGGAATTTTGATTAGACTCCTTATGTGCACAATGGTTCAATTGATTCTATAACAAAACATATAATATTCTATAGACTTAAAAATTTTAAAAATCCTTAATGTCACCCACATGTAAATTCACCCATTTAACCTTTTATTTGAAATATCATAGATTTTGTTTTGTACTTACGACATATTATAGGATCACCCTCCTTAGTTATTCCTTCAACTGCTGGTATTTCTACTGCATGTGGATTGATATTAAGATTTTTAATGTGGATGTAGTTTAAAATGTTTGTGTTGTCAAACTCCAATAGAGTCCATTCGTCAGAAGCATAGGAATAGTCTCCTACTTTGAATGCACGTCCAGCTGTGTTTGGACATTGTTTAACTTCTAGTAATTTTGGTATTACAGTAGTAATTTGATAGGTTTTGTCAAACTTTGAAATGAAGCTCAGACCATCTGTATAGGTGACAATCACATCTGGCACAATATCTCGGCTATTTTCATTCTTCTCTTTCAACTGTTTCTTGCACAAATCAAGGGCAGTTGGGAGTTGGGCTTGACAATCATCACATTTTCTTGGAGGTTTAAATTTCTTTATAAGTTGTTTTTTGGCATCTGTCCAGTCAATGAATTTCTTGGCAGTTTTGCTATATATTATAATTGTATAGCAGCTTTGATTCCCAACGTTAGATATAATTCTATTTATGTCTTCAATAATCTTGTTCAGTACTCGTTTATTACTTGGACATGAAATCTGCACTATGAAGCACAAATCTGTGCGACTTTGATCTAAAATCATATTTGAATACGATAGTTTCTTTATTTGTATAGCATAGAATATTTCTCATTTGGTAATAATGTGCTCAATTACATTGCCACTATGGTAACTGAATGAAGTTATGAGGTAATCATTGTCCTATGATGATAGGTGTGTATATTTACTATTGAATAGCATATTTAAATTTATACCACTCTAAGTCCAATTACAGTTGTATAACATGGGTCTATAACAACGATATACAGTGGAGAATGGTATATCGTCATTGTATACAACTCCTCCGTATACACTCCAGCGTATACCACTGTAGAAGTGCATTCTGGGAACTAATGAAAAAAAAAATCATGAAAATTTTCATGATTTCCTAGAATCAAGTGACGTCATAAATGGATCAGGCATGATTTGCTAGAATCAAGCCACGTCATAAATGGTTCGAGGTCAACATCAGCATTATTGAGTTGGCTATGGGATATTTTTATGGTTTTTAATTGTTATGATTGTGTTCGAATCAACTGTAATTGAACTTAGAGTGGCATAATAAGATTATATAATGGTTCATTCTGTATATCGTGCATTTTATACTCTTGTGAGAATATAATATATTCACTCGTTCGCTACGCTCACTTGTGAATATATTATATACTCACTCGAGTATAAACACGATATACAGAAAGAACCATTATATAACCTCATATGATCTGTTGCTCATATTTTGCAGTTTTAATGATCAATATCTGTAACAAATTATTACACTTTTGGTTTCACAATTTTATTTTGTCATGCCTAATCATATCAGATTAATCTATATATCACACAATTGTAAGCTCTGTTGATAGGGGCCCTGCATGTGATCAAGACAGATATACAGAGGCCAATTCAGAAGTTCTGATAAAAATGCTGTATCTTTTTCTTAAGTAAGTAGGAAATCACTTGAAATTTTTACGCAATTTATATAATTTATGTGCATATACAGCAGAGAATTTTCAGGATGATTTATTGATCAAACTTTCTGTAATCACACTTTTCCTCCCCCCTGTTAGGGGCACTTCGCCCAGGATTTGAGCTCATATTGATGTCTTAACTCATATTGAAAATTCTATCTAAATTTTTTATATCTTATGAGGGAATAAATGACCCAGTTACTCTGAAAATATTGTGGAAAACGAATGATAAACTTTTAAGTTAGAGTATTTTTATCAGAACTTCTGGATCGGCCCTTGTATATGGTCTGGGTGGCAGTTTTGTGGACCAATTCATTAACTGAATATCATATACTCGTATATATGATGTTTTTTGAGAATCCTAATCCATACAGAACTCAAACTGTGTAAAAACTACCTACCACTGTCACACAAAGATCCCTCATCCGATCGACAAGTTTGATCAAAATAACCATCTGGAAGTTCAAATCCACTTCTTCCTTGGATTGCCTTGGCCTCTTTAGATAAAATCTCATCAGGGGTTACACTGCCTAAAATCTTCAGCAGTCCCTTAAAGTCTATACCATTTACTGTGTGGGATAGAAGCCCCAGGCCGAGAAAAAGCCAACATACAGTGACAAATAGAGACATTTCTATTACAAACCTAAATGGAAAAATGATTGAATCACTGTTATTATGTAATGTTAAAATATCATAAAAAGTAACAAATGTAGTAAGGATATATATTTGAACACATTGATGAATTGGTAACTAATCAAGAATAAACTACAACTAACTAACTGTTATAAAAATGTTTTGGCATGAATGATCATTTAAATGTTAATGCATGTGATGTGTTTCTTTGTATTTTCTTTGTATATTTGCGAACCTCATGAGAGTAAGCATTTGTATGTCTTGATGCACATTTCATGGTTTATAGATGGAAGTTACTATTGAGTCAAAGGAACCCTTCTTATATATCTGATTATACATGAAAGAAAAGTCTTTCTGATTCTACTGGAAAGCTAACTATAACATCTGAGCATACTTGGCAGATATGTTATGGCAGGGGATATTTGTAACATCCATGGATTAGCAAACATATTTATTTATCAATAATTTACTATGATTATGCAAAAAAACATGGGAATCTTCATGTGTTTTAGTTTTAAGTGACAGAATTAGTATTTCAATGGCAATAATCAATTGATTAAAATTATAAATCTTTGGAATAATTCTTTTATAGAAAATCTAATGAAACATTCTTCAAGTCTATGATGCAAATTCTTGTATTTTGGAGTTATTGGTATTTTTGCATAATCAGTTCATTTTGAGAATGACTCTTAAGCTAGTTTACACCATCACGCATCTGAAAATGTCGAGATCGCCGATTTCATGCCGCTTTTGATCCAGTGACTATATAAAGATGCGGTAGATCCATAAAACCATTGCATCTTTGACTCAAGAACACGATGGCAGAACAACAAGGCCCAGAAATTCCAGATGGACCAGAGCATGACCTATCTGAAGAAGACATGATGTTTGTCGCAAGGTGTGAAAGACTGGAGAGAGAGTGAGGAAGCATGTCAAACGTAACAAAGCTTAACAATCCTTGATTAAAGTGTCTCCTCAATTCGTTGGAAAGCTTGAGAGTCCTTCATGAAAGCGTAACAAAGAGTGACAGATATTGATGAAAGCGTCTGACCTTGTGTCAGATCTTCATGCCAGATCGTAGCAAATCTTGAGACATCTTAAGGAAGCGTGTCAAGTGGTAACAGACCGTGAAGAGACTGGGTCCTCGCTTTGAACCAAGCTCTGTTAAGCTTTCCTACACTTTGGGTCAAGCTTTGCTGAGCTTTGTTACGGTTTGTTAGGCTTTGATACGCTCTCGGTGCTTTAATCAATTCATAACAGAGTGTCCAAAATTTTTAAACAGTTTAAAATCTTTTGGTGCTCTTGCCCAATATCCGGCTTTACCCTGAGCTTTTCTACGACCTATTACAACCCCGATGCTTTAATCAAGCTTTGTTATGCTTTGGTGCCACTTTACAATGTAGCTTTACTAAAGCTCCCTTCTCCCAATGTTTAAGATAGATCCTCTGGACCATTTGGGCATTCACTAAGAATTTGTAATTATGTCACCACCAAAAAGTGGTGACATATTGTTATGGTCTCCGTTTTTTTTTGACGGTGGTTCGACCTTCAATGACATTCTCAAGGTCAGAAAGGTTCTTTTTTCATCTTGCTCCAAATTGACCATTTTTTTCAAAATCATCTACAAGTTCTCAGAAGTTCAAATATGACTTTAGATTTGAGATTCCACCTTCAATGACCTTCTCAGGGTCAAAAAAGATCTTTTCACAACTTGCTTCAAATTGACCAATTTATTTTTTCAAAATCATCTACAAGTTCTAAGAAATTCAAAACTGACTAAGATTGAACTCATAATATTGTGAGCAACAAGATGGTGACATTTTGTCATGTATAATGCCTTGTTCTACCACTGCGGGATCTATATGAATGTGCTCTGCCTTATAAACACCATTAAGTTCATGAAAGTGTCGATGGTAAATAAAAAAATAAAAAGAAGTGTCGATGATAATCTTCGGCACTTTCCGTGATCGGGAAAATAAATTCCTGCGTAAATTATTGTGTCCATTGTACCTTTCGATTTTGGATAAGTAACAAGCCAGATTTTTATTCTAGAAAGCCAAATCTCCAACATAATTCTAATACCAACATAATTGGAATTCCATGTATAAGAGTTTGATTCTTTTGTTCCCCATATTTAATCAATATGTCTTTATTCAAAACAATTTATATCATATTATTTAAAATAAATGTACAACAAATAATTCCAAAATATATACCGAATAGTTGTCCATATCTCTTCTGTTTCATCAATCTGAACTTACCTTATGACGTTTTCCAGCAAAAAACAAATGTTGCACAGAGACAATTGATATATATACCCCAATTATAATCCCACCAAACAAAGTTTGAGTACAGATATAGAAAAGCCATCTGGCTGTTCGTTCATTGGTCTGTTCGTTCATTGGTCTATTCGTTCATTGGTCTTTTCGTTCATTGGTCTATTCGTTCATTGGTCTATTCGTTCATTGGTCTGTTCGTTCATTGGTCTGTTCATTCATTGGTCTGTTCATCTGTCTGGGTGATAAGTCGAAAACTGGTTGTTCTACAGGTTGTCTTATTGGCGAAGGACCTCTGTTTTAGGAAGAATTTTGAAAACTTTTTGATAGATTTATACATATTTTTAAAGACAATTATTGATAGCCCCTTATACTATGTAACATGTACAGGAAGTCTGCCAAACGTCTTTTCCGAACAGATTTTTCTTGAATATTAAATGTCGCTACAATCACTGCTTAAGTGATTATTTCTAGCATAAAAATGAATGAAAAAGTTATCCAAATATTAAATAATTGACACAATATGTTTTATTCAGTGGGATTTGCTACTCTTTGGAGTTGTTGGGAGGACCAGAGAAGTGGCCTTGTTTCCTCTTTAGTGGACACACTTATGACTGGAAAAAGGTACAATGTCATGTTGTCTGGCGCAATCGGAAATCATGCATAACATATGTACATTTAAAGTGCATGATTTTCAAGGAAACCTTTCTGATCATTGTGCCATTTCTTTGTTATATAATTCTGAATTTAGCAGAATTTGCAAACATAAAACGAGGAAAAGTAAAGTCTATACTCAAACTCCATTACCTCCGAGATATATCTGGTCTTCAGAAAAAAGCAAAGATTTTCACGACCAATTGAAAATCGAGATTACAAATAAACGCAGCCTGTACGATATGGATCATAATAGTAATGTAGATGATATGTTAAAGAACTTAACTAAGTGTATGCACAATGCTGCGTCCAATACGCTTGAAAAGAGGTTCGTCAGACATAAGAAAGGAAATAAACAAAAACGATGTAAAAAGTGGTATAATTTATCGTGCAAGCAATTCCCGAATCTCTCCAAAATTAGCTCATCTTGGTGACTGTAAATTGCACAGCTGTATTCAATGGAGTCTTGTCATATTCAATCAGCCTCAATTTTAAAGTGTGTATTTTATTTTCAACGTGATTTCATCGTTTTTTGTCGACTGGTAAGAATACGCTGGGCAAATGGCAAGATGGATGACTTTTGACCTGACCTACACCGATGGCGGTGACGTCATCAATTTTATCTATACAAATTCTATTTGGTCACGTGACCTTGTGCCAGAAGTTCGACTTTTTGGTCAGTCGACCTGTTCAAAGTACATTAATTAGTAATAATTATCGCTTTTCAGAACAATTTAGGAAACAATATTTTCTATCTACGTCGATTACAAAGCATCTAAGGTACGTAAATTTATATGAACAACTGAGTCAATAGGGATAAATAGCCCAGCGAGAGTCGGCGGTCTTAAAAATACTTGGATCTGGATGCCAGTCCTGGTATAGATATAGTTCCAGGGCAGTTCGAAGAACGTATTAGATGTCCGTGAGAAAACCGCTAACCTGTTCAACTTGAAATTTTTACACATGCAATAGCAGACTAAAATTTTCAAGGTCGAAGGTCATCAAATTAGGTCACAAACAATGTTATCTAAATTTTCCAAAAGTTCAAGACTACAAATAAATTCTTGTCATCAAAATTGCAGGAAAACCGCTAACCTTGTCAACTTGAAATGTTTACAGATGCAAGAGCAGACTAGTGCCAAGGTCTGATTAGGTTTTGGCCATGCTGGGTAAATTGCATGGTGGCCAGTTTGCTCTTCAAAGTGCGATATTTATCACTGTGTGTCTTGTTAAAGACAATTATTGATAGCCCCTTATACTTATGTAACATGTACAGGAAGTCTGCAAAACATCTTTTCCGAACAGATTTTTCTTGAATATTAAATGTCACTACAATCACTGCTTAGTGATTATTTCTAGCATGAAAATGAATGAAAAAGTTATCCAAATATTAAGTAATTGACACAATATGTTTTATTCAGTGGGATTCGCTACTCTGTGGAGTTGTCATTGTCTTGTCTCGATGATGCTATAGATTTGTATCACACCATTTTCACCATTGTAGTGTTGTTGTTATTGTTATTATGGGCAATTAAATTGTATAAACTAGCTGAAGTTTTATTGCCCATATCAACAAAATTTCAATAGATGCCAACAATTATATTCATAATAGTTCATTTAAATTTTTAGTGAATAGAATAACAGACTTTTCATTTACAGTTTAAAACACACATTAATATGCAACTCACAATAAATGAATGAAACACAATGAAATTAGAATTTTAACTGCATGTATGATGAAATTAGATTTGAAAAATTGATCAATTGTTCAAATGATCAGACTCCAACACTTTTCTAGTACTTGTAGTGCTTGACTGCCGCATTAAAGTTTCAGTTGTCAATTTCACTGTATGAATAGATTTAGAGAATACATGAATAAGAAAATGTACCAGGTATTTGCATCTTGACTAATTTTGTTGAAATTGCATAATTCATCATAACCATCAACACACATGAAAACTTTTCATTCTTTACAGATGGATCAAATAGTTTCAGTCTGAATTCTTTTGATTTCCTTATAAATCACTTTATTTCCCCAACTTTGCATTTTAAAGAAAGTGTTAGTGCGAGTAGGGTAGTATACAATATAAAAGTCATTTTAGACTTGAATTTGATTTTTAAAAATTGATTTATTTTAGTTTAGCTAAACAATAATTCATCTGATATATCTTTGCTTATTTCTAATACAAACACTTTTTGTGCAGAGGCAGACAAAAATAAATATGATAAAACATAGAATACATAAAAACAACTATAACATGTATGAATGTTGAAGAAGGTATTGTTATTGAAAATATTGAAAAGTAATTGTTGATTCTTGTATTGATGTTTTTATCATGAATCAAATGTTTACCAACTGAATATGAAGTCATGAATAATGAAATGAATCTGCCTTGTTGTTAATGGGTCCATAACTAATTTATTGCTTTCATTGGTTTATTTAAATGTATGCAGCAAAAAATATACAAAAGAATAATGGTTTTTCATTAATGTATCAATACGACAATTAGCTTATTGTATGTATAAAGAAATTGCCATCATTAATGAAATAACATCACCAGTCATGGGCGTAGCGCTATTTTTTTAAGTAGTATGCCACCAGGGAGCCCGCATGGTAGCAAGATTTGAGAGAAGCAAAAAACCGTTCAGGGGGGTGTGTGTTTCTCCCCCTAGGAAATTTGGTTGTATTTGGAACGAATTTGAAACCATCTGGTACGCCTGTGCGTACCCAGCGTAACAGGCGCTACGCCCATGCCAGTCACTACAACAAAGATTCATGCAACTGTTTTTCAAGAAAAAGTGTTTCATAAAAAGTGTTCCACTCAAAGAGGTTCAAATACATGGAATTGATGATTCCCAATTGCAAGATCTTAAAAATTATTCCACTTACAGAGTTGTATTAGACATATCATTCAGTCGTATAATTCAATAGACAAAAGACTTAATATTAGATACACATTTTTGTGTTTTACAGGGTGAGCAGAGGATTAAGACAAGCAGCAAATATGAAGTTGGAAGCAAGGTTCTACCCTTCAATCCAAATACATACACAGAGGTATGTACAATTACTTTGTGTATGCATTCCTTTAAATAATATAAACAAGTAAACCAGAGTGTTTGGAGTTGTAGAAATGTATTGCAGCTTAGAAAACACATATGCATGTGTAATGTTTAAGTTCCTGTAAACCAATGACAGAACAGAAGTTAAATGAATTGAATTCAGTTTTTTTTGTTCATTTTTGGTTAAAATGTTATATTTTTCAGATAATACGGTACTGCAGACTGTGCCTGGCAAACAGCTCGGGAGTTAAAGTCTCATTTGAGTCTCTGTCTGAAGAGAGGAAATCCCATGCTCCATCTATTGGCAAATATGTTGGTAGAATGTTAGAAGGAAATGGTATTGAGGAAAATAATGCAATACACATTTATAGTACTATGCTGCAACAGTTCCTGTCGGCAGTGCAAGGTAGGTCACATCTGGGATGATTTGATAGAAAGTAATCTCAACGGGCAACATATCAAGATTATTAACTCACACAAATCACTTTAAATCATATGGACTACTCAAAACAGTGTTCTGGTTCAAGTGTGCTGGAATTCTTACAAAGCAAAAGGTATCAACCTTGATTAGGACGTATACAACACATAATTTACATGCAATTAAAAAGTATGTATTGCTGTTTAACAAATCAATGTAGAGTCCATTTCACTGCTTCATTTCGTCAGTAGAACGGCAAAAATAAGAAATTGGGAGACCATTGTGCAATAATATATGGAAAAGTATATTCATAATGTATATGAATGACATTTGTATATTTCAGATTTTTTAGTTTTTTGTGCAATAAGCCTGTGTCGTCTTGTAATTTCAGCCATGTTAATCTTATTGAAAATAACATGGCAGAGAAACATCCAAATATAAGAGGCCACACACTTTATAAGCCAAACTAGAAGCAATCCAATATATACAAATGTCATTCATGTACATTATGAATATGCTTTTCTATATATTATTGCACAATGGTCTCCCAATTTCTTATTTTTGCCGTTCTACTGGCGAAATGAAGCAGTGAAATGGACTCTAGTTGAACATGTTATGGATGCTATTGCTAAAGCAAAACCTTCTTATTTAGGTGAAGATGCCATGTACTGTTTACTAGAGTTAGTGTCTGTAGCCAAGGGTAAACTGTCAACAAAATTTGTGGATAAGTTGCCATGGATTAAGGTTGGTATTTTAAAGTCATGTACCTGTTTATGCTATATGTGACATCATTCCAACATATGTTACAATGAAAGCATCAGGTAGAGCACCTTGATTATGACACACTGAAGCATGAAATTAAATTTACAGGTGTGTTTGACTAACTGGGGTCTTTTACATATTTAAACAGGTTTATCCCTACCTGAAAAGCTAAATTCTATTTTAATTCATAAATGTTTAATATATTTTCAGAACCTGATGTTCAATAACAGAGACAGTGTGAGAGACTATGCCGCAGAGCTCTATGCAGTCATTGTATCAGTCACCCAAGATGTTCAGGCCATACAGTTAACCATTGAGGAACTTAATGAGAATATGAACAACAAGGTACTTCGTGTGTTAATATGAACCAATTCATCTTGGAGGGGATCTCCATGTACCTTTGTACCAGATTATCTTTGTGGGAAACTAGATCAAGATTTTTTCTCTCTTATTTAAAGGGGCAATAAGGACTGTAGAGAAAATAGGAAAGTTTTTTCATTTTTTCTGAACTATCAAGGCAACATTTGGTTTAACATCTTCTTTGACATACCTATTTTCTTAAAATGTATGGATAAATTATCAATTTCAGCATTAAGAAGTGTAAATTCAGTTCAAAGCTTTAAAAAGGGGACTTCCACTTTTATATTTTTAAGATCCACCATGTTTCAAGAGGAATATCAGCTAAAATAATGTTTATCTAGGGGGTTAGTTTGTAAATAATAAAAATAGATGTTAGTCTTGATGAAATATCCAAACTTAAATATATTTTGACACTGGTTCATGATCGTTGAATGACCCCTCTGCACTAATTATTGCACCTTTAAGCCCAAATTATTGTTTTCCCTGACGAATCATTTTTATGTCATCGCCATGAATTGGTGACTGTTGTAATAGTCGCTAGTATTGCATCCAGTATTTGGTTTCTGCATCAGTGTTAGTGTGGGGACATTTTCTCATATTAATGTCATGCTAAGTAGAGACATCATTTTATATAATCTGATTGCAATCTTTTCTCTTTATATAAAGTTGTGATCTAATTGTACACCCCATACAGATATTGCAAATCATATTTTATTTCCACATTTAGAGTTTAGAGGTTCAACATGGAAGCATCCTTGCCCTTGGACACATGATAGCCAATGCACTAGTGAGTGAACCAACAGGGTCCAGTAGTGTAGGAGACGTTACTATGGAAGACCTGGAGACACCAGGAAATAACACAGGTACCACACCTGGTACAGAGACCAATGGTTACATTGTGGAGGCGGTTCATAGTCTAGGTGAGTGAAATATAAACATGTAAATATAAATATGTAAACATGTAAACGCTATTGAGGGACATTTAGTATGAGATTTATTTACTATATACATTTGTTCACTATCTTGACAAGCCCATGTTTCATTTACAATACAAAAAGTTTTTTCTTTCTATTTATTATCCCACGAAGTTCGTGAAGGATATAGGAAAGCCGTCCATCCATCCATCCATTCATCCGTCTACATCCAAGATGGCACCTGAATTTCAAAATGGCTGCCTCTTTTTCGTAAAAAACATTATCTTTGATAACTCATATACTACTACTATAGTATGTAACGTTGATGGAATTGGTTCAAAATTTATATGCTGATACCTCGGTACAAGGGAGCTAAAATTTTCAAGATGGCCTCTATTTATCAAAACATTTTTGGTTCGGTGAGATTTGCTACTCCTTGGAGTTGCTGTTTAAAATATAGTTCCTCTTTCTCATTGCAATGCATTCACATGTAAACTCTTAAAACTTTTATTTCTATATCTCCATGTTACAGTGAAGCAAGTAGGCAGTAGTCAGGCATTACTAGCCTGTGGGGCATGCCTATCCCTGGGGGAGATAGGGCGGCGCTGCCCCCTCCCTCTCCCTGATGGAAGCAAGGAAGACACACAAGAAGATCTTGTCACCAAGCTAAGCCTCGTGAAGAAACTCATCAAAATTGTTCAAGCTACAAAAGAGACAATAAAGGTAGTACATAAAGATTGCCTCAAAAAAATCTTGGTAGAGACTCATTGTAATTTGCTGTTGATATCTGAATATTAAGCATCTGATCAATTTAATTTTTAAATAAACAAAATTTCCCAAGTAAAAAGTTCATTTGTGTCTTGCAAAATAGTAGAGATCCATGCTCAATCATGATGATATGCATTTATACGCTTTACACTTGTACTTCAATTTAGTTCTATTATTATAGCACAATAAGAAAAAAGAAGTAGTTGCGATTCATGATCAATTTGACGTTTATTCAGGTTCGAGAGAGGGCATCATTTTGCCTTGGATATATGTGTATTGGAGATTCCAAGTTCCCACACAGACAAGTTGTAATGGATGGCCTAGTAGAATCAGCACAGGTTATTATGCTACTTTTATCATACCTGGGTCACATTCGCTCCGATCCATCGGCGGGCGCCCGGCTGATTGAGTGTTTTGTTCAATATTGTATTCAATTTTGAACAAAATACTCAATCGGCCGAGCGCCGTAGTGAAAATCGGAGCAAATGTGACCAAGGCATTACTGATTAATGTAGTTCAAATTCACTTATAAAATAAACTTGACTTTTTTCTTTAAGTGCAATAATGTGTTTTTGTTTTCTGCACAAAGGACAACAATTGAAAACACAAAATATTCATGAGGACCTTCAGAAACTTTATAGGAGCACTCCAAAAGGCCAATGTCTCCAAATAGACCTTCTTTTCTATATGGTGCATGATATTTTTATTTCACATTATTTTGTTGAAATTTAGTGAGGATGACATCAGAATAATAACATTGAATCATGATTCATAACATTTGAATAATATCACCATAAAGACAGCATAAAATCCTAATATACCACACAGACAGTTTAAACATGTTATTCCCATAAAATAATTATTGTTCAAGTTGTGTCAACAGAGAGTAAATACCTTATTGTTCATCATAGACATCTCTCAATGTTTATAATTTCAATCTGCTCATGTTTATTCCACCTTTTTCTCAATAAATTTTAAATGAAACGAACCTTTTTCTTGTTTTCCTAAAAGTTTTTAATCTTGACTTCAAGACTGTTTACTTTGTTCCTTGCTGTTTCTCTGCATTTCTCTCTATTTAGAGAAATAAAACAAACCTAACATGAAATTCAATTGTTGTTTTATGAGCAAGTATCTGCATTGTTACGGCATATCAGGCTTTACTGGTTATAAAGCAAATTACAATGTGTATTTGCAAATTATTACCGTCAACAAAATAATAAAAGCCATTAAAAGTTGTATGTTGTGATATGCATATATTGAGGATCATTCAATGACTAATGAAATAAATTGAAAAATGCAATATTTGGCTCTTTGGTTGTCATGTTAACCTGACTGTATGAACATTTCATGTCAAGAACCAGTGTCATGTCTGAATGCCCATATAAGGTAATTATATTCCAAGTAAAGGCCAAAGAGCCGAGTTTATGACAGAATGTCTCATTGTGGTAAACTTCAAGCATATTTGTTAGAAAATTAAATGAAAGTGTCATAATTATTAATTATATGATTAAAAAATAAGGTTGCAAATGTTGATGGGTGATTTATAATTTTGCTTCCAGAACAAAGAAGTGGAGCTCCACCTAAGTATAGGGGATGCCCTCGTGTGTGTAGCTCAGGGTAATATGTCTCCCCTGGCCAGAAACACATGGTTAGAGGATGCCACAACTGTACCACCACAGTATGATTGTTCTTTGGTAGAGACACTCGTCAAGTTGATTCTGACCAAATATGTGACACATGCCAGTCCACATGTTAGACAGGTACGGCTTTGAATGAAACAGTTTATGATAGAAAAAGCAATGTTTTGTTTAAATCAATGCTATAGTTATTTTAAAGTTTTACTTGAAGGTCAAAAAAGATTTTTGAAAGATGTGTTTACAATATCCTATTATACAATTCCACAAAAATATGAACTTGGAAGCTAAAGGAAATATCAGGCACTGACGTTTCGGCAACCCAATTGCCATCTTCAGAACTTTTATTATCCCATCGAACGAAGTTCGGAGGGATATAGGGAACGCCTCCGTCCGTCCGTCCGTACGTACGTACGTCGTACGTCCGTCCGTCCGGGCAATAACTCAAATACCGTTGGCCCGATTTTATTCATATTTTGTACACATATACCCTATGGGGGTAGAAGTTCTGCTCAAAAGCCGATTTTCAAAATGGCCGCTCATTTAAAAATGGCGGCCATTTTAGTGCCGATTTTACAGTTATTTAGGTGCAATATGTAAAACTGTAATAGCAATATGTTTTAAATGTAAAAAAAATTATATAGGACATTAATAAAGCTAGAAATGTAGATATTAAAAAAGCTCATGGCAGCCATCTTGAAAAATGGCGGCCTTTACTCGTTATTTTACGATTTTTGCTGTAACTCGAAAAGTAGTGGAGCGATTTTGTTCATATTTGGTATGTGAATACTATAAGCATGGCACACTGTCTAATGACACTTTTGGTATAAGGCGGCCATTTTTCAAAATGGCCGCCATTTTAACTTATTTTACTAAAACTCGAAAAGTAGTGGAGCGATTTTGTTCATATTTGGTACGTGAATACGTATAAGCATGGCACACTGTCTAATGACACTTTTGGTAGAGGGCGGTCATTTTTTAAAATGGCCGCCATTTTAAAGTATTTTACTATAACTCGAAAAGTAGTGGAGGGATTTTGTTCATATTTGGTACGTGAATACGTATAAGCATGGCACACTGTCTAATGACAGTTTTGGTAGAAGGCGGCCATTTTTCAAAATGGCCGCCATTTCAACGTATTTTACTATAACTCGAAAAGTAGTAGAGCGATTTTGTTAATATTTGGTATGTGAATATTATAAGCATGGCACACTGTCTAATGACACTTTTGGTATAAGGTGCCCCTTTTGAAAAATGTTCGATGGGATTCGCTACGCTTTGGCGTTGCCGTTGTTCTGGTTCCACTTCCGGTACTAGAGCATGGGCTCCTTACAGTTGTCAAGTTGGAAATTTCTTTGGTCCCTAATCATATTTACAGTTTCCTTGAAATAGACTGCTTTCTTAATCCACCTTTCCTGTCTGTTACTGATATTATCTAGCACTGTTACATTATTCCAATCTGTAGTACAGTTACTGGAGCTCACATGTGTAGTGATAGCTGAGCTAGACCATTTTGATTGAGATGTGGACTTGTTACCCCTCGTAAAAGGTCTGTTATTGGTATTCTTTTCAACATCTGACTTATGTCAGATTTTGGTATGTCTCTTATTGGCATGTCACTTATTGTATTATGTCACTCGGTATTCTTTTACCAGTAACAGACCTTTTACGAGGGGTAACATTTGTGAAACAAAATTAGACTAAATAGCTGATTATAGCTTATTTTATTCATATGTTTGCAGTGTGCTTGTATTTGGCTGTTGTCTGTCATGAACCAGTGTGCAAAGCAGACGGATGTACAGAAACACCTGGGGGATATACAAGTGGCCTTTATGACAATGTTGTCTGATAAAGATGGTATGTGGACAGACTTAATCTTATAGATAGATTTGAGTTCAATTCAAAATGATGTTCGTCATCCATTCCAATCAATAATTTGCTTAGTGCATGTAACAGTTTATTTCACCACAAATATGCTCAAACTGCTGAAAATCTAAAAACTAACGTTCTTAAGAAAATATGATTCCGTCTCTAATGCATTTTACATACACCAGTGGCTTAAATCCTTAAGCCTGTCAACACCTTTTCAGTCATAATGTTTATATGCTACAACTTAAAAGAGAATAGCAAAAAAACTTTCTGAATATGAAATTACTTTTTAAATCCCAATTAAAGATACATATGTATTTCCCAATTTACTCATGACTATACCTAAAATATTGTTTACTTTGTAGAAGTGACTCAAGACTTGTCATCCAAAGGTCTTAGTCTTGTCTATGAGAACAGTGGTGAGGACCAGAGGAGTGGTCTTGTTTCCTCTTTAGTGGACACACTTATGACTGGAAAAAGGTACACTGTCATGTTGTCTGTGACATCATGTGATTATGTAATGAGTTTGAAAGAGCAAAGGTCGTGACACTTGTTGCATTATTTAATTCAAAATCACTAAACGTTATAGTTGAGTTGCACTTGTAATTGTTTCTAAAATGGATGGTTTTAAGAATGGATTGACTTTTCTGCAAAAAAAAGTATGTTTATACAGCTATTACTTTAATCCATATTTTTGAAAATTCTCTGGAATCACAAACACCTCTCATAGGCCATTTCCATATTGTATCAATTGAATCATCAAAAATGGATATATACTAACATTGCATGTGGCAATCAAAACATGTGAGTTGTTCATTTTACTTAAAAGTGCTTGAAATATAGTTAATACCTCTTGTTGAATTCTAAATCCATTACATGGTCTTGTGTTGACCCTTCATCCAGTTTGTTATGCATTTGCAGGCCCCAGATGCAAGTCACCCAAGACACAGAACTATTTGCTGAGGGTGCATTGGGAAAAACACCAGATGGGTAAGTAAAAGATATAATATATATTAAGACTTCATACACATGTACCTGTAATGATGCAATATAAATCTTTAAAATGGTGCGTTAAGAAACATATTGATTGGTATATTTATTGAAAATATAAGATGTGTGTTTTGTTTCCAGGGCAAATATGTCGACCTATAAAGAACTCTGCTCTATTGCTAATGACTTGAACCAGCCAGACCTCATCTATAAATTTATGCACCTTGCCAACCATAGTGCTATGTGGAACTCAAAAAAGGTATGGCTATAAACATATAACTGTATATATTTCATATATATATATGTACTTAATTGATATGGACAGTGTCTACTGCATACTTTTTTTCTAAATCTTAGTATATCAGTGTTACACATGGAGATATGATTACTCAAGTAGTAAAACATTAGTACTAAATTAGCACTCAGGCAAAAGTGCACTCGTGAGCACTCATGTCACGAGTGCTAATTTTGTACTAATTCATCATATGAGTACTCATTTAGTGCTGAAAAATCAATGAAATTACAGCTATTTTATCAAATTAGTATTAAAACATGCAATAAATCAGTACTCATGTCATAAGTGCTCATTTAGTACTTATATTTGCTGAAATGAGTACTCAGTTAGCGTTAAAATGCCATGAGTACTATTTTAGTACTCGGCATATCTCCCTGTGTAGTGTTCTTCAATATGCAAGGACCAAGTATCAGTCAAATATATATCAATAGATTGCTAGGATTTGAAGAAATTATTTGTATGCTTCAATCTAGGGTGCAGCTTTTGGATTCAAGACTATAGCAGCTCAGGCTGGTGAGCAACTGGCCCCTATCCTACATAAGATTGTGCCACGATTGTACCGCTACCAGTTTGACCCGAACCCCCGCATTAACCAAGCCATGACAAGCATCTGGAATGCTCTTGTATCAGACACAAAGAAAACTGTAAGTTGTGCAGCAATATTAATACCATGTTATATTTAATATGTTCAGGCTTGGGTCAAGTTAATTAAATTCTTTTTATCATCTGATGTCTTCAAATTTCGTCTTACGATCTTGCTTTGGTTTCAGGTTGTCAAATTCAAATGATCAGATTTATATTATATTATATAATGTTATATTATATTATGTTATATTATATTATATCATATTAAATTATATTATATTCTGATTTACATTTTAGGTTGATAAATATCTTGGGGAGATCCTTTCAGATGTTGTGCAGAACTTAACCAACACCCAGTGGAGAGTTAGAGAATCAAGGTACATTGCATTTTTGCATTGCCTTTTTATTATTGTAAGCCTATAAAATTCCACATGTAATGTGTGTATTGGATGTCATCAACTCTGAATAATATATCATGTTCACCTTAAGTTGATATCAGTGTGAGTCTAGTAGGTATGAATATTGTTTGTCACTAGTTGTTAAAAAGGATATCAAGTAAAATCATGTGACACTTGATTTATTTCTGTTACATTTCTAAATTGATTTTTGAATTAATGTTTATTTTCAGTTACACCCATATTTGTCGGCTATTTGTCATACCACACAAGTGATGTAATGTTTAGAATATAACTTGTATAAATAGTGATATATTTTCATAATCTTGCAGTTGCTTTGCTCTGAATGAACTCCTAAGACGTCAACAGCTTGATGACGTGATTGGTGAGCTGCCAAACATCTGGGAGATCTTGTTCCGCGTCATGGATGACATAAAAGAATCTGTTCGCACTGCTGCAGATGTTGCTGTCAAAACTCTTAGCAGGGTATGCCTATTTGTGATATATTCAAGTTTATTAATGTCCAGCAATGCAGGCTTAATCTTGTTATTCTGTATATCAAATATTACAATGTTAGTTTACCTGTATTTATGAGGTGAGAGGAATAGAAAATTCAAATTGTTTACATGTGTGATGTGAATGGACCCCCTTACTCAAAATTTGCCAGGTATGATGTTGAGGTATACATTAATATTGATATCTAGAATATAAAATTTATTTATGTATATGAATGTAAAACCATGCGCTCTCAAGTGACAATGGTAAACACATTAAAATGTATTCATGTTTTTGAATGTAAAGCTATAAAACGTATTTAAATATATGTATATGAATGTAAAGCATGTATTCCATATATGCAATTGTAACTAAAATTAAGTAAAGTCAGTGAAAATAGAATACTGTTGAATTCTACATAACTCTCATGCTTACAGGTGAGCATTCGTCTATGTGATGTTGACAATGGGAAGCTGGGAGAAAAGGCAATAATTGCAATTATTCCAAGTTTGCTTAACATTGGACTAGCAAGTCAAGTGAAAGAAGTAAGAAATATCAGGTAAATAATTTTCTATGTACTACACTATTTACTATGTATATCTTTTGATTTGCCCTCAACTTTCGAATTAAAAACCTGGAAATGTGAACACCTTCTAATCCATTCACTTTTGGCCGATCCTAGTGATGTTGGGATTACATTATGGATCAACATATTAACACGTATTCTCTGATTACAGTTTGAAAACCATTGTTGAAATAAGCAAGAAGTCAGGCAAGTTGTTAAAGCCTCACGTTCCACTACTAACTGGTGCCCTATTGGAAAGTTTGAGTGGTCTAGAAAACCAGGCACTCAACTATGTCAGTCTGCAGTATTCATCCAGCCAGGAGTCGCAAGATTTGGTAAGTTTTGGAACCCCCATGTCCTGACTGGTACATGTTATATTAGAAAACTTGAGTTTCTTTGAAAGCTGAGGTTCATATATTGTATAATTTGGTGAGCAGTAGTTTTACTTTGTTGTTTTAGTTGGACAAGGCAAGAATCGCTGCATCAAAAAGCTCTCCAATGATGGAAACTATAAATAGGGTAGGTTCATGTTATTGTGTGTCAGTTTGTGTCTAAATAAGGCATGCCTAAATCAGGTCGTCCTCCTAAGCAGGTATCCAGAATCCGTACCTCCTTCTTCCCCCTGCTATAACCAATTTGGAAGCGCCCGATTAAACTGAATCACGTGATCTCATTTTGCGCAATGACTTATACATGATTTCTGTCGCAGTGTTGCGACAGCCAATCAGATTGCGAGTTCTTATAATGGGGGAATAGAAAGAATATATTCTGGAATTTGAAGCCCTGTGATCGGAGGGTGAAATCAGGTCAGTCAATCAATGTGACCATGTTCTGAAACAGCTGGGTCTAACTTGTCGTGCATATAAATACTTAATGAATACATGTGTTTAAATAAAAAAGAAATCAACATTTTTAGTGTTTGGTAAATAGAGTTTCTTTGGCTTTAGCCCTGTATTATTATATTTTGTACACATTTACTTTTATACAGATATTTTCTCTGTATTACAGGGTATACAATTTGTGGATGCTGAGAATCTCCCAGAGCTTGTTGCCATTATCAGCAAGCTTGCAAAGAGTGGTATAGGACTTGGAACAAAGGTATGTTCAAGCTCATTTTGAATCAGATTGCTAATTCTACTTATTCATTTTTATATATGCCTGTATTTAGAAATTCTAAACCTAGTGACCAAGGGACATTGAAAGAATCCTTTTTTAACATATGTTTTTGCAAAATCCAAGTGTAATGAAATTTCATCTTGGCCAGCAATGTTTCTATAGAATGTACATTCATAATTTTGGACCTATAAATATATACAATCAGAATAGACTAAGAAAATCAAACCTTGCACATTTTGAATATTATCTTCCAGGCTGGTTGCTGTCATGTGATTGTCTCCCTAACAAGGCAATGTGGAGCAGATATGACACCCTTAGCAGGTAAGTTTCATTAAAGGACCCATGGAATATTTAAACAAGAATAGATTTTGGCTCATATAGTGAATCTTTTGGAATCAAGAAGACATCTGTCTGTTTATTGGTTCATCCATCCATCGAAATTGATGATACTTTGAATTTGATGATATGACATATTTTTGAGAAAATAGGCCTTATTTGGAAAAACTAAAAAATGTTACTTTTAAGAATTGAAAATATTAAAGGGCCCAATATTTAGGGGAAAGAGTTATTTATGCAATATTAACTTGGCCAATGATGACTGTTGATATTTAAAAAATGAATTTCATTGTTCATTTATAATTTTTTTCTTTACATTTATTTTAACATACATGTATTTAAGGTAAGCTACTGAGTAACACCCTCCATATGTTACAAGATAAAAGTGGAGCTATAAGGAAATCTGCTGCTACGGCTATTGGACATCTTGTTAAGGTGAGAATCCTATTATAAGATTTATCTTGTTGAGGTACAGTATGGCAGTTGATTCTGTGAGATTAGCTATTTAACATGGTTGTTTTTCTATTTTTATGTCACCACCAAAAGTGGTGACATATTGTTATGGTCTCCGTTTTTTTGCGACGGCGTCCGGCGGTTGGTGGTTGGTGTCCGGCGTCCGGCGGTTGGCGTCCGGCGTCTGTAACAATTTCTTAAAACTTCCTATAACTTAACAAATACTGTTTAGACTGACTTCAATTTTTTTCTAAATCATCTACATGTTCTCAGAAGTTCAAATCTGACTTTAGATTTGACATTTGACCTTCAATGACCTTCTCAAGGTCAAAAAGGTCTTTTTTCAACTTGCTTCACATTGACTAATTTTTTTTTCAAAATCATCTACATGTTCTCAGAAATTCAAATCTGACTTAAGATTTGAGATTTGACCTTCAAATCTGACTTTAGATTTGACATTTGACCTTCAATGACCTTCTCAAGGTCAAAAAAGGTCAAAAAGGTCTGTTTTCAACTTGCTTCAAATTGACTAAAATTTTTTTTCAAAATCATCTACGTGTTCTCAGAAATTCAAATCTGACTTTAGATTTGACTTAAGATTTGACATTTGACCTTCAATGACCTTCTCAAAGTCAAAAAAGGTCAAAAAGGTCTTTTTTCAACTTGCTTCAAATTGACTAAATTTTTTTTTCAAAATCATCTACATGTTCTCAGAAATTCAAATCTGACGTTAGATTTGACATTTGACCTTCAATGACCTTCTCAATGTCAAAAAAGGTCAAAAAGGTCTGTTTTCAACTTGCTTCAAATTGACTAAATTTTTTTTTCAAAATCATCTACGTGTTCTCAGAAATTCAAATCTGACTTAAGATTTGACCTTCAATGACCTTCTCAAGGTCAAAAAAGGTCAAAAAGGTCTGTTTTCAACATGCTTCAAATTGACTAAAAAAAATTTTCAAAATCATCTACGTGTTCTCAGAAATTCAAATCTGACTTTAGATTTTACTTAAGATTTGACATTTGACCTTCAATGACCTTCTCAAAGTCAAAAAAGGTCAAAAAGGTCTTTTTTCAACTTGCTTCAAATTGACTAAATTTTTTTTTCAAAATCATCTACATGTTCTCAGAAATTCAAATCTGACTTTAGATTTGACATTTGACCTTCAATGACCTTCTCAATGTCAAAAAAGGTCAAAAAGGTATTTTTTCATCTTGCTTCAAATTGACTACATTTTTTTTCAAAATCATCTACATGTTCTCAGAAATTCAAATATGACTTTAGATTTGACATTTGACCTTCAATGACCTTCTCAAGGTCAAAAAAGGTCATAAAGGTCTTTTTTCAACTTGCTTCGAATTGACTAATTTTTTTTTCAAAATCATCTACATGTTCTCAGAAATTCAAATCTGACTTTAGATTTGACATTTGACCTTTAATGACCTTCTCAAGGTCAAAAAGGTCAAAAAGGTCTGTTTTCAACTTGCTTCAAATTGACTAAAAAAAATTTCAAAATCATTTACGTGTTCTCAGAAATTCAAATCTGACTTTAGATTTGACTTAAAATTTGACATTTGACCTTCAATGACCTTCTCAAAGTCAAAAAAGGTCAAAAAGGTATTTTTTCAACTTGCTTCAAATTGACTAAATTTTTTTTTCAAAATCATCTACATGTTCTCAGAAATTCAAATCTGACTTTAGATTTGACATTTGACCTTCAATGACCTTCTCAATGTCAAAAAAGGTCAAAAAGGTATTTTTTCATCTTGCTTCAAATTGACTAAATTTTTTTTCAAAATCATCTACATGTTCTAAGAAATTCAAATATGACTTAAGATTTGACATTTGACCTTCAATGACCTTCTCAAGGTCAAAAAAGGTCAAAAAGGTCTTTTTTCAACTTGCTTCAAATTGACTAATTTTTTTTTTTCAAAATCATCTACATGTTCTCAGAAATTCAAATCTGACTTTAGATTTGACATTTGACCTTTAATGACCTTCTCAAGGTCAAAAAAGGTCAAAAAGGTCTGTTTTCAACTTGCTTCAAATTGACCAAATTTTTTTTTTTTCAAAATCATCTACATCTTTTCAGAAGTTCAAATTTGACTTTACAAGTTCTCAGAAATTCAAATCTGACTTAAGTTTGAACTCATAATATTGTGAGCAACTAGGTGGTGACATTTTGTCATGTTAATGCCTTGTATAGTTTTTGTGATCATTTAATACTTTTATTGCTAATATATAGGTACATGTATTTGATCATGTGTGGCCATCTTATCTATTGATCTTTCTTGTGATTATTTAATACTGTCTTATATTGTTGTCACAGGTTGCAAAGGAAAGCAGTGTTGAAAAAGTGATAGTTAAGCTGAAAACCTGGTACCTTGAAAAAGATGGTAAGTTCTGATTATATGTTATCTTTTGTGAGTCTGAGTCGCATAGGTATTTCTGTACATCTGAGCTGAATGTTAAATTTAAGTTAACAATGATTATGGCACAAAGCAATGAACATCACTATTAATGTCAAATTATCACTTTTTGGCCACAAGTTTTAAAATATTGCAAAAATTGCATATACATTTGTTTACTAGTTAGCTTAGTTTATACGTGCACAAGATATGAGACAAAATGATACTGAGCAAAAAGCTGCTCTGTATTATACTTCTTACTTAGACCACCAATTTATGGCAAAAAATAAACAAGAATTAGCACAATGAAAAATCAATTGTAAAATAACTCACATTTTAGACGAGAACTTAAAAAAGGCATGTGGTGTGACGCTAGCTGCAATAAATCACAATGCCCCTGATGTCCTCCAACGCCACGCTACATTGGCCCTGCCTATGGCTTTCTTTGCCAAACATGAAAAGAAGAAAGAGGGAGATGACAAGGCAGGCCCCTGGGAGGATGTCTGGAATGAAGCGACACCGGGGACTGCAGGAGGACTGAGGCTCTACCTCAAAGAAATTGTGGAACTTGTGGAAAATGGTAACATTATACAGTATAACCTGTAGTTTTTTTTATATTAGATTTTGTATTGATGTTTTTATCAGGAAACCTGGATATCTAACTATCTATTCAAGGATGTCTTTGTTAGATACAATCATTTGTAATAAATGATCTTTCTTAAATGGAAAACATAGTTGCAATTATAGGGATTAAGTCATTTTATCAGAATATCATAATGCTGAGGTCAGGATATCTTTGATATATAACTAAAATCATTAAAATACAAAATACATCATATTTCATGTATTTCAGGTATTAAATCTCAGTCATGGGACCTGAAAGCCCAGAGTGCTTCAACTATGGCAAGTATTGCAGAGAGCCTTGGAACAAGTCTGGTGGACCCCCATCTTACATTGCTGCTAGTGGCCTTGATGAATGGTTTGCCTGGGAGAACATGGACTGGCAAAGAAATCTTACTTCAGGCTCTGTCCAGTGTGTATGTCTCATGCAGGTAAACCATTTCGACCCTTTGCAAGAGATTGACCTCTCTAGACTCTATAAATTACAATTCCTTGATCTTGCCAGAATCCAGTTGAAATATGTAGGCAGGAAATAACTACACCACCTTTTTGTGACCAACCAGCATCAATATTTGGCAGAATCAACATACTTTTGAAATCATTTACTCGTACAATAACTATCAAATTGAATGTATAGTGGCATTTTATATTTGTTATATTTATGCCTTATAATCTACCATGTAAATAAGCTTAAAATAGAGCTCCATTCTATAAGTTATTAAATGGTTTGAAGTGCAATACAGGATATATTCTGTTCGAGAAATTTTGTATTGGAACGAGACGAAGTCGAGTGCCAATACATAATATTGAGACAGAATATATCCTGTATTGCAATTCAAACCATTCAATAACGTTTTTATCGTGTGCTCCTCTGTATTGCTACTGAGATTGTCCCCTCCGTACCAATATTTTCTGTATTGCGACGGAGATGATCAACGGGGACAATCTCAGTAACAATACAGATTGGTACAGCACAAGAATTGACCAATCAGAGGGGTTTATTTTACAGATCATACGATAATATACTGTACAACGCTTCCTGGTCAACTCAACCCCAAGTCAACTCAACCCAAGTCAACTCAACCCTTAGTCAAGTCGACCCCAAGTCAAGTCGACCCTTAGTCAAGTCGACCCCAAGTCATCTCGACCCTTAGTCAACTCGACCCCAAGTCATCTGTTACAGTATTACATTCTATTATATTCACATTAAGTTTAGTTTATCAATATGCATATACTGTAACTGATCTTCATTAGAGATCTTAGGTCAAGGTCACAATGACATTATATCTTGTAAACATAACTGAACTGAATGACTCATTAACTCTTGGCCTTCTAGAAAGTACTGGAACTTTAATCATTTAAACAAGATTGAATCATGTGACTTAAGATGTCCAATCAGTGTTATTTTCTAGAAATCGTAACTTCTTGAAACATCTGGACTTTGCCTTTGAACTATATAATGAGAGAGCTGATTTGGGCTGTTAGCAGAATTTCAAAGTTGATCAAAGGACATCTTCTTAGCGGAATATTACAGACACCTACTGTGGGAACATTTATAACACTACAAACACACAACCTGAGGACTTTATATGGACATATATTACAACATACACTATATACGGATTATCATATACATTCGTGGATTATCATAAACATTTGTGGATTATCATCAAACATTATTGGATACAAACATTATAGGATTACAACAAATATTATTGGATTATTACAAACGTTGGAGAACTATTAACGATTATTGAAACATTTCGTGATCTGGAACATTCTCAAGGATCGTCAACGACATCTATCAACATCAAGAATAAGCCGTATCATTGATTGGACATCACTTAAGTATTAAACCTCCTTTATATTATTGTTATATTATTTAGTTTTCAAAATATAAATATATTGTTATCATATTTTAATTGCTGTTTTTACTCTCTGTTATTTTCGAACGTAACAGAAATTGGGGGCTCGTCCGGGAGACAACTACAACAAGCTAGAATACAAATATTTTTAAATTCAAAATCCAAAACTTGTATATTTAAACTGTGAAGACAGCAATTAATTGAAAATGAGTTTTGAGGTTGAGACATTTTTAGAAGCGCCCTCTTTGGAGGAATTTGACGATTTGAAGAAAACTGAACTTCTGGCAATTGCAAAACATGTTGGCCTGTCAGTCAAAAGCTCATACAAAAAGGATACTATTAAAAACTTTGTACTTCAATATTTGGTCGCAGAATCACTTCTGCCTGAGCAGCCAGCCCAACATGTTGACCCTGTTGATCCTATTAAGCTTAAAGAGCTTGAAATAAGAGAAAAAGAATTAGAAATTCAAAAAGAAAGAGAAATCAGAGAATTGAGAGAAAAAGAATTAGAAATTCAAAATGAAAGAGAAAAAAGAGAAAGTGAAAAAGAAATAAGATTAAGAGAAAATGAAAGACAAATGAGAGAACAAGAAATTCAAAGAGAAATTGAATTAAAACGCCTTGAGATAGAAGCTCAATCAAAAACTGATGAACATGCTACTATGCATCAACATTTTGAAAATAGGTTTGACGCTTCAAAATTTCTCAAATTTGTACCTAAATTTCAGGAGAAAAATGTTGATAAATACTTTACGCATTTTGAAAAAGTCGCTCAAAGCCTCGATTGGCCTAAATCTGCATGGCCAGTTATGCTCCAGAGTGTATTTATTGGTAAAGCAAGTGAAATATTTGCCTCTCTCTCTGGAGAAGTATGCTCTGATTATGACCTAGTTAAAAATGCAATTCTTAAAGCTTATGAACTAGTACCAGAAGCTTACAGACAAAAATTTAGAAATGCCCACAAACAGAGTGACCAAACCCATGTTGAGTTTGCTCGAGAGCAAGAGCAGCTTTTTGACAGGTGGCTTGTCTCTAAAGATGTATCTGAAGAGTTTAAGAAGCTCAGAGAGCTAATGCTTATAGAACAATTTAAAAACTGTGTTCAGTATCACATTAGAACTTACTTAGATGAACACAAGGTAGAAACTTTGAGTCAAGCTGCCACCCTGTCTGATGATTATGCTCTTACTCATAAGGGTAGTTTTATCAAGGGCAATCCTAACTATAGGGGTTATCAGGGTAACAAACCTTCATATGACTCTAAATCAAATCAGTCCTCATCATCAAATACATCAAACAAAGCAAAAGACCAGTCTAATTCATCACAGAGTTTTAGCTCAAAATCTGATCAATCAAATTCTTCAGGTCCAAAATCAAATGTCACCTGTAATTATTGTAAAAAGCCTGGTCATCTTATTTCTGAATGCTATAGGATTAAGAATAGAAGAGAGATGTCTGGTTCTGCTCATTCAAATGGTTGTGCTACTGTTCCCATTTCAAGAAAGCCCATTGTTTGGGATTCATATACTCATACTGAGAAATCTACTCATAGTGATATTATGGAGGATTATAAGCCTTTCATGTCGGAAGGATCTGTGTCACTGTCAAGTGATGATACCAATTCAAAGCCTGTTAAGATTCTTAGAGACACGGGTGCATCTCAGACTTTGTTGTTAGAAGGTGTCCTTCCTTTATCTGAGGAGTCATTCACAGGTACCCATATTTTGATGCAAGGCATTGAATTAGGATTTACTAAAGTTCCCCTCCATCGTATTCATATCACATCAGAGTTAGTCAAAGGGCCAGTTATTGTTGGTGTTAGGCCACAACTTCCTGTTGAAGGAGTCGCATTGCTTTTAGGCAATGATTTAGCTGGGGGTAAGGTATCATTAGACCCCATTGTTTCTGATCAGCCTTGTTCTATTGAGGATTCTGTCCAAGAGGACTCTGATATATATCCTGCTTGTGCTGTTACTAGGGCTATGGCTAAAAAGTTAGCTGATAGCGGGGATTCGTCTGTGGGAGATGACTTTGATAGTGGGTTTTTAAGCTCCTTGTTTGATGATGAATGTCACTCACCACTTGTTAAAGATGATCCTTATCCTATTTTAAAGGCAAATTCTTCATTGAAACAGCCTTCTGTTCGAGCCAAGCAGTCATCTATTGAGGCAAATTCTTCATTGAAAAAGCCTATTGCCAGAGGTGATTCACCTTCTGAGCAGGATCACTATTTTAATGCGGTTTCGCCCGCTCTTGCTAGTCCCGATGAAGTTTCATCTTCTTCTGCTAGTGTTCATGAGGTTTCATCTCCTCCTTGTTCTGAGGTTTCATCCTCTATTTCTGATAGTGATTCTTTGAAAAATGATCCTCATTCTAAACACATGTTAATTTATGAACAAGAGCATGATCCATCACTCATTGATCTTCATAAAAGATGTCTTACTATTGATGAAGCTGACAAGGTCCCTGTTTGTTTCTACAAAAAGGATGGCATATTAATGCGAAAGTGGAGACCTCCTGAAGCTTCCCCTGAAGACGATTGGGCAATTGTGCATCAAATTATTGTCCCAAAATCATATCATAAGGAAATCTTGAGTCTAGCTCATGATTCGCCTATGGCAGGTCATTTAGGAGTAACTAAAACATACCATAAAATACTCAACCATTTCTATTGGCCCAAATTAAAACAAGATGTCCAAGAGTATTGTAGGTCTTGTCATACATGTCAAATGGTAGGGAAACCTAACCAGAAAATTCCAACTGCTCCTTTACACCCTATACCTGCATTTGATGAACCATTCAGTAAGGTTCTTATTGACTGTGTTGGTCCATTACCAAAAACAAAATCTGGTAATCAATATTTACTCACTATTCTTTGTATGGCCACACGGTTTCCAGAAGCGATTCCACTCAGAAATATCAAAGCCAAAAATATAGTGAAATCACTCATCAAATTTTTCACCTTAGTTGGACTGCCAAAAGATCTTCAGTCTGATCAGGGCTCAAATTTTATGTCAGGCTTATTCCAACAAGTCATGGATACCTTGGGTATCAAGCAGTGTAAGTCAAGTGCCTATCACCCAGAGTCTCAAGGAGCCCTAGAGCGTTACCATCAGACGCTTAAGACCATGATTAGAGCTTTCTGTTTTGAATATGAGAAAGACTGGGATGAGGGTATACCCTTGCTTCTGTTTGCTACTAGGGAGGCTAAGCAAGAATCATTAGGGTTCAGTCCATTTGAGCTAGTATTTGGTCATTCTGTGCGTGGTCCACTTAAATTGCTAAAAGAAAAGTGGCTGACAGAAACTGAAAGGTTTAATTTATTGAACTATGTCACTGGGTTTAAAGAGCGCCTATCAAAGGCTTGTGAAATAGCCAAAGAAAATTTGCTCAAAAGCCAAGATAAAATGAAAACCTGGTACGATAGAAAAGTCAAAGAAAGATCATTTCAGCCTGGTGACAAAGTTCTTATATTACTGCCACTTCAGACAAATCCGCTACAAGCAAAATTCTTTGGTCCTTATGTAGTGGATTCCAAGGTCAATGACCTCAATTATATTGTCAAAACTCCAGATAGGCGCAAAGAAACACAACTGTGTCACATCAATATGATGAAAAGGTACTTTGAGCCAGACAAAGAGCATGACTCAGTTAAACCTGTTGTCACTTTGGCACCTGCCCTTGTAAAAGAAACTGATCTACAAGATTCAGATGATATCAATTGTACTGATTTAGACTATGAAGATATCAAAGGTTTGTCTAGGTTAAAGAACTCTGAAGTATTATCAAATCTAGATCATAAATTGCACCATGTGACAAATGATCAAAAACGGCAAGTCACAGACTTAATTCATGAGTTCACTGATATCTTCTCTGATGTACCGACTAAGACATCTATAGCTTATCATGATGTTGAAGTCCAAGATGTAACCCCTATTAAGCAACATGCTTACAGAGTAAATCCATCAAAATCAGAAGATTTGAGAGCTGAGGTCAATTATATGTTAGAAAATGACATAATTGAAAAGAGCAATAGCCCATGGAGTTCACCAGCTTTCATTGTACCAAAATCAAATGGTGGACGTAGGCTAGTAGTTAATTATATCAAAGTGAATCGAGTAACAAAGACCGATTCTTATCCCATACCACGAATTGACGACTGTATTGACAAAATTGGAACTGCTAAATATGTCAGTAAATTTGATCTCCTCAAAGGATTCCTAGGGGTTCCATTAACTGAAAGAGCAAAACAGGTATCTGCCTTTGTTACTCCTGATGGTTTGTACCAATTTAAAGTTATGCCATTTGGTATGAAAAATGCACCTGCCACATTTCAAAGAATGATGAATGGCTTATTAGCAGATCTCGAAAACACTGGTGTCTACATCGATGATGTAATTGTCTATTCTGACACTTTTGATGAACACATGTGTTTGCTGCGTAAGTTGTTTGAAAGAATCTCTTTAGCCAATTTAACCATCAATTTGGCTAAAAGTGAATTTTGTAAAGCCACAGTTGAATATCTGGGCCATGTGGTGGGTCAAGGGCATGTTAAACCAGTGAGTGCCAAAGTGGAATCAATAATACAACTCCCAGCTCCTACTAACAAGAAAGAATTAATGAGAAGTCTTGGAATGGCTGGCTTTTATAGGAAGTTTTGTCCAAATTTCTCTTCAATTGCTCTTCCATTGACCAATTTACTTGGAAAAAACATCAAATATGTGTGGTCTGAACAATGTCATACAGCCTTTGATAAAATCAAGGCCATACTAAGTGAACAACCAGTGCTTGTTGCACCTGATTTTAGCAAGCAATTCAAAATTCAAGCAGATGCTTCTGATGTAGGAATGGGGGCTGTCCTATTACAAGAAAAGGATGGTATTGATCATCCAGTGTGTTATTATTCAAAGAAATTTGATAAACATCAGAAAAACTACTCCACCATAGAAAAGGAATGTCTAGCATTACTTCTGTCATTACAACATTTTGAAGTATATGTTAGTGCACCAGTTCATGCAGTTACTGTATTTACTGATCACAATCCGCTGACATTCCTTCATAGAATGAAGAACAAGAATCGTAGATTGTTGAGGTGGAGTCTGTTATTGTCAGAGTACAATCTTGACATAAGACACATCAAAGGCAAGGATAATTTAATTGCTGACACTCTTTCAAGAGTGTAATGTCTCTATTTTTTAAGAGGCTATTTGACTTATACTGCAATTGCCTAAGGCTTTGTGTTGATATAATAAAAGGATTGTACTTAGAGTGTGATTTGATAATATTATTGTAATATGTTTTTTATTGTATTTGACTATTGTAAACAAATGTTATGTAAGTCTCAACCTCATCTTGTAATTGTAACCCTCGCTACACCAGATATTATTGTAAAAGTTTTTCATTGTATTCAAAACTTTTCTTTTAAGGAGGGAGGTGTTACAGTATTACATTCTATTATATTCACATTAAGTTTAGTTTATCAATATGCATATACTGTAACTGATCTTCATTAGAGATCTTAGGTCAAGGTCACAATGACATTATATCTTGTAAACATAACTGAACTGAATGACTCATTAACTCTTGGCCTTCTAGAAAGTACTGGAACTTTAATCATTTAAACAAGATTGAATCATGTGACTTAAGATGTCCAATCAGTGTTATTTTCTAGAAATCGTAACTTCTTGAAACATCTGGACTTTGCCTTTGAACTATATAATGAGAGAGCTGATTTGGGCTGTTAGCAGAATTTCAAAGTTGATCAAAGGACATCTTCTTAGCGGAATATTACAGACACCTACTGTGGGAACATTTATAACACTACAAACACACAACCTGAGGACTTTATATGGACATATATTACAACATACACTATATACGGATTATCATATACATTCGTGGATTATCATAAACATTTGTGGATTATCATCAAACATTATTGGATACAAACATTATAGGATTACAACAAATATTATTGGATTATTACAAACGTTGGAGAACTATTAACGATTATTGAAACATTTCGTGATCTGGAACATTCTCAAGGATCGTCAACGACATCTATCAACATCAAGAATAAGCCGTATCATTGATTGGACATCACTTAAGTATTAAACCTCCTTTATATTATTGTTATATTATTTAGTTTTCAAAATATAAATATATTGTTATCATATTTTAATTGCTGTTTTTACTCTCTGTTATTTTCGAACGTAACACATCTCAACCCTTGGTCAACTCAACCCTTAGTCAAGTCGACCCGAATGATTTTACTTGTTTTAAGTAGATTAAAATACAATATAATCCCATTGTTTGTGCAGTTTGATTTGAAATCAAACTTCAAAGAAAACAACATTTCTGTCACCTATAGATCAAAACGAAGATTTGAACTGGATCATAAAATCCCAATCTGATTGTTTGACACCTGACATATGAATAAGATAATGGAAAATAGAAAAACATTAATCCCATTGTTTGTTCAGTCTTGTTTTAAAATCTTACTTCAAAAAAATAAACATTTCTATCGCCTGTAGATCAGAAGGAAGATTTGAACTGGATCATATTGCTTATTGTTATAAAATCCTAATCTTGTTATTTATGACACCTGACATGGGCACGATAAAGGAAATTGTAAAATCATAAATCCCATTGTTTGTTTAGTCTTGTTTTAAAATTTAGCTTCAAAAAATAAACATTTCTATCGCCTATAGATCAGAAGGAAGATTTGAACTATATCATATCACGCCCGGTGATCGCACTAAAATGATGGAGGGGTGGGGATTAGGCGATTTCTGCAAGAAAACTCAACAAATTAGGAAGATTTTTTTTTTCAAGAGAAAATTTACAACTGAATTGCCAAATGAATAGGCGCAGTGCATGGCAAAATATGTTAGGTCATCTACTATTTTTTTTGAACTGATACCGTTTTAAGATATGAGATCTATTAAAAAAGGCGCATCATCACCAACGTGCAAAAGTCAATGTTTTTGCTATAAATCGGGCAACAATGGTCATCACGACCTGTAATAAATAGGTATAAGGGACGTTATTATCACAATCCTTATGACATTGCTCACTTTTTAAATTTAGTTTCCATGCGTGAAATATATGTATAGCACCGTGAATAGCCCTATTAAGATTAATCAAATATTATTTTGGTAAATAAATGTCATATTTATAAAAATTATAAATGCGCTAAGCACAAACTTCAATAGTTGATAATTTTATTTTGGAAAATTAGCATTTTAGTCCCTCTCAAAATTCAAAATTCATCAATATCATACCATGAAAATAGTATATCTATTTTTTTTATGGTGGGGTCGAGTTGACTAAGGGTTGAGATGACCAAGGGTTGAGATGACTTGGGGTCGAGTTGACTAAGGGTCGAGATGACTTGGGGTCGACTTGACTAAGGGTCGACTTGACTTGGGGTCGACTTGACTAAGGGTTGAGTTGACTTGGGTTGAGTTGACTTGGGGTTGAGTTGACCAGTTACCCTGTACAACTCCCATGATACAACTAATATCACAGCATTTTCAGTTTACAGAATTCATGCATTCCTTGATTTCAGAGAAACCATCCAAAAGTCTGAAAACAAAGAGCAACCGTCACCAGACATTGTTGTGGATGCTTTACTCAAGGAATGCAAGAAGGAGAATGTAGTCTACAAGACAGCAGCCCTCAAATGCACTGGAGAGATTCTAGAAGCCTATGAAATAGACCGTTATGGGGACATTTTAGAAATTCTCAATCCACTGTTGAATCCAGTAAGTAAAATATCTTGAATTAAAAATACACAACTTAATATATTATGTCATTGGTCACATGTGTTAAACTATCCACAATACATAATCAACATTAGCCTTAACATTAGTATTCCCCTAAGCAAAACTACACAATTTAACATAATTATGTTGTATTCTGAAAACAAAACTACACATCTTAATTTATTCATGTTGTATTCTCAAAGTGAGACTACACATCTTGTTCTATTCTCAAACCAAAACTACACAACTCAACTTAATCTTGTTATTTTCTCAAATCAAAACTACACAACTTAACATGATCATGTTGTATTCTTAGAGTAAAGGAGACACAGAAGATGATGACAAAGATGATAAGAATGCTAGGTTTGACTTACAATGTGTTGCCTTTGAGTGCCTTGGACAGGCTTGGCCAAAACAAAAAGTTACACAAGGTAAAATGTACTCTCCAGGTCATATGTAAAAACTGGTTGTGAGTTAGTGATTGTTCATTAATCTGTTAATGCATTTCCATTGGAGCATTGATCTTATCTTTGTAATGTTTGTATGTAATGTATACAGTGTTCCCATAAATGTTTCACTTTACTTTTTGTGTTAAAGTATGTAATCATTTTTGTTTTGTTTTGCGTTTCATTCGCCACTGCCTTTGTCTTTAATGTAAGGTTATGGCTGATTATGTGACCATATCATGTGGGTTTGCTTACCGATACTTACACATACTTGTACATGTTGGTCCTAAACTCATTAAACTAAGGCGATATAAGATATTCCATCATTTTTTTATTTTATTTTAGATACACATCAATGCAGTAGTTGTGCACTCCTGTCTGAGAGATTAACTGCTTCATCATGGAAGGTCCAAATAGCTATTGTTAAAACCCTTAACAAGCTCATAGATAGGTGAGCATTTGCTATGAACTTAAGCACAAGGTATTGAATTCTGTGCCACAATTCTTGTGCAGTGTGTGTAATTTCAAAGAGAATGTAATTTTGTGACAGTATCTTAAGGTGGGATCAGAGATAGACATCAACTTGTCTCGTCTTATTCAGTATTGAATACACTGTCTCATATCATACGATTTCATATATTTTTCTTAAAATCAACAAACTTCATGTGTCATTCAGTGATTTTCAAGGATGTTTAAAAACATATTAATTTTGTCCTCGTAAACTAAATGTGGCTATACCCATATTTATGATTTTGGCCTAACTGCTATGCAGTAATCATTCAGATCTCTTTCATTCTTATTCTCTCTAATTCTTAAAGAATTTCAAGATTTCAGTATTCCAGTATTTACATTGACTTTTATTTCATTTTTTGATTTTTAGAAGAAAGGATTTATCAAAACAATTAAATATATTTTGAATGGATATATGAATAAAATTATGGAGTCATTTCAAGATGAATCTTGATTGTGTTCATTTGCTTCTGTTGTATTATTAGATTGCTGATACTAGAAGATGATACACTACGTGGTAACCATAGTTACTTAGATGCCATCATAACATCAATTACGCCATCTATATGTATATGTTTAGGTAAGCAATTTTATAATAATCACGTTTGTTACATTTTCAATGCTTGTTTGCCACCTATTTGCAAGAGTGACACTTGAAATCTTTACTTACTCATGTCTAAGTTCATATATATGAATGATATTTAACTTGTTCATATTGTTTCAGGTAATATTAAGTATGCAGGACTTCGGAAAGAATGTCTAGGTGTCCTGGAAACACTCACAAAAAAGCTCAGCAGTAAGTACTGCAGTAATATAAATATACTGTATATTGGTCTAACTTAACATTAACTCCAAAGGTATTATTTGAATGTCCCTCTGCCAATATTTTTATTGTAGTTTTAGAAGTAAGATCCTTTCAATTAGTTTTTTCTTTTAACTTATTTGAGGGGAAACTGATTGTTTCTTCTGAATAATCAATGTCCTGTTTTATTCAAAATTGTTGCTTCAGTAATTTCTATTGAGTTTTCAGTCCATTTATGTCTAGAGATGTTTCTTTGAGCCAATGTGTGTAAATATTTTGCTTTTACCTTTTTTTGTGCTCAGATACAAGAGCATTTAAAAGTTAAATCATATACTTAAGCTATTTTGTTAAACTACTGTATGTTGCTTTAACTTGTGTTTTTCAGAGCTATCCTGTCTAGATATACTACCCCCTGGTCCATGTGCTCAGCTACGGGACTCTTTGAAAGCTTTGGAAAATGACAGCCAACCAGAGTTGAAACACAAAGCATTAGATCTATACAAAATAATACCAAATAAGGAATGATATGAATACAATATAATATGATATGAACTAAATATGTTATTCTGCAACTGACCTCTCAGATTAATTAGCGAGGAACTCGAAGAAATACTGAACAGCAATGATATTGTTTCGGGAAATAACAACCTTGATGCATTGTGGTGTTAATATTCAGGAACTCTGTTTGAAATGAAATGGAATAAATTATGAACACATACAAACTTGATCTTATGTTGATATCAATCCTCACACCTCGCATATGATTGAAATCTTTATTTTTTAGTCAATAGTTAAGTGGCGATGCAAGTATAATAGAGGTGATTATCAATGAATATTCATAATGCTTTAATCAACATGATGTCATTTGAATGTTTCTCACTATCTCATGTGCTAGTTAATGACCAATGATGTGATAAATAAAAAAAGATTCTTTGCCAAACATTTACGCCAATCCAGGGTAGATAGTAGATAACAGATGTACAATGCAGTGAAAGCTGCGTAATTGGAACACCTCAAAAATGTGTTCCACTTTGGAAGTGTTCAAAGAATCATTTTGAGAAACTAATGGGTGGAGTTGATTATGGTAGTTAAGTCCAGTATTCATCATACAATACGTAATGCTTGATTTCTCAGTTGTAAAAATGACATTAGATAAGGAGAGCATGGGAAACCTATACTTGGCTCATACATAATGAATTTATTCTTAATCATGTAATCTTTTCAATGTTTACTATTATATAACAAGAACAAGATATTTGTTGACAGAAATTACACATTACCATTCCATTTTTATTTAGCAAAGGCCTATTATAAATTTATAGACTGTAAGGCAAGTTCACACAATTCAAAGCATAAAATCACAAAAAAAGAACAACAAATTAAAACATACATAATCAAATCAAAAACAGAGAAATAATGTACCCAAATTAACATTTTATTATTAAAGAATCCATATCATTCATGTCATAGTAAATGTAATTCTAACTTCCCCTTTGTACATTGGTTAAAGCAAGTGTAAACAAGCGTGTATAATAAAGTCCCAGGGTTGTATTTGTAATACACTCAATATAGATTCATTGAAGAAGTTAAGTAATGACTGTTGGTTGCTGCCTCCCTGTCAGCTCTCTCAGCTGAGACAGTTTAAGGGCAATTTCCACAAGAGGTTTCAGTGCATCCTGGAAAAATGAATAAGACACATGGTGAATATAATAGCTACTCTAAAGTCTCTAACAGAGTAGAATAAAATATCTCAGCTTGTAAAACTGAGATGAAACTTGATCACTTTGCTTGGCTCAACAAAGCTTTAGGGAGAGGGATTATTATACTTATAATACAAATAGGGAGAAGAGACCTACATATATACAAACATGTTAAAATGATTAGTTCCAGATTGATAAGTACAATCATGTATCATCTGATTGAACTATCCTTAATGTGAACAGTGTAGAGCAAGTTAAACCCTTGCAAAGAGTACTTCAATCACACATACCTGAGGATCATTCATATGCTGAGCTTGATCAGCCTCATAGCTATCGATGTACATGCGAATAGTTGCCCCTGAGCTTCCTGTACCACTCAATCGGAATATAATCCGAGACCCATCACTGAATATAATCCGGATTCCCTAGAAATAATATAGGCCTACATGTATTAGAAAATATGAACTGAACAAAATTTAGACCGGAAGCATCCAAATAGAGAATCCCAGTAATTTACAAAATTCAAGGAATTTTTCTGCTGGTGAAGATTGAATTGGCCCATCTAGCTTAAAATGTTGCTTTTCAATTCCTAAACAAGGCACAGGACGTGAACGAGATCACACCATCAAATAGGCAGACACTATGAACCAGGAAAACTGTTCTCCTATTATGTTTACAAATTTCAAGAACAAGAAAACAAGATGGCCGCCCAAAAGTTAAGCTCTAGTACTTGATATCCTCTATCATTTGTGTAAATTTGAAGGAAATCCAATGTCATTGAGCGGTTTTCCTGAAATGGCGATGACAAGATTTTTCGAAAAACCTTCAAAATGGCCACCAGAAAACAAGATGGCCGCCCAAAAGTTAATCAGCTCTAGTACTTGATATCCTCTATCATGTGTGTAAATTTGAAGGAAGTCCGATGAGCGGATTTTCTAAAATGGCGATGACAAGATTTTTTCGAAAAATCTTCAAAATGGCTGCCAGAAAACAAGATGGCCGCCCAAAAGTTAATCAGCTCTAGTACTTGATATCCTCTATCATTTGCACAGGCTGGTATCGAAAAATTTGTCCGCTGTGACGGAGCGTGCTATTTTGCATAGAAACACTAAGAAACCCACACAATTTATTTTTTTACTCATATGTTTCGCTATACCAAAGAAAGTTTCTTACTCCATGCAATGAATATATCATTTGCGGGTAACTTTAACTTTTGTTTGAAGTCCAACAACGCTAAGAGTAAAAGCTATTGAAAACGGCGCCGGGGTATCATACTCCAAAATGTACCATTTCGTTTATTTCTTTTTAATGGTACAATATAGTGACACTATAATATTTTCATATTCATTGCATGGAGTCAGTAATTTTCTTTGATATAGCAAAACATATGAGTAAAAAAATAAATTGTGTGGATTTCTGAGTGTTTCTATGCAAAATAGCACGCTCCGTCACAGCGGACAATTTTTTCGATACCAGCCTGTGATTTGTGTAAATTTGAAGGAAATCCAATGAGCGGTTTTCCTGAAATGGCGATGACAAGATTTTTCGAAAAACCTTCAAAATGGCCGCCAGAAAACAAGATGGCCACCCAAAAGTTAATCAGCTCTAGTACTTCATATGCTCTATCATCTCTGCGAATTTGGAGAAAATCTGATGAGCAGTTTTCCTTAAACGGCGATGACAAAAAGCGGGACCACGATCACGACCACGATCACGACCAGTATGACTATCTAGGTAGTTTAAATTACAATAGAGGATTAATTACAGTAAACATAGATGGTTATTGATGGTAATGTGAGAGGTTGGGAGGGAGGGGGGGTGTCACAAGATACAAGTGAGCATATCTGATTTACCTGGTTTTTGGAAACACTTCCATCTATTGGGTCTGTATATCCAAAATTGTCAATAAGTGCAACTTTGAAAGTTTTTCCACCCTCAGAGTATTCTTTCCCAACATTTGATTGGTCAGCTACATATTTGTTCAGGTTTGCAATCATCTGATTGGCTGGTTCAGATTCACAGTTCTCATAATCATACCTTAATTAAAAAAATAAACATACATGCATGGGTGAAAATATCATAAAAATAAAAAGTTAAATTATTAAAGTAAAAATATTTTACATTTTATTTAAGTATTATCTACTTCTTGAAATACATTTATTATGAAATCACAGATAAACAAATAATAGGACGGGGTTTCTATAGTGGGGTAACTCACTGATTCAGAAGTATAACAATTTCGTAATCTTTTACTTGCAGTAGGGTAATGAATAGTACCCATCATTTAATCTATATCTGATGGTCCTAAGTAAATATGCATTATCTTCTGGTTCTCCGATTTTTCTGACTTACCTTGTAAAAAAATTGCGACCATATTTACTCCAATGGGCAGTGAGGATTTCTTGAAGGGATTTTTTCTGATGTGCCACTACAGAAAGCCAAGCTAAAACAGCCCAGATGCCATCCTTCTCCCTAACAATAAAAAAATAAAACAAAATGTCAGATGCGATCCTTCTCCCTACCAACACAAAAGAATGTAACCGTGATCTCTCAAATGATGAAGTAAGTGAACATTACATGTCTGCATATGATTTTGAAAAAAGGTTTGCACCTCTTGAAAACCTATTTACACACACTTGGGAATGAGAAACAGTCATTGTGAAAATGAGAATTTTGGAACCACTCGAGAAGAAAAGCCTGTGGAGAATTCAGGTGATATGCCAGATATCCTTAAAGACCCCATGTAAAGTTTGAAAATATAGTATACTCATTCAAATATTTTCATGTTCTCTAAAGATAAAGATTTTGAGTTTAATCATGTGGACAGTCATGGGAACAATTATTGATAAAAACAAGACACACAGTGATAAATATCGCACTTTGAAGAGCAAACTGGCCACCATGCAATTTACCCAGCATGGCCAAAACCTAATCAGACCTTGGCACTAGTCTGCTCTTGCATCTGTAAACATTTCAAGTTGACAAGGTTAGCGGTTTTCCTGCAATTTTGATGACAAGAATTTATTTGTAGTCTTGAACTTTGGGAAAATTTAGATAACATTGTTTGTGACCTAATTTGATGACCTTCGACCTTGAAAATTTTGTAATTAGCTGACCTAAATTTAAATCCAAAATATCAATTTAGAAAATCAAATTTTTGACCTTTTCAAGGCCACTGAAGGTCAACGAAAGGTCAAATCTGAAATCTAAGGTCAGATTTGAACTTCTGAGAACTTGTAGATGTTTTTAAAAAAAAAATTGGTCAATTTGGAGCAAGTTGAAAAATTCAAAATGGCCGCCAAATTGAAAAATTCAAAATGGCCACCATGTAATTCAGCCAGCATACCCAAAACCTAATCAGATCTTGGCAATAGTCTGTTCTTGCATCTGTAAAAATTTCAAGTTGAACGGATAAATGGTTTTCCAGGAATTTTGATGACAAGATTTGTTGAAAAATTCAAAATGGCCACCACGTAGTTTACCCAGCATGTCCTTAACCTAATCAGATCTTGGCACTAGTCTGCTATTGCATGTGTAAAAATTTCAAGCTGAACAGGTTAGCGGTTTTCTTGGAATTTTGATGACAAGAATTGATTTGTAGTCTCAAACTTTGAGAAACTTGGAGAACATCATTTGTGACCTAGTTTAATGACCTTGACTTTCGACCTTGAAAATTTCACTTTTTCAGACCTCAGTAGGTGTTTTGTAATTAAGCTGACCTAAATTTAAATCCAAAATATCAATTTAGAAAATCAACTTTTTTGACCTTTTCAAGGTCACTGAAGGTGAATGAAAGGTCAAATCTGAAATCTAAGGTCAGATTTGAACTTCTGAGAACTTGTAGATGTTTTTAAAAAAAAAATTTGGGCAATTTGGAGCAAGTTGAAAAATTCAAAATGGCCGCCAAATTGAAAAATTCAAAATGGCCACCATGTAATTCAGCCAGCATACCCAAAACCTAATCAGATCTTGGCAATAGTCTGCTCTTGCATCTGTAAAAATTTCAAGTTGAACGGATAAGTGGTTTTCCTGGAATTTTGATGACAAGATTTGTTGAAAAATTCAAAATGGCCGCCACATAGTTTACCCAGCATGCCCTTAACCTAATCAGATCTTGGTACTAGTCTGCTCTTGCATCTGTAAAAATTTCAAGTTGAACAGGTAAGCAGTTATCCTGGAAATTTGATGACAAGATTTGGTTTATGTCCCGCCCGCCCGCACGCCCGCACACCCGCACGCCCAAACGCCCAAACGCCCGCCCAACAGCACAAGACGACGACAATATAGCAGATAATAATAAAAATGTTAAAGATACCCAAAAACTTAATGAATTATGACATTTAAAGGACAACTGAAATAGCTTTTCTCAACTTGCAGCTACAAAAATGCGGTTTTCTTCATTGTAAGCCCAACGTAGAGTTCTTGCGATAGCCATTATAAAATAAATGTTACATAACTGCTAACGGTCATAAATAACGAAATAAAACTAACTGATCAATCAAATTGGCCCCCACGTGATAAGTAACGTCATATACAAAATATAGCTTAGGTTTATTGGTTCCTTAGCAATCACAACGTCACGGCAACCATAGGATTGTAGTGTATACCAAAACAAAACATTTTGGCATTATGACATTATGGGCCATGTGGGGACCAGTGAGAGATCACGTGGGGGCCAATAACGTCACAACAAATTCGAATATTGCTTATTAAGCAGCTATAACGATCGTTAGAGTGAAATAGTTTTCGCACTACTGGTGAGAAAACATGTCCAAATACATTTATCAAAAAATTATATTGATTCCTTTAGGTTAAAAATACCATTTCATATCTGCTTTAAGCATGAAAAGTAATAGCAGGTTTTTTATTTTACCTTATATGATCGGATCCTGTTCCAAAGCTCTCTTCTCCACACAGAGACAATTGACCAGAATCCATTAAGTTGCCAAAGAATTTCCAGCCAGTGGGCACCTCAAATATTGGCAGGCCTTTGTCATTTGCTACTCTAAAAGTAAAAAACATTTTGTGAACATGCTACATTAGATGCATCAACAATATAAATATTGCAGCTCATTTTACAAACATTTTGACATAATGCCTTTACACAAATATATGATGCTTACCTGTCTATGGCTGCCCCTGTTGGCATACTCCTTGCATAGCCTTTTATTCCAGTCTTCTGGAAGTATGGCATACACTCTAAGTTGGCTGCCAGGACTGCCAGGGAGTCTGAGGGGTTGACAAAGAAAGCATTTTTTCCTAGAATCATATTGCGATCCTAAAATATAAGGTAAAATCAGTTACAAACAAACGCAGTACTAACTTCGACCATTAATTTGAATTTTAGACCTACGGGAGGTTAGAAAATCTAGGAATGTGAGTCTCATACTGCACTATTTGTCTTCAAACTTGTTCCGTTCAAAGCTTAACAAAAATGCCTTTCTGTTGGTACATTACTCTGTTATAGAGAGTCCTTACTTTCAGCGGCATTTTGGTCCCCAGCTGTTCAAGGGGCTTCTCACAGCTGGGGACCAAAATGCTGCTAAAACGAGGGACTCTGTACAGTAAAGCAATACACAGACAGAAAGGCAATTTTGTTTTGATTTGAATGTTACAAGTTTGAAGAAAAACGGTGCAGTACGAGACTCCCAATCCTTGATTATCAAACATCCGGTAGGTCAAAAATTCAAATTAACGGTCGAAGTTAGTACCGTGTGAAATAGGGTCATAAAAGTTTCAATGTTGTAATGTATTTTTAAGCATAAGGAGATTAGGTTAGATGCTGAGCATTTATTTTACTACTCAAGCCTCATTAATATCCAGAATAAAGCCTCTTACTCCATCTCCATCAAAAGCAGCTCCCAATCCATGAACTCCTTTTTTCATTTCACTGACCAATTCAGGGGCATAGGTCAAGTTAGGGTCTGGATGGCCTCCGCCAAAGTCTTCCAATGGTACACAATTAACAGCTGATGTCTCAGGGGCACCTAACTCTTGGCAGAATATACTTTTCACATAAGGACCAGTGACTGGAACAAAACAGACATGAGAAATGTTTGTGCATTATAAGCTTTTTTTATTATAAGCTTTTAAGAATGAAAAACTAGAAGAAAGATTATGCTGTTTATGTGAACAAAATTGTGTGGAAGATGAGATACATTTTGTGTTTCATTGCCATTTTTATAATGAAATTAGACAGAGGTATTTTACTGATAACAATTTTAAAAGTATTGACACAAATGTAGAAAAGTTAAAGTACCTGTTTGAGAAAATGACAAGACAATTTGCTCATTTTGTAAGGGAGTGCTTTGTCAAAAGACGTAACCATATGTATGACACAGATTGATATTTATTTCTCTAATTGTATAATTTAAAATGTTTAAACTTGTTAAGTGGTTGATAAGCCCAGGTGGGCTGGGTTGATTTGTGTAACCTACCACTATAAAGAACAATAAACTTATCTTATCTTATCTTATCTTATGGATGTTCTGTAGGCCTATATTTTTAACTGCAGATCGAATTCTGAACAGTATCAAATAAACCAACATTTTCAGGATCATATGGAAGAAGGGCTAACCTTCTAATCCTTGTGATATAATAAAAAGCTCAGAATTCATTCCTATTCTCAAAATGTCAATCAAAAATGATCATTGCAATCTATACTTGGAAGAGTAGTTACTTGAACTACTGTAAAATCTTGGCAGATGTTATTACATCTTATTATTTTGTAATGTGATCTTAAAATCATATATTCTGTTACTTTTCAGATTTTTATTGTTATACCTTTGGTCAGTCAACTGATAACAAGATGATTTTTTAAGTTTTCTGTTTATTCCATATATATCATATATACCTGCCAGGCCTGCAGCAAAATTTTCTAAAGGGAGTTCAAATTTGACAATTTTGGCCCAAGATCACTTAAAAAGAATTTTTGGTCAGGGCATGCATGGGCTTCTGTTGAAAGCCCATGGTCAGGGGATTGCTCAAACCCCCCCTGGCTATGGGTCTGTACTTGGAATAGTTTTACAACAAGGATGATTCATCATAATCATTATGTGGAATTTGATAGAATATTTAGTGGATGAATTGATATTACACCCTATGATCTTAGAACATTGGATCCTATAGTTTAGGAAATTAGAGTACTTGTAAATGTATCAAATATTTGCTCTACAATATCTGTCTGGGATTTGTTTAATTTTTCAGAATTTAATCTCCATCATGCAGAGATATTAAATCAAACAGTATTAAATTATGTGACATACATCGCAATTAATGGGTGATTAATAGTGATTGTATATATCTATTCTGTCATCCTGGCTTTCATTAGTTTTGTCTTACAAACTTAGCTATAGTTACCATGTTTATTCACCATCAAGTGCCTAACTGAGTCAGATATCATGATGGAGTTTTCTTTAGAGAGGGCCTCAGATATTAGGGGTGAAATAAATAGTATAGCATTATTACATGTAGTATGTTTACATTGCATATTCAAACAAAAATGATCTACTTACCGCCATGCATTGCATTTATGAGAATCTTCAATGAATCAGGCCCAGTCAATAACTGCTTTATTGCATTAAAATCAAACAGTTCTTTCATATATTCAACGTAGTCTTTTACAGAATCTATAATTTCAACTTCAAAGTCATGATCATCAACTTTGAAACTCTTGTTGGCTGTAGTTGATATGTCCATGGTAAGGTTTGGGCAAGTCTTATATTCTGTAATTGTGGTGGACAGCTGATAGATGGCATTTGTGACTGCCTCTGGAGCTGGACCTACAATATATTTATAGTCAGTTGGTGTCAAAATGATATACAGATATATGGAAATACCCACCCTCTCTTAATCAAAAGTACAACATTTTGATCATTTATTTTGTTAAAAATCTGTATTTAATACTGTCAGAATTGTCATTTATACCTCTCCTCTCCCTAATAAAACTTACTGTTTTTCCCCAATAAACTGTCATGATAACTCTTGACACAATTACTTAATAATATTGTACAAATTGATATGAATAATGGTTTCATATTTACTGACTTTTACAATAATATTATCACTTAACCTTCAAGGATGAGTTGACCTGGGATTTTAAAATGACCCGAGGTTTAAAAACTGACTTGGGTTAAGATGATCCAGAATTAACAAGATGGTCGAAAACCAACCGCCGAATGCCGAACACCAACCACTGAACACTGTCAACAAAGATTTTGGAGACTATAATAATATGCCACGACTTATTTGTGATTAAATTGTTTTACCTCCATTTGCTATATTAAACTTGATGCCAAAGTCACCATTAGGACCACCAGGGTTGTGACTGGCAGTGAGTATGATGCCACCCTGTGTCTTGTATTTCCTTATAAGTCTAGAAACTGCAGGAGTAGAGAGGACACCATTTTGACCAACGATAAGTTTCCGCACCTAGTAAAGAGAATATAAATTTAAAGATTAGTTTTTTAAAGGAATAATTTGAAATCAGAATCATTAAAATCACATCAAAAATGAATAAAATGGTTTGGAACTCAATCAGGCCAATAAATTTCAAGGTTTGGATTTCAAACTCTTTTTGTGTTGGTCAAGACTGTGATTTAAGGTCAATGGCAAATCAAATGAAATTTGTTGGTAGTATGACAACTCTATTTTTGTCCTGAGCTATCGACTTTGGGGAAGATTGCATCGGTCACTATAGAGGTTTCATTTCAACTGGGGATGTAGCACTGTCAACTATTTTAAAATATGTGTATCTTTATTGATAATTTCAATTAGTAACTCGTTATTGTAACTCTCTAGTGATGGGAGGTAAATAAATATATAATACAATACAATACAATAGAGACCTAAGCAACTACAACATGTACATATTAAATTATCAATACAAGAATATATTATTTGTGGTGCACTAGGCTTATCCATACCTGCCAACCTACCATATTTTTAGGGGAACCTACCGTAAAATTTTCGTTTTTCCGTAAAAAATGACAAACTACTGTAAAAATTTACCATTTTTCCCATAAAAACGACCGTAAAAAAAATCTACCGTAATTTTAAAAAAGCGATCTTTTACTTTGGTCTATCCTTGTCAAAGTTTCAATCAAGCAGTTTCGTCAATCATTGTCAATGTTGAAATCTCGTACTTTGGTCAATCATGGTCAATATTGCAATCTTCTACTTAGGTCAATCATGGTCAGTATTGCAATCTTGTGCTTTGGTCAATCATGGTCAATATTGCAATCTTGTACTGAGGTCAATCATGGTCAATATTGCAATCTTGTACTTAAGTCAATCATGGTCAATATTGCAATATTGTACTTAGGTCAATCATGGTCAATATTGCAATCTTGTACTTAAGTCAATCGTGGTCAATATTGCAATTTTGTACTAAGGTCAATCATGGTCAATATTGCAAACTTGTGCTAAGGTCAATCATGGACAATATTGCAATCTTGTACTTAGGTTGTGCTAAGGTCAATCATGGACAATATTGCAATCTTGTACTTAGGTCAATCATGGTCAATGTTGCAATTTTTGTCCTAAGTCAATCATGGTCAATATTGTGATCTTGTACTTCGGTCAATCATGGTCAATACTGCAATCTTGTACTTTGGTCAATCATGTTCAATGTTGCAATCTTGTACTGAGGTCGATGATGGTCAATATTGCAATCTTGTACTTAGGTCAATCATAGTCAATATTGCAATCTTGTACTCATGTCAATTGAGGTCAATATTGAAATCTTGTATTTAGGTAAATATTGCAATCTTGTACTATATGTCAATCAAGGGCGTTACAATACCCGGGAATTTATCGGTTCGTCCAGTACTTGTTTGTGATAGCGCCCTCTGTAGGTCACTGTGCTTATAGCCTACAGTAATACGGGGTAGGATATCGGGAATTCGGTCAGTTTCTATCCGTCGATTTCGCTATGAATTGAAGCAAGTGTGACCACTTTATCCACTTAAACAATTTGATAATTGATTAAATCTTTAAACAAAATCGATAAACACGTTATACACTTCCTATCTCCTTAGAAATTAGCATGTATTTATGGATTGTGTTTTCGAACAAGGCTCGACCCACCCCAATAGGGAAATCCTTATGCTAATTAGTATGACGTCATATTTTCCTGGGGAATCCTAGATTTCAAGGCCTCAGTCTGTTATTGTGTCAAATGTAAACGCTCTTGGGACGCTCTTTTGCAGACAGAAAATTGACAGATTAGCTTTTAACTTTCAGCTTTGATGTTTAAATATTCTGTATTTCTACCGGACTTCTTGCTGAATATCATATAATGTTATAACTTGATTTGGATCATTGCCTGATTGATCATTCTGAAATTTTGATTGTGATTCATGATTGATTGGCAAGAAAAATAATTCCTATTGTTTTCCAGCGAAGTCAAAATGTTACAGCATGAGTTATAATGTCGAGTTTGCATCATGTTAAATTATGCTAGTGATTAGAAGTCCATGCACAAGCATACACATAAGAGACAAACACACCCAGGCTCCAGGCCGTGGATGGAAATATAAAACTATTTAAGGCACAAACTGGTATTAATAGACCGATATGTAGTGTCTGCCATGTATTGAAGGTAAACCAATCTGTATTATTAATGTTTCTTCTATCAATACATGGGTTGTGCAATAGAAAAGCAATGGCACAATCAAAAATGTGCATATCAATCGTGAATATCTCTCGGTTCAAAGCTTATTTCCAACAGAATCGTGTCAAAATATGTGTCTGAGTAACAGTTATACATTATAAGATCGCAAACTCTTACCAATTATCAGCCGAATGGCTCATTTTCAACGAAATGTCCTTAAGACAACAGCCCTGGGTCGCGCCTGAGACCAAAAACTACTTCAAATAGCCCTCCCCTAATTATATTGGATAATCACATTTATGCGTGCGCGCGCAGCTCATCCAATGAACGAAACGCCACTTCCCGCTGAAATCACCGGGTATTGATCTTTCCCTTGTGTCAATCATGGTCAATAATGAAATCTTGTAGCATTTGGGAACATTGGAGCTTGGTTAAAAAAACATGGTAACGAGGTCAATGTTCGCAGTTTGACAAATCTTGAACACTCGAATATCTATAGATCTAGAGTCCATTTCACTGTTTAACTGCGTCAGTAAAAGCTAAAAAATAAGAAATCAAAATATCATTTTGCAATAATATATGGAAAAATATATTCCTGTTGTACATGAATGACATTTGTATATCTTGGATTGGTTCTAGTTTGGCTTATAAAGCGCGTGGCCTCTTATATTTGGATGCTTCTCTGCCATGTTATTTTCAATAAGATTAACATGGCTGAAATTCTTCAAATTACATGACGGCACAGGCTTATTGCACAAAAAACTAAAAAATCTGAAATATACAAATGTCATTCATGTACATTATGAATATACTTTTCCATATTTTATTGCACAATGGTCTCCCAATTTCTTATTTTTGCCGTTCTACTGACGCAATGAAGCAGTGAAATGGACTCTAGTAGGCATTGTTCGTCGGAGCGCGAGGTCTGGTGTCATGAGAAGAGCAGTTGCAATATGACAATCCTTTGACCTGGATGATAATGCGTATACATATTTAACAATAACTAACTTACACCATTAGCTGCAGACATTTTGATGATGATTTCCACTGCTTGTTTGCAGAAAAATCGTCCATCACCTCCTACCACCAATGTTGATCCAGGAAGTTTTTCTCCCATTGCAGACAATGTGCATTGTACAAAGTTTTCAGTGTAATGTTCTCCTTGGAAGACTTTGACGTTCTTCCTCAACCCACTTGTACCAGGCTTTTGTCCCTCGAAAGGCGTTGAAGCTACTTTGATAGCTGACAATGACATCTTCGCCTTATAATTCCACAATTACTACAGGAAAATATTTGAAGGTGAAATGTGTCAAATACGAAAGTAGGTCAAACTACGATGCTGACGCCATCTGGCGAAGAAAAAATTTACAGCTGATTCGAATGATAGTTTCATGAATTTATTAATTTTTCTTCAGTTTAGAGGAGTACTTCTTTCACAACTATGTGTTTGAAACATTCTTGATTATGTTGAGCCAACTGTGGTTCTCGAAAAAATGTAAGTAATGCACAAATCATGTCTAAATGTTGAAAATATATGATTAATTTTTCGTCTTGAGATTTTTCTTTTTTTCATTTTTTGAAATAGGCTAGATCTAGCCTAGACTATTGAAGAATCAGTCACATGATTGCTTCAGCTATGGAATTCAAGTCACAAGGATCAACTGTGATATGTTATTCATTCTGAATACTTACCACTTACTCGGAGAATACTTTATCATCTAAAGTATTACAACATTTCCGACCAAATGATTTATATTATCATGGACTTCCTTCAATTATAGTCTAGAGTCCATTTCACTGTTTTATTGCGTCAGTAGAACCCCAAAAATAAGAAATCGGGAGACCATTGTGCAATAATATATGGAAAAGTAGATTCATATTGTATATATATATCTTTTATTGACTCTTAGAATGTCATGGTATGACATATTAGTCAGCATGAATGACATTTGTTAGCCTTGCCCAAGTCGGTATTTTTTACTTATCTGATCTTGAATTATTACCGCCTTGTACAATCCAATACATCTCTGCTGATATTATGCTGAGATATTCAACGGTTTCGAGATTTCCATAATACCTACGCTATCAGGGGTATCGCGAAACCTTATTGATTGACAGGTATACGCGTGGACACGACGTGTGACTTCAGGCTGATTGACCAATCAAAATGTTATCAGGTTGACCTGCATAAGCAAAGCAATCTTCCCGTCTACGACTTGAAATTCAATGATCTGATCGATCGTTTCTTTAGAGTTACAATATATAATATAATTAAATGTACATAGGGAATGTAAGAGTCATTAATATAAATTAAATCATGCATTAGATTTAAAACTGATTTCGCGATGAAAATGCAAGACCTAGTCCAATGTAGCGGGTCATGTAGTCGTTGGTCAGTGAATGAATCTCAGCATACATGTTCATTTGAATTCAGCGATCGTTTCAACGTTTATTTGTGAAATCTTCTCACCTCCGGTTACCGATCGATGCTCCGGCATCCACTAAACTCTGATTGATATTTATCTGATAAAATATTTGTATTTTCATGATGAATTCATGCAAGATTTGTTCGTGAAAAGTCCCGGCGAAAAGTGTACTTGTTTTTGACCGTGCATAATAATGAGCTAACGCTGCAGGGCCGTCGTTGATTGGTCAAATTTTACCGACATAAACATTGAGTCTGTAAAGCACGTGGCTTTCTCTTTGGTACAAGTCGACTTGGGCAAGGCTAGACATTTGTATATTTCAAATTTCTATTTTTTGTGCAATAAATAAATAACATGGCAGAGAAGCATCCATATATAAGAGGCCACACACTTTATAAGTCAAACTAAAAGCAATCAAAGATATACAAATGTCATTCATGTACAATAGGAACATAATTTCCATATATTATTGCATGATGATATTTTGATTTCGTTGAAAGCCCATGATATTATATTTCACATTTTTAGGCATAGTCTGACAAGCCCACCCACAATCAATACTCATCTACTACTATTTTCATGTCCAGACTGAGGCACTAGAATTAGAAAAATAATAGTTAGCTAACGATAGGGAGTCTTACTTACCTTCTAGAGGTGAGAACTCAAATTTCAATGAAACCCTATCACCTTTGTTGTGTCAACCTTAATGCATTTAGCATAATATCCATGAGATAAAATATGACCTGTGAAAATTTTCTCGTAAGTTTTGTAAGTTTCAATATGAAGAATACACATGTGAAAATCAAATGTTTGTTCGTTGATTTAACAATTTTCACGTTCACATATTCTTCTAATTACTTTGGTCTTAATCATAAAGCATCACCAAAAGGCCCTATTAATACAGCAGATGACCCATTCAACTTCTATGTAACATTTTGTTCAGGCCAATTGTGTGAATGTAGCAATCTTAGAACAAGCTATCCTCCTGCCTATGCCCCAATGACCTCAAAGCATTCATTAATAATATTCATTCTTATTATTATGTACATGTAAATGTAAATATAAATATGTACATGTAATTGTAATGCAATTAATAATATAAAAAGAATTTACGTAAACAAAAAAATACACTTATAGTTATGTTGTAAATGTATGTTGACTAGATGAATGTTGAATAAAATTGCAATTGTTGTTGATTGTTGATTGATAAAAGAATGTGTAAGAATAAAGTGTATGTAAAACCAATGCAAGGGAATTCATTAATATTCTGATGATTTTCACACCTGACTCTTCAAATTCTAGTGAAGCAGTCAGTCAGTTGTTGTTATTATATAAAATAGTCAACCATATTATCAGCTTGGCATTAGAAGGTTTATCCATTCTTCTCTTCAATCTTATATGAAACAAAATTATTTCAAACGTTCACAGACTAAGAAATTAAATATAACGCATTGGACTTTAACACTTGGCGAAATATTTTGACAATATCCATATAGCATAATTGTGAAACTTGTGCATATCATTCTCATAAAGTTTGATTTCTCTTTCTGTTACTATATGACTGTATTTCTCAGAGTAATTGTGTTTCGGAGTAATGAGTTTTTGAGTACTGGAGTATTGGCATGAACCCCAAAGTTTCTTTACCTTTTCTTGTATGACAGTAACACTTTATCCAATATAATTCATTGTAAGCGATTGATCATTCTGTAAAGTCTTTTTCACACATTTCAAGCCAAATCAATCTGAAATTTCTAGGGATGTTTTTAGGCATGAAACATCTTAGTTTTTGGTCATTCTTTGGAAATCATATGGCGACCATTTTGAACTTTCTGTTAAAAAAGTGTCTATCCTTTTCAAGGGTTGCATAGCCTGCTCACCCTGTGTGTGTCTTGTTTCATGTAATATTGGTACGGTACTTTTGCGAACAATTAAATTTCCCGCTTTTAGTGATTTGGGGTAAAATCGCAAAAAATAATTGTTGCGAAATTTGCTAATTAAATCCCCAAGGGACTTGTTAAATGTGACATTGGGTAGGTGTATTTAGTGTACAACTACATACGGTAACCAGTACTTTAAATGCAGATTCAGACAATTATGAAATTTAAATTTGTGAAATCCACAAAATTTAATTGCTTTGAAATTGTAATTTTTCAAAATTTGCAAAACTAAAACTCTCGAAATTTTAGTTTATAATTTTTAATAAGAGCAACCATGTGAGTACTATAGCTAAGGTATGTCCTTTTCATGTTTTATTTCCAGAGAGCTGTCTGAACTATATGTAGGGTGCATCTCATCAATTGTTGAATAACTCCCACTATCACCAGGAAAGATGCAGAAATTAGTTGCATATATCAGGGATTTCACTGTGACTCAGAGAATTGCCATATTTGGCGCAATAGTAACTTGTACATCAATTTTCACTACATTCTGGTTGTTACCATTATACATTGCGACTCTACTTGGATGTGTCAAACTCTCAAGAGTCTTTCTGTTGCGGAAAACATGTTTACAGTCTCAAAGTTTGATAAAAATCCTCCAAATGGTTGACAATATTGAGGAATTTTGGAGTGGTGTTTTCGGTGCTGCTGATCAAGATAGAATTAATAAGCTCAAATATGAAAATGTCTCTCACGTTAACAATGAAATTAGTACATTCCTGGATTTAGTTATTCGTGATTTTGTTTATAGCTGGTATCATACATTTAGTAAAGATCAGGAATGTATGGACAGTGTACATGAACTGATTGAGGAAATTACATTAAGCATAAAAGATCGTCTAGAAAAACTCAATATTGATCAAGTAGTCAAACTTTACATAGATTTATACAGACAGCACTTGGCCAAGTATCAAATAGCTGTTCTGCTATATAAGAAACAGCCCACATTTAATCGCAAGAGTGACCCAAAAGCCCAAAACAAGAAACTGAAAAGCATTATTCATGCATTTGAATCAAAATATAAATTCCATATTGCTTTAGTTGACAGGGAGAATGAAATAGACTACATCAGGAGCATTGTACAAATGATCTTTACGATACTCTTGCCGCATGATTTGCAGTCCTGCACAGCAGGGAGGAAGTTATTAGAAGAAATATTAACATGTAATGTCATGTTACCTTTAGTTGAAATGTTAAGCCAACCAGATGAACTAAACCAAATAGTAATTAAGATTCTCTCAGATGACAAGGAACAAAATAAAGAGCAAATTTCCATTGAAAGCAGTGTAAGCACTCTTGAATCAGAACTTCCAACAAATGATAAAGAAGAGGATAGCCTCAGTGTAAAACCTTCACAAGAAAATGTCAATGATATATCTGACACACAAACTATTCCATGTGTCCAACTTAATTCAAAACAAGAGGATGATGCTATTTCCACTGAGCTTCCTGACAATGTAAAAAACCAACAGTTCAACACACCCAATACTTTAGAGGCAAATGCCACTGAAGGAAACAAAGAATTTGTAACTGATACCTTCAAAAGAAAATATTTGAGCCCTGCAGACCTAAAAGAAAAAGAACAAAATGGTATAACTCAAGGAAAGTCAGTTTCGATGCAACAGAATCAAATCCCTTCAATAAATGTAGAAACAATAAGTAAAAATGTAACTTATAACGACAATGAACAATTGAATGTTGATGAAGCTGAGGATGCAGTTGATGCTCTGGATGCAATAAATGCTCCAGTTGTCCCATCAGTGCCAATGATTCCTATTGGAGCAAGTACACCAGTGCTAGCCACTAACATCCCAATGTCTAGCAGTCCAAAGTCAGATATCCTTCCTAGTCATGTAGCACGCAAGCCAGTGTTTGACACAGTTTCCTTAAGCAGTAGCGAAGAGAGTTTTGATGCTCAGCATATAGATCCATATATTGGACCCTCACCCTTTCACAGTCAAAGACCATCTGGCTTGTTCCCAGTTGACTCTACTGAAGGACTCTCATCCCAGGATGCCAGGAGGTCAGTCCTCACATGGAACACTGACATAGCAGAATCAAAGTCCTCTATGCAGGATACCAGTGAAACTAAGGATTTTACACCAAGAGGTAGTCAACAAATCCAAATATACCCTAACTCAGACTCTGGCTCCCCAGAATCTAGATCTCTTACTAGAATTCCTACCAGTGAGCTAGATAACAGCCCCAGTCCTGATCTCCATTCAGGGGCCCTGAAGTCTTTCTTCTCAAGCATTGGTATATCTAGCACTGAGGTGATGAATGAATACAGGAGCAAGGGGACCTATGTGCTATACATTATAGAGGTAAATACTTAAGTATACAATATAACTACCTTTCTTTCTGGCTTTTAATATTCATGTGTGGTCTATTGCCTCAATAGACTTTTGACAGAGGTCTTGAATTTAAAAGCAGTAATAGACCCAATCTTTAGAAAATAAGAAAGCTTTCATGGGATTTTCTGTGTATTAGCATTTCAGGGTTGTCAAGTTCTTGGTACATTTTAAAACATCTTGAGGTGGGACACATTGTAGGACACATTTTCCACAATTATATAAGTGTCAAATCTATAAGAAAAGATTAACAAAGTCATTCATTCTATTCAGTCTAACTTGAAATGTCTTATTATTGCAGTACCAGGCCTTCTACTCTAACCCTGAAGGGGCTCCAATATTGTGTAAGCGAATTGTTAGACGAAGATATAGAGAGTTTGTCAACCTACAGGAGAGGCTTGAGGGGAAGCCATATTTTAAAAATAGTCTGAAAGGTATTTATTATCCTAAGCACTGTAATGTTCATGTCTGTCTTTCTATGGGCTGTATGATGTCATATTGTGATGGATTGAATATCATTAGTGTGGGTTGTCAATTATGTGAAATGCCACATCAGTGCTTTGAGAGTGCATGTGTAGGCTAGTTGAAATGTAAGAATGATGCACGCATTATATATTACGACTTACATAACTACTGATTATATGGATTTTTTTCGTTAATTCAAGATAATAGGAAGTATTTACTTTTGTTGATGACGTCTTTGTCAACTAAATACTCATTATCTCAAAAAATATAATTATTAAACTCCCCCTAAGAGAGATGATACCATTTAATTATATACACTAAACTTCTGTAACCATGACACTATTTAATGCATCCTCCCAATGACACAGAAGGCTGAAATTTGAAATACATGCTCTTTATGTTTGCTCAGCCACCTATAGATGTCATGTCAACCAGGCAATTTTTTTAAATTTTGTTTCATTGTGGAAGTGAAAGCAGACTGATGTCCAGTTTTAAAAAGCTGGAAATGTTCATGAATTTTGTATGTTTTAGTGACTTTTTACCCCATTTGAATTGATTAAATGATACCAGAGATGTGGGCATGCAATGCACATGAGGTTTTCTGTATTTTATCATCAAAATATCATTGAATACATGTATCCTCATATATAAGCCATAAGAGAAAAATGTACGACAATAGCGGCCTAAAAATATTTTTTTTCAACATTCACCTGGTTTTTCAAAGTCTATCTGTACTTATGGATGATAACAAATAGGTGAACTTTTACAACCACACGTGAAATTCACGCTTTTCGTTCAGTGTTTAGTGTGTATAGATAAGACAACCAGAAAATATCAAACCTAGGACATTCAGATATTATATATAGGCCAACTCTAACACTGTAAATGTGAACTTGAAGTTATATTCCCCGGAAATTTTAATATTGTGATCAATTTATTTCAATAATTCTCTTTGAAGGTTAGTAATGGCTGATCAAAAATGTGTGTCAGTACAAGAATATGCACCAAAGCAACTAAGTGCTGAATTTCAAAACGCCAGTGCAACATTTCACAGGCAAACATGGGGAATGTCTCGATTTTAGCGTTTACCCACTTGTGCCAATGAGTGCCAATTGTAGAGCACCACGCAGAGGAGCACATATTTCAAATCCAGCCTGCAGTGTAAATATCTATCATTGGGTGCTTCCCATATCATACTAAACTAATATCATCTCAAAATCATTATTGTAAAAATATGCTGTTACTTCATTTCGATGTTGCAAATAAGGCATTCTTGGCAAGAAAAATTGCCATACATGTCGGGAATTTTGACTTATTTCATATATGGGCGCTTATAAGAATGGTCTAAAGGAGGTATTTAGAATTTTCTTACCGCTAACTACAGAAAATATGGTAGTTTTGTGACTATGTTATAGATGTTAAAGGTCCTTCGAGGTGGGCATCAATGCCATTTGGAAAGATGGATCAAAGAAGTGTAGAAGGCAGAAGAAAGAAGCTAGAAAAATACCTACAGGTAGGAACCACAGACAATATCTCTTGCCTCCCTAAACATGAGTTCTATTCCATTTGTCATTTTCAGTACTGAAATTGAGAAGCCCAGTTCTATGATGAATGTTACAGTTCTGTCAACCAGTTGATAATCAATTTCCAGGATTTGACAAAATCATTTTTCCAGTTTTGAAAAAAATTCTTAGCAATAAGAGACTTGATGAAGACTTAAGTAGCTATAGATATACTGTACCTCCTAATAAGAATGTCACTTAAAAAAGTTTCAATATTTTCTATCAATAAATGATATACCAAAATAGTTAAATTAACACTAGTACTGTAACTGACAATGATCAACTTCAATGAGGTCATGAAAGAACCTTAAAATTCTATGATTCTGTCATGAATATTGCTCAAAAAGGTATTACATTGTTTAGACTTGTTTTTGTGAAAGCATTATTCTTTGTAGACTATTGCTGAGAAAGAGGATTTGGGGTCTTGTGAAGACTTCAAGGAGTTTCTCGCATATGAGGGTGGGGCAAACATAGCATTTGTGAAGCGAGCACAGGAGATTTCTGTACCCAGAATTGACAAGGTAATAAGTTTAAAGGTATATTTCTTGCCAGACCATTTCCGTTTATTGATAGCTATAATCATATATAATGTCCATAATTAGCAAAACACAGGAAAATGTTTTAATATTGATCATTTGAAAATGTGATGCTCGTTTCCAGTAAGCTGCCATCTTTTATAATTTAAGATTTCACTTCCTCTTTGTTCATGAAGAACATTTTCATATTCATTGTATAATTTGCTTAGTTGATTTTCCAAAAGATGACACCCTGATCACTTCATCCTATTCATGGCTTAGGATGTAGTTTAATTGGTATCATTCAGAAAAAAATCAGGAAAATCACAATTCAACCTCACAAAATCATATGTATCACTCTTAATGAATAAACAATAAAATACAATACAATGCAATGTTATACAATGCAGTACAATACTATACAATAAGTAAGCTGATGTCCATGTTTTATGATCTGAAATAACTGTCATTGTAAGTCATATCCTTAGTTGATATAAAAGATATGTTCACCGTAAAACTTTGGAACAATATGATGTTATTTCAGATGTTTACAAAGACAGTTTCCGGAGTATTTGATAGAATCACCACAGCATTACCCAGCATGCCACAGGATAGCTTGACCAAAGTGATTTCCAGAGACCGAAGAAAAAATCGGAAAACTAAAGAAATTGATAGAGGCTTTGATGTTGATGATATATTTGTTGATTATGAGTTTGAAGATGAAGAGGAAGAACAAGAGGTAAGTACCCATAATGCACTGCTCATGTTTTTGCGATGGGTCCTATACTATACATTTGTGACAAGGCAGTTGTAATCTTGTGTTGGACCATCATTTTATCTGCATGTAAAGATGATTCTCACAAATAATTTATTATCCCATCGAACGAAGTTGGGAGGGATATAGGGAACGCCTCCGTCCGTCCGTCCGTCCGTCCGTCCGTCCGAGCAATAACTCAAATACCGTTGGCCCGATTTTGTTCATATTTTGTACACATATACCCTATGGGAATAGAAGTTCTGCTCGAAAGCTGATTTTCAAAATGGCCGGTCATTTCAAAATGGCGGCCATTTTAGTGCCGATTTTACAGTAATTTAGGTGCAATATGTAAAACTGTAATAGCAATATGTTTTAAGTGAAAAAAATTATAAAGGATATTAATAAAGCTACAAATGTAGATATTAAAAAAGCACATGGCAGCCATCTTGAAAAATGGCGGCCTTTACTCGTTATTTTACTATTTTTGCTATAACTCAAAAAGTAGTGGAGCGATTTTGTTCATATTTGGTATGTGAATACTATAAACATTGCACACTGTCTAAAGACACTTTTGGTAGAAGGCGGCCATTTTGAAAAATGGCCGCCATTTTAACGTATTTTACTATAACTCGAAAAGTAGTGGAGCGATTTTGTTCATATTTGGTATGTGAATACTATAAGCATGGCACACTGTCCTATGACACTTTTGGTAGAAGGCGGCCATTTTGAAAAAAAATTTGAAAAATGGCAGCCATTTTAACGTATTTTACTTGAAAAGTAGTGGAGCGATTTTGTTCATATTTGGTATGTGAATACTATAAGCATGGCACACTGTCCTACGACACTTTTGGTACAAGGCAGCCATTTTGAAAAAATTTTGAAAAATGGCCGCCATTTTAACGTATTTTACTATAACTCGAAAAGTAGGGAAGCAATTTTGTTCATAATTGGTATGTGAATACTATAAGCATGGCACACTGTCCTAATACACTTTTGGTAGAAGGCGGCCATTTTGAAAAAATTTTGAAAAATGGCCACCATTTTAACGTATTTTACTATAACTCGAAAAGTAGTGAAGCAATTTTGTTCATATTTGGTATGTGAATACTATAAGAATGTCACATTGTCTAATGACACTTTTGGTAGAAGGTAGCCATTTTGAAAAATGGCAGCCATTTTAACGTATTTTACTATAACTCGAAAAGTAGTGGAGTGATTTTGTTTATATTTGGTATGTGAATACTTAAAGCATGGCACACTGTCTAATGACACTTTTGGTAGAAGGTGGCCATTTTTAAAAATGGCCCTATGTAGCTATAACTTGAAAAGTAGTTAAGCGATTTTGTTCATATTTGGTATGTTTCATATTTTATATGTGAATACTATAAGCATGGCACACTGTCTAATGACACTTTGGGTAGTAGGTGGCCATTTTGAAAAATGACCACCATTTTTACGGTTTTTACTATAACTTGAAAAGTAGTGAAGCGATTTTGTTCATATTTGATATGTGAATACTCATGAGCCTTGCACATTGTCTCATGACACTTCGGATAGTAGGCGGCCATTTTAAAAAATGGCTGTCATTTTTACATTTTTTGCTATAACTCGAAAAGAAGTGGAGCGATTTTGTTCATATTTGATATGTGAATACTCTAAGCATGGCACATTGTCTAATAAAACTTTGGGGAGTAGTCGGCCATTTTGAAAAATGGCCACCATTTTTATGTGTGTTATTTCACAAGTACATGTGTGCGATTTTTCAAAAATTTTATAGATGGCTACTAAAAGCATATTATTTCTTCTGATGACAACTTGGCTAGTGAGCAACCATTTTGAAAATGGTGGCCTTTCTGGTGTGTTGTTTTATGATATTTGCTACATATTTCGTTTGTAAAAATGCCAGCCATTTCTGTTCGATGGGATTCGCTACGCTTTGGCGTTGCCGTTGTTCTGGTTGATCATGTTGCTAAGAAACAAAATGTATTAAATTGTCACTAACCAATATGAGATGGTTGTAAAATGCTTCACAATATAATGTTACTTTAAGCGATTGTGACTTGTTAATTAATGCCGTGGTCACATTTGCTCCGATTTTTACTACAGCGCCCAGCCGATTGAGTTGAATACAACATTGAATACAATATTGAACAAAACACTCAATCAGCCGGGCGCCGGCCAATGGATCGGAGCAAATGTGATCCAGGCATTACAAGGTAAAAGATGAAGAATGTTTTATGGAATAAGCTGATGCCAATTGACCTATCACACCAATGTGGGCCATTTGGATAATAAACATTTACTTGCCCCCTTCCCCATATGTTATTATCGGTTATTTCTGTTTGTTGATGTACATGTATTTTCATTTGAAAATTGTTTAAAGGTGACGTTGGTGTCTTATCATTTTGAATCCAATGTACCTTGTAGGAGAACATAGAGGAAAGTGCAATACTGGGCACAATGCAGAGATTTATACAGCAGAGTACCATCCATAAACAAGAAGAACACATTGGGGTTGATACACCTGAGCTCTCCAGCATTAGTGATGACTTTGAGGAATGCATAGATGATGAACTTCCCCTCCTAGCAAGAAGATCTGAGGGCGATGGCTGTGATGGCATTACCAGTCATCAAGGTAACCTTTGCCAGAGTTTGATTTGTCTCCACTCTTCAAATTAGTGACAATTTTAAACATTTTGCCTATATTTAGGTAGACTATATATGTAATGAGAAAATTCCATTTTCTGCAATTACGGGATTTAAGTAACTCGCATTCATTTTGCATTCAAATCATATTAATGATCATTAAAGCCACATTTCAGCCTCAAAACTGTAATAACAATGGCAATAATCATATTCAGAAGGTAACTTGGCTAGCTGATTAGACTATTCAGCATGTCTTTGGGATGCAAATATCTAAATGCAGAGAGCATCATGTCCATCATGTTATAATTGAGTAGAAATACTATTTTAAAAATGAGTCACTTTATTGAAAAGCTTGTGGAGGAGGTGTAAAGAGACTTACATAAGTATGTTATATTAAGTTGTATAAGAGTTAGTTTTAATGAATGCATGAGTAATGTGCATTCAATACCAATGGCCTTCAGGACTGTCAATAGATGGCGAAAAATCAGGTTAAATAGCATACTTTAAAATGTAAAAAAAATGTCGAAAAATCTCCCAAGATAAATTTTATGTATAATATCCAAAACTTCTAATTTTGAATCTTAAAACATGTTTGTAAATAATGATGAAGGAAAATATGATATTTATTTGATGTGTGTAGTGAATTTTAAGTTTCAAAACAGCAATATTTACACACAAACCAATGGGCCAGTTGTGGAGACCAACCTAGTAGTTAACTGCTATCTATACAAGTCCTGACTCCCATTGTAGACAATTCTAATAACATTTTAAAATAATAGTTATAGCATCCAATTAGAAGTATACAATTTCATTCTTTCACCTGATGGTGATGCTATTACAATGTACATGTATCCAGAATTGGTCTTTGCACTTCTCCCTTGTCTCCTGACCCTCTAACAGATGGGTCATGACAGATTGAGTGTGCATAAGGGCTTGGTGCAAGACTTCTTTAATTGTTTTCATTTCCCAAAAATTATTGTAAGTACCTCAATTGAAATACTTGATTCTGATTGGTTCAAGTGTGGTCAGATGTCTTGACTATCAACCTCACAAAGAATTGCCTGTTGAGAGTATTTCAGGATAATGTCATAATATCGACAGAAAAGTTGACGGAATATGAACACAAGTGTAATTAAGTTTGATCAAAAGCCTTACTTTATATTTTCTCCAAACACAACAATTGCAGACCTCTCCATTCAGTTGACTGCCCACAAGTTTTAACATCTGGATACAATCATGTCAATTGTTTCATTCTGTACATATTTCAGATGCGACGAAGACTGTTGACAGGGATATACCTTTAGCCTCCTCTCTACTGAACCTTGCAGTGCAGACATCCCTTGGCAATGATGCTTGGGTGTGTAGGGAAAACATCATAAAGTCTTTGAAGGCCCTTCTTGGAAAAGCTATCAATTGGTATTCATGATTACAATATCAATATGTAAAACATGATGTACATTGGTTCTTAATTGAAAGTATTATGTCATATTTATTGCTTTATTTCATGGAAAGTTAACTAGTGAATGAATAATGATCATGGCAGATGTAAACATAAATTAACAAAAGAGAGATTGGTAAGCTTGGCAGTAATAAATGAAACAAATATTTTATTTTATCTTTGGTGAAAACATGTGGGGTTTTCACAAGGTGATGTTCCAAAAGTGAAAGATGCACAGTAGAGGTATTTGTCTCAATGGAATGAAATATTTGTATATTATTCCACACTTGCTAATATTTTTTGATGGTTATCCTGATGATAAGAATGGGTTCATTAGATATATCAGATATCACACACACATTCAAAGATACACAAATATAAAAGTATATGTTTGATGGACACTATTGATTTTTTTATAAATTCTAATGATATTGAATCCTTTTCTAGTTGGTTTCAAGGTGAGCTAAAAGATTTGACGTCTAAAGAAAGATGTGCGTACTATATTTGGTTGCTAAGGGACACACTCTGGCCTAATGGTTGCCTAGCAACTGAGTCTGCCCCTGAGAGAACCCAGCAAGAAAGAGAACAAACTGTACTTGACACAAGAAAATGTTTAGTGGAATTTTTTCCAAGTGAGTGTCATTAATTTTCTCAAACATTTTATATTTCTGTATAATTCAATATAGAACACTTACATGTATTTTAACATAGGGTCTTAACTTAAGATTTATGTTTTGGTTTTATTAATGTAACCCACCAAGTTAGTTACCTGACTCACTTGCTTCAGTGCTCAGAACTGGAATGAAAGATACTGTAGTGTGTCAAATTCAGCTGAGACATGTTCGAGTAAGAATGAAAACTACCAATGGTCGAGTGTGTATGTACAATGTCCTCGGTGGGATATACATTATTTGAGCCAAATGAACTTAAAGGCAGAATCAGACCACGCAATGTAATCTTTGATAAATATGAAAAAAATATTTAGAAACAGCATCTTATGTTAACTCTACTTTCAGATTTTATTCCTGCTATAGTTGGTGATAATGACTTCCAGTACTGTGTTGACCAAGTATTGAACTCCCTGCAACATGACAAGCTGAACAGGTAAGTTCTTTACATTCAGTGTACATCATTATTTAATTTATAACTCATTGAAGTGATAACATAACGAGCATGCATGGGTGTAGCCAGGGGAGGGGTGTGATGGGTGATGCAAACCCACAAATCGCACCCCCCTTGACAATTGCTGGCTACACCCCTGTCATATCAAAAAGAAAATAAACATGTAATTTAGGCTTCATTAATTGTGTTCTAGGCATTTTGTTTACTGTCTGCTCGACATACTTGTGGAAGAGGTGTTCCCTGAGATCAGTACTATTCAACTACAAAAGGCAATGCTTCAACAATCTAAATCTAAATGAACAGTAATGACGATTATGACATAAAGAGCATACTAGTATTTAATCTATTTTACATCCTTAAAAAAGCTAGAAAGAAATGAAAAGGTGGACAGTTTTTTGGGCTTACAACTTGCAATGTATAATACATAGAAGTTTTGTTGCAAGCGTATGGTGATTTCTAGAAACATTGAGTGGGACTACAACAGTTGAAATGAACAAACATGATGGAATAGGAAGAAATATGGACACGTATGATGTGAATTCACTGAATAAATGTGAATACATTTTCTTGTCAAAAATATGGGGGCCTTAATAGGAGTGGACATTTTAGATCTACCGGTAAATGTCAATTATGACTCAGAATCAATAAATAGATAATATACCTTGTATGACGTATTCTTTGACAAATATTGATTGTTTGTTAGAGCTTCCTGTACAGAAAGAATGACTCGAACAACATAAATATTTCTAAATGACTGATAATGACTTAATACTTAATTTAGATGTTGCGAAACCAAGGTTTCCTGTGATTAGATGGCTCAATAATAACGGAAGTCACAAATAGTAGTAATTCTCACCTCAATAACCAAATACGCTTATCAATGTACTGAAGTAAGTATTAGTAAATAATTTTTCAAAATCTCTATACCATTTTTTACACATGTAGTAGTTATGAATAAAACCCAGCTGCTTTCAATCTTCAAATAACAGAATTATACTCTTACATATAGCACCTAATAAACTAGATTGATGTTTCAATTATCTGTCTAAGATGCCAATTTTGATCTAAAAAGTGCAAGGTCCATGTGCAGTATGGCAAGTGATTTTAGATGGTCATATCTTTCACCATGGGTACTTTCTGGCCATCTATACAGTGTTTTTTCAAAGCAATATGTTTTCTTTCAAGTGGAGTCCACATGATAGTAATATCAATCCAACTCTCTGAAAAATCATGGATTAGGACCCCACCTTGGCACTTTTAAAAATTTTAGGTTCATTTTCTAAGAAGAGGATCTTGTTTTTCTCAATTTAAACATAACGAATTTTCTTCTACATTGTATTAACAATTTATGAAAAGAGGATTGGTATTGAAATGCGATAAAGTTAAAAACCAAATATCCCATGTTATTTTCCCATAGGGAAAACTCGTGCTATCCATGTTTTCAGCATAACTTTGGTCATCAAAAATCGATATCTTCAAAACTAGACTTTCAATACCATTCTACTTTTGAAGAAGTTTTTGACACCCTGTTGAATACTGTACCCCTGGTTAATTTTGTGAGTTTTCATTTCGCAAATTTTGAGAATAACACGATTTTGCGCCTATTAAATTTCGCGAATTTCACTTAGTACACCTACTACTATGTCATCTTGGTCAACGACTCGCTACACCTCAACTTCTCTTACATCGTAATTTTACATGTTACAAAACACCAAATGCAGTTGAGTCCCAGGTAATAAAAAATTCTCGAATCCCCGGGGATTTAAATGACAATTTCGCGAAGATTAAATTTCACGGCGAAACTAAATCGCACATGAAAAATACCGAGAGTACAGTAATCTTTTCATGCGATAAAAACCAGAAAAAGAAGGACGTCTTGGTTCAACATTTTGAAAAAATGTTGTTATTGGGTTCCTATTAACCCCCTCCTCCCCCCCCCCAGCTACGTGCATGAAAGGTCTATATACATAAACAAAGTATGATTGCCTTAAATAATCAGTCTATCCAATTTCTACTCTTGATAATGATAACAGTACATTTTGTATATCATATAGACTATGATGCACCTGTACAGTATTAATAACAAATTTCAATAGATCGTTCAGATAAATCCTTCCACCTGACTAAATTGATGATGTCATTGGTTGTAGGTAGAAATCTGACCATGCAAAAACAAGATTAATGTATTGGTAATTTTAGAAAATACAACCTATGATATCATCAAGCTAGCCAATATATTGTTTTATTACCACCTTGCCGGGCCAGTTCTAGGGGTTTTAGTGCTTGTTTAGAAGGCATTCATTTTACTATATCAACCTGAGCAATATGTGACGTCATAGTGGTGGTCCATAATGCCGGTCAATAATGCAATTAATGACCGACAATTTTCCCCGGGGAAATTAGATATCGTTCAGTGCGTAAGATTTTCTTGCTATTTCAGCCCTGGTCATTAACAGTGGTAATAATACTAATAATTAAAGGGTCGAAATGTTTGCCTCACCAATGATTTTTTGCCTCATTGATAAAAAAATTGCCTCACTGCACCCCTCATGAAATCCTAGCTTTTGGCCTCATTGACAGGAAAAATTTGCCTCATTGATAAAAAGTGCCTCACTGCACTCCCCTTTTAAAATCCTAGTTTTTTGCCTATAAGAAATCCCTTAATAGCCGTGGCAGGGAATAGTTTTACATTCACATAATCTACTGTGTAGCAGGTTTAGTCAGCTACATGTACTTGAACTTGATCTTCTGTCTGATATACAAATGATTTACTGTGGGCGTGTAGTCACGCGGTAGTATCTCTTCGGGACGTATCGAAACCACTCCGTCCCGAAAAACCGTTAATTTGAATTTAAAACCTACCCCAGTGTTTGAAAATCAAGGATTGTGAGTCTCACACTTCACCGTTTTTCTTCAAACTTGTTCCGTACAAAGCTTCACAGAAATACCTTTCAGTCAATACATTGTTTTCGTGTACATAGTACCTCGTTTTAGCGGCGTTATGGTCCCCAGCTGTGAGATAAAGCAAATTTTCATAACTTTCAACTGTAAGTCAAGTTATCTCGCCAGTCTTTTACCCATTCTCGCCCATAATTTCAGAATGGACTCCCATTACAACCTTCCATCGCTACGTTTTGATTTTTGGGCATCAAACGCAGCAGTTTCTAAATCATCCACACATCTCTTCAAATTTGACCAATACGTCCCGTCATCTTCCACTACGCCCCGCCGAGTCTATCACTATACACGTAGAGTTGCATTCTAAAACAATTTGTCCATCGATGTGTCCGTTTTTTGTAGGTTGCCATTGTCGATTCTAAATACCAATCGGATTGTGTTTTAAGATTTACCCATTCTTGTCCATTTTCAATATACCTATAATAGGGTGGTCCAAAATCTCCCTAAAATTTAGATTTCCCGATATTGCAATATAGAGATTTTAATTACTGAACAATTGAAAATATTTTTAAGAAACGTTTAAAGTGTCCTATCCTTGAAAGAATGTCAAAATGCGAAAGGATGGGTGATGTCAATTATATTATTTCAGCAATAACGTTAGAAACATGTATCATTTTATATGGTACACGTTTCATAATGTAATCCAATGGAATCATACAGAAGAAAGGTTGACACACAACAGTTAAAATCTTTATATTACATTATCAGACCAAGTCAGTAGATGATGTTTATATACCAATTAGTGTTGTATGATGATGCATTCTTTATATGAATCTAGAAACGTTTTTGTGCCAATATTGCTCAATTTTGATAACATCTCCGTTATTTTGAAATTAAGCATGGCAAAGTTTCCCGATGGATTTAGCTAAAAAAAGTGGTGCCTGTAGGGTTATTGAAAATCATACATGATGAAGAAAAAATACATATTCCTGAAATACAACAGTTTAATTTTGAGTTATAAACCATTTATGAAAACGGCATATTTGTCAAAATTACCAAAACTTGTGAGAAAAGTGAGACGCGTGGCAAAATTTCCCGGGGGTCTAGAGTGGAAATATTTGTACCAAGAGTCAATTTGTAACTAGAATCTATCAGATGACAGATTTTTGGAAAATTTTGCAGATTTGGACAACCCTAACCTATAACTTTGTTGAACCTGAAGATTCCAGATTTTATTGTGTTTCAAACCAGACACTTGGTTTCCTCACAAAATCAAATACAGGACAATTACATATAATTAAAGTTAAAAAGCAACATCTTCACAAACATTTAAATTATCAATTTCATGCAATCAGTTATAGTTATACTCCGTATGTATGCTAAACTTAAGACTGGTGTTAAGAATCGACCAAGGTAAACCTATGTAAAATTACACAACGATGAACAAAATGTTTTAGAATACAACTCCACGTTTGTAGTCATATATACTCGGCGGGGCGTAGTGGAATGTGACGGGACGTATTAGTCAAATTTTAAGAGATGTGTGGATAATTTAGAAACTGCTGCGTTTGATGCCCAAAATCACAAACACTTTGTACGTCATCATTCTGAAGTGAACAGCCAATTAAATTGCAGAATTGTGAATTACATAAATTGTAGGTAACATTAACGTCAGTCTGCAATCTATTTTGGAAGCCACAAACTGCATACCATTCTCCGAGTTTTTCCATAGATTGTTGAATTGAGGCTCGATTTATAATGTTATCTCTGTGGTGGAGATTGGTTATACAGATATTTGTAGTTCTCCAACATCAAAACACAAGCAACTGATTTATGGTCTTTTATTATTGTTTCATTGACTAGCAGATGCTAGTCTCTCCATTTTTAGTTTCTCAGCCATACATACAATAACCCAACTCAGTATTTAACAGCAACATTGCCCTCTGACTACTACCCTCTCAATTTAAAGTTTTGATAATCATTTAATCTCAACAATCTCAAATTGAGAAGCTTTTCTTGTCTAATTTTTCACATTAAGCCTTGAAGATTTATAGTCAAAACAGTAATGTTTGTGAGTACTTTGAATTTAAAGTAAGCAATCAAATGACCAAATTGAAACAATTTATGTAAAAATAGAAACATTTATATTTATCCTAACTTTTATATATTTTAGTTTGTTTTCTAGTTTAGCTATCATATCAGTGTCCTCTTATATTTTGATACTTCTCTGCCATGTTATTTTCGGAAAAATTAACATGGCTGAAACTCCCTAAATTACAAAAGGCCACAGCTTTGCTGCACATTATACATTACTATCTGAAATATACAAAAGTTAGGATAAATATAAATGTTTCTATTTTTACATAAATTGTTTCAATTTGGTCATTTGATTGCTTATTTTTTAAATTCAAAGTACTCACAAACATTACTGTTTTGACTATATTCATCAAATTGCAAACATGTCCCAATAAATCAAGATTTAAAAATATCTCAAGAATGCCCTTGAAGGTGAGGTTGCCCATCCTTGCTATGTTAGGGGTGGTCACTAATCGCCTAGTTGTGGTTGTAGTTTCATAAGGGGGAGGGGGTATGTTCCTATTGTATTTTACTTATGATACAACCCCTTTTGAAGCCAATCCTAGTGGAATATTGCAATATCTTTCATTGTTAACATATGTTTATTTCTAAGTTAATGACAAATTAATATTTTCAAATTACATTATATAGGGGATTTAACAAAAATATAGGAGGTTTTGACAACACCCCTACAATATAGTACTAGTTGCTATCTGCTATCTTAGGGCTCTTAGGGTTATATCAGCACACTGGACTACATCCAGTATTTATAAACAACCCAGCATAACAAGTTAGAGGTTAAAAATCACAGGCTTCAGATATATATATCAACACGAATCAAGAAAGCCCAAGAAACTTGTGCCTTTTCCACTTACCAAATAGGAAGTGACTGGTCTCCTGTTTCATAAGTGTGTACTTGAAGACACAATAGTGTCATATTCACATAAAACAGTATCACCATCATACGAGGAAGTGTTGAACCTGGAACAAGGACTTTAATATATACAAACATATCGCAGGATGTCTGAAGAAGGTATCACAACATTAAATGGGACCATGATGAATGGCAATATAGAACTCACAAATGGCAGGTAAGAATTGACTTTATTTTTTATTCATTTCATATGTTGAAGACTATTTTTAAAATATAAGCAATATAATACAAATCACTATATGGCAATATCAGAATGACACAATTCTTTATCGTATGATCTGTAAAATGAAGCCCTCTGATTGGTCAGTTCTTGTGCTGTACCAATCTGTATTGCTACTGAGATTGTCCGCGTTGATCATCTCCGTCGCAATACAGAAAATATTGGTACGGAGGAGACAATCTCAGTAGCAATACAGAGGATAACACGATAAAAACGTTATTGAATGATTTGAAGTGCAATACAGGATATATTCTGTCTCGATATTCTGTATTGGCACTCGACTTCGTCTCGTTCCAATACGGAATTTCTCGAACAGAATATATCCTGTATTGCACTTCAAATCATTCAATAACTTATAGTACAATATAGCTATTAATCATAAAAATGTACATATCACATGGTTCAGTAGAATCCAAGTTGACTTCATAATGAATCATTGTTTGATCTTCATATTGATGGGGAAGGGGGCAAAAAATTGAAAAAGGGGAAAAATTACCCCTTTCTTTGAACATTTGGACACATTTTCAAAGTCATTTTAGCCTACCTTTAGCAAGTCCCTGACACCCCCCCCCCCCCCTCCCAGGTTCACCAATTTAGTCAATTGTTTTGATCATCCTCAAGGTTATGTAATCCTTCAGTTAGTACAAATGTTCACGCTCAAGGGTCTTGCATAAGTTAAGTGTAACATTGATAAGTTTATCAATAAACAGATAAGGGTATTGTTATCTTGTTTTCAGTTACAACAACCCTGCCTCAAACTATTTCAATTAATAATTTACATGTATGTAATGTGTACATGTAGTTGATGGTAGTTTAGGATCAAATGAATTGTGAATCCTGTCATCCAAAAATTCCCATTTTTTAAAATTTTCACTTGTGTTATAAAGGGTGTATGTATAGGACATTATCAAACTGTTTAGTAGTTAATGTTCAGTTTAGAAGTAGTTTAGAATCATTTGAAATGAGAATCCCATCTTTCATCCATTTTAACACATTCAGTTCAGTGATTTTTATGTCACTACAAGACATGATGAGTGATGACATATTGTTATAATCCTCATGTGGATGGTGTTCAGTATTCAGCAGTTGGTGTCTGTAACAAATGGCAGGTGGTGACATTTTGCATGGTTATGCCTTGTCCATATATGTATTCAGACAAAATCAATAAAAATCATTTCTGGCTCTAGAACACAATTAGATTCTAGAGAAAGTGAGTAATTACCTGACAATATGAAATTACATTTTTTTAATTTTACATTGATTTGGAATTTCAATTCTTAGTACCTTTAGCCAGACACTTCCATGAAAGATATTTCATTTACCACCAATGTTTTGGTTTACAGGGCCCACAAGGAAGGTGCCAATGGATTCATTCATATTAAAAATCCCCACATATCAAATATGGACGAGGATGTTCTCTACCATTTTGCATTAGGCACAAAGAGTCATGATCTGAAGAAAATGTTTGGAGATGTGAAGGTAAGATCCTTGTATTAGTTCAGGTTAATAGTTGGTTTAGCATGTTTGTTTTAAAGAATGACCAGGCCGTTATTAAATTAGCAAGTGTTTTGAAATGAAAGAAGTCTAAAGGTATCTAGTTCCAACACTTGGAACTAGATAAGTCAAAATGTTTTTTGGAAGGTACTGTTAAATTTTTAAATAGAGATTTATTTGTAAGGGCAGTCAGTGATGTTTCTTACAGTTTTTACATTTTTTCTCAATTCGAATTTCACAAGTTCTCAGAATATATACACACAAAAGGCAAACATACTGTTGTGGCAATTTATAGTTGTGGCTTACATTCAAAAATACCAAAATAACATGTGTTGGTCATTAGAGGGGCTTGGAAATTTCCATTAAGGCCATGACTAAGAAACACTAGTCTGTAGGCGGTTCTTACTGTACACTACTATGCTTACAACTGCATGTTTACAGAATATTCTCCCAAAGTCACTGCAAAGTCAGGGTAACTCTGGTCAGAGTAGTCTGTCCGTCACTTATGGGACCCATGGGGCTGAGGGGTCTATTTATAATTTTATATACTGTATATTATTATTTTCCTATGTATTTATTATGGAGTTTTGAATTCTTAAACTTTATAGAAACATATAGGTATATTATGTCACACCTTATGTTTTTGGAATATTTATTTTTATGTGCCTTGGGGTCATTATTTTTTCTTTTACTTTATCTCAATAAAGGATTGGTATCGATATGGCGAACTGAATTGAACACATGTTTCTCTTAAACTAGTCATCAAAAATTCTGAAAAGTTTATACATTGTCAATTTAATGATCATCTTTTGAATGGTAGCAATTTAATTTGAAAAAAATATATATACTTTTCTCTTTTTGGTTTTAGAAAACTCATCAGACACTTCTTTTGTTCTTGGTATCATATGTTCAGAATGAAAGAAACATTTAACCAAACCTCATTGGAGCAAAATGAGGTCTCTCAATATTGTAATTGTACAAAGGAGAGTTTGGTTCTTTTAAAAAAGTATATTGTTAATGGAATAAAAGGTTTACTTTAATTTTTATCTATTTTAGGGGTTTTTGTTTTAATTTTTTGAATACTTTTTGTCAAATGAATATAATATTGAGAGGTCTAAGAAAATGTTGTATATGCCATTTTGTTATTACATATTTTACACATTTTATCATTACATAAAGGACAGATCCTTAAAGATGTTTATGAGCAAACCCCTTTGATGGCAGGAAACATCTGTAAAGGATACATAGCAACAGATGTACTTTTATTAAAGTATTGTGGTCAACCTCAAAATACCAGTATAAACATTCTCATGGAGGGTGTGATTTCCTCAACCAATCATAGTGAGAGTACACATTTGTGATAAGATATGGAATTGCTAGAGCTATTTCTGATATGTTTATTAAGTTACAGACTGTTTATTACTCTATCTTCAAGATTTTACAGTCAAACCTGTCTTAGTTAATATTTCAGCTCTGTAGCTTTTTAGATTAGTAATGCCTCTCAAATGTCTTTATTTGGGATAATTATTTAGCAACGCAGTAATGTCCAAATTCTATCGAAGAAGGGGACATACACTGCGTGAAATATGGGATTTCAACTCTTGACACGTCTAGAAACTGGTCTTTACACGCCGGGTTTCTAGACGTGCCAATTATTTACACCTCTTGACACGCGATGAATTCAACTCTTTACACCTCTTTGCACTTCTTGGCATACGCAGTGCAAAGACGTGTAAAGACCATGTCAAAAAGTCTTTGCACGCCCTGTGACAATTAATGGAATCTCTTGACACGCTCTTGGCACACTGAACAACATAATTATGTGTAAACAACTAACCTAATTACCAATAGCAATACATACAGTATTTTAACGATTGCAAGTATTTTCTCTGATACTTTTAATTGATATATTTTTTAATCATTCTTTCGCAGACTGTTTGGAACCAGTACATGTAGCAAATATTAAACAGACTATTTTGTATGTACGCTGACACATTGACTTATTTAAACATTTTGGCAATTTCATGCCGCCTTTTGAAAATATAAATCAGTTACAGGCAATGCTAATCGACGCATTGATCCTAAGTGAAGGAAATACATATCATGATAAGAAAAAGAAAGGCGTTTCAAGGATAAAACGTGCAATAAACTTTGAAAACACTGATACATCAGGCCTATTTATATATTTATTTTGTATTAGCTTAATATAAAGATAACCTTACTTTTCGATGAGTATTTGGATTTCGGAGTAATTTGTTTCAAGTTAAGTCGATACAAATTATCACCGACTTAACTTGTGACCATACATATGATAAATGAGGGGCATTTTAATACACAATTGGGCAAAACAAGCATATTCAATCGAATGTACCATTCTCTCTGCTGTTCTTTCCCAGCCTATCCATAAACAGACAGGTACAAGTTCCCATAGTTTTCGCAACATCTAATTCTATGATCAATTGCTAGACACAGCAAATATACTAATTAATTGTCTGATTGTGATTCGGGAACGTAGGGTTTTTACATAAACAGGATACTTGGCTGTACTTAGCCTGAGAACACCGGATTGACCCCCCCCCCCCCAATCGACGCCTAGGCGCTGCTTATGTTTTAATAAGAAACATTCCCTTGTAAAGAATTATCGGGATATGAATTGATACAAGGTCAAGTATTCTGCCCCTTTTGTGTGGTAAAAATAATATGTATTTAATTGGTGCTTTAACTTTTTGAACAAAGAAATGAAATAATCGCACTGAATGTCTCAACATAAATCAGTGATGTTTAATTAATAAATGGCACTATTATGTCAGTCTACGCACTTCATGGACATGGACGGGGGGGGGGGTGAGTTACCCATTCTAAAATGGTTAAATTTTGTATTAAGAGTAATCAATAGGTCGTGAACTCCGATTGATAACCAACTGTAGCATACTACTTAATTTGTTTGACTATTGATATTAAAAAGGAGTGAATTTATGATATTCATAGAGGTACATTGTATTGGTATTAATATAATAATGATATTGGGGACCATAAACCACTTTGTTTCGCAAGTAGCTTTAGGATCGCGGTTTTATCTTCACATGTTGCCCTTTGTGCAATTCGAAAATGAAATATTTTAATCTATAATTTATATATCATTTGCAAAATAAATGTAATTAAGAGACATGGGGGAGGGAGGGGGGGGGGGGGTTAACGGCCGGAATTTGGAATGAATTTGGGAATTTCAAGGATTGATTCACTTAATGTTGTTCACTGGAGTCGATACACACACCTGCATAACAATCGGAGACAAAACTGACTTAATCTGATATGATAACAAAAGATTAATAACTTAGTCTATGTTTTTGTTTTTATAATTGCGGAAGTGTACCAAAACCACCTTGATTACAGAAGATATCGTCTAGGCTTTAGATTTAATGAATAGATTTTTTGCCCTAGTCTCATTTAATAAAACAGGCTATTTGCGTATTTAATTAATATTTGTGACAAAATATTTCAGTTAGACTCAAAATCAAAACGAATTTCTCCATTATAGCCCCCCTTGCAACTGTCCCGAGTCTGCATCTGTTTTTCATGTTTCCGATCCACCTTTGGGATAGAGAGAATAGATGTAGATTTGTAATTTGGGGGGGGGGGTGGCATTAAATGTGTTCTCATACAAACTAAAATAAACCCCAAAAAGCCATATCAAATGTCCAAACACAAGACCAATGCCATGTCAAACATCCAAATATAGAACTAATGCCAAATATCCAGAATATAAGACCAAGGCCATTCGAAATATCGAATGCCCTGAGAAGAAGGCAGATCTTTGAGTAAAATGATCATAAACAACCTCAAATGAAGGATATGTGTAACAACTAGACCAATGCCCCGGGACCAATGCCGTACCACAAAAGAGGGGTAACATATTTTCCACACCGATTCTTATACCAGAAAATGGAAAAATCTGTCTTAAAATGTGGGTCCATTGGCTTGACATACCAAATGTAAAAAAGGTACCCCACCTGAGCCGAGTGTGAACCCCCGGGGTGAATGGTGAACACACGGGGCAAGGAATTCTTCGATTTTGATTCAAGTAATTTTTTTTATAAAATTCATACTCGGGGTCAACCCAGTTGTCCGAAACCCAGTTCTCCGAAACCCAGTTTTCCGAAACCCAGTTGTCCGAAACCCAGTTCTCCGAAAATTAGGGGATCTTATTTGAAAAATACAATTTTTTTAAACGAATCTCGTTGTCGCAACCTCTGCGAATCACAACATAACATTGGAATAACGTTGACATCATTGCAAAATTAGCTTCTTTCTTTTTACAAGAAGAAGGAGGTACGGATTCTGGATACCTGCTTAAGAGGATGTAAAGTACTATATGCGTAAACTTATTTTATCTGTTTCAAAATGATTCATTTTATTTTGCCTATATAAAAGAGATTGAAGAAGATAAGATAAACTGTTCCGTAATATATATTGTGTTTTGATAACCTTTTTTTAGAATCACAATGTAAAATAAATCCCCCGTTCCTGCCATTCTGGTAACGTATGCAATGGATGCAATTCAAAGTGAGAGAGAGAGAGATCTATGAACATCAGAATGCGTCCATGCCATTAATTTGGCCAAATACATTCCATGAAACTGGCCTAAGCTTAGTACGTCTCCCCTTTCTCTGGTAAATTATGACTATATTTTTCGGAGTAATGGGTTTCGGACAAGTGGGTTTCGGACAACTGGGTTTCGGAGAACTGGGTTTCGGACAACTGGGTTTCGGAGAACTGGGGTGCACCCGTATGTGCACCCCAGTTCTCCGAAACCCAGTTGTCCGAAACCCAGTTCTCCGAAACCCAGTTGTCCGAAACCCACTTGTCCGAAACCCATTACTCCGAAAAATATAGTCATAATTTACCAGAGAAAGGGGAGACGTACTAAGCTTAGGCCAGTTTCATGGAATGTATTTACCCGTTAAGAATATTGGTGTAGGCCCTGGTGAAGGGATATGTCATAAAGATTTCACGTTATCGCGATATACATGTAGCCGCGTCCCCTTTGTCTTTATCCTTCCAAACGCAAACGGCAGATAAGAGGGGTTCTTAGTGATTGATCTGATGCTTAATAAGCCACTTACAAGATACAGTTTTAAATATTGATATTGTGTAAAGTTTTAACACATAGGCGTAACCAGGGGGGGGGGGTGCGATTCGTGAATGATCGCACCCCCCCCCCCCCCCCCCCCGCTTAACCAATAGAGAAGGAAGAAGAAAGGAGCTTTGAATGGCTTTCATTTGAAACTTCTAGTTCAATTTTGAAGGAATTTGCATCAATTTTTGTAAAAATCAAGATAAATCTTAATTTTTGGCTTGTTTATATGCCACAATCGCATCCCCCCGACTGAAAACCGATTTTTTGACGATCGCCCCACCCTGACTGAAGGCTGGCTACGTCCCTGTAACATGTATTCAATTGATATAGCCATAAAATACAATAAGACATGTGTCCTTTTTTCAGCGTTTGGTGTTCTGCTAGGAATGGATTGAATCAGGGTTTAATTTTGCGAATCTCGAAACAGGCGCTAAGCAAAATTACCTTTATTTTACACCAAAGAGTATCAGGCATGTAGCCAGGAGTTGCCAAGGGGGATTCACTTTTTGAAAAATTCCAGAAGTGGTTCACTTGTGACAATTTTGGTCCAAAATTAGCCAGAATCACTTAAAAAAGTGCTCAGAATGGTGAAAACTGCATGATTTGAAATATTTTTTTGGCCGGGGGGGGGGCTACGGGCCTGAATATATTCATTTTGAGGGTTTGAATAATGTGTTTAACAGTTTTATACAGAGAGTGTATTCCAAATATCGAGTCTGGTTTAAAGAGAAGTATCCCGGGAGAAGTATGAGGGTCTCGGTATCATTTTCAATGACAAGGGATTATTCTTTAAGAGTTTTAACTTTTATATGCGACTATAGGGTATAACAACATGTGGCCGGTCTAATTATACTGTTTGTTTTGATAAGGCTGTGCAAAGAGATATCAAAACTCTTGACACGCTCTTTACACGCGAGGTCTTTGCACCTCTTGACACGTCTTGGAATCTCTAGATACGCGGAGTTCCTAGACTATCTTTGCACGTCTAGAAATTGCTTGGAATTTCACATTTGACGCAGTGATATATATTTTCACCATTATTGATGATTCATCTTAAAATTCCTATCCGTTTTTTTTAATGAAATACAGTCAGAACTCTTGGATGTTTTAGAAAATAAACTTCAAAGCTACAGGTAATTTAGATAAGTTAAAATACCTCCGAAACAGAAGGCATTTATGAAGAGTCTAAAAATAAAAAAAGGATCTTCTGGAACCTGCAATAGATTCAATAGACACCCACACACACAACCATGGTCACATTCTACAGATTCAAATTGACACACAAAGTGATTTTGTAGAACTAGTTCTTGTGTGAGAATTTTTTCACGATAGTGAGATTAAAATGACAGCTTTTTTATGAAGAAACATGTACTTTTTGATTAGTCAGATATGACTTTTGCCCTGCAGACAAATAAATCTAATTAAAATAGAATTTAGCTATCTTATTGCAGTTGGTATTAATCATGTTAGAATAATTTGAACATGAATGTAACATATGTAAGATCATGGTGACATTTTCAACCTATAAGCCCAATTTGTCAATAAGACGACATCAGTTTTCTTCTAGAAAATGTCAAGAGGTTGTTAGTGTGATTTTTTAGTATTTTTTTCATTACCACTCATTTTGATCTGATATCAATGTATAGAGGTTCTTTTGGGAACATCCAATCTTGACTTTGAAAATTATCAAAGCAATTAATAATGAATGATCTTCTCATGTATGCATACAAGAACGTTTTTCTCATATGACTGCATTATTTCACATCATCTCAACTCTTTTCACATAATTTCACAATTCCAACAAAATGAAACATCATTTTATTCTTTACTTTACATGGAGACTCATATGTAGCTATGTTTATTTCACTCGTAATTTGAGTTTGCATATGCAATTTTTAAGGAGAAAAGTTGTCCATATCTTTATAGGATATAGAACGCTGAAGCTGAATTAGTATCATGAGAAAATACAATATTTTACAATAAAGTAATACCTGCTGCATAAGTTGTTATTGGACAGTTTCTTTTATTTACGTCATGCATTCAAATTTTTATGATGTTGATTTCAATCCTTTCCTTGTCATTTTCAGTTTGTTTGCATCGGGGGAAGCCCAAGGCGGATGGAACGGTTTGCACATTTCCTGGTAAAAGAATTAGGCTACAATGTGCCTTCAGGCTTGGCTTTGGAAAACATCACAAATGCTACAGACAGATACGCAATGTACAAAGTGGGACCAGTTCTCTCAGTTAGCGTAAGTTTTTCATTATGTCATGTTTTTTTGTCATGACTAAACATTTTAGTCATGGTTAGGATGGATTAAAGATTTGCTCACTTATATACTTGTATTATCCCATTTCACATTATTTATATTCGTAATACCCCATATCCATGTAAATAATAATCACCATTAATTTCTGACATATAAGAATATCAGTAAAACTGAATTTATGAATATACATTCTATGTTGTAGCATGGTATGGGTGTCCCCTCTGTCTCCATCATGTTGCATGAGATTATCAAGATGATGTTCCATGCTGGCTGTACAGATGTAGAGTTCTTCAGGATAGGCACATCCGGTGGTCTTGGTAAGTGCCCATCTGCTTTTTGCAAAATTTGTTTATGTTGCAACTTAAATTTCCTATTGCCCATCAAATATTAATACAATTCAATATATTATGACACACCCTTCTAGACACTTATTTAATTATGTCTAGTGCATGTTCCTGAAAGGAAATATACTCCTTAGAAATATCTGCCTCTTCATGCAATATGTTAAAAGGTCTTTTGTAAAATTTGAAAATATAGATTTTAAAATCATCCAAAATATTAATTTTTATGGCCAAAAAGTTGACTTTTGAATTTTCTGCTATTTTTGCAACAAAATTAGAATTAGATTTTTAGATCATCTAATACAAAACTACATGTTTACACTATAAAACACATTTTTCTCTCCAATTAGAGAGATGAAATAAAAATTTCAACTTAGTATGTTTAACATCATTTGTTGTTTTAGGTTTGAAGCCTGGCACTGTTGTTGTCACATCAGAAGCTGTTGATGGACAAGGGAAAGCTTCCCAAGACAATGTAAGTTAATTTCTCAGTATAATTATCATTTTACTATTACCATTCATTTTTATATTCCAATAATATTTCTAATAATCTTGAAACATATTTATGAATGTATATAGAGAAGCTAACCATTCATTTTTAGATTCCAATAATATTTCTTATAATCTTGAAAAATATTTATGAATGTATATAGAGAAGCTTACCATTCATCATCCATTCATTTGTGTGTTTACATGATAAATATTATACCTAGTAGACAGTAGTTCAAATGCCTTTTTAAATAGAAAATCTAAAACCATTCACTATTTGCTAAAAGAAAACACTCCTAATTTTAGTGTAACAATTCAAAATTAGCATTGATCAGAGAAATTATATTTTATTTAATATGATTCATTTACTATTCCTTGGAGTTGTGTTTTTTTTATTTTTTTGTCTGTACTAGAAGCTGGCCAATATAAAAAATGGCACCCCATTTTTATGTGCGTTATTTTATGTTTTTTTGCTATAACTGAAAAAGTGGTGGAGCAAATTTGTAGAAATTATATGTGAATGCTTAGAAGAATACTACATTGTCTAATGACAATTTGGCTAGAAGGTGGGTCATTTTTATGTGTGTTATTTTATGTTGATGTCGATGGAACTTGCTATGCCTTGACATTGCTATAGTCTAGTATACATGTATTCTTCAGCTTGTGTTGGGCAAAGTGGTCTCCAGACCTTCAGTTCTCGACAAAGATCTTGCCGAGCGACTCCTACAGTGTTCAATGAATGATGACTTTGAAGTAATAATGGGAAAGACAATGTGTACTGATGATTTTTACGAAGGTACGTAAAATAATGTACATTTGCATTTTGATTTGTATTATCAAATTACAACATCCTCTCCATGAAATTGTCAGTGTACAATGTGGAACTCTTGTTGTTATAAGTTGTTTTTTTTAAATTAGATTCTTAAAGACATTATTGTTGTCTAAAGATTTTACACATCGTCAATTTAATGGTCATCTATTGAATGGTAACAATATAATTTGAAAAAAAATATATACTTTTCTCTATATTGTTTTAGAAAACACATCAGATACTTCTTTTGTTCTGGGTATTATATGTTCGGAATGAAATTAGGTAGTAAGCTAGGACCCAAAAATGTATTAGTTCGTGAACAAATTGAAATTACTTGTATCTTATGTAGTTTTATGTGATGCTTCAGAAAATGTTTGTCTGACGCGCCATATCCGGGGCGAAAATTGTCAAAATGGGGTTTTCGACCCCAAAATGGAAAATTACAGGGGGTACCTTATCATCATTGAATAAATCATTCTGTTAGTCTTCAATCATCATTATGATTTTATGGGGAGTTGATTGGATCATGCTGAGGAAGTATGTAAAATTTCAATGCTCTGTCACTCATGGTTGTCATGGAAACCACAATTTTCGTTCAAAATATCCTTAATTTTGCAAAACCTGAACATGTACATCATGTAGAATATGGATTATTTTTTTGAATCAATACATATCAGCACATTTTAGCACACTCAAAATGCAGTACAGTTCAAACATTTGTTTAAATATAAAGGATATTGCAATTTACATGATTGGTCATTGTCAAAGAACATACAATTACATGAGTGATCAAAAGTGGGCGTCGCCCCCATAATAGTAGATGATTGCTATACTTGATAAAAACAGAGTTTAACTTGACCTTTGAGATACATTTACACTGGTCTTATTTGATTATATTTTATATAAAGCATTTCTGGTAAATAATGTACATCTAAATGTCATAGTTATTGCATGGGGGGGGGGTACAGAGGGGGGCTAGTAAAAGAATTGGGAGGAGGCAGAGCTAATCAGCCTTAAGTATAAATCCCATCTACATATATCTGGATTTCATGGGTTACATCTTCTGGATCTTCTTCATATTCATCTCAATATATGGGATATTACAACTTACATGATTGGTCAGTGTCAAAGAACATACAATTACACAAGTAATCAAAAGTGGGCGTCGCCCCCATACTAGAGTAGATGATTGCTATTCTCTATACAGAGTTAAACTTGACTTGAGATACATTTACACTGGACTTCTTTGATCATAACTTTATATTTTTTGGGTAAATAATGTACAACTCAGTGCAATGGTTATTGCATGAGGAGGGGCGGGTTAGTAACAGTATTGGGAGGGGGCAGAGTTAATCAGCCTTAAGTATAAATTCTTTATTTTGGACTTCTTCATAGAGTACTTTCTGGGTCTTTTTAGTTATCTCAATATACTGTATATAGTTATTATTGTATGGGAGGGGGGTAGTAACAGAATTCGGAGGGGTGGGGGAACAAGTCAGCATTAAATATCAATTTCATCTTCACAGTTCTGGATTTCATAAGATAACATCTTCTGGAGTCTTTCTGATTCATCATCTGATGCTATATCAACAATCATTTGTATGAGAATACCAGTCAATACCCAATGCAATGGTGGAGTCATTCAGTTTCCATCCATGTCCATCTTCTGCTGGAATGTCAGGGTTTACAATATGGGCCATATGCATGATAAGTGCTTTGTAGTAAGCTCTTGACAAGGTGGAAGAAGACTGATGTCGGTTCCTTCATAGTCTTTGATTGTTTTAGTATGGGGTCTAAACTTCTATTTCAATTGGTTTATCTGGTTTTGCTGGTGTAAGACATTGTGGCTTAACATAAATGTGTTTTTTTATATTAATCAGTCTTCTTTTGTTTGTCCAGCACTACACTTTGCTGTATTCGTTTTGTTTCTGGAGCTGGCAGATTATACATGTTTTTCAAAATACTTCTAACAGCAGAGTGATTATGTGACAAATAAATCTAAAATTCTATAAACGAACCTGATAGGAGAAGAAGAGGGTGGTGGCACATAACCTTATCAAATGTAGAAATACATGAGTCCCTTAAGATTGGAATAAGTTCATGAATAAGGATGCAAACAAGAAGCAACTATACCAGTTACGCTTAATTGAATGATAAGACCAGAATATGCCAAGAAAAAATCTACTGTGTAGCAGGTGGGAAATGCCATATCCTTTCAAGTGATCATCATGATAAACCATGACATTTTATTTCTTCCCAGCCCTTCATGTGAGACAGAAGGATGCTATGAGTATCAGAATGTCTAGTGATGGCAATACAATAACAATGAGATGAGCCTTCTCATAGTCTGATCATTTTCATTCTTTTGATTTATCACATGATATTGATATATCAACAATCTCTTAAGAGAAAATACCACTAAACACTTGCAGATTTGAGAGTCATTCAGCTGGGACTCAATATGGTACTCCATCTTCTTAAAATGTGCCTTCCTGCCCCTTCAAAGCATGGCACTTACTCCATCTAGGGAAGGTATGAAGGCTGCATATATTATGCCAGGCCCTAGACGGGAGTAGTAACAGAAAAATTGGGAGGGAGTAGAGCTCCCTCCCAGGTCTGTAACCACTTCCCCACTCTCATCCCATGTAAAAACTATACTACTAAACATATTTATGAGAAATGGTTTATATAAATTATATTTGAACATGACTGTATTCACGCCTTCTATAAACTGTGAACAAAGTCAACATTTTACCCGGGGTATATATGTCAACACTACCCTTGGTAATACGAGTAATGTGTGACATCAAGAGGGCTGTAGTAATGGCAGACCATAAGTTGAATATTCAAAAAATTTTGGGGAGTTTTCATGTTTGAATTGTAATATATACCTCAGAGCAGGCGTGATATTGACAATGACATTTCGAACCCCTCACTCCCTTGCCTAGCCATGTGGAGAGTATTTGTCAATATAACACCTGCTCTTCAATCTATATTTCTTAAATAATAGAAGTAGTATAGATGACATATAGATGACAGTGATCTTCCAAGCATTAAAGCAAGTGAGCGCAGCACCCACCCGAGATTTTGAAAATAGGTTTGCACCCACCTGAAAATCCATATGCACCCACTTGAAAGTGAGAAAGTTCATGAAAAATTGGCATATTTTGACCAATTTTGGTCTGAATTGTGAAAATGAAAATTTTGTACCCACCCGAGAAGAAATCCTGGGGAGATCACTGGATGATCTTAAAACTCAAGTTGACCTCTGTTTGTAGAGAATGAACCATATACTGTTGTTTGGGCAACTCCCACTTTTGATCACTTATGTAATTGTTTGGTCTTGGACACTTACCTATCATGTTTATTGTATTTTCCTATATATTGAGATGAATATGAAGAAGACCTAGAAGATGTACATGTTCCTTAGGAAATCCAGAACGAAGAATTATGAGATTTATACTTGAAGCTGATTAGCGCTGCCCCCTTCCAGTTTCTTTTACTAGCCCCCTCCCCCTCTCTATCAACCTACCTCTCATGCAATAACTATAAAACTCAGGTGTCACTGGTCAGTATCGACCGATGGTTTATGCCATATAAACCTGGTTTAGTTCAAATATCAATGTATTACATCAACTATAAAGTAGTTTAAGTCAATGAAAACTATAAATTTATTATATCATTGAAATGTTTCTCGCTTTCTCATTGGATTAAAAATATTAAGGTGTATTTCATTGTTTCCTGCAGTTTCCAGCCGCAGCCTCGTTTTCAACTGTATATACTACAGAGTATAAAATACTTGGATAGGCATGGCAACAAAACTTCGTTGTTATGACGTCACAGCTTATATTTGTAGTATGAGTATGGTTACTCATAGCAATGGTGTATCCGTTGCCATGTTCTTGATGTTTATAAACCAGTGATGTCACAAGTCAACTTGCACATGTGACTTTTGAGGGTGAACGATGGCAATATCTTGCATTTACATCGGACTAAGAGTGGCTGTAGTTAGAGTGGTTATATTCAGATGAGCACATTCATATGGTATTTATGTATTAAATGGTTAAAAGAAATACACTTAATTTGTAGAACATTCAAATGATATAATAAATCAAAAATATTCCATTCTATTTTTTGGTGAATACATGTTTATCTTTCCCTCAGGTATATATCCCTTGCCCTTCGGGCTGCGGGAAATATACTGAGGGAAAGATAAACATGTATTCACCTCAATAGAATGGAATATTTGGTATATCTTCTCAACTGACACCAGTGAGATGTACTTTATTTATCTAAAATGGTTGATATTAAGTATAATCAAAGAAGTATAAATGATAAATATATCTCTATCTCAAAAATTCTACTTGAACCCTGTATTTATAGAGAATGGTAATCATCTACTATTATGAAGGTGATGATGCCTACTTTTGATCATTTATGTAATGGTATGGTCTTTGACACCAATCATGTAAAATGTAGTACCTATATATTGAAATGAAAATGAAGAAGACCCAGAAGATTTAACATTTGAAAATCAAGAACTATATAAATGAGAATTATACAAAGGCTGATTAGCTCTGCCCTTCCAAATTCTGTTACTACCACCCCCCCCCCCACTCCCCATGCAACAACTTTTACACTTACATTTACATTATTTACCAGAAATGCATGATATTAGGTATATTCAAAGAACTTCAATATAAATGTATCTCAAAAGTCAAGTTAAACTCTGTCTTTTCAGAGAATGGTCATCATTTACAATTATGGGGGCAACGCCCACTTTTGATCACTTATGTAGTAGTATGGTCTTTGACACTTACCAATTATATAAATTGCAATATCCTTTATGCTTAAACAAATGCTTGAACTTCCCTGGCCATTTTGGGTGTGCTAAAATATTCTTATATCTGTTGATTTGAAAAATAATCCACATTTTATATTATGTACCTGTATAGATTTTGCCAAAATTAAGGATTTTTCAATGAAAATTGTGGTTTCCATGGCAACCATGAGTGACAGGTGATTGAAACTTAACATACTACCTCAGCATGATCCAATCAACTCCCCATAAAATTATTATGATGATTGAAGACCAACTGAATGATTTATTCAATGATGATAAAGTACCCCCTGTAATTTTCCATTTTAGGGTCGAAAACGCCAATTTGACAACTTTCGCCCCGGATACGGCGCATCAGACAAACATTTTCTGAAGTATCATATAAAAATACATAAGAAACAAGTAATTTCAATTTGTTCACGAACTAATACATTTTTGGGTGCTAGCTTACTACCTAAATGAAACATCTTTCCAAACCTCATTGGAACAAAATGTTTAGGTCTCTCAATATTGTTATTTTACAAAGGAAATTTTGGTTGATTTTAAAAAGTATCTTGTAAATGAAATAAAAGGTCTATCTTAAATCTATTTTGTTTTAATTTTTGAACACTTTTTGTTAAATCAACCAAAATTTTCTTTGTACAACTATAATTAAATATTGAGAGGTCTAAGAAAATATTGTATATGCTATTTTGTTCCAACGAGGTTCAGAAAGACATTTTATTTCATTCTCAAGAGTTGGTAGAAAGGAACAAAAATTGCATGAAAACAAAAAATGTTAACAAAAACAGTTATATAAAATATATATAAATAATTTTCGTATTAAATTGTTGTCAATCAGCCAACATTACATAAAGGACTGTGTTTTTTTACAGAATGTTTTCAATAATTGGTTTAAGAGAAAAACATTGTTGAATTCAGTTCACCATATCGATACCTATCCTTTTAAGAAAACATCTTCAGTTTTGGGCCACGTTTTAGTATATTATTTTATTCATAATTTTGTAGGACAAGGACGCTTGGATGGAGCCTTTTGTGACTACAATGAAGATGAAAAGATGGCATATTTGCAAGACTGCCACAATAGAGGTGTTAGAAACATTGAAATGGAATCTGTTTGCTTTGGTTCCATGTGCCACCATGCTGGAATAAAATGTAAGAAAACCTCCTCTAAGTGGTTCATTCATCTCATAATTCATAAAAATAACTATTGCATTAATGTATCACAAAACTAAATATATATCTCCTACACAAGCCAACTCTTTTAATTGATTCATCAGATTACACATTCTCCTACATTCATTTAGATGTCATCTCATGTTTCCCACTAGACAACACCTAAATGCATATGGATCATTTGAAAAATAAATCATTTTAATGTGCATTATTTTACTAAATTCATATCCAAATGATATGTTTCATGAACAAGAGTAGTATAGTGTTATATTCCAAACCCCTGTAATGGGCCAGCAGTGATTAGGTGAAACGTAATCAATTTATTGTAAAGGGCGGCATAGTCTAGCAGCAAAATTATTGAGTGTAGAATTTAAGGTGATATCTATTCATATCCTGATTTATTTAATTGATTCCAGGTGCTGTTGTGTGTGTTACATTACTAGATCGACTACAGGGTGATCAAGTTAGCACACCACATGATGTCCTTGATTCATGGAGCCAGAGACCAATGACAATAGTAGCAAGACATATCAAGAATCGAATGAAAACTCTATGATTCTCTTATAGCGAGAGAGGAATTTAAGTGAAGTTTGGATGTAAACTTTTCAATGAATGGTACATCATTAAAATCATGTAATGACTCTGTAATGACAGAATCAGTGTTATGAATATTTATTAAAAAAGGGGAAAAGTAGTGTACATATATTTTATTGTATAAAAGTGGGCCAAATAAGTGGACCAAATCCATGAATGCATTTTAAGGTACCCATATGTTAGATCTTTCTCCATTTATAAAACCATGTGCCCATGGGAGGGAGATAACATGTATAGTGGACCAAATAAACAGAAATCCAAATATTGAAATAGAATAAACTTTATGTTTAAATTCTTGATTTAGCTGATGTAAACAAACTCTGTGTAGGACTTAAAGTTCAAGGAAGCAGTAAAGACTAGAGACCAGTAAGCTTTAGTTCACGATAATTCAAAATAATATATTTAACCCTATTTCCTCAGGACTTAAAGTAAAGTGGACCAAATTATTATTATCAGCATTAGATTTTAATTTTGAAGGACAAATCATTTAAAATAAGTTTTAAGTGACTTTCTGTATTTGTACTTATTTGTATATTTTTGCTTATTTATAATGTTTTAATTATGCAATAGTATGTAGTCATCTCTGTTATTCAGGTGTTTTCCAATATTTATCATACACATAAGTATTTCTTATGATAAGGTATTCTTTAACACATAGTGCTCTATCTTGATATACATTCAATTTTATTTAGTAGAAAATGTCTCGTTCAAGGAGATTGAGCACTTTGTTATTGAAGAGTTGATTTAGAAAAGTTGGTTTGATGTTGTTAAATCTTATAGATAAATTCTGTCTAAGTTATAGTTTTTCTATTTGACATTTGAAGTGCACATACTCGAAATATGATGTTTATTTATATATTATAAGCATTAGAATTTGGACAATGTATTTAAAACTATGTACTTTGTATCAAACAATGATTTAATTGATATGCCTATAAAGTATTATTTTGTACTTGATCCATGTATATAGTAGTCAATCTTAATCTAATGTCATCATATTCTGGTTTGCTCCTTTGTATCATTTTATCATATTTATTTTATTTTACAATACTTTTCTAATGAAACAAAGGATTTTAAGGTTCATTATTTTATCCCAAGCTTTCTCACCATTTCTAGTCATCCATTCTACTCGACCATGCAGCAATGCAGCATGTATTTCATCCAGTGGATCTCATGGATCCCAAACAGGGAGAGGCTCATAGAAAGGAAACCCATGCTTGAACACACATTCAAAACACTTTCTCCAGCTCAAAGATATAAAAACCCATTTTACCATTTGAAGATTGTTGGCCTACTCTCACAGTATGTAATATGTATGTACCTTTAACGTCATTGGGTAAACCAAATGACCGGTTGTATCAATCATCATACAATTCACAAAACGTACAGTCGTGTTACATATTTTATATAAATTACTAAATTATATATATGTGTTATACTGTATATATACTCAACGAAAATGAGCCATGTAGTATAACGTTTTGCATTTATTAATCATGATAATATGATCGTGAATTCGATTTATTTCTTCTAATTATTTAAAATGAATACAAGTGTGGCATGCTGTGGTGACTCATCATGTCCATTTAATGTAAAGTGCAGATTGTAGACTAATATAGTTTGCATTTAAACTGTATTACTAAAAGGTATATTATTACACCTTAGATTGGTCAAATATTTTCTAGATGTGAAAAGACCAGGTATGGCATGGCAAATAATGTACTTATGTACATTTATATGTAATAATGTACAGTTATACCTTTGACCATGATTATTATTTTCTGATAATCAATTAATTCATCATAGGGAAAACTCATGCTGTTTCAGCATGAGTTTTTGATCTGCGAATTTTGATATCCTCCAAATATGCTATCGACGCCATTGTACTTTTGAAGAAGTTCTAGGTTTTATAATCAATCGTTGCAATAAAATTGAGAAAAATAAAACTCTCTTTGCTTCCTGCATAAGGGTTGGTCTTATAGTTCTTAATTAAATGTTTAGGTTCAATTAAGATACTCAAAATAGTTTCCATGGTTCTTGATACACTTTTCCTGGCGTTGAACCCATTGGCCATGAACCCATGGGCTCTACCACCTGATAGAGCCCATGAACCCAAGTATCTAAATCAACCAGTAAAACGTTTCCTCATGGCATTTTCACAGTATTGTGCGGAGGTCTGTAAAGTTGCATATCTGAATCCTGAGTCCAAACACACCAAAACAACAACTCGTCTCATCTGTCGAATAGGGAGGATGGAAGAGTTGTTCCATATGGTTTCTAGACAACTCATCCCAAGACAACTCATTCAAAGATATTCCATGGCCAAACACAGTCTGCTTAAATGCTAAAATCTCTAAATATGTTTCAAATATTCTTTCAAAAGTTGAAATTAATTGTATAAAATTATGATATTTCAAGTTGGGAAGAGTTGTCTTGGGGATGAGTTGTCTTGGGATGAGATGTCTTGGGATGAGTTGTCTTGAGATGAGATTTCTTGGGATGAGTTGTCTTGGGATGAGATGTCTTGGGGATGAGTTGTCTTGGGATGAGTTGTCTTAGGGATGAGTTGTCCTGTTACCGTGAAGGTCATCAGTGATAGTGCTATTGACAAGAGCAGATGTATGGGACGGGACATTTTCGTCGTGGTGGTTCAGTAATGGTATGAAAATGCCAAATGTCACGAAGGAACGTTTTCCTGATGGATTCAGACGCCTGTTCCACCAATGAGTTCAGGAGAATTGTATCAAAAACCATGCAGGCCCATAGCCAAGGGGGGTTTGATGGGTTCGAGCGAACCCCCTCCCTAGCCAAAAAAAGTTTCAAAGCCATGCAGTTTTTCACCATTCTGAGCATTTTTAAGTGGGTTTGGCCATTTTTGGACCAAAATTGTAACAAGTGAACCCCCTGGAATTTTTCAAAAAGTGACTCCCCATTTGGCAAATCCTGGCTACTGGCCTGCCATGGACATATTTTTAGCATTTTATCCTCTACTTCTGCCATTTAAATTATTTGCCCCACCTACCCAAAACACGAGTTACCATAGTAACCATATTTTTGGCCCAACAAGAGATAATAACTGCTTAATTCAGTTTACATATTCTGAGAAAATTTGAAATAATTAATCACAAAACTCTTGATTTAGGAAGATTTTTCTTAGAACTTATTGATCGACCTGGTACTTCGAGGAAAACCTATTATTCTGAAATTGGTCAACGTCGTAACTGTTGTGAGAAAATGTTCATGGTCATATGACTGCCTAAAATCACTTGCCAAAAACACTTGCCATACTTAGTCCTTTTATTTGCATTATTATACAACTACAGAGTGGGCCAAAAAACAATACACAAGTTTAAAGATGAATATTATGTGATATGTGTTAAACCATATGCCATGTATTGTATTATGAATCATTTTAAGATAACTCATTTCCTAACAATATGACACCATCGGATTGAAAAATCTTTCTTTTCGTGTGGAGTTATGGAGGCTAAAATTGACACCCCGTGTCCTGAGCAATTAAAAATCAAATATGGAAATTACCATTTCCCTCCGTATTTCAGGCATAGTTGCACTCAATTTGCTTGATTGAATCATCATAATTTTATTGAAGAGAAGTACACAATTGATAGCTGACTAAAAAGATATAAGTCTTATGGATGAATTTTGAACTAAACTTGTATAAATGTGCTTGTTTAGAAAGTGCCAAAATACAAAGGAGCACGTAGGTTATCGCAAACAATTTCAGTTGATTCTAACTTGAATATTGAAGATTTTCTGATCATGAACACGGGTATATCTTTTGGATATAATGATGATTCAGTTAATCAGAGCTAAGTGATATTAAAGGGGCAATGGACCAATCAACATACTTTTTCAAAAATGTTAACCAAATTCTCACAAAAATGCAACCTTTTATCATATTTTTGAAAGCATACTTAGAATGTGTTTTAAGACTTGTTCTATCTCCTAAAAGGAAAAGTTAATTGCTCCAGGACCTTTAAGATACTGAATTTGGATGACCGAAATGTGCCGAAACCAATGGATAGCATAAGATTTTTCAATGGAGAAATATCATCGGGAACACTAATCGTAGAGCAATTCAATTTTCTTTCAAGAACTATTTGACACCTCAAATTGAACAATAGTAATGCATTAAACATTGTAAAAATGATTGCATTTTTGTTGAAAATGAGGTCAACATCATTGAAAAAGTGTGTTGATGGTTTGATTGCTAATTAAATATCTCCAAGTCCGTTGGACTTTTTTATTATTGCATATAATTTTCTTTGAGATAGTGAATAGATTTAAAAGATATACCTGTATTCATTGTCTGAAAATAGTCATAATACAAGATATAACTGTCTGATATTGTTTGTGATAACCTACCTGAACATTCCCCTCCATTTTCCACTATTTGGAAATCCACAGTTAATAATCTTTTGGTCGCTCATGACACCCTGGTGTAAAAGTAAAGTTCGATCAGATGGTGTCATATTGTTAGGAAATTATTTATCTTTCAAATGATATAAAATACATGACACGGTTAACATACATCACATGATACTCATATTTTGACCCACCCTGTATAGCTAGTAGCATGCTTATATTTCCAACTTCTCCGATCGACTTCCAGAGCCTTTACGACTGGTAATTTATGTTTGGAAATATCGTATCTTTAAAATCTTTAAACTACCTTTTGTAAATACAAAATACACAGTGCAGATTTTTCATGTACAGAATGTATGCAATAAAATCTACGTTTTAAAATCGCTGAACAACGTATCTGAATGTGTTATTGCTAGCTGGTGGTATTTCAACAGGTTCCTTTGATCCTGGTAGTACTACAAACATTATTAAATAGCCTGAAATAGTTACGATGATATACAACCAGAAAAACAGTCGGTCCACAACAGATGCGACTATATGCCACTCTGAGATTAAGAGCTTCTTTTCCTCAAGTTTCATCATCCTTTTACATAGCCGTATGGGACCACATTTAGATCTCGTATCTTTCTTTTGGTTTCGTAGTTTACCATTAGAGACATTTTTGAGAACCCGCAATGCATTTATCTTTAGTTTGTTTATGTTAAACTTCTCTCTTATCGTTCTTTCTGCATTATATTTTGGTTCAGATTCTTCTATAGAGTTTCTTGCTAGCCATGCTTTGATATAACTATAACTCTCTTGGGACTGTCTTTGTTGATTGTCAGGATCTGGCTCATATTTTCCTTTATGAATATTTTCAAATGATTTTCTTTTTACCCAGACATCTTCATGTGGTATACAATGGCAGGTGACTATTGACTTATGACCAATAGTTGTTCGCTCCAAAGTTGTTGTATTCTCTTTAACATTGTGATCCAGATGTCTGGTAATAGCTTTATTGGAGCACTTAGCATCTTGGTGTCTCTTTGGAACATTGTCTGTTTTTGTTGATTCCAAATAATGCATATTAGTGTCATGTTTCAGTGGTTTCTTATTAGCACGTCCCCTACATGTATACTTAGACAAAACATCAGATTCCTGAAGAATGAAAAAAACATACATCTTATCAATTTTCTTGTGCAAATGGAAGTAATATGTATCCATTTGGTCAATTCATGACAAAATGCTTTGAACTATAGGTCTAACTGCACGTTTCCCTCTTTGAACGTTGCCCATGATGTCAGGTGATTCATGAACGTTGCCCATGATGTCAGGTGATTCAAAGAAAATTATTTTAGTCGGTGTAATTAAATGCCATGTATTACAAATGTGATGAATTTACTGTTGCTCTTTGTATGAGACCGTCTATCTTCTTTACTTACCAATTGGACAAATCTAGCCAACAATTGTGCGTCACGAGGAATCCTGAGCGCAGTCGCCAACCATTGTATGAATAAAACTTTGAGCAACTTTGGGACAGGCTTGGCCAAGATAATGTTTCCTCTCCCATGTATGTTGCTCACAAGAACTGCCATTACAACTGACGCCGCCGTCATTGACATAACATTCACTAGATACAGGCCTAGGAAAACAAAAATATAAATGGGTGAGGAGGCACAAAGGATAATATAACAATTAGGCCTACTACAGTCTGTCTGTGATTATTTATGAAAATCTGTCAAGTTAAACCTTACCTAAATACGTAAGATGCACATTTTGATATACATGTTCGGAAAACTGACCATAATATTAATTCTAATGACCGGAAAGATTCACAGCTATTTCTAAGGTGGAATGGGACAATGGACTGGAGAAATATTTAGTTACCTAATAAGGGCACGGACTCGGAAGATGCTGGTACCTGCTCAGCTATCAACAACATAAACATGGAGAAAGCCAGGTAAATAGAAAGTCCCAGAGCGATCTTTTCACCCGATGTGACAGGAATCCAAAACATGAGCATGGTAAGGATAGACAGCATTATACATGGCACTAGGATGTTAAAGACATAGTACACAGTCTTCCTTCTTATGTACAGCTTATAGGTCACTTCAGCAACAGGGGAATTGAGAGCCTCGCTGGAGTTCGAATTGATGGTCATAGTTATGTATCGCATAACCCACTCGCTATTGTCCACATACGTGGAGAGATCGGTGGCGTTGTTGGAAGGGAGGAACAACACGCCATTTTGATTGTATGCCCACGAACCAATATGTAGGGAACATTCTTGGTCATCAAATGGGAAGTATGTTATGTCTACTTTACATAATGTCTTAAGTTTAACCGGAACTGTCCACATGACAATTCCTTTGTGGTTAACAATTAGGTAACTGTCTTTAATAAACGCCAAACTGTCTTTATTGTCTTTTGTATCTTCCGCACTGAAAATAACGTTAATAACAAATATTATTAAACAATACATGTCAGTATATCCCTTGTACAAAGTGGGCCGAAAATAGGACGCTCGTATCTTTTTATTTAAAAGTATACATCACGGTATATGAACCAAGCAAATTACGTGAATATTTGTAACTGGTTTTTGTTAGTCATCTTTTTTCGTTCTCTCGCTCTCGAAAGAGTTTTAATTTTTTATAGATTGAGAACAGTATATTATTGTTGATAAGGGTACACTGTATATGCACTGGACTCCTTTCATAAGTTTCGTTGTTAATGCACACAATCCGTTTCTAGTGAAATGTGGCATTAGAAACAAGAATTGTCATAACATCTACTTCTACAGTGACATATAAATAGTTGGTAAAATGAATAAATTTTGGTACATTAAACCGTGTTCGTCTATATGATCTTCAATGTCTTTTAAGAATGATGCAAATGTCTATTTTTTATGACACAGCCTGTATAATATCTACAAGTGTTTACAATAATGTGATATTATCAGTTATAGTTATGAAAGAATATAATTCCCCAATTATTATTTGTCAGCGCTATATTTATATTTCTTATATTTTTTTGTCAATTTCGTACACTTGCATTGAATTGCTTCCGTCCAATTTGATTGATATGAGAAAACACATTTTTGAAAACAAACTAGGCCTATTCTGTATACCTTCCTTATTTGATTGGATATCTTACTTTGCAAATTATGGTTAAGAAAAATTTAACATACTTTAAGATTTCTTCTAAACTCTTGTATTCTTAATTGGTTCAAAATGTGTCTAATTTAAGGATTTAAGCCCTGGAATCAGTGCAATTTAGAATGACCATACCTGTTGCTTTCCAAAATTTGCACGAGATGCACCGGCATCGAGTGTTAATTTTAGGAAACAACATTTCACACTGGATTGAGTATTGGGCTAAATTCTTTTCACACATTGCATTTATATTTTATGCAATATCACTAAAAAGATATTAAATGACCTACACCCTAAAAATGAAATCTAAAATTCAGGACCATTTGGACGCCGTTTCGGCACCGAATTTGGAGTGAGATTCGTCGCCGAACGAGCAGATTTGTAGTCAATTTGGATTGGCTGGAATTGCACACACCTTGCCTACCTATGTGTGATTAAATATGATACGGTGTCAAAGATATTATGGTCCCCTGGGGATTATGGTCCCCTTTCCTTACGGCCCTAACTGGCCCTGACTGTGTATAAATAATAAGGAAAATAATTGTAATTAGGTCACCATATAAATCAATCGAGAGTAAGACCAAAATTTGATAGGACCACCTCCCCTTATTTCTACATGCCTACCTTAGAACATAGTGAAACTGTTAACATTATATCTTACTTGTTAAATATAAAAGTATCTGGGCACCAAATTGCATCGCCGGATATTCTCAGGGATTCCACTCCGCCATAGTCATCCACCTCCCATGACAACTTTTTGTCAACCCAGATCTAAATCAGCCACATGTCGATTCATTATGATATCATTGCAATGCATTGAAAATTGTTATATCTGTGATGGAACGAGATACTATTTAGCGATAGTAAATAACTTTTCTTTATTGAAACAGACATGGAGTGAAATGAGCAGAATTACATCCTGGCCCATTTGTTTTTCTTCGCAATATTCTGAGCTGTTGATCACGTGATTTTATATATTTTATTTGTAATGGTAGGTGCGTATCGTTACTATAGATCTAGGAGAATAAGTGTTCTGTTACGTTATATTTCGAATAACACTAAGACACGCCTTACCATCGCGTAAGCAGGCGTCACCGTACCGCGTCAAAAAATAGCGAAGTACAGTTTTCTGTACGGTAACGCAAATTAACTGCTTTGAAGCAAAAACTATGACAAGGGTTTAAAAAAATTAATTTGATGAAAACTAATACGATTTCATGTGAAATAAAAACAGCATTCTCTTAGAAATGGTTTTAACTTTCTGATTATGATAAACGTTTTACGAGCACTGTTCGGATTTTTCTGAGTGAATCGGCCCACATAATCGACCAGAGTGAAAAAAGGTTGTTTTTCACATTTTGTTTGGTTATTATTTTCCCTACCGTCTGAGAGTATGGATTATTTTTATGAGAATATGTATTTGTTACTTACACATTTCATTATGTATATTTAAAAAAGATCAAATATGTACGGTGACGCACCAGCTGTACGGTGACGCTATGCTTTGATGAACTAAATGAGACTAAGATTGAATGAAATGGAAACTCTGGAGTATGATCATTTGTTCATATATAGTGCATGGGCGCTACAGTTCAAGGATATCTTCCACAGCTTAATGGAAGGTTACTGGAAATGTATGATACGGTAAAGATCATGAAACCAAAAACTCTCTTGTTGCTATGTTATTGATGTTTTAAAACAAGGGATGTCACAAGTAAATCTCATCTTGCACGTGTGACTTTTTAGGATGAAAGATGCAATATCTTGCATTGGGTAAAGATGGCTGTTTAGGCTATCTTTGTTAGTCATAGGAGAAAAGCCTGGTTTAGTTCACGATACCAAAGCATTACGTCAACTTTCAAATAGTTAATTCCATGAAAACTAAAAATATCGAAATTAATACTTCCTGTCTGCCATCTTAAATGCGAAGGTGACAGCTGTTACCTTCGCCTGATACTTACCAGTGATAATGTACATGTAGATCTGACGCTTCTTTACCTCTTGTTCGAACAGTAAGCTTAGAGCACTTCATAAAATCTAAGGAAGCGTCACCGTACAGCTGATGCGTCACCGTACAGTTCTGATCTTTTTTAAATAAATACACTGAATGATTATTTGCCGAATATTCATCTGTTCTAAAATGTGTAGATAACAAATACATATTCTCATAAAAATAATCCATACTCTCAGACGACAGGGAAAATAATAACCAAACGAAAAGTGAAAAAAACACAATTTTTCTCTCGAGTCGATTATGTGGGCCGATCCAGTCAGAAAAAATCCGAGCAGTGCTCGAAAAACTTTTATCATAATTAGAAAGTTAAAACCATTCCTAAGAGAATGCAGTTTTTATTACACCCGAAATCGTATTTATTTTCATCTAATTAATCTTTTTAAAACCCTCATTATAGTTTTTGCTTCAACTCAGTTAATTTTCGTCAACGTACAGAAAACTGTACTACTGTATTTTTTGACGCTGTACGGTGACGCCTGCTTACGCGATGGTTAGGCGTGTAAGAGATATATTGGCTGACTTTGTCCAGTTTATTTCAATGTGGCGTAAGCCCCGATCATGACGTAATACAAAATAATTATGGCTTGCCAGCCCAACAATACAATATGACAATTACATGACAATAAGTACATTACCTGCTCTAGAAAAGCACTGGTCGTCAATAATTGCTGTCTCTCATCCTATAGCAAAAGTGATCACAACTTGTTATACAGGGTGGTCACAAAAAGCAGCACTGTAATTTTATCGATTATTATGGAATCGTTGTGCACACGACCTTTAAGAGTCAATTCAAAACTGCCAGAGGGCTGCATTTGTGTGTCAGCCGTCTTTGGAATTTCTGCTTCATTATTCGTATTTTAGGATATGGAAAATTGACAAATAATATTTGTAAATTGCTTGGGCAGTTGTATTCGTTGAATATATGTTTATGTTTGAACTTAAGAGTATTTTTATGACCACTCACCAATTCAACTATCCTGTTTAGCATAAGGGTGAATGTGACGGCCAATGTTTCATTCCAATAGGCCCCTGGTCTCACAGACGCCTCGTAAGTTCCCATCAAGTCCTGATGAAGTCTCTGTTCATCTGGGACAAAGTGTCCTAAAAATAAAGGTAAAACGTAAATAAAGGTCCATGTGCAGTATGACAAGTGATTTTAGACAGTCATATCTTTCACCATGAATATTTTCTGGGTATACATACAGTGGTTTTTATTAAAGCAATTTGTTTTCTTTAAAGTGACGTCCCCATGATAGTAGAATATCAATCCCACTCTCTGAAAAATAATGGATAAGGACCCCACCTTGTCACATTTTTAAAAATGTAAGGCTTATTTTCTAAAAAAAAGGATCTTGTTTTTCTCAATTTAAATGTATCAAAAGTTTCTTCTACACTATATTAATAACTTCTGAAAAGGGGATGGGTATTGAAATGCGATAAAGTTAAAAAACCATGTTATTTTCCCATTGGGAAAACTCAAAAAAGAAGATCCTCTTTTGAGCAAATAAGTTCAACATTTTGAAAAAATTGTTGACGTGGGGTCCTTATTTATAATTTTTCGAATTGTTTGATTGATATTTTTATCATCAAGGGTACTTCACTTGAAAGAAAACATATTGTTTAAATACTGCACACGGACCGGACCTTTCTTAAAATACCCATTATTTACTCACACTGTCCTATTAACGTATGCAGTCTCACACTAATCAAAAGCAACTGGACTGAGTTTAAACTACTGATATGTAATCATATTTGAGATGATTCTGTAATAGATAATGTTCATACATAATTTCGAGGGCAAGTCTCAAAGGAGAAATTTAGTTTCCGTATTGCACATTTCAAGCAGTTGTCATCATGGCAGAATTCAGTCCACACGTGTTTGACATAATTGGGTCAAGATTGCAGTAAAAAATCCCATTGACGACCATTTGTATCAGATGCTGGCACAGTTTTGCCGGAAGTTTGCAAGAAGTAAATTTTGGCAATGCAGTATGTTAGAGTAACCTAGTAGGTGTAAGAAAATATAAGGTGATGGCCTTTAAAGTGGTAAAAACAATTTTCACGGCCGAATTGGACTTCAATTCCTGCGATTTCAGGGGGTACTATAAGACTATTTCATAACATAAAGGATATAGTTGCTATTGTTCTGCTTTCTACAGCACACATTACTAGTCCAAAGATGAATAATATCCTAAAGTTATAGGCCGATATCTGTATTAGTCTTAGAAATATTGCAATTAATAGGAAAAAAATATGCAATTTTAGTCATTTTTAAGTCTCACGTATCTTATATTTGTAGCTTCCAGCAAAAGATGGCAGCTTAAATAGCTCAAAATTGTTTTCTAAAAACTAATTCAAGCTTTGTTTGATATTGTAATACAATTATAATAATGATAATGTACTATTTATGATTTTTAATGTGACTGTATAGTACCCTACCCCTGGAAAGTGGGCGTGGTCAATGTTATCATTTTGCAGCATACAATTAAAAACTTATATTGATAGAAAGCAAATCAATGCATTTTTAACATTTTCACTTGTTACTTGACATTGTAATTCATTTATTACTAAAATATAGGACTCTACATATTTTATATATACGTTTTCAATTTTGTACAATGTATCATGATGATGAAATCTAATAGGCTGGTTCATTTTCAGTGTTCACTAACGCATGAAATGTAAGTCACAGTGTTTCCAAATTACCTTTGCAATGAGAAAGTACCACAACGACTACATAATATGAGCAGTTTCAAGGTCCTAATACTAATACTTACCGATCTATCGGCGTTCAAAAATAGAGAAAGCTGTCGTGAGTGCAGTTTTAACTAACTTTGAACTGAAACTGCTGCTTAATGAATATTTTTCTCAACATCTGTGACTTTTTTAGACCCCAAACATAAGATACCAAGACATAATGCTACCAAGTTCTGATATTGGAAGTTTCAGAGCTCTAGATCAAATATTCACTTCTGCATGTACTTTTAAAAAGAGGCAAAAGGACAAAAAAACTGTCAGATATCGTGAAAAATATGAAAGATGCACTATTCAGAACAATTTATCTCTTAAATGTTACTTTTATTTGACATAATTTCTGATTCTGCCTCCAGTTAGTACCACCAATAATACATATGAGAAGACTTAACGTCATAGTAAGTGGAAGTACAGATCTATTGGCTTCTGAAAATGGGAAAAGCTGTAGCAAGTATGATTTTCACCAGTTTTTCATCTAAGACTGCAACTTTCTGAATTTTCTTTTTACAAACTGCACAGTAAGACCAAAGACATTAAAGGAAACCTGGTCATTGTACCACCAATAATACTTAAACTGATTAAAGAACTGGAAAATGGCAAATCAAATGGCCCTGATAAGATATCGAATGAAATGCTTAAATTGTGTCCAGACGCAATGTCACTTCCTTTAACAAAATTATTTAACAAACTTCTGGTAGGCAATCATTTTCCTGACACCTGGAAAGAAGGTGATGTAAGCCTTATTCATAAGAAAGGTCCTAAGTCCAGATGTGAAAATTATAGACCAATTACGTTGCTGAATACCATTTCTAAAGTCTATGAAAGAGTTATCTATAACAAACTTAGCACTTACCTGATCTCCAATAACTTGATATATGAACGTCAGTCAGGATTCCTCAAAGGCCACAGTACCACACTTCAGCTAGTTTCAATTATTTATTATATTAATACTGAATTGAGTAAAGGAAACAATGTTCGTACTATTTTCCTAGATCTCGCGGCTGCGTTTGATACTGTTCCGCATAAACTACTTATTCATAAGCTCAGAAGTTATGGTTTTTGCAATAATCTTATAAAATTGATTAGTTCTTACCTCACAAATAGAAAAATTAGAGTTTCTATCAACGGCTCCTCAACCGAATATTCAAATCATGATGATATAAATGCAGGTGTTCCCCAGGGATCAATCCTGGGACCTTTGCTCTTTCTCTTATACATTAATGATTTGCCAGACAATTTAAACTCAAGAAGCTACATTTATGCCGACGATACGTCCATTTACTTCACCTATATGAAACATTCTCCAAATAACAGCAGACTTCTTCAAAATGACTTAAACTCCCTTGAACAATGGTCTCAGTTATGGAAAATGCACTTTAAAGCTGGGAAGAGCAGAGATTTGACCTTTAGAACAATAGGAACTCCAAAGCCAGTTCACCAGCCTTTGACCCTCTCAAATCAAAACATTCCTATAGTTGATAGCCACAAACACATAGGTTTTCACTTGGACGACACACTTTCGTATGAAGTTCACGTAAGAGAACTAACTGCAAAGGTCCAGAAAATGTTAAATCCCTTAAAGGCCATTAAAAATAAAGTAAAGTCAGCTCACCTTGATCTTATTTACAATTCTTATATTTCTCCACACTTCGATTACTGTGACATTTTATACCACGGCAGTAACAAAACAACCTTAAAATTGCTAGATACCTTGAACTATAGAGCTGCAATCTTAGTATCTGGAGCTCTGCATGGATCAAATGGCGACAAACTTTTGAAAATTCTAAACTGGCCAACTTTAGAAGCCAGACGATTATCACACATAGGTGTGTTAATGTTCAAGGTAAAACATAATATGTGCCCTTCATATATCAGAGATATTTTTAGACTTTTGACACCTGTACCAATAGGAATAGAGTTAAGGGATAGGCCAACCTATCACATCCCATTACATATTTCTACCAGGTTCAAGGATAGTGGAGCTATCCTTTTTTCTAAAATTTGGGACTCCTTACCATTACAGCTCAGGCAGGTGCCTACTATCTCTTCTTTCAAAGGCCAAATCAAAAAGCACTTCCAAAATTTTCAAAATATTCAGACAAATTCACAAAATTTATCTCTTCCCCGTAATTCGGAAATCAAACTGAACCAATTACGTGTTGGCCTCTTGTTAAATGCACATAAAATGGCCCACTCTTTTACAACTATCGATTCTGATGTATGTAGATGTGGTTTAAAACAAACCACAAAGCATTTCCTCTTACACTGTCGCCTCAACAATGATATAAGACACCAAATGCTTGACAGGCTAAATGGATTATTTACCATGCATGACATAAATTTCTCCTTTAACAATTTGAAACAAGATGATAAAATTGAAACTCTTTTGTATGGAATTAACTTTTTAAATATTGAAACAAATAGAGAAGTTTTGTCTATTACAAGTACCTTTATTAATGAATCTATCAAACTTGTTGAATAAGATCATGCTACCTATTCCTTTCACCTACTCCAACCAAACTACCAACCAACCACCAGCAGCCCATTTTTGTATTGTCAAAATCTATATATTTGTGTATAATTTTATTGTAGTGTGTTTATATGTATAGTTGCCAATAATGTTTGCTTCGGCAACTTTTTGAAAAATCTTTGTAAAAAAAATTACTATGATAATAAAAAAAAAAAAAAAAAAAAAAACAACCACCAATAATAGGTAAAAATAATATTGGTAATATATACCAAGTGTTTACTTTAATTCCAAGGCATCTGAATTGATAAATAAATGAAATCAGTACTTTATTGTATCTTGGGACAAAATACACTGTTTGAATGCTTAAGCTTGACATCACAGTAGCAAGTGAAAGATACGTTGTTATATACAGCTATATATCACTTTAACTGACTTTACTCTTCAATTTGAAATATGCCTGGCCATTCTAAGAAAAATGCGACGGAGGGCAAAGAGGGTGCATGGTATAATCGGTAATTAAGCTCTTCTAGAGTTTAAAGCTCCCACAATTTTTAAAAACGAAATGGAGAATAACATGTGAAAGTATAGGATGGACTTATTGTTCTGAGAAAGTTTTTGAAAGTAACATTGCATGAAATATTTAAGCAAGAGATATGTTCCAAAATACTTTCAGGTAGAAATAAAGCTCCGTAATGTAAAAACAATGTATTCTCAGTATTCAATAATAACATTCTTTATAGGTTTTTTGGTCTTAAGCATATCAGTGATTATCCCATGGTTGCAAGGATATAGATCGAATATCACATGAAGATATATTTGATATGTGGATCAAGTTATAATATTTTAGCAAAAAATTCACAAACCATCGAATATCACT